ATGTACAAGCGGGCGCTGCAAGGCCGCGAGGAGGCACTTGGTCCTAAGCATACGTCAACGCTCAACACAGTTAACAACCTGGGCAATCTCTATAAGATCCAAGGCAAGCTGGCTAAGGCGGAGCAGATGTACGAGCGGGCGCTGCAAGAGACGGAAGAGGCACTTGGTCCTAAGCACACGTCAAAACTCGACACAGTTAACAACCTGGGCCTTCTCTACACGGACCAAGGCAAGCTGGCTGAGGCAGAGCAGATGTACGAGCGGGCGCTGCAAGGCTACGAGGAGGCACTTGGTCCTAAGCATACGTCAACGCTCAACACAGTTAACAACCTGGGCCTTCTCTACGCGGGCCAAGGCAAGCTGGCCGAGGCGGAGCAGATGTACAAGCGAGCGCTGCAAGGCTACGAGGAGGCACTTGGCCACGAAAACGTGGAAAAACACAAGCCAGCGCTCAACACGATAGAGAACATGGGAAATTTGTACGCAAAGCGAGGAGAGTTTGCGAAGGCTCAAGAAACATATTCAAGAGCTCTTGTTGGCCTTCAGAGTATCACAGGGCCATTCAGCGCTGAATCTCAACGTCTTAGAGCGAAAATAGCCACCCTAGACTCTTCTTACAGTAAGTTATTTAGTGTTATTCAATCCACTTATTTCATCGCTGACAGACTAGAGACATAGATAGTAGCGCAGAGCCGCTAGTAGAAGCGGGGGCATCTCTCGCACCCTTCAGCAAAAAGCGGAAGGCATCCTCATCACCGTGAAAGTCCTCCTCTCCACCCACATCAACGCCATACCGCCCGCACCTCATCAAGAGTACCCTGTCCACCCAAACAATCCACATGACCTCTACCTCAAATAACACAACCCCAAAGCCAGAGTGTACGAAGATAGCTAGGACAACAAAGGCTCGAACAAACGACGACTCGAGGTTGAGAAACCCCGCCTAAGCCCCATCCCCTCTAGCGTCCCCGTCTCGGAATACGGCCCAGCAGCAAGGACCGCCCCTGTCGCAATCCCACTCTTTCACGATTGGCAGGAGCGGCATCCCTCCAGTACGCGAGCGATCAGCATCGCTTCCAAGATGAGGGTGCCAAAAATAAGCATGCGCTAGCGAAGGGGTCCAAAGGTTTGAAAGATGGTCACGGAAGGGGGTGATCTAATCTGTGGGGGATAAGGGAGATAACCTGGTATACAGGCTCGTGAGTGGTGGTAATTTGGGGAAGGAGGATCAGAATGGTAATTCAAAAAATGATGGGAGGGTCGTTGGAGCAAGTGAAGCGAAGGATGAGCTCAAAGACGCGGTGGACGGAGGAGCAAGCCGCAGGTATGGACAGCACCAAATAAAACGGCCGTGGGAATATCATTCAGCATCCCCATTTTAGATAGCCACCAGCCCCGCATGGCCGGCTGATTAGATTTATGTAGAGATCTTCGCAGTTGCTGTACAAACTCTCCAACTTGGGTTTTACCAAACGAACAAGTCGACAAGCTTCCTATAAGAATACCGTGCCCCTAAATTTCCCTGAAGCAACTCAGTTACTCATGAAACGCGTAAGCCAGAAACCCGCCCGCAACTACTGCCTACTCTTTCTTCTACCCATCCAATGCGATGCGCAACGCTTACAAACCGGAATCAATCTGATCTGGGATGTTCTTGTTCGTAAAGGCGTCCCAGGTCTTACAGCCCTCAAAGTTGTCATCGTCCAACTTCAACGCCTTGATCTCCTCAGGCTGCTCCAACACGTTCATGTACAAGCCACCAGACACATGCCACGCAAGATGGCAATGGAACGGCCACACACCCGGGTTGTCATTCTCCCACTGGAAGACGGCGTAAGAAGGCGTGTCAGCGTCCTGTGCGTTCTGGAGGATGTGCGTGTCACGGCGGGTGGGGTTAGCCTGGTTAACGATCTTGCCGTCCCAGTCGCCGAAGCCCTCAGCGAGAACCTGGAAGTCGTGACCGTGAAGATGCATGGGGTGGCCACCGAGAAGGGCGTGATTCTTGAAGATCACGCGGACTGAGGAGTTGGAGCCGAAGTTGTGAACGTTCCAGTCATGTTCGAAAGTTTCGTTGCCCTGGTTGACCTGTAGAAGCACGGGCGCGTTGTAGTCGCCGCGGAAAGTGACGTTGTTCAAGAACCAGACAAAGTTGGTGCCGTTGGACGCAAAGGTGATGTCGACTTGCTCGGTCGTTGCCGGGGTGGCAGCGATGCCGACCGGGCAGTAGGGCTCGGTGGTGTTGAGAGCGTCGTTCTTGCAGACAGCAAGTTGGTCGGCAGTGACGTCCGACTTGGTGTCGGGAAGAGTGGTGTCATCGGCATCCTCGTAGTAGACCGCAGCGACAGCGTTGGGGGAGACACCGTCGTTCAGGGTGCAGCGGTTGGTTCCGAGCTGAGCGCGCATCCAGTAGACGTCGGTTGGCTTTCCAATAGCTTCGACGATGATATCAGCACGCTGCGCAACACCGAGAGTGACCACGTTGGTGGTGTACGGCTTGCAGGGGACGAAGTCGTTGGCGATAACGGTCAGAGTGTGGTTGTCAATGCTGAACTTCTCGGTACCCTCAGCAGAGGTATTGATGATACGGAGGAGATGCTTCTTGCCAGACTGGAACCTGAACTTGGAGATACCAGCATTCGGTGTGCAAGGAAGCGTGGTGTTTTCGCAAGGGTAGTTCATCTTTCCGTTGATCAAGTTGTTGTTGGACGGCGGGAAGTTAGCCTGCATGGTCTGGTTGATGAGCGTGTAGTAATCCTGGTGGAAATGATCAGAGACAAGGACTGGGCCGATATCAATGTCATACTCCGCGGTCCTGGGACCATGAACGACAACAGGACCAAGAGCACCGCCAGCGTACTGAGCGCTGTAATGACTGTGGTACCACGAAGAACCGTAACGGTCCGCACGGAAAGTCAAGGTGAACTCCTTGGTGGGAGCAACAGGGCACTGAGCAACAGCTGGGACACCGTCATACCATGGGGTACCCTTTTGGGTGAAGCCGTGGAAATGGATAGCGGTTCCTTCGTTGGGGAGGTCGTTGGTAACCTTAATCTCAATCCTGAGTAATTGTCAGTCTATGCGCCGAATCAGATACGAAAATACCTAATACTCACGTATCACCCCAGTTAGCCTCAACAAGAGGACCAGGGAATTGGCCGTTGACAACGAGACCGTTCTTCTTCACACCATCGGGCGCAATGGTCTGGTAAGAAACGTGAAAATCGTAGGATCGCGTTACACCAGTATCCGGGATTTTACCACAGGCAGAAGCTGACGTAGCCGATGCGGTGGCAGAAGTGCCCGCAGAGATAGACCCAGTGCCCGTAGAGATGGCTCCAGTGCCCGTAAAGATGGATCCAGTGCCTGTGGCGCTGCCGGTGACGGTGGCAGTACCAGTGGGAAATGGTGGAAGAGTGGGGGAGACCTCGCCGGTGCATGGCAGGCTGATAGACAGATGTGGGTAACCGATTAAACCCCACGGAGAATCGCCGTTGGTGTCGGATTGCGGGAGTGATGGGACTAGAGAAGAGCAACCCTTGGGAACCCAAGCGGGAGCTACGTAGGAGTTCCCATTCTTACCTCCATAAGGGTATGGAGGAGTCGGCTTTGGTCCTGGAGTGGTTTGCCCAGCGGTCGGCAGGCCCGGCCATGAAAATGGCAAGGAAGAGGTGTCGTACGGGTTGTCGTAGGGTCCGTTGGGGTTCGTGCAGACAGGCGTCGGGAGCGAGGCTAGTGAATCGGTGCAAGGGCACACCGTAACGGTCTCGTACACCCACTGAGTGGTGGCAGAGATGGTGCCATAGATGCCGGTAGAATTATGGTAAGGAACAGGAGCTCCGCTGGAAGCAACTGAAGTCGGAGCATGCTTCACGATCGAAGTGACAGTGACAGCAGCTGAGTACGCAGCCGCGTAGTAAGGAGCGGCAGCCACCATGATGGGTTGGGGGGATTAAAAAATGTGGACCAATTAGGATAGGAGAAACAAAAACTAAAGCACGGTAAACGAGTGTAGGGCTTCACAAGGGAAGAATCAACATGTGCGGAGACGACGAGCAGGAATGCGCAGGTTTTAAGAGAGTGCTTGATTATCACCGGATCGGCAGTGCTGGCACTGTCCACATTTCTGAATCAGCCCGTATTCTGGTTCCTGCATTAGCCTAGTCAAGGCATCCCGCATGAGGCAGGGCGTGGGTGGTAGGCCCCAGACGGATCCAGGGCACCGGCCGCTCGCAATTGGACGTTCCCCAGACGGAAGCGGGAGCGCTCTCGCGAGCGCGATGCCGCGCAGGACGCTGAAACGGGCGACATGAGCGTGCACCAGTCGCTGACAGCGCCGAGAATGTTGGCGTCAACACACTCGTAAAGGGGCGGTGGGGAAATTTGGGCTGGTCAGCCACCGCCGTTGAGCAGCCCGCTTCCATCTGATCGTGCGGGCGATCGGCTGAGCTGTGCATCGTCGTTGGGTGATGGGAGCCTGGGCTGATAGACTTGGGCTGATAGACATGACTTTGACTCCTGCAGCCATGAGCCCGCGGAAACTCTTGGGGTGCAGAAATCGTTCTTGGAGACGGCGACTCCCACGGTGACAGTCTCTCGTCACATTCCTCCTCTTACGCCTCATGCCTCTCTCTTCGGAGCCCCTAGCAGCCGTAGTGAGAACGATAGCGCAGGCATGACGAAGCGTTGGCCGGACGGGTGCAGGCAGCAGAGCGAGTCGAGGACGGGTCAGCGCTAAACAGGAGCGGCGCGAAAGTCCTCTTCAGACAGGACAGACAGGGCTCGTCAGGAAGGGGAAGGCAAAGTTTTGTCGTCGCGTCTGTGCCGTGAGGGGAGCCGAGGGGACGTGCGGCCGTGGTGTTGTGGGATGGCGGCAGACCGGCCGGTGTGCGAATAAGGTAGCCAAGCTTTGCAGCACGGGCCGTGATGGGAGACGGCACGCTCAGGGGCACACCCGCTTTAGGGGGCCACCAAGGGACCGTCCCCTGGGCCTTGCATCCCGCCATGCCCCTCTGGCCCTGGCGGCGCGACCGCTAAACCGTCGTCTGCGTCGTTCTGCATCCTCCAAGGCGGATGGGAGGATGAGCGCACTCGCAGCGCCACAGGGCGGATGCTGGCCGTGGATCGGACAGAAACCAACGTGAGGCGCTAAGCAAAGGACGCCTTCTTCCACAGTCAAAGTGTGGACTCTGGGGAAATGCCATGATGCAGCCACATCGTTATGGCTGAAGCTTCTTAGCAAGGGGGTAGCGTCAAGCGTAAAGCTACGGAAAAGCCTCGGAGGCGCCCTTGACGTAAAAAGGCCTCGACAGAGACAACCGTCTTGGCGCTAAGAACACCGGTGAAAGTCAGCAGCACTAACTACCAAGATTTGGGTCATCTTCTCCTGAAGCTGAACGGAGGGATTGACGGCGTGTCAGGCAATACGAAGTAGCAGGAGAGTGGTGCGATGGGGGCCTTAACACGGAGGGTAGAACTCGGAATTCCTGGTGCCTCCGCCACCCAGCGAAAGACTGGTGGATTCTTTGCGCGCGACAAAAACTTCGCACTGACAGGCCGTCTTTGGGGGCCATCTGCACAGATCCCCTAGCTCATTTCAGCCTCGTGGCGCTAGGTCACACACGTCGGCAGAGGCCGGTCCATGCGGGAGGGAAGTGTGCCCCTAACCGCATCTAGAAATCGCTGTGCAACGATCTCGCGCTTGAAAAGTCTACGTAATGATACACACGAAGATCTGTGCCTCTAAATAGCGCGAAATGTAGTCAAGGTCTAGATCATGACAGTGGTATTGCTGCGTGTTGTCGTTCAACGTCCCTTGGTCAAAAGGAACACGAAGGAGACAGCATGCATCCAAAGCTTTTTAGGCCACGTATATAGAATACGAGAGCTTAGGCCTTTCACCGTTTTGAGAGGGCACTGGGCGGCTTGACCAATCAATCCCGAGAAATATAAGCCGAAGATTCCAGCCGCTAGGTGCGCGTCAGCCGTCACTCGTTACCTATGCCCATTGCCGAATCCCCGCTGACAAGAGGCCTGGAACCGAGCCCACGCACCAAGCCACCGGTGTCAGACTCCAATAACGCCTGAGACATTCTCGGATTCTTTTTCAGCCTTTCGAACGATCCCTTCTGCAAGATCATCTTCTCGTGGACGAACTTTGCAGCGGCACGCTTTGTTCGTTCCAGGACTGGATATGGATGAAAGGGTGCTTGGGGCTGCATTTCTGATCTTTGAACAATGGGAAAACATGCCTGGTTGTTTGGATTACGGTGAGTTAAAAAGCTGTTTGCGGACGCTCGAGTCAGCTTCTTTAAGACCAGAGCTATTTCACCAAAAAGGACGCGAATTTGCTCCCAGTCGCCGTTCAAGGGCGTTGTATCCTTAGCCAATCTTCAGTTTCGATATCGCATAGAGCTCAGCAATTGCCAAAAGACGGTCAGAAAGTGCTACCCACGTGAAGGTCTCATTGGCGACGTCGATATTGCCGTTTCGAACCACCTTGTGCTACGGGTGGTTGATTATACCGCCATCATGATATCCTTCCAGCCAGTATGTGAAATCCATCAATTGTCAAAACGCTCCTCGATCCAGTCGCAACCTTCAGAAACTCCGTCAGCAGCCTTGATTGAAAATAGGACAGCACCCAAAACAACGTTCATAGCAGCAAATAGGCTACCGGCATGATACATGTTGCTGCCTTGTAGTAGATGGCAGCAGACAATCGAACAGTCCGTTTCCAGCAGGTTGTATAGCTCCTCTTCACTCTTCAACTTCTTCACTTACACTTAATTTTCTAGTCTTCAGCCAGCGAGATAGCTTTGAAGAGCCTCTTTCCATGGTTGTTCGAACTAGTGCTCGTCAGACACCTCGATTTTACCGATTTCGCAGAAGTGTAGCTCTTCGGCACATTGCGGCAGACCTATGATATCAGCAAACCTAACAAGGTCAGCTACCTCTCATCGGGAGTGCGTCAGTAGACCCGCTGTTGGTCAGTGGTGTCACTATCACGCCCTCATTGAAGGACAATAGTCTGCATCGGAGGAGAAGACGCCGCAGAGGCGCAGAACCATCAGCTAGCCGGTTCCGACCCAAATACCCAGGATATCTGTTACAGTAGGTAGGGTTTAAGATCGAGTTGGGCTCAGAGGGCGAATTGGGTGCAGGTTGGTGTTGCACTGCCCCTCGCTCAGCAAGGCGACCCTTGCGCTTCTCCGCAGTCTCACCGCCTCTTCACCACTCAACTACTCCCGTCCTACGCCAAAGCACACAATTGAGGGGCGGAGAGCTGCAAATGCTGAAAATGGCCTCGCTAGATCAATTGACTAACACAGCCTCTACCAACACAGCCCGTCGCCATAAAGATAGCTACACTAAGCTTCCTATATCTTCTCTCGAACTACCTCCCACTTATATCAAGCCACTCTCCTCAAAACCTTCTACTTCGCAAGGCCATCCATCCAACATCTAGTTCTCCTCATCGCAACTCTACCAAACCTCATCGCCCCAACCAACCCCCAGGAACTGTCAACCTCCCACAGACCCGCCCCCACCCACCCACCATGCCCGCCCCAACTCCCCTCTCCGCGTTCATGTCCTTGGCGCCCATCGAGCCCGTCCTCGTCTTCGGCTCAAGCACCGACGCCGAAAGCTTCCAATCGCGCTGCCGCCAAGGCCGCATCGTGGCCGCCCAGTCCGGCCGCTGGGTCTACCTCCCGCTCCCCGCCGGGCTGCAGCGCGTGCGCACTGCGCGGGGCGGCGATGTGGCGTTTGAGTTTGATTCGCATCGGAATGCGGCGGCGTGGAATCTGAGTATTGGGGAGATTGGGAAGATCTATGCGAGCACGAAGGAGAAGCCGCGATTTGACACGAGTGTTTATCTGGGGAAGGTGTGGAAGTAGGGGAATGAAGGGGGTTTAGTGGATTAGGGATAGTATAGGGAGAGGGAGGGGCGGTGGGGTTGGGGTTGGGGATGGGTTGTATGAGTTATGAGTTATGAGTTTAATGGGTAGTTGGACGGGCTTGGTTGGTCAATGCGAGGGCGGCTATTAGTACAATTCCACGAATACGAATGGGACGTTCCATTTTAAATGACCGGTAAATGGGATCGATGATGATGGAACAGTGAACGTGAAAAGTGAAGGAATGTAATTGAGTGCTCTAGCGGAGATGGACTGCCAAGCCGCGTTCTCCGAGTCCTTCTCCGAGGCGTCAACCGCAACGACTGTCTCAAGACTTATGCATCAACACCAACACCATCCCATCACTGCAGTATACCACACACGATGCCCAGTTCGCCCAGTAGCTTCACGCTCGGGATTCAACATAGTATTTATTTCAGATTCGACTACAACGAACACTCCCGTCCCCTACCACTACACGGACAAGCCAGAAAATAAAAGGTAGGATCTCGATGATCTCTATAGATCTTAACTGGATTCCCAATGGGATCATCAAGTCACCCTTGAAACTGAGATAGCCACTCGCGATCCGCCAGCGATGGAATTAGACCCCTGCTAGTAAACTTTGCCAATATGGCTTCCAATGCGAGAAGCCATCAGCGATTCGGGTCTTTTGGCTCATATCCGCCCTCTCCGGCGTCCCGCCTGGTGAAAGATGCGACCTCCAACTCAATTGCGGTCGAAGGGGCAGTGTTTGTTTTTTTCCAGCCGACCCGCGGCAAAGATGCTTGTATTCAAGGCTCGATTTTAAGAAAGAAGGATACTCTGAGCTTGAACACTGGTCTCGACGTGAAGAGCGTGTCAACCCCCGCCCGCTCTAGAAATATTTGTGCTGGAGCAGTCCTCCCCTGAAGGCGGTACCAATTCCTTCAATGAGAAGTTCGATTCTCGTTGCTTTTCCTAGCTTTCGCCCAATCTTCATCTTGCACTAGTAACCCCTGTGATCGGTTTGCGTCTCTAAGACAGATGGAGATTGGAGAGTAAGCATTTTCCTGATATTTCAAGGTACATGAAGACAATCGCATCTATCACGTGCATGTTGACTTGACAGTCGGGTGGAAGGCGATCCTCGGCGCTTTACGGGACCGCAAGAATACCTCTGATTCAGATCATAGTGATTCGCTATTGCAAATCAGAATAGCACGCAAGCTAGGCAGATGAACCCTGTGTTCAGATCTCCTCACCACCACGGTGGTGGCCACATTTCACTGCCGTTGAGAGATACCATGGGCAACAGCTACTAGAGGCCGGTGACTGGAGCTCCAACAAATCAGTGCATACTCGGGCAAGTGGCGCGGATCGAAAAACCCGAACAAAGCTTCTACGAAGTCGATATTTCGAAGAAATATCTCACCTATCTACTCGTGCTAACCGATATACCTGCAGTCTCGTAGACGCCTTGCTAAAGTTCTTGAGGAAAGGTATCGCTGATCACTGCTGGGTTCGAGACCATGCATGACAGAATTTAGCCCCATTGTCTACTTTGAGAAGGCTTTCTACCTATTCGAGATCCACGAAAGGGGTTGGTCCATTCACATGGTAGATCATCTTCCAAAGTTTGTGGGGTTCGGGAGCCAACGCGACGGAATACGGCGCATGGAGGATTCAGGGTAGATACACATGAAAAGTGAAGGGGACTATTTACCAAAGGCTTCCTGGCAAAGCCATACTCGTTCGTTAGACCTAGTTTCTCTCCGTTGAAACCTCACCGTCGCTACTGTGTTCAACCGTTGTTATTGTATGATTCGGCGGCTATGAAGTCCGCACTTTTCCTTCTGTCTCTCGTTTCACTATCTACTGCACGGTACCTTGGGACCCGGACCAATAACACCGTCCTTCCGACAGGTATCAATGTTTTCCCACCTTTACAGACTGTACGAAACGAACTCATCGATGGACCTTGCAAAAAGGTAACAATCATATTCGGTCGAGGTGCTACGCAGCCAGGAAATGTGGGATTACTCGTCGGACCTTCTTTCTTCAGTGCCGTCGCTGCTATCATCAGCTCTGCGAACATTGCCGTTCAAGGAGTGGACTACGCTGCCACAGACTTAGCCGCACTACTAGGAGGTTCTACATACGGGGCAGCGACCGTAGCTAGTCTTGCCAATTTAGCTGCATCAAAATGTCCCGGTTCGCAAATCGTGTTGTCCGGGTACAGGTATGTTCACTCTGGATCTTCCCATCAAGCAACAAGAGGGTTTCTAATACCAGTCTTCATAGCGAAGGAGCAGAGATCATTCATCGCGCCGGCCAGAATCTAAGCAACGTAACTTCAAGCATCAAGGCCGTCGTAAGCTAGCTCAATCCCTCGATTTCTATCAACTTCTGAGGCCTCCCTAATTTGTCTCGTCGTTTCGCATGACTGAACGGCTCCACTAATTCAACGATAGGTCGTCTTCGGTGATTTAATGAATGGACAACCTATCGCAAATGTTCACGCATCGGCAGTCAAATCGTTTTGCGCCTTTGGCGACGTCCTCTGTGGACAGCCCAGCATTATAATGCCGGGAGCTCATACTTCTTACGATGACGTTACACCTGAAGCGGCTGATTTTGTCAAGGAGAAACTATCGGTCTAGACTCGAGAGTTTCAAACGATCGCCTAGCCGAGGTTTTTCAGTGCATTGAGCCCGAAGTCAACTGAATCATCCCACAATCTGGCCTTTGTTTCCACAAGACTAGATGTTCTTCACAACCACACGTTCCTTTATGGGATTTAACATCCTACTTTCCCTTAATCGGAGTTCGGCCTAGAGTCTATGGGGCGCTTAAAGGTGTTAAATAGCGGCACAATGGGAGTCATGAAATCTTTTCGTCGCCTTTCATCAAGGCCAGCCATCACCATAACGTCAAAATTTTGATGCAATTGGTCAAACCCTCCCTTTCCTACCAAATACTCCCAACCCCAAGAAATCACAGCGAGTGTCCCGGTTGAAAGCTGACGTATCACTCCCTCCTACGATCTCTACTACTACTTCCAAACTATCAGCGCAAATCGTGGAATTCATTCCAGGCTCTTCATATACTACACCTCCCATCACATCGACAACACTCCCCTTGTCGCCCTTCACGTCCATCACTTCGACACCACCCCCCTTTCCGCTTTCTACGTATACTCCCACACCGCAAACCCCGCCTCCGGCGCCCCCACCAAGATATCAACCCCAAAACACCCCTCCTTCAGCTCCGGCCCCAGTTGCTGAAACACCTCATACCCGTTCCCGACCCCAGGCACCGACCGCCCCGCCAGACACGCGACCCACCCCCAAGGGCTCTTCAAATTCACCAGCGCCCCAGACTCGTAGGCCTGGAACCCGTCCACCTGAGACCCAGGCGGGATGTACGCCGAGTGCGCCTGGGTGAAGCCCAACGCGCCGCTGGGGTCGACGTACCAGCGCTGGCCGCCGGGGACGACGACGTCCTGGGGATGGGGGTTAGCGAGGCCATCGGCTAGTCCGTATGACACAGTGATAGGAGGGGTAATGGTATGGGGGTGACGGTGTACGTACCAAGCCGCCTTCTGGGTATACGACTGTGGTCGTGCTGTTGGGACACTTCGGCACGACGTCTTTCGGGCAGTATGTGCACGTCTGGCCGTAGTAGCCTGTATTGAATTTCTGGCTGCAGGCGCGCACAGGATAGCCGTTGAGTTCGGGGATCGTGGGGTTGGAGATGGTTAGGGAGACGGGGAGGGTGGTGATGGTGTTGAGGTAGAGGGTGCCGTTGGTACAGCTGGTTTTTTGTTTAGAGACGTGGGGTAGGGGTGAAGGGAGGATGGGCTTACTGGTACATGAAGGGGGAGTAGCAGGCTCCATTGCAGTATGAGAGGGGGGAGCCGTTGGTGTAGGGGCAGAGGAAGGACGAGTACCAGCAGACGTACTGGAGTATTTAGTAGGATCAAAGGAGGAGGGAGCAGGGACGCAGGGAAGGAGGAATTACTTTGGAGGGGTCGTAGTCTGTGGTTCCGCATACGCTTGCTGTCGAAGAAGTGATGAGGAGGGCTAGGATGATGATCGGGAAAGAAAATATCCGAGCCATGGTGAGCTTCGCAGGTCAAACGTCGTTGTCTGAGAGAAGAACTCTTGAATCAGTCTCTCCGAGTAGAAGGAGATTGCTGACAATATATAGAGCACTGAGACGCGGACGGAACCAACTTGTTAGGTGTACAAAGAATACGGGATATGAGTCCCCTTTGAGGCTTGAGTAATAATGTACCACGACACCAAGATCCGAAATCGATAAATATGATCATAGTGAGCAACCGGCAATCTTTGTACGAGCGGCGATCGAAGGACAGTGTGCTTGCCAAGTAATTGCGCTAGCCACTTCCAAGACCTAAGATGCTGCGATTGCGAGGACTTCGTGCCACTCGTGAGCATCCCCCTCGGTTGTGTCACTTAACAGGCGAGCACCAACGGTTGTGGGTATACTTAGGTGGAGCACAAAAGCTGCATTCGATCTATCATGTGCCAGTCTTTACCTCGAAATGGCCAGTCTTCAAAGTCGAATGAAGTCGGATGAAGTCGAATGGCGGAGAAGGAAATACAAAGCGCTCAAGGGAACAACTCGATGTATTCATGAGTGTGAATATAACTAATACATGAATGAAGGGCATGCTGACTTTCATTGAGTGAAAGAAACGGAGCCAACAGGCTACATAGGTTGGCTCTATAAACCCTCTCGGATCTTCGTTTCGTACGTCTACTTCATAGCGAAGTCAGACGCATCCTTCGCCTCACGGCTTCGGCACTTTGCACCTCTCGAACTTTCCCACCGTGTTTGACACACCCTAGTAGACGACAATGAGAATTGAGAAAGATTCTCGGACCTAAAGCCTCGACTTCGTCTCGAGTTTTACACTCCCGGCCTCCGGGAACTGCTTGCTCATGCACCAAACCGCGGTGACCAAGAGGGACAAAGTCCCCAAAGCAGCCGGGTACGTAACCTGGTACCCCAAATCGGTGCTCAGCGCAATCCACATCGGCCACCCCGCAATACCATGAGCTATCGCAAAACTAGACGAAATCAACGGCAGAATCGCAATTCTCGCCACACCTTTCAGGTGCGGTCCCATGACATGCACCAGCGATGCTCCCACCATCGGCGCAATAGCATTGATAGCCGGAAACCACAACGGAAAGCCGCCGATGGTGAAAGGCTGGTACCCGTAGTACGTGTACACGCCCATGTACAAGGCGGGGTACTCGAGAATCAGGTTCGAGATCCAGCTCTTCAACCACATGCCCCAGATATCGCGCTGGGTGGTACCATCCTCTTCGAACATCGTCCAAAACCAGTAGCCGATGCCGCCGACGTACCAGCCGTAGGTAGTGGGCACGAAGAGCGGGATCGGGCGGTTCATCCACTCGAAGATGATCCAGTTGCCTTCGCGGGGAAAGTAGCAGAAGCCGAGGACGTCGACGAACGGCTCGAAAGAGCTGGCGATAATGCCGCCGATGGAGAAGAGGAGGCACGTGGCGTTGCCCTTGAAGAGATTGCGAAGGGCGATGAAAGCAAGGTAGGCGAAGGGGATCTGGGTGAGGATGGTGAAGACGAGTTGTTCGGTTTGTGGCATTACCATGCCTTCTGGCGGTCGGCTAGTAGTTTCTGGGACGAACATGATGCTGGAAGATGGGGTAGATTGGAGCGAGGAGGTATGAGATTTTGAAGAAGAGAAAGTGTTCGAGATATATGACAGTGTGGGATTCAGCCGCAGTTAGAATATACCTTGCGAATGCTCTGGGGTGTTACTCGCGCTCTGAACCTATGCAGGCAGTCGGCGTAGACGTATCCTTCCGTCCTTTTTATCCAGATCCTGCAGTATTGTGCATGTGAGATTACATCCTTAGGCCGACTGCAATAGGCAAAAAACCATGCACTGGTTGCTGGTTAGATGGACGTTGGCAGATCGATCTCCCGAAGCCCGCATACTCATCCCTCCGGCCCAATGACGATCCTGCGGAAGTAATGGCGTATAACACCTGCGAAGAAAATCCGGGGAACTGTATCTTAATGCGCCCGATATAGTGGGCCCGTGTGATTTGTCAAGCTTCACTACACATCAACACCCATTTGTGCAATCAAGGTAGGTCACAATGCGCATCCCAAAGGACCGAAGCAAGAACGTGAAAAAACAAGACAAAGAGTCTAGACTTCGGCCCGTGGTTCGTCTGTACTACATACAGATGCTCTCACTCTTTAGTGACGTCGGGAAAGAAAAACAACCCTTGCGAATCAGCACCCAATATGACAAATGCCAAACACCGTCAAAAAGAAAAAAAATAGGCCCGCGACGCTCACATACCTAAAGCCACCGGTTCGTCCCGTGGGAGCACGGTGCAGCTAACAGTTGCGCAGTAGATTTGTGGCTACCGAACGACTGAACCAACATAATGACACTGCAAGATCTTTACGACTCCAACTCCTGCGCAGCAGGCCTCGGAACTTGACTTCCGCCTGCTTCCTGGAGCTCTTCTCTGGGATCAAAGGCCTCGTGCAGACCTTGGCCGGCGTCGTTGAAGACAGCTGCCACGTCTCCAGTCGGTGCCTGGCCCTCGACCGGTTCGTGGGAAGTGGAGGCACTACGTTCTAGTAGGTGAATGCCAGCTTCCGCGTCATCCGAAGCAAGATGCGCGGGGCGTATCTTCGAAGGGCATTTGGGGAAGTATTGGTAGGCAACAAAGGCCGTGGCACCTGAAAGCAGCGGAGCATATGCTGTCATAATTTCGAGGATTGAGAGGGTTGACAGAGAGAATACGGCCACCAAGAGAGCGTCGACAATTATGCATGTGAGAATGTATGTCCCCCGCTTTTCCGAGCTGATTCGATAGGCTTGGAGACTGATGAAGGTGACGAAAAACCCAGCCCAGATACCGTAAACTCTTCAACGGGCGTTAGTGTCGTTCCACCTCGACATTAGTGATGAGACATACGAGTAATAAGCTGTTTTCTCAACTTGTGGGTCATCGTGAAGGGCAACAAGTGAGAATCCAGAAAGGGCAGACACCCCTCCTGATATTGGCTGTGCAATCCTCGCGAATCCTTCCAACCTCCCTTGTGCCAACACGATTGGACAGGTTAGAAGGCACAAGGTTGTGCATGAAAGCAGCGTTTTCTGCAGAGATGACAGCGAGACACGACCGCTTCCGCAACCGTTAGTAGATCTGAAAGATGAAGTAAGCTGTACTGCTAAAGTAGTATGGGGTGGAGGTAGCTACCCTGTACGGAATGGCTGAATACCACAATGTAAGCCACATTTGGCTGTCGTCGTCATTTCAGTCAAAGCTCGCATTGAAAGATTGTCTTGCCGAGCCTCTGCTACCAAGAGGGGAAATGGAACCGCCTTGAGGGCCAGGATATCATGTAACAAAGACGATGTCCTATTCATCCTGGCCTGTAGAGCGCGCGCCCTCACTAAGTAGCGCTCTGACTCCTCGAGTGCTTCAAAGTAGTCAACGGTATCCACGTTCCCGCAGTCAATGAGACCAGGTAGCATAGATGATGCTCGCAAGCATTTCCTTACAAGGCTGACCTTTTCTAGGAGGATTCCTGACTCCTCAAATGCTTCAGTACAGCCATCGACATCGAAACGTTGGTGTTCAAAAAGTGGGAACTTTCTCCGCCGATGATCCCAGGTGTCATCGGTGTTCTTCTGGCGTACTCCGTATGGGCAGGATGGAGATTTCTGGGGAATTCTCCGGCAACGTGCCTCTTCACAAGGGACCTTGTCAATCAAGAATTCGAACATGCCCGATTTCGCCAGTGCAGACGCAATATCGCCTCGCTGCAATGTCCGACGCTTGTTTTCTTCAGCGTAGATCCATGCACGCATAGTGAGCTCGGTAATGAAGATATCGCAGCCTTTAGCAAACAAGATCGGAGGGTCAGCCGATGTCATCTTGACTTCTGGGTCAGCCTTCATCACTTTCTTTATCCGCGCCAGAGGGAGCTGGTGCAACTTGTAGTCTTGCTCGCGAATATCCAGCGTCGTGACCTCCTGCTGCCAGTACGTAGAGATGATATCCCCATACTGTCCATTCCATCCCTGATTGACCTAGCAAAGGGTTAGAAATCCGCCAATATGTGAGGATGCCGAGCTTGTACATTCTCTAACAGTTCACCCAAGCCATTGTACGTGTTGACCATCACAGACATCCCCGGTGCTGAATTGGGCAGCTCTGGCGAAGCCGTGCTGAAGCCCGTCGCCAATTTCGATATAGTAATTAGAGCGAGTACCGCGTCGAGTATAGCTCCTTTCAGGTTGTGTCGTAGGATGTGTATAACCTTGGATAGATACAGTATGAGCGTCGGTCGGATGGGGTCTATATTTGGGAGACGTCGCGTAGTCGTGGTAGAGGACTTCGAGGGTCACCTCAACGAGCCTTCGTCTTGTCAGCTTGTTGCTTTTGTTCACGGAAAACTAGGTGGTAAATAGCTGTTCTCTAACTTTTATATGGCCTGCTGGAGGTGGTTCCTTGTCAACTCTGCGCGGTCGGTCCCAAGCAATGGCGGATGGATGGTTTCGTAGCTAGCCTCGTCCCTCGAAGAGGAGGGTGTCGAAGCCCAACGCTCATGCTCAGCCACTTGCCACGTCGGCAGTGCATATTCATCACTTGAGCCTCAGCCTTGACACTCCGAACCTCAACTCCATCTCTTAACACCCTACTGTGCGAACAACGTCCTAAAGGTAGCTTCGCAATTTCGGTCCTCGTCACCACTCAGTCTTGACTACTGGCAACGTCGGCGATCCGTATCATCTCTTAAGTCTCAGCCTTGACACTCCGAACCTCAACTCCCTCTCTCTCGGCTTTGCCGTCGAAGAAACTTGAAGCAGCGTCCTAGACTTAGCTACGCAACCTCGCCTATCGTCGCCGACTGACAATCCAGGAAAAGCGGCCTCAATCGCATATTGCCTAGACTAGAATTGGAAGATATTCGATAGGTAGGTGACTAGGACTGGTGTCCTCAATGGGTGGTTTTGGTGATGATGATGAAAGACACAAAAGACATCGAGACAGAGAGCTAACAAGGTGGAGAATAGATCATCCGCTATCTCGCGCCCTTCGGTAGAACGGCCCTGGCGCCATGCCCTCGTTAGCTAGACTCGGCACCGCGCCCAACTGCCCCGATGACCTTTGGTTTTGCTGCCAGTGCGAGTATGGTCCGCAAGTCACTCAAGTCAATACCTCTTGCCTTTCCTGTGGACACATTGGCTGCTCGTCTTGTATGTGCGATGTCTGCGGAAAATTTCCCCCAGAATCACCTACGACCGATGCACCTCTGAAGAGCTCATATCACAAGGACTTCTCCTGTTATAATGCGCACTCTGGACCTGATGAACATGGGGTGCTATACTCTGAGTCGGTTCCGTATCCTAGAAACCCCTATGCTCGCCTTGTAGCACCGCCACCATACCGCAAGACATATCTCTCGCCATGCCACAGTGTTCCGACGGCAGAACAGGCTTCGGATCGTTCGCCATACCACAATGCTTTGAAGGCAGAAGAGGCTTCGGAGCGAAGCTACCATGACAAAATTGCTGTTGTCGGGATGTCTGGTCGCGTCGCAGATGATCCTAGGCCCGAGGAGTTCTGGGACCTCCTCAAGAAAGGTATGGATTCACCGATGACGCCGGCCTACCGATTAGATACAGAAGCCTGCTGTGATCATTCAGGCAAACGGAAGAATGACAGCTGCGTTCCGTACGAATGCGGTGTCGACTTCTACACTACTCGAATACCTCCTCGTGATGAGAACGTCGGCGCCGAACGAAGAATGATACATATATCATCTCTGAATGCATGGTCCTTGGGTTGTATTCTTTCGGAACTTGGTGCTAGCATAGTCATGAGCGTCCACTATGAAGCTGCTTCCACCCGAGGAGCTCAGGCATGGCGACACCAAAACCGCGATACGAGCTGCTTCCTCGATCTGCTTCGAAAGTTTGGCTTGTTGTCAGACCAAAAACTGAATGTAATTCATTCCTCGCACTGTAACTTCTACAGTCTAACAGCCTCACAGTCCTCACTATCCGCCCACCTCGGGGCTTCCTTCCTTACTAACATCGGCCCCAAAACATTTGTCTCTGCCAGCGGGATATACATTCTTACACTCATGGTGTACTGGCACCAACACAAGCAAGACATTCACAAGCTAAAGTTTGCCGCCGGAGGCGTAGCCGCAGCCTTCGTGCTAGGATTTGTTCTAGACGAACCTATGAAAGGCATTGTGGTGGACTACATGCCTTGGTGCATCTTAGTCGGGATTTCACTGAGCTCAGTGTATCATTACGCTGCCAGGAAGATGTCCGAAAACAGCGAAGACGTCGAAAAGGGCAATATCTTACTTGAAGTTGGACCCAACTGGCAGATTGATAGCGAGCAGAAGGTGGCACTGGGAATGGACAGCCCATGTTCTTGCTCGGACTGCTTCCACGAAGCTCCTTGTCCGTAACTCGTTGAAAGCCATGTGTTATTGGTGGGTAGGTGGGTGGACTTCGTTCTCCTCGTCGAGATACCGCCCTTGGCTTTGCTTGGTAGACAAGATAGTGCCCTTTGGCATGACTTTCGGTGGATATGATCCATATGTCTTCGCTTTTGATTGCGTCGCAGTACCCTGTCAGGAAACGATGGAGCTCATTCGCATTTCTTGATTCTCGCAGTTTCTTATATTCAAACTCTCTATCAGTGTCGCTGTACAAGGCAGTATTTAGGATCTTTCAATTCATCTATCCACACGCTTTCGGGAGTCCTGGATTATGTTATTTCGCTTTCATGATTGTACGGGTGCCGTATTGATAGTATTATTGTTGTTTCCTAGAAACATGCACGTTATCACTTAAGCTAACCCGACCCTCAACTTCCTGACCCGCGTCATCGACTTCCGACTCCGACAGGATAGTATCTTTTGAGCTCAGTCTAGCTCTGTGTCTGCGAGCCCACCCCTCCAGTATACGGCTATACTGATTTTCCGTCTCGGTGAGATCTCAGCGCTCAAACGCCACGGCGACCATGATTCCGCCCAACGCTCTCTCATTTTCCACCCTGGTAGTATATTCTAGCAGTTCCCGGCATTTGAGTACTCTCCTTGTGGACCGTATAGCCTTTCTTCCCGTGCAAGGTATTCCTCCCGGCTGAGACGCATTCCGTTGACGATATACCCCCTGATCTCCATCCTCGGCATAGGCTCTTTTGCTTCCTGCAAGGCTCTGAGCTGAGCCTCGACCTCTTCTACTTTATTCAACATCTCACATAGTTGGGCCATGGTCATGACGAATTCCGCGTCCTCGCTTCCCAGTTCGATATCGCACGTCTCATCCTTGGCGAAATCTCTGAGGCGGATCCGGAGGGGCTCATTGGCTGTGGGGCTACCAGTATTGTCGCGAATCTCCTATTACAATGTCAGATGTATTCACCATTTGCGTAAACCACCTCCTTACCTGGTCTTTGAGTTCTGCAGTTACCACTAGTTCGTCGTCGATGAGTTGCCTCCTCCAAACGGAAATTGTGGCCGTCCGGGTGGCTTCATCTTTGAGATCAATGCCGACGACTACTTGGACGGACTCATTAGAGCGCAACAGATATTTGACGGCCATTTTCTCCAGGTTCTTGGGTGGTTGCTTGTATGCGACTTCGATGATTATGGAAGGTATACGATCCCCCTTGCGCGCGCACTGAATGTCGGGTGAGAAATAGGTACCATCTCGCAAGGTGATTGTAGCGTGCCCTATGTCGATTATGGCGCTAGCAAATTTTTGGACTGTCTCGCTGGCAGCGTGTGTGCAAAGGTCGCTCCTCCACCGATACAGCTCCGTATCCAGCCTCCTGATGAAAGACTCGCCGATGTTCGTAGGCCTACGGACGGCATATTCCCGGGTCTGAGTATCGTACTCGTCGCTTCCAGAAGTTAGTGAAGGCTAATGCTGGTATGGTGTAGGAAGACGCCTTACCGAATCTTGTCTTGATAAAATCCCCAGGATTCCGAGCTCTCGAGGCGTCGCTGTAGCTCGTCGAACTCCCCTTCAACAAACTGGAACTGGGTCCACGCCTCTTTATGGCTATGTGTCCCTTCGTCGATTTGCTCAATCCACTGGACTATCTGATCAACGAACTGGAACTTCTCATTGCCGGCAGGCGGAGTCGGTGGCTGGGCAGGCGGCGGCGTGATCTCTCGAGACGCGCCGGCGACGGCGGAGGTAGACGTAGACATATTGATAAGTGGGTGAGGACTGCCGGTGATAGAAGGTATGTGTGGTGGAGCTTGAAGAGGAGGATGTAAAACCCAACGTTAAGCGATGAGCGGAACTGTTTATATAGCTAGGCCGCCTCTGTCGCCCGGCTACGTTGTAAGCCTTCTCCAGTGAATAGAGTGTCTACTGCGTTCGTTGAGCTTCTAGTAGTTTCTGCTTGGATGGAGAAATGGGGCGTAGGAGTGAGTGGGTGAACGTACATGTTCGAGGAGCATTTCACCATGAAACTTCCGCGCTTCGGGACCTCCTTCAAACATCAACTGAACCCCTATCCCCTTTGTTTCCCCAGGCTATCTTAACCAGAGTCGCGGCAATATTATATTAGTGGAATGTCCAATGACTACAGCATTGGTTCCTATTGCATTATAGACGACAAGCCCCGGAACAGTCTTAGCATTCTTAAAACTTCCTTTATGCACGACATGGCAATCACTATAATGCACTATCTAGAGATAACTAAGATAATGGAGCATTATTAGAGAGGAGGTGTTATAGTTAGAAGCTTAGGCTGCTTTATAAAGGGAACGACACTCAAGAAGACTGGTGGCTAGACCCTAGCTATCTATAGTCAGCGTCACCCAAAAAGAAGCCTTAACCTTAAGTGGTTCCTGACTTACCAGCTGAATCCAGTATGGAGTCCAAGTACAGCCCAGTACGCCCGAATTATCTTTCACAGGAACACTGAAGTAGCTCCGCACGTGACCCACTCCATAAGTCACGTGCCTAAGAGCATGAAATTGATAACTTGCAATAGCATCCCCTAGGATATGTCTTAAGACCTTCATGTGAGTGATGATTCGTACCTATATACGCACACACTCCATAATGATTGCAAGCAACCAGCGACCTGCACTAGGTAGCGCTTCTCTAACCAACTCCAATACCCACCAAAATCAGTCGACTCAATCCTTTCGCAAACACGTCTTTACTCACTCATCCCTCTTACTCCGTCACTTCGTGGGACTAACCGCTTCATAGATTCATACCAATCAGTCGCTACACGCAGCTCTACTATCAAGCACCCAGCGACCCGCGCCAGCGCCATCAAATCACACACCTCCGTTCCCCGATCTCCTACCTCCTCCTCTCTTCCCCAACATCCGGCAGCCCAAACACCCTACACCCCTCCACCCCCCTACAACCCCCCAGCCCTGCATTAAACCTCCGATCCCCAAACACGACCCCCTTTCCCCCAAGCACCCACTCCGCACCCCCCGCCTCCCCCGCCCTCCGCGGCGCCACAACCCACCCCCTCGCCAGCGCCTCAAACTCCCCCGCGCCCACGGCCACCGGCACCACAACCCTCAGCCCGCCCGCCATCTGCTTCACCGGCAAAAACACCACCCCCAACCCCCCCCCCCCCCCCCCCCCCCCCCCCCCCCCCCCCCCCCCCCCCCCCCCCCCCCCCCCCCCCCCCCCCCCCCCCCCCCCCCCCCCCCCCCCCCCTCCCGCCTCCGCCGGCAGCCCCACCGGCGTCGGCACCACACTCGCCTCGCTCTCGCCCGCCGCCCACGGCACGCCATACGCCACCAGCGTCGCCAAGAAATTCACCACCAGCGTCGCCGTGCCTCGCCCCTCGGGACTCCGCACGTGCGCGCCCAGGTCGACGTACGGGTTAAACAGCATCGCGAGCGCCTCGGGCGTCAGCAGCGGCGGCGGCGCGCCGATGGCGAAGCGCCGCGCGACGTCGAGCGTCCAGCCGACGCCGCAGAAGAGCGCGCAGGCGAGGGTGGCGGCGAAGGCGTGGGCCATGCTGGCGGCCCGCGGGTGGTGGTGCGGGTGCGGTGGGGAGGGAGTGTGGGTAGGGGGTTGCCAAGATTGCCACATGTTGTACGAGGTGATGTAGGTGGCGATGCAGGTGTCGATGAAGAGGGTGGCGCGGGCGAGGTGGGCGGGCCATTGGAGGTCTGGGGGCGGCGGGTGGTGGTGCAGATGCGGAGGTGTGGGTTGTTGGAGCTGGGGTTGGTGGTGGTGGGGGAAGGAAAGGAAGTTTAGGGGGAGTTGGATGAAGTCGCTGTGGCCGTCGTGGCCGAGGTGGAGGGTGGCGTTTAAGCGGGGGAAGTGAGGGAGTTGGGAGCCGGCGGAGACGATGTCGAGCTGGGTGGGACGGCGGAGCCAGGAGGGCGTTGTGGACGGGTTGGAGTGGGTGGGTATGTGGGAGAGATAGGGGTTGTCGTTTTGGGAGGGCGAGGGGGGTGATGGCAGCCGTAGAGGTGGGCCGGTTGTGCATAGAGTTACGGGATCGCGTGCTGCAAGGCCGACGAGGAGAAGGGCGTGGAGGCAGACATCTTCAGTAAAAGGGGGGTCGGTGTGTTTTTGTGGTCTTAGGGCTAGGGGGAGACCGGCTGTGTTGAGAACAATAGAGACTTTATCTCTATTGGCGTCGAGAGCTCTTAGGCGCTCAGGGAGGCGTGGATTACCCCCTGCTTTCATGCTGAAGACATCAGCCATCATCGTCACCAGGACGATGGGCTCTGGTAGTGGCGGGAGATCCGCCCCTGGATTTTGAGCTAGAAACGCTTCCTGTTCGTATATGAGTGACCTCCGGGCAAAGAGTTGTTGAAGTGCCGTTTTTCGTGCTTGGTGATCTGGTAATATTGCAATTACCTCGCTAGATAGGGTCAGCATGTGCAGGAAAAACGTCCCCGTAAACCTGATGAACGTATACGGTTCGTCTGGACTCGCCGCTCTGCACGGTACAAGAAATACATGCGTCCGTCCTAGCCTCATCTCATGCCCGCACCACGCCCGTTCAAACCATACCGAGCTTAGCACCCGTGCGAAAAACGAAGCAAAAGCAGGCTGTGTGTGCATAAACGGTGGCCGCTGACCCCAGTTCGGCTGCGTGGTTAGTGGTTCTGATGCGTTCTCGTACGCCGGGATATAGTGCTGCAGAAAAGTCACCTCTTCCGGGTCTGCCTCAATGTCGTCGAGCGCAATGACCACGGTCCGGGCATTCTTATAGATTGAATCCATAGCCCCAATAGAAACAGCCTTCTCATCCTCGTCGTCCTGGTTGATGCAGACCTGTCGAGTATCAAAGTCAGCTGGCCCCCATCACCAGAGCACAAAAAGAACCCCTCTCTCCTCAAATCCACACAGACTCAAATCCATCACCAGAAGCCCCTCGGCCCTGAATGTAAGAAAAAACGGAACACCCACCTGATCAAACCACACCCCCTCCCTCCTCCCCCCCTCCACCCCCCTCTCCCCCAAAACTGCCGCAAACATGCCCTCACTCGTCGGAATCGGGAACCGCTCCACCGTCCGCACCCACCCAAACGGCAGCGCCCCCGGCCTACTCTTCTCCCGCATCGGCACCGCACCCCTCACCTTCTTCCGCCAGCAATAGCTCATCGCCACATAGCCCTGCTCCTCCTCGTCCCGCGCCCTCTCCCCGGCGCCCGCCCCCTTAACTTTCCCCTCATTAACCAGCCGAAACGTCAGGTCCGGCAGCGCGGCGCTCTTCGGCGCAAAGAGGTCCGCGACGCCCGGCGCGAGCGCTTGCAGGTTCGCGAGCAGCTGCGGGCCGGAGAGCTGGGGGCGGACGCCCCAGGGGTGGCGGGGCACGAGCAGCGCGGCGGTGGCGGCGGGCGAGAGGACGTGCACGGCGAGGCGGGACGTGTCGAGCGCGGCGGGGGAGATGTGCACGAGGGAGAGCTGGCCGTGGCGGGCGAGGGGGGGTTGGGTGGACATTTGGGCCTGTGATGGTGCGCGTCCGGTAGAATAGTGTGGTTGGGGCGGTGGGATCCAGCTCCGGGTTGTCCGTAGCGATTGAGTGCTTTGATGATTGATGGATTGATTGCTTGGATGATTGATGGATTGATATGGGGGTATAGAAATTGTTTTGAGATTTCTTTCTTCGCACACACGTGCCGTCTTCGTGTTCGACCTCAGCTTCCTTGCGCGCACCGGTGAGGATTGGCGGCCAGGGCCTGGGGGGTTACTTAGGAGTAAGTCATCCGGGATGTATGTGGGGCAGAGGATCTGGGTAGCTCAATTCATAGAAGTGGGTATGAAGAATTGGTGTTCAGGACTCAAGCATCGGTATTAGACGACATGGCAATCGAAGTGTGGTGGTTGAGGAGAACGGGAAGGCGTCTCAAAGCTGAAACTTGATGTACCGGGGCCGGGTAAAGTTGCTTTTTCTGCTTTTTCGCTCGCGCTCCAGATCGGAGGGGCTGGCTGGTGGCGTCTTAGGAATAGTGGGGTACCTAACTCTTTTGCAACTCCCAAGCTGAAGCTCGACGTTTGTTTTTCTTGCACGGAATGCCTGAACGGGAATGTGCAGTTTCTAATCAAGTGCAGCGTAATATTTTTTGAACCAATAGACTAGTTGTATTGCAGAGTGCAGACTCAGGCAGTGCCGCAAATCGACTGCGACTTGCTCAAGCTCAACTAGGTGCTAATCGACGAACGCCAGTATTAGTATCCAAACCGAAAGAAGACCACCACGGAGACTGAGTCGTTACTATTGCCAAAATACACTCTACGTTCCAAACTGCCAAAGCTTCCCACAAAGACTGGGTCAGCATAGACAGATGTCCATACGGATAGCTTTGCAGCAATCGATGAGCAAGAAGCCGCCGTCCAATCCACCGCCCAAGAAAATCTGAAGAAACGAAAGATGTCCGAAAGAATGAAGCGAAACCAGTCAGCCGTCTACGAAGAGAGCCGAGATTTAGATACGGGCCGTGGCGAGCTTCGCACAAGCTGTTTCCCCATTGGAGTCGTATCAGGATCGGGTTTGTTCTGCCTTCTTCAATCAATTAGTCTATCAATCATGACCAATCAATTGATCTATCAATCAATCTTAGCTGTCTCCAACCTCGAGTTCGGACTCGTGAGTACGTTGGATAGGCGCAGGTTCTTTCGCTTATACTTGCTGTGCTTACGCAGTCGCTTTCGGGCGACCATGACAGGCACAGACGATTTGGTGACGAGGTAGTTGCTGAACGAGCCAAGGAGAACGCTGCATTGCATTAGTACATGAGTAACCGAGGGAAGACTTCCAGTACGTACCCCTTCAAGGCACTTCGGCCCCTTGAGCCAAGAATAACGAGTGTGGGTTCCAAAAAATCGATCTTTTATATACATTAGTATGATAGTTCAGGACAGTATCGTGTGGGCAACTCACAACTTCCGTAAGCATATGCTTCGGGCTCTTGCAGTGAAATACTTCCACGACCACTCTGACTTGCAGCCGAGTCTTCCGGAGCAGTTTTACACACCGATCCGACACTTCCACAGCAGCTTGGTACCGCTCCTTTTCTGTTTTCTGCATATTCTTGAAATTAGGCTCCGAGTGCGACATGCTATTGTTCAGTGGCGACGGCCCAGGGCTGAGACCTCCCTGAATGGGTTGCTGACTAGACAGCGTCTTCATCAAGGAAGCCGTCTCTTGCTGTGCAGTTGCACCCTGTCCGATGCCAACACCTGCTTCTGCACCGGTGCCCGTGTCCTCGTCGACAGCGTACACAGCGAGAAGGGTATCGCCATCTCTCAAGACGGTGCCAATCGTCCATTCCAAAGCGTATGCAGCTTCCTCGCTGACATCAGTAGCGACGAGATAGACACGTTGGCGTCGCAAGCCAGCCTCGGCATCTTCCTGGAATTTACGCCAGTTACCCCGAACGATTTGACGAACACATCGATGAGCCTCCGGACTCGAATCAATCGGTGAGATGGACATTGACATCATTTGCGCCGTCTTGATCTCAGACAAGTCGGCCTCAGTGTCCGAACTCATCGGGGTCGAAAGACCTGATCCACCGCCTTGGTCAAAGTTGGTATGCGGATGAACTCCAGACTTCCCCTTGGTCATCATCCTTTCCCCGTCTGGTGGAGTGACGGTCACTTGGGGGTCCAACAACGACCGGACCTTGTAAACCTCCTTGCCAACTTCAATGCGCTCATCCTCAGCCGCAGCCAGTAAACTCTTGGGCGACTTCTTCTTCCCTGGGTCGCTTTTAGCTTTCCCTGTAACACGGCTACGTCGCCGTCCTCGGCCTTTTTCCGAGCCCCAGCGATCGCTATCGCTCCCATCTGAATCAGCGTCATCGGCACTGCTCTCCACCGCACCTTCATCGCCATCATTCTCATCATCAATTGCCAGCCTCACTCCGCCTCCGGGAGCCAAAGTTTCTCCCCTCGTTGGGTCAGAACCTTTTCGAACCGGTAATTGCGACAAAGTACCACCAGAACGCATCAGGGCAGCGTCAGACAACCTCCGATAGGCAGATTGCATATCCATGACCTTGCCAGAGTCGAGGAGGAATTTATTTGGGTCGGGCATCGGGTTGAAGGAGTTGGTGTTGAGTCCCGGGGAAGCAGACCTGCCGGCGTGCGGCGAGCTGGACTTCTTGCCCAGCAGACCGCCCGTCGAATTGTGTCGCGCGTTTTTGTCTCGCGATGTGCCTAGTATGTCTGTAGAGTGGCCGTAGACTGAAGCCATGGCGCTATTCTTTGGCTTTTTCCCGCCCTGTGTGACTCGCAGCGGCATCGAGCGCGCCTCGATCGTCGGCATCATGTCGAAATTGTAGGCCGATTCAGGGTTCGTGTTTGCACTGTCTATGGCGTTATGGACCATCGGCGGCGGCGATCCAGGCACGCGGTTTGGGCTTCGCGGTGGAGAGCTGGGATTGAGGATACTGCCGGAGCCCACTCTGGGGCGGGTGATTCCTGCGCCTTGTCCCGCGACGGAAGCAGAGCGACCAGATGCAGGGCCAACGTCTAGCATGCTCCGTGGCGGATGGGGGCCAATGTCGAGCATGCTGCGGACTGGCGACGCAGCAGCAGCAGGGCTCTGTCCTCGAGCACTGGGACTGTCTGTCCGCTTGGGTCGGGGCACCGAAGGCCTTCCCTCGAGCAGGGCCATGACCTCCCTCCTCTCCTCATCGAGAGCCGATTCGAGCGACATGGCGGGTGTAGAAAGTTCGCGTGGCGGGGTACGAGGGCTCTAGCAAGGCTGTCGGAGAGTTCCGACGACTGCTCTGGGGGGCCCTGAGGCTGTTTGGAGGTGTCGTAGTGAATGTGATAGTCGAGTAAACGGTTGTAGCGGCACGGGAGCTTGCTGTAGTTCCGGAGAGAAAGGCGGCGGTACTGCGGCGGGTCGTTTGCGGGTGTGGAGTGACTGCGTGGCAGGGAGGGGCTCGTATCGCGAACTGTGAGTCTGTCCGTTACTGCATCATCGAGAGAGCTTTCGACTCAGCGAAGGGTGAATGCTAGCGGTTGCTAGCAGAGCTCTGGGTAGCAATGGTCCGGCTAAGGCACTATTATTCAAGACTGGGTCAACGAGGGCGGGGGGCTCCCAGGGCTGAGGGCATGCGCGTGTTAGCCGCTGTCGGAGAACAGAGGTTGTCCAGTGCTGGATGAGAACGACATAGAGAAGCTGGGGGCGGCGGAGGCAGAATGGCGGGAGTCAGAACAGGCGGGCGTAGTGTCGGGCAGATAGTCGTCGTCGTCTTTGGACCTAGTCGCAGCTCCCGGGCACGGTGTTGAGGGAGGGGTTAGTCGCTTCAGCTCTTGGCACCATGCAGGAAAAGGAACGCTCAACCCGAGCCATGAAGCTTTAGGGAAGCATTTCACGAGCATTTTGAATTGGTATAGGCCTGAAAGAGCTTCATTTATTACCGTTGGTACACACTAGCAGCAATATAAAACACACTGGATACCAGGCCCCAGCATTCACATTTACAGCGTCAAGCAGCCTCCGGTTATTCCCGGCAGCCTGGCGGCATATCTCTTGGCTATAGGCATATTCGGATCTGATATCGAGGGTAATGCCGAGACTTCTCCTTCACGTAATGCTTATAGATTCCGGTAAGCTGTGTTACAAGCGTCGATGCATCTGGGTAGCCATTAATTTTTCTGATAAGTTGAATCGTACTGAGGCTGGTGAGTCTAGCTGTATTGGTTGGTAAGAGAATCGTTGAACACTGTACAGTACAAAGGGTAGGTGCAAGGCTAGATCTCGGAATTAGACGTGGGAATGGAGTGAACATTTCTCAATGCATCACCAAGACCTGCCTGTGAATCTTTTCACTCCAACCCGTGAAAGCAGAGTAAACGTACTCAAGCTCCGAGTGTGAACTCAATAACAGCACGCGTTTCCCACGTGCCCTGATAAGACGAACATTTATGTATATTTACAGCCACCAATTTTCCAAGACACCAGAATGCCCCACTCCAAGTATAATCACCAGAATCCCACGCCCTTACCGCCTGATGCCCAACTTCAAATTCGCTCGTGCTGCCACACCCTGCTTGTGAATCATGCCCCTCTTCTCCCACACACTGCTCTTGCCCTCCACAACCGAAATGATTTCTTCCGCCAGTCTCAACGCGAATCCGCCCTTGCCACTTCCCCGATTCTTCCGCTTTGTCGCAGCTGCGAGGATCCACTCGACGGCAATTCTTCTTCGCTGCCGTAGACCCAGAGGCACAGGGATCTGTAAAGCCACACCTCCACCAGCCGCACCCTTCTGCGACCTGATACGGAGAAGTGGCGCGATCGAGTCAATGGCGAGTGTGAGGTAGAGCGTCGGGTTTAGAGGAAGATGGGAAGGAGGCGGGCTTCCGGGGAGAAGCGGTCTTAGTGGAGAGATAGTCGGAGGAGGAGAGGTCCGGAGGTGGGTGAGAATTAGGGCCATATTCTATGATATAGACAGCTGTTAGCTCAAATCAACCTAGCAATGAAGACCCCGTTCTCTTGAATAGTGTGATTGTGATAGATGACTATTGGCGTACCCGTTGCGCGACACTCAGCTTCCCGTGCTCCATAATCAGATTGGTGAACAGCTTCACCGCAGGGTCATAACGATACTTCAAATGCGCATCCGCTGGGACTGGCAGTGTGGGTAGCCCAAACTTCACGCCGGGAGGCATGGAAGCCAGTGGTGGTGGCATCTCCGCGTGGATGAGTCCCTCGGTTTGAAAGTCGCAGCGCCTGGCGGAGGTGGAGAAAGACCGCGAGCCTTTGGGTCCATGGCTCTTGATGCTATCTTGCATCACCTTCGGGAGTTTTGATTGCGCTTCCTTATCGTCTTTCACGATCTATATTGCATTGGTCAATTGCATATTCCTCCGGCAAGCAGATTGTATTGGGGAAACGCACCTCTTCTACCGGCGTTCCCTGCTCCAGCTCAGGGCCTTTCGAACCTGTTATATCAGCCGTCTTGGCCGCCTCCTCACTGACGCCACCCAATGGCTGAGTTGTGGGGTCCTTGGATCGGTCTGCTCCCAGGGTGTCTTTCGAGTCGGAGTAGTTGCGATATAGTGGTGATGTCCTTGTCAGGGCGCCATTGCGTAGGGAAGAGGCGGCAACCTTTGGTCGGTATGCGATTGTTCGCGGAACAGTGAGGAGGTTTAATCGGGGAGGCATGATGGGACGTGTGTGGTCGTGGTCTAGGAGACGGGTGCGATGAAGATTCCTAGACGTCCAAATTGACGAGGTCACGTGCATCACAAGATGATGCCATGACTTAAATATATAGAACAACGGACAAAGCTGATGGATTGTAGAATTCACGGTTTTTCTCAAGTAGATAACAAAACTGTCAGAGATATCAACGATGGCACTGGGAGGGAAGGAAATCTCTTTGATGGTCACATGATGCGTGCTTGGCAAATACGCATCTCCAGCTTCGTTCAATCTTGGAATCGCCGAAGACCTTTTCCGATCAATTGTACACGTATGTTTTATCTTACCTCAGCACCACTGCCTCAAGTCCATTCCTATCATACTCGAGCTTTATCCAGCGGCAAATCTTTCGTCTCCAACTCTCTGCGATCTAGTTCACGATGTCGCAACGAAACCCTACTCGATGTTGACCATAAACGGGGATACGAGGCTATTTCGTACAGTTTGGGTTCTCAACATTCTCGCACGACCTATCGTGCGATGGAGGACGGTCTAGCTTGAACATCGCACTCATTGCAGACCTGTAGCTTGCGTGGGCTGGCCCTGTCCTCACAATTAAAGCTGTCGAGAATTCGAAGTGCAAACCTCAACGTTCCGAGGTGCTTCATTGTGGTTCAATGAGAATATTCTATCTGCAAATGGCATCAATCCAAATCCGTCGAACACTTGCTTTCTTTCGCAGGCGTCTTAGCAAGACGCCTTAGAGGGCGTTCCGAGTTACATACGAATGGTCTACCTGCTTCCTAGAGGGACGGGGCAGCGATTAATCTTGGACCAGAATCTCGCGTTCTGTGCCTTATGGCCTCAGATTACAGCCAAGCTACCACTTGACAGGAACAGCAGTTTGTCGCGTGCACGCTCGTCGTGGCATAATAACTTAGCAGCCATCGACCTCTACAGAGAACACTTTGCCGAGATTCTCATGCGGGCGCTCAGTTCCCATTTTCTCTTCGTTTCTCCACATCTCCATGCTTTAGCGGGGATTTCACGCCGCAGGCACTCGGGTTTCCATCTTCTCCCACTTCTCCACATCTCCACGACTGACCCGCAAAACACTTCAGCTGACTTGAGGCTCGGCCGTATGCTAGACCGGGGCTGTTGTTGGTTGGAGTGGAGGGTGGGGAGGCCAAGCCTTACACACGAAGTGGCGGAAACAGATTTGGCAAGGGTGTGATCGGGTATGGGGCGCATCGTGTTGCTCTTTACTAATAATAGTCGTCGCCAAGTCTATTACCTACATACTTGAAACATCGTTCTACCCAGGTACGTCATATGCGTTCCACGAAATGCGCCACTTATTAAACTATTCCAGCGTGATGGTAACTATATGTCCGGAGGTTGATAACCGAACCGTCCCGAGTGTATAAAAAAGAAAACTCCGCAAGGCTGTGACTACGACTATCCTGAAGTAGGAAGGCTTGTTGGTCTCTATCTAGGAAGGTATGTTGGGATCCTCATAACGCCCCCAATGTTTACGTACTGTCGCACCTCGCACTTCATGCCCGCTTGAAACAGCTACACAAATATCACCCATTAGAGCACAGAGTGAGACGCTGAGATCTCTATCACTAAAATCTGCCCTCTTTTACTGTTAAGTATATGAAGTAAATGAGCCCTGGGCTGTTCAAGAAGTGGAAATACATTGTCTATTCATTGGGTAACGGCAAAGGCGGAATTCTTTAAAGAAAAACAAGCGCGGGCGATCGACGCATTTACTCCGACTCCGCCATCACTAGTATACCAGGTCTAGGACACTCCCCGTTCCATCTTGTTGTACCTCTCCAGGATGAACTCCTTCATGTTAGCACCTACTCACAATACAGCAATAGATCTGCAGCATCCGTCTTGTGTGAGGCTCTTTTCTAGCCTAGGAGAATCCTATCGACAACTTGGCACTTGGCAAGGCATAGTTAGAATCCTACCGCGACTTCGTGTAGATGGGGAGACAATTTCAGCGCTGTAAGATGACGTTTTGCTTGTTGCACCAGCGGACATACCTGTACTTCTACCTGTACGGGGGTCTCTTTGATGTGTATAAAGACTTCATGGTGGTCGTCTATCATCAGCATCGCCAACACATTCGCAATTCCGTCTATTTACTCAGTATCTCTTCAGTGTCTCCTTGGAATCTCCTCAGCCTCTCCTAGGCCTCTCCTCAGCATCTCATCCTATCTCAAAAGTCAAAAGCTTTCCAGGCCTCATCATGCTTTTGGCTGAGATCTTTGCCGCATCTGCGTTCCTCTCAATCGCGGCCGTAGCTGCTCCCGCTCCCCAGATCATCTACGACCCCGTTTACTTCTGCCCGCTAGTCGACAGTAGCGAAGAAATCACTGGCACCCCCTGGCAGATTGGACTGTCCATTCCAGGCGGCGACAGTACGTGTCCCCCACCCGTGTACTCTTCCTTAGCAGCTAACCGTCGGCAGCAATCAGCGTCACCGAATCACACTCCGTCAGCACCACATGGACGGTGGGCGGCGATCTTGGCATAAGCGCTGGAGGACTCTCCGCCGGCATCTCCGCGTCGGTCTCTGAGACTGTCACCGACAGCGTCGGTGAGGGCACGTCGGCCAAGTGTCCCGAGGGCGCCTGGCACTGCAGCATGGCCATCGTGCCGAGCGTGTCGCACGTCAAGGGCCACCTGCACCAGCAGAACAACGACGAGAGCTGCGATGTCGACCGCATCTCGCAGGACGACGGCGGCGAGGAGGGCAAGCAGTTTGAGTTCCTTATTCCGATCAAGGACTCGTCTGGCAACGGCAAGTGGACGTATGATGTGTGCACTTGCGGGAACGTGCAGAATTGGGCTGATCCGGGACACCCGTCGCTCATATGTCCCGAGGACTGCACGCCCCATGATAGCTGAGGGATGCGGAGGGTGAAGGCTGGTGCGCCGGATCTGGAGCGGGAGATGTTCAAAGGTTCGGGTTATCGGTTTATGTGAAATGAGATTCTATGTTGTCAATTCCACGGTCTTGAATATTGATTTAGGGATAGATACCTGTATTTGTATCTCAGTTAGTGTAAACTCTATGAGAGAGAGAGAATATGCTCGCCTGCTCTCGACAAAGCAACAGCTTATTGCATGAAGTGTACCTAGGTATCATCTGAATATTGACTAATATTGCGTAGACGCCAGAAGAGACGAGAAGGGTCTACACCGGAGCATCCGATGGATCCGCGTTGTGAAATGAGGACTGAAGGCTTTACCGTGATGTTGACAAGTCCGATGAATAATGAGGAGGTAAAGGGGTAGTGCGCTTGGTCGTTCGTTCTACTTTACGTTGTAGATGTTTTAGATGTATTTCGGCTTATCTGTTGTACATGGCCACTTCTGAGGGTGGAAGATCATCCCAAGAGTATCTGCTCCTGTACTGCAACAGGGTTAAAGGCATCGATATGTATCTTGCCAACGCCTAGTCTCTCCACACCACCCCCCTTCTCTTCCGACAACAAGAGGACATTAACCGCCGGCCAGAACACTTGATCGCTGAAATACCTCTTATCAAAAAAATCGTTATTGGACTCCACATCATCATCCGCAAGAAATGAAGACTGTCCCGGCTGAGCATAGATTCTCGGATTCTCCTTACCATTCTCGACTCCGAGTGGAGGTTTTTGCTTGTCCCAGTGTTGGAAAGTATGTGTGATAGGATCCCAAGATGGGTCATCATCGATGCGATACAGTGTTGAGCGTGAAAGTCCAAGGAATCTGTGCTTCTTGTTGACTAGTTGAGGCAAAAGGGCGCCACTGACTATGATTGTGCCGGCCATTCGTTGCTGGTCGTCTGAGATGGCGAGGTAGCATAATTCGTGAACTCCTTTTTTGCACGCTGCTTTGACGCCGAATAGTGGATCTGTCATAAAGGAATGTTCCTCGGTCAACCAGAACTTCGCTACTTTAGCGGAGATGTTTAGGATTGTCGAAGTCGGTCGCGAGGAGATTCTGAGATCTGGACTGCTAGGGAGCGAGAGCGGACGTGGGTAGCGGTATTTTGAGTACTTTGAGTCAAGATTTTCGTACTCGATCTCGAGCTCTTCTTCGTCAAATTTCCGGTGCCATTTTGAGGTATCATAATTCAGGAACGGAACGTTTGCCTCGGAAGTGATTTCGGAACATATACGAAAATCTTCGTCCAGTGATTTTATTTCAGCCTGACTGATAACGCATTCACACATATTCTCTGGGAATCTGTCAACTCATAGAATACAGCGCCATCCCAACCAGCCCATGACCAACTAGGAAATATGGAGTTGTTACGGCTACAAAGGCCAAGCGGCTTCCAAAGCAATCCAACATCGAAGAGAGTAGAAGGAATACCACACAAGAAGGGTGCTCCGAATGGTTGCTGGAGGTAATTTAAGATACCGCTCAAAGCGCGCAGCTTGTCCATTGGATCAGTAAGGGACCGTCTGGTGTACTCTGCGACTGCGATGGCATACACATCCCAGATATTCCGGTTCTCGAGATCGAGCCTTGCGAGCGGATCAAGCACGGTGTGAGTGAAGTCTTTGGCGGGTGTGCATGGGTACTGTTCCTGAAAGTCGCAGCCCCGATCACATTGGTAAAATACCTGAGAAGCTGTGAATGTAACGAGTCTCTTAGATAGAAGGCGCTCTTGATACGTCCACCCACGTGTATTCCATCGCGTAAAAGTAATGGCTCTGTTTGCATTCTCGAGCATGCTGGAGATCGTGATACCTTTGATGAGGACGCGTAGCTGACGTTCCGTCCGTGAGGTCGAGACTCCTGGGAGGCCGTGGTAAGCATTTTGGCCAGCGGCTGCCACGATAGTGAGATGCGCTCCTTGGTAGACCTGATCCACTCGATCTACGTTCTCAATGACGTTCTCGACATCGTCCTGTACAATGCATAGGGCGTCGATCCAGGCGAACCTGTACCCTAATTGCTGCACCACGGTCATGGCGTCCCGAATGGTTTGCGCTGGCTGGCCGTCTGCCGTGTTGAAGAAGCCTGGCGTGGTCATGATACTTATAGATTCTTTCTTCAACTTAATCTTCTGATCTGTGCCCCATTGATAACTCAGGGCTATGTAGGGAGCGTCGGGCGGGCACGGTACAACGCATGCACTTTCGACGTCAACGACTCTCAAGTGTGAGCGAAATTCAGTATTGCTCTTTTTCTCATTCACATCATGAGAACTCAAACAGGCCGAGTACCAACACTTGATAAGGTGCCAGTTCGCTCTCTCGGGATCCACATAACGGCCAGGAAGCCTCTTTGACGTTTCTTGCTCCGAGTCCTGGATGGCGAATATTGAAGACATCACCCAATCTCGATTGAAGTTATCATTTCTCATTCTGTCCTCACGGGTGATGTAACGCTGTTTGCCGTGAAGATGGTCCGGAGTGCGAAACCCGACCTCGAGATAGCATGACATATCGACGTCCGTAGAGCCATTGAACCTGTCGAACGAAACGTCCAGTGGCGTGCGATACAGTACTATATCTTCATAGTGACCATCCGCAAGCCTTGCCTCGATGTATTCCGTGCCAAAGTGTGCTCCGAGGAGATCTTTGACGAGGCCACAGAACAGGCAATTTCGTGTTTTCCATACATCATGGAGGGGTTTAAGCAGTAGTTGCTCATTGTGGCGAGAAAACGGTCCGAAGAAGAGGGCTTCAAATGGTAGTTCACAGCATCGAGAGCAGAGAGATTCAGAGGCCATGCTTGAGAAGCGGCCTGGCGGGCTGTTTCACGCCAACCGCGTCGGGCTGAAGGAATTTACTGTAGTTAGCCGCTAACCGCTTTTAGCAGCTATGAACTCTACTTTGCACGACCCACTCGCCCGGTTCGCTGCAGTAGGCACATCTCAGTCAATCCCGAATCAAGTGCTACAGAAACCTGACCTGCTCACAGCCTCCTCACAGCCTTCTCCTCAGATAACCTGTCATGACGCCAAGTCGTATAGAATACGGCGTTCGCTACAAAGTATGTTGGGGACGAAGAGCGATGCGACGGTTGGCTAGTTCGATGCAGGGGCGCCGCCACACATTTTCAGCTTCACCCTTGAACGGCCAAATACGAAATTGGGGAAACGAGCTTCCTTCAGCTCAACCCAGGTCAGCCCATGCAGGTGCTTAAAAAAGCTTCAATGGCTTAGAGTTGCGGCCACTAAAATGCATCAAAATGCTTCGCCTATTTACGCTCCAGAAAACCAGGCGCTTAGACAATTTCCTTTCTACGTAAAAAGCACTACATATATTCCCCCTTTCCTGCCTTCTCGCCCCGCTCTACGCAGTCTTCAATTCTCCCCCAAGACCTTTTGAAAACAATCTGAACTTTCAACTCCCTCCTTTATTCCCTATATCCACTCCTTCAACTCAATTCAAAATGCGCTCCACAATCCTCCTGACCACCCTCTTCACGGCCACCGTCCTCGCCTCTCCCCATCCCCATGCGGAAATCATCCAAATCCGCCAAGTCGAAAGACGCCAAGACGTCAGCTCCATCGACATAAACACCCTCATCCCCTCCGGCTGCATCCCGCCCTCAGGCCTCCTCGCCGTCCCGACGGCCCCCTCCGCCGTCCTCTCCGCTCTCGCCACTTGGACGAACCCCTGCGAAGTCCCCTCCCTCACCGGCGCCGCCGGCGCGGAATACACCTCCTACAAAAGCGCCATCAGCTCGTGGGCGAAAGAGAACTCGGCGAAGCTGGAGAGCTGGGAGTCGGCGTACAAGACGGCGTGTCCGTATGCGGCGACTATGAGTCTGCCGACTGTCGTGGCGAGCAATACCGCGTTGCTCAGCCTGGCGAGTTGTGGCGCGACGGCGAAGTCAGAAAGTGCCGCGACGTTGAAGTCTGGTGCTGCGACGTCACAGTCAGGAAGTGCTGCGACTGCAGCGAACGCGGCGACTGCGTCGGGAAGCAACTCTGCGAGCACAGGTGCAGCGGCCCAGCAGACAGCTTTTGCGGCCGCAGCAGGAATCCTGGCAGGTTTCGCGGGTGTTGTCGCTGTGCTCTAAGCGCCTAGGCTGTTGGAAGAAGTTTTAGCAAAGGGAATCGGGCGCAAGGTGGAATATTTTCTTGAGTTGGATGAGATAAGTTAGTAATCTGAGAACAAGCAACTTGATCAGGATATGTACCCCGTTGTAAAATTGAATAAGCAGAAAGGTTGAAATTTGAGATTTCTCTTACTATGTAAAGTCTATCTTTCTCCACTAATACATTGTTTTCTTCTCTGCTAGAGATTTGATAGTATGAGAGTTTGTCCGCTTGGTTCTTACTAGGATCCCAACCTCTCGCAACCCTCCATAAATTTTGGATACTGTAATTCGAATACTCGCTAGTCCTTCAAGTTGTCAGGCTGTCCCCGCTCTGGGAGAGCTGATACAGTAAGAAGGACGAGATCAAGATAGTGTGGACACCAAATCTTCCAGAGGTCCAGAAGAACCAGGGACCACCGTTTGCACAGCTCTTAGTTGATGACATGTACATCGTACGCGTTGATAAACGGTGAGGGGACGTGCACACGCCATGACGTCGAAAGGTAAGCGTCGAAAAATGGACCTAATTGGGACGAACGCTAACCCCCGAACGGCACTGCCTCTGGTGCTCCCTGAAACAGTAAATAGCCAGAGTGCTTAGACGGCCTACCAAACGCGAGATAAAGAGAATCAGCTTCCGATTCCGCAAGGCACTAAGCCCCCTTCAGTGCATTCTGCGATCAGATCATCAAAGCCAGTGAGGGTGATGAAGAACGAGGGCAGTGCATCGAACATGGGATGAATAGTATAAGGCTGGTCTTCCCGGATCTACTTCCTTCTATGCATTGAGACAAATTTATCAACGTCGCAAAGCCTCCCTCCACTGCTTATACTTCATCATTCATCGTTTATCGACCCTTTGGCTTTTCTTTCCCTCGCATTGAACATGAACGGTTCGCATCATGTCCGACCAAGCTTACCCATATGGTAGTGCTCCCGTGATAAGCTCTTCAGAGCTACCACCCAGCTACTATGCCGCCTCTCGCGGGAGTACTTTAGAAGCAACGCTAGAGCAGTATCATGCCAGCAACCCAGCATACTCCCAACATCAGTCGAGTGCAGGAGCAACGAATACGAAGAACACTCCAGCAGAGGAATCCGTCATCGAGGCTTCCGATGAGGAAATAGTAGCCCAAAAGCTATCCTGGCTCCCTCCTCGCCCAAACACGCCTCTATCGCACATGCCTCTGCTCGCCGTTAGTACTATCTCCACCACAACTGTCGCTTCACTGACCATTGAGCCCTTAGAAGCCAGTAGCAATCCCACAGGTCGACATCCCCCGCCTAGGCCGCCCCATGCCGTTCACGCGGGCCTACAGCTACGCGCTCCAGAGCCACCATGTCCAGCTTGAGCACTTCGTCGCCTTCATCGATGCGTTGGCGATCGCGCAGGCAGCACCGGCGCCGCTGCAGGCTCTGAATGTTGTTGGGCAAGGTATTGGGTTTGTGTGAGTTTGCTGGCCCCATACGATGGCGTGAAACAAGGCTAATGAACCTCACAGTCCGCATCATTGGGCGCAAGCAGCTAGCGCTGGCATCGGCCTCGCTGCTGGAGCAGGCACCGCAGCCGTGACGATAACGAGGACGAAGATGTTCATGGAGAGGGTCAACAAGGAGTACTTCGGTCCGCGAGCTTTGAAGGCTTCGCTGGTTAGCGACGAGGAGCTGGCTGCGCTTGTCGGGTACCCTGCTAATGCGCCTACTCTCTCGTAAGTCTTCTCGTTCGCCGGTATTAGATATCGACTCGAGGATTCTAGCACTGACCTTGGATCTACAGGCCTTTAGACCTCAATTCGGATGCTACCACTATCCGAGAACGCCGTCTACAGGCTCTAGCACCGCATGTGTCTCCGCTTACTTTCGAAGTCCCACCTCCTGCTGCCCCCACGAACGTACTCGACAAGCTCAGCGCAAGGCAGATTCAGGCCACCATTGCCAAGAACCAGAAGAAGGCAGCAAAAGATCGTCGAAAGTCAAACTCGAGTTCACGCTCATCTAGTTCAGATTCCAGCGACAGTGGCAAAGCCACTCGGAACGATAAGATCGAGCGCAAACTATATACGCTAGAGCTGGAGATACAACAGATAGATCTAAAGGCGCAGAAGAAGACACTTGGTAAGGGGCCGAAGAAGGCTGGGGAGATTGAGGAAGACAGGCGCAAAGAAATTGCTAAAGCTGAGAAGAAGAGAAAGAAGCTCTTACGTCAGTATGAGAAGAAGCAGTCGAAGACGAACGGATACGGGGATGGGACAGTGGACCAAGCGTACCAAGCGTACCAAGCGTACCATACACCAAAGCCAAAACAGAGCAAGAAGCAACAGGAGAAGGACGAGAAAGCCAGCAAGAAGACGAAGAAACTGAAATGGATCGTTGTGACCGACCTGAGATCATGAAAAGTCGTTGTCGAGTTATTGGACAGTGGAAAAATGTCAAAAACCTTCTGTTCCCTTAATATTAGCAAAGTCCTTTAGAAGATAGCTAGCAACTGCCCATTTTCCTGCCACTGTACAATTGCCTACAGGCACGCCAAAAGCAATCCTCTGCAAGAGGTGTTCAAGCCACAGGCCTATACAAGAATTGCTGCGGCCAACTGCTTGCCAAGCCATACGTAATGGGAAGAGAACATAGAAGCTTCCGACACCAACTTGATAGTGAAGAAGATGATACTCGACACTACGGCATATCTCGATCCCAGCAGCATACATTCGAGACGCAATGAGATCGCCGCCAAAGTTCGGGTCATCCGTGAAGAGCAGTAAGTCTTGGGCAAGCTTCAGTAGTAAGATAAGGATGGCGTTGTATAGCGTGGTCTCATTCGCCGCCGATAGTGATTCATAATGCAGAATCGTAGACCAAACTGACATGGTTTCTCCATCAGGGTTGTGATAGACAGGGCCAGTTTGAGGAGCAGCAACTTCAAAACAAGCATTTCCATGTTCTGAATCCCACTGAATCTTCCACGACTCAAGCTTCTTCAAGATCTCAGAAACCTTATTTACGATATGTTGGGCAGCGCTCAACTCTAGAAGGATACCGCCGCTTGAAGTAATCTCTTCTTTTACCATATAGAGATATGGGCAGTCGGCAAGGATATCCACGAGAAATTGCATCGATGACTTCTTCTCTTGATGTACAGCCCACGGTACCATTTTCCACTCTGGAGACGAGAGAATCGTCGATTTACGTAAAGCAAGCGAAGCGAAGATGATACCGGGCCGCGACTGCTCCAAGATAAGTCGCTCTGGAGTTGTTTGAAAGGATTCCGGTCCTCGTAATTCGAAAAGACGCTCGAGTCCTGATGAATGACCTAGCCATCCGTCTGGATTGTCCGATATAAGGAACTGAGGGTGGTTAGCGACACGCGACTCCTCCTTCATAAGTATGGTTTGGCGAGGCCAAGGCGCAACACAGTTACCTCAAGAAAGTTTAGAGTAACAACGGAGTCGAGCACGTTGCGGGTTTGACATTGATGAGCGTCTGCCAGTGCTGTGTGCAACTCTCTCAAAGCTACTCCATATAACTGCAGGCCCTTCTTAACTAATCTTTCCTCTCTATGCTGGCTCCCAAAGTAAGTCGTAGCAAGAGAGAGAAAGCATGTGTTCGCTAGTGGTTCATCTGACCAGTGGTGAGATGGGGCTCGCGTTTTGCCGTCGTAGGAGGCTCCGTTTAAGAGATGCGTCAAGGTATACGTAACGCATATATCGTCCTGGAATGAAGAAATGCTTGGAATAGGACATAATGACAATGAGAGAGAATGGACTTGGTGTTTGCTGGTCGTGTCAGACGCTTGGCGAAGTGCAAGAGCCTGATCACCAGCGTTATTGCTATCGGTGCTGGAAGCGGCTGCATTCTCTGGCTGACTCAAAGCCTCTCCAAACTGGATGAAGCGCATCTCGCGGTATCCACCACAATCGTAATTGCCTTTGACGCATCGCAGGCACTTTGGTTTTCTCTCGTCTGGAGGGACCATCAGCGATCGAAAGCCAGAAGAGAATGAAGTCTGAGGCTCAACTACCCAGGGAAGACGATGATGTTACTCACCACATTTTACACGACGCCGACGACAGGCTGCACACGCCTTTGAACGACCTCCAACGCCGACCATGGTAATCAGAACGACATTGAACATATAGCGAGGAAAGAACGGTATTACATAGTCAGCGACCTAGTTCTAATCTGGGGCCGTAAGACTGCCGCCTCAAACCCCCGAGCGCCGTACGGTAGGTCTAGCCGAAGCACTGCCACTTCTGAACTACGTGGGACCATCTCAGCCCTTTCCATTCATACCTCAACACATTCGTCAGCCCTTGGAGGTATTATATAGCTGCGTATGGTAATGAAGCTATCGGTTTCAAGTTAGTTGTTCATGTCCTGCATGAATTCGCCATTGCTTCATCGTGTTAGTCCTTTTCTAGCACTCCAGAATAAAATGAAGAATCTCATCATACTCAATCCATTCCAACTTGCAAAAACTGAAAATGGCATCGATGCGAAGCTCCTACCCTCGCCGGCATCTACAGTATGCTGGACACGACGAGAGCAGAAGTCATCTACTAGATTTCAATTATGAGCCTTCAACGACAATTGGGCATACTTAGATAGGGCCAGCAACCGTACGTTTAGCATATAGTGTAGGAGCAGAGTACTTCATCACACAGATTGTGTTGCTCGGACAAGACACAATTCACTCCCAAATCTGCTAATCTCGTTCGTTGTACTCTTCAAAACTCATGTGCCAGTCATGTGCCATCAACCTCTTGGCGTTGGATTACGAGTATAAAAACACACCGGCCTACGTTCCAGGCTTCTTCTTCATCACGGCAGGCCCGGCTTTTGATCAAAAGCCAAGATGGCGGACTAACATGGAGAAATCCAGTTTGGGGAGTTCAAAGCCGAAAATCTGCCATCCTATAGTATCAGTGCGCTTTGGGCTACAAAACCATCAAAGCATGTTCTTGCATGGCTGGTCTGCAGTTGGTGGAGGTCAAAATGTCGCGCAAGGCCTTCATGATGTTGCATAGAAGGAAAGCGATGATGAATTGCAACGTCCTTCATTGATATCACAGGCCGACATCCGTCCCTTCACTACATCGTGTTCCTCTTCCCCTTGCTGCTAAACTTCTCCCATCTATCCTGTGGCGTATCATCATCAATCAGACGTTGAGACTAGATCTACCATATGCACAGCGTGTAGCATGTTCTCATTACCGCCAATGGTCCGCCCTCCCCCCCCCCAAAACTTCCCAGCCATATGATGCTCTTGAGTACTTTTTGCAACACCCCAAAGCCATCGCTCGTTGTTCTTTGTCGTGTTTGATTTCCACGCTCCTCGCTGCATGGAAGAACGGCTGTCGGAGCTGGAGACGCTTTTATTCTTGGAGAGATGTCCTGTCACGTGCCATGTTACGCGACTCAGGCGTACCATATCTCTCCTGCATTGTTCCCAGAGGCGGCAAATCAAGTCACGAAACTCACGTGTTTGCGGGGACAAGGTCGCAAATACAGTCCCTCGAGCCAATCAAGAGCCTATTCCTCTGCGCAGTCCGTGATGGACAGCTGATCCACTGACCTCCAGATTTTGTGATATAAAAAAGGCCTAACCCTCTAGCCATCCTCTCATTCAGCGAAGAGTTTGGGTTTGATCAACAACCCAACAGCTCCGACGATATGGAGGAGCATTTGTGGGTCAACTCGACCTTCCGAGCGAGCTATGGAGAATGCAGCAAAAACTTCGCCACGTCACTCTGATGTGGTGGGGACGTGGAGTATCGACATTCGACGTCGAACGACTTGATGGGGAGTGTGGGCTGGTGTACCGGGAGTGTCAGCGACAGGAATGATGATATGAAGCAGGGATGGAAAATGATGCTTCAAGCCATTGTATGGGATAACAGATTTTCTAAAGCTTCGTGAAGGTGGTAGCCTGAACTGTCAGGATATAGAGATGACAAGCATCATATTATCGGTTTGGGGGAGCCCCATAGCAGCGTTGGGAGCAGCAGTTGATGTTGGAGGAGAGCTGGACATCAGATAGACGACGCTTATCTTTTGATTCAGACTCCCGGAGGAGTATTCTGATCTTTGGATGTGTGGACGGTGGTGAGTTGAGCTTTTATAGCAGGGAATCTGGAAGAAGTCACGCGATACACGTGCTATCCCCCTGCCCCCTCCTATTGCCCCAATTCTATACGGTGTTCGGGACTTTTTACTGATGGGCACGAACGTCTAAGGGTGAGGTGTATGGTCAAGGACGTGGGGTTTCGATTGGTGTTAAGATTGAAGAGTTGAGGATTTGATGGGGTATATCGCTTTCGACGAGGTATAGAGACGTCGACGTCAGCCCGGCGTTGAAGACAATAGTTTGGCGTCAAAGTCTCCAAGAGGAAAGACAGTGGTGATAGGACCAACGGTCAGGGTGACAGTGAATTGAACACGACGCAACCTGCCCCAGAATAGCCTGTCACATAGTTCAATTCACCCGAGCAAGCTTAGTAGAATGAAGCTGTAGTTCGCTTGCTGGCTTTCAAGAAGTCTGTGTTATTTGACATCAAAGAAAACAGATTTTATAATGCGCATATCATACGCAAATAGAGAATGAAAGAATTTCAAGGAACACGAAGACGCAGTATGATCTTTAAGCGCCAACTCCTAAGAAAGCAGAAGTTACAATACTACTAGGCCACGGGGCTTGTATAAGACTTGCAAGAAGCATTTGGATTTCAGCCACCGGCAGTTCAACTCACCGGAATTGCGAGAGAGCCACCTTTACTTTCTACTCGTCCTGTAGCAAGGACTCAGCTAGCTCTACAATCATCGTGAAGATGCTTATGATGGTGCAGCAGCTCGCAAGTAGTCTAATAGAATCGTGACTTAGACCTCGTCCGGCAGACTATGATGGTGTAGGGATCATATACGGCCTGCACGCTGCACTCTAGTGCTTGATATCAGCCTAGAGTCTCTGCTACAGCCCTCATGCTTCTGTCTCCTGTGATCTTCCTCTACCCTCATAGCCCTTCCCTCAGGTGCATATGCTCGTAGGACACGCAAGCCTCCATGCCTCTCTGTTACACTCTATCTCTCGTCCTTTTTGTCCATGTCCAGAGACCCACTCCATCCCCCTCACCCCATCCACTTCCCCACATTATTCGGAATCAACTTCTTAAACACCTCAATCTGCTTCGCATGCATCAACAACCTCATCTCCTGCAACTCCACCCTCTCCTTCAGCGTCGTATCCACCCTCCGCAGCCCCATGCCATACACAACCGTAAAATCCGGAATCTCCGTATCAGGCGGAACAACACTCGCCGCCGTAATCGTGCAAAACTGCCCTCGCATTAGCCCCAATCCCAATCCCAATCCCCAAGCCCTCCCAAAACCCCAACACGTCGACGGGGGAACTTCAACATACCTTCCCAACCACACACCCCCTCCCCACCCTCCCCCCGGCCTCCACAACCGTCCCCTCCCCCACCTCCCCCGCCTCCACCACCGCCCCCGTCTCGATGCACACCCCATTCCCCACCACCACCCCGCCGCCCGCGCCCATCCCGCCCACGCTCGCCCCGACAACGGCGCCCTGCACGCCCACAACCGCCCGCTCCGCCACGCACACCCCCTCCCCGAGCAGCACCTTGCCGTGCAGGCTGCTGATGCGCGCGTGCGGGTGCAGCACGACGTTCGCGGCGACCAGGATCGGGTGCGGGCCCGCGAGGGCGGCATGCTGCGCGATCAGCGCGCTGGGGTCGACGGTGAGGGCGGGCGGGCGCGGGAGCGCGGTAGAGGCGCGTTTGGAGGGGGTGGGGCGGGGTTTTGGGGGCGCCGGGGTGAGGGTGGCGGACATTGTGTTATAGGAGATTGGGGTGTATTGCTGGTTGTTGGTAGAAAGTTGAGGTCGGAGGTTGATGGAGGGAGGTTGGGTTGAATGGAAGGCAGGAATAACTGGGTCGGTGGGGACCTGACGTGTGGTTAGGGGTAACACCACAATGAGTATCTCGAGTTGAATGTTTAGATTGTTATGGTGCGAGACGATTGTTGAACCGAAATACTATTGCGAAGGCTTTGGACAATGCGTTACCCTATCACTGTGAAGAATGGGTGAAGAATAGTTCTTATCCATCACGTGAGTTGAACCCATCATCAACTCAGTTTCCGAAAACACAATTCGATGGTATCTAACAAAACTGCACAGTACCCGCTTCAATAAACCCAGTCATTCATCAATCGCATCTAGCTAGTATACAAGCCAGCCCGGGCCCTCCCCGAATCCTTGCCAACCCTTCCAACCCATGCCCGTTCCCCATCCAACCCCAAAGGGCAGCCAAGACAGTCCCCGTACAAAAGCCCTCCAACCCAACAAAACCCGCATCATGGTATATACGCACCCCCTCGCCCACTTACACAACAACCTTTCCCGATCCCTTTCCAGACCCCTCTGCGCCCTCCTCATCACTCCCACTCCCCGACCCGAACAACTTCCCAAACCTCCCCGGATCCAACCTCCCATTCCCCTTCTCCGCCTTCTCCGACTTCCTCAACCCAACCCCACCCGAACCCTTAATCTCAATCCCCTCGCCATCATCCTCCAAACTCCCCATCTCAGTCGCCTCAATCGGACTATGCGCCCGCTCATTCTCCAGCGGCTCCTCCTCATGCTCGTCGTGCCCATCGTCTTCGGAGTTATTATCGTTATCCGCGTCCGCGTCATTGCCGTCCTTGTGTTCCGCTTCCATTGCCTTTTTCCGCTGTGCGAGACGCGCCGCAAATTGGCGCCTAGCACGGGTAGCAGGGATCTTGAGAGGGGGCGGGATTTCGAGCGAGTGAAGGCCAGAGGTGCTGGGAGGCTATATGGAGGGGTGAGAAGTCAGTTACGGTTCTTTAACGATGACTAGTCAGGTGCGTTGAGGGATTGGAAATATACAATTGCGAGAAAGAAGAAGACAGAGACACATTGAACTTTGTGAATTGGAATACAATTACGCTGATCGTGATCGTGACTTGATCATTTATCATTTACTCTAGAAGACGTACAGAAGGGAGAGACGAGACAGACGGAATGTACAAGCGTTGCCCCAGAATAATCCCGATGAGGGAAATTGGGGCAATATGGGTGGAGTATATGCAGTAGGACTCATTACAGGGGGTGTCGAGGTTGCCCTTGACATAAGTCGTCGCCGTACACTGACACGCAGTAACGCCAGCACACCAAGAAAACCATGAGGAGACATTGAGAAACGCACCAAAGACGCACAGTGCATTCGCGATCATCGATACTCCATCTCGACGTCTTCAAATGAGAGTTCACCCACTTGTTCCGAGTCGCTCACTGGTGTGTGCCTCTCACGATCCTCGCCCTCCTCCATGTCCTCGTCTTCTTCGTCGCTGGAGTTGTTGAAGCCGCTCAGCAGCGTTCCGCCTCCGAAGTTGTAGCCGCCACCTGAAGCGCCGTCATTGTTGCTGAGTTCCATGCTATCCAGGCCGACAGAGCCATTACCAGCGAGTCCAGCGCTGGCTAGAGAAGAGCTGTTGCCGCCAAAGCCGGAAGCAGCATTCACGGCGTTGAGAACAGCCTGGCGAGGCCCTACGCTCATATCTGGTCGGACCCCTCCTAGAATTGCGTTGTCTCGCTCTCTTGTTTCTGCTAGGGTCTGCTCGACATATTCGATCCATGTCTGGCTCATGACCTTGTCTAGTACCGACTGTGACAGCAGCTCGGCAGGGTGTCGCTCAGTGAATTTGAGGACCTCTTCCGCAATCAGGGTGAGATGACCCATATATCCCAATCGCATGTTGGTCTCGGACTGGGCCTTGTCGCTCGCTTGTTGGCCTTCTATGATTCTCTCAGTGATGCGCCCAGTCTCGAAGAGATCGATCGCTAGATTGCGATTGAAGCCACGGTCCATTTGGCCGTTAAAAACCTGTTGCACAACATCATAGACAACGTTGTGGAGGAAGTTGTTCCATGGGAACCTGAAAAAGAAGTCCTAGTATGTTTTGTTAGTTGATGAAAGGGAGCATGCAAAGGTAATGCGAAGAGCGTTGCCTACCAAGATCGTCGGTACGACTTTGTTCTCAACAAACATCATCTTCAGCAGATCGCCAACGACCGGAGATCCGTCGATGTCAACTTCATAGTGAGCTGCATACTGCCCCTCTGCGCCCAACAAAACCGACCGGGAGCTACTGGCATCATCTATTGGCGTTACTTCGGAGCCTTCACTCTCTGGTACACCTGCGGTAAAGTGAGCTGGGCTTAGTTGTGCTAGCTCTGTTTGCTTCGCATTCTCACGTCTGCTGGCGAAAAGCGGCGCTGGCTTGTCGTCTGCGTGAGGTGACAGAGTGTCTGGTGTTTCTAAAGCATCGGATGCTGATGGTTTGTTGAGTTGTTGTGTTAGTAGCGATCCTAGCTGCTTATTAGATGCCGCGTCCTTGGCTTGTTCTTCAGTTGGCGATGAGGTCCTCATAACCGTATCGTTGTCGAGATCAAGACCACCAACTTTCGCACTGAGTCCAGCCGAGATGGGCGACTCGGCGGCTTCTGCTGGTGTGACGGTCGACTTCGACTCTTCCTTTGAGGAAGATGCGCTCTCTTTAGCCGGAGACAATGGTTCATCGACGAATTCGCCATCAGCGTTCTCGGGCCTCTCAGACTCATGCTTTTGCGGTTGAGACTTTGGAGATCTTTCAAGGGGCTCGCCAATTTCTTCCTTCTCATCGAAGTCGTCCTTGGTCTCTTCTTTTATTGCTTCTGAAGTTGGGACTTTCTCGAACTCCAAATCTTCTTCAGAGTTGTTCTGCACTTCGAGTCGCTTGATCTCTTCCGGCGCCTCGCTTGACGGTGCGCGTGCATGATGAAAACCGTGGCTGTCGACGCTGGTACCAAAGTCGTCCATATTCCTGTTCTCTTTCGGTGTGAGTTTGCCTTCGGCCTTCAGACGTTCTCTCTCGATGTCTCTTCTCTTGACCTCTGCCTCGCTTCCTCTCTCATTCAGCAAAGTCATGTTGCTGCAATGTAGAAGCTCGGCCATGAGCTCGCAAGTCTTGAATCGATCGAAGCCAAGAGGCTCTATCTTTTCGCCAAAAGCAGCCTTGAGTTCCCGCCTCCGGGTCGTAGTCGTGCCATCGCTATTAACAATCGTGCGATTAGGATTATGAACAAGCTCCATGAAATCTGGAATGTGTTTCGCGAATTGTCGAAGTAAAGTGCCGAGGTATATTGGGTCTGAGCTCTTTGGTACCGGACCGATCTGATTCTCAAGGTCGTAATCCGAATTGTTCTTGCGAATGACTTCAATCACGATGCCAACTCCAACGGTCAGAGGATTACCTCCGCGGAGCATATCGGTAATAAGGGTTCGGATGCATTCTTCTGATACCAGCTGCCTCGTAAGCTCGTTGGGACCGATGACAGATTGGTCTTGAGTTGTGGCGTTAGCCGAGATTGTGATGATGGCCTTTAGAAAGTCTCCGGCGGACGTCTGGGTGGAGGAGCACTGCTCAGGCGAGATATACGCCAGCAGCTGAGGGATGAGGTTTTGTGATTGCAACCACTGTTCAGGAACCGTTAGATCGAAATTCTCGCCGAATCGTGTGTTCCAACACTTACATCTACAATTCCCTGGCCCCCTTCACTCTTCTCGAGGCTGATGATCTTCAACAGCAAGTCCATGACCATGGGACAATCGACGTGCTGCAGCATATGTGGGACCACATTCTCAACGGATTTGAAGAACTCCAACATTTCCTCCATCTTTCGGTCCAGCAGCGATTCATTGACCTTTGTGAAATACCCGGCTTGCACTGGATCAAGCGGGGCAGGTTGTTTGAGGTAATTCCAGAATTGTCGAAGATTATCCTGATTTTCTAGGACAGCTTCCGAAATCGACCAGACCTCGGAGGACAGAATCTCGCAGGCAACATAGGCGTACTTCATCCTCTGCTTCTCTTCCTTGCTTTCCTCTGAGTCGGGTGACTCGGGTTTGGTTATCGACATGGAACGTGCCTTGCCAGCGACCTTGCCAAAGAAGCCCTCGCGGGGGGAGCTACTCTCGATCTTTGCCCCTCCTTCGTCGGCAGCCTCGTCTGGCGAGGGGACGCGCTTGGCGGCAATGACATAGCGGAGAAGGCGCTCGAGCACATTCTCGTCGCGCAAGTACTCGATCAGCTTCGAATTCTGCTGCTTCAGCTCCTGGATGAGATCCGACTCATCGAGCAATTCCTCAACCGTCAGATCAGGCTTGTCGAGGATGGCGTCAAGCGACGACACCTGCGCATAGCCTCCGAAACGCCAGAACATTGTGATTCAGAGCGCTTCTAGCAGCACGGCGGAGGGAGAAAGGACGCGAAGAAGGGTAATCGAGCGCGGGACGGGGGCCGAAGGTGAGGGCGGGTCATGCGAATGGCTGTTGTGGGATCGAATTGGGGGTCGGATTGAAATTGATAGAAGACAACCTGTGGAGCGCACTAGGCGTCAGTCCCCGTGTACGGCTCGTAGTGCTCCTGTACTCGGGACACGTCGAGGTGCAGAGCTGGCGGCACAGCGCAGAGGCTAGGGTGCCCCACGGCCGGCAGTGACAGGACGGTGGATAGCAGAGGGGCAGCTGCAGCTGGAGGGGAGGCGTACCTTGGGGACGAGGTTGGTGAAGGACGCAGCTGAGGGTGCGTGGTGGTGGGGCTCGGGATGCAACGCCTGGCGGGTGTGTTGGTGGGCGTTGAGCTTCGACGTCGTGTGCCAACCTCGTCGCGGCCGGAAAGCGGTGACTACTGACGACTGACAGGACTCGAATCCCTGCTCGCGCGGAGAGCCTCTGAGGTCTGCACGGAGCTCGCGGGCACGCTTCAGGCTGTCGGGCGGGGACACGGCGAAGACGGGGTCACGGCGCGGTCTGTACGTGCATTGCGCTCTCTGAGGGTCATGCGAACTGTTGACTCGGGCGGCGGGATTCCCAAAGGCCACTCCCGAAGATCCTCAGCAGAGACGTGGCAGCAAGCGAGCGTCGGCGAATTTCGTTGGTGCGAATGCTGTGAATCAATGCGCAGAGTAGAAACGAACGGTCCTGGCACTGTCAGAATTGCAGCAGTCGGACAGACATGACCAGGACCACCAACGCTGCTGCCCAAAGTTGGGGCCACGTGACGAGGTGAATGTAAAGTGGCAGTCAACACCGTCAGATGTGGCTTGAAGAGCTATTGGGCTTGCCACATCGTCGTCTCGCAGCTTCCAAAGACGCACCAGGGGCCCCCAAGCGGGGCTAGGCAAGTATGCACAAATCCAGAGAGAGCAGCTACCTTCTGAATAGGAAGCTTCAGATCAGAACTGCGTACGGATTCGGGAACTGCAATGGAGTGCCACTTGTTGTTCAAGGCTGCCTACCACGTGACGAGATCTTAGCTTGAGTGATTGTATCGACACTTGGCAACTTCACGGACCACCACGCGCTCCACTTCAACTCCAGGCACTCCCAGGACTCCCCACCGCACTTTAGCTCTGCCAAACCGTCAAACAAGCAGAGCCACCTCTTGCTAACAGCATACAATACCACCATGAACCGCTTGTTCGGCGCGAAGAGCACAGCGCCCAAGCCCACGCTCAACAGCGCCATCTCCAACGTACGCCCACTACTACCCCGCCAAGCTTGGTCCTTCTGACGTCTTTGCAGGTCGACACCAGGATAGAAAGCATAGATGTCAAGCTTGCTAAGCTCAACGCCGAGCTGTCCACCTACCAGCAGCGCCTTGCGAAGATGCGCGACGGCCCGGGGAAGACCGCTCTCAAGCAGAAGGCACTCAAGGTCCTACAGCAGCGCAAGATGTACGAGGGGCAGCGGGATCAGCTACAGCAGCAGTCGTGGAACATGGAACAGGCGGGCATGATGCAGGACAACCTCAAGAACACCATGACTACAGTCGACGCCATGAAGACCACCACCAAGGAGCTCCGCAAGCAGTACGGCAAGGTCAACATCGACAAGATCGAGAAGCTACAGGACGAGATGGCAGATCTCATGGACATGGGCAACGACATACAAGACAGCATCAGCAGGAGCTACGACGTTCCAGAAGACATCGACGAGTCCGAGCTAGACGCTGAACTCGAGGCGCTGGGCGAGGAGGTCGAGTTCGAGGGTATTGGGGAATCGCAAGGCTTGCCTAGCTTCATGATGGATGAAGCTCAGCCCCCACAATTCATCGACGAACCTCCCGAGCCTGGCAAAGTGAAGGAAGCCGCCGGTTGATCGCGTCTCAATTTGCTTGTTATCTGGACTCTCATACGAGCGGAGGTATACCCGGCATAACGGATGATAACGGCAGGTCTAAAGAATTTGGTGAATGCATTTGTACTACCCAACAACTCATGCCGTTCCGCCTTCTTGGTGACCTTCTGGCTCGTGAAAGTACCGCCGGCAGGTAGGGCTACTTATCCTTGTGGTGACGTTGTGAGCTTCTGGTAAGACGCCTTACTTGTTTTCATCTCTCAATTGCATGCATTTTCCAAACGTTTCATTGTGCGAAATAAGTCTCACTGTGATCCTTTTTCAATCTTCATTCCGGTTCCGGACCAAGCTTGCTTACATGCTTTTCGGTTTTGCTATCCTTTTGGCCATCATCGCCTTTGCTGTCCACAAGTTCGTTGTTACGAATGAAATTGCCATCTACGCGATGTCAACCGGTAAGCAGTCGACGATTGTAAAATTTGAAATCTTTCCCGCTAACAATTCCAGGAATCGCAATGATACCCGAATCCCTCATCGCCGTCCTCACTATCACGTTCGTGACCGGCATGACCCAAATGCGCAAACTCAAGGTCCCCACACGGAATCTCAGCGCTCTCGAAGCGCTTGGAGGCATCACCAATATCTGCTCAGACAAGACCGGAACGTTGACGCAAGGTCAAATGACAGTGAAAAAAGCTTGGATACCCGATATAGGAATTTATACCATCAGCAACTCCGACAATCCCGCAAATCCCACGCAAGGGAATATCAGTGTTGGTCCCGCCAAGTCTAAAACTGAGATGGATGCCGAGAAGACGGACCGCGAAGAGCGATTCGACAGAGAACGCAGCGCCGCCGCGCTTACCTTTAAAGTTCCGTCGAATAAGGCCGATAAAGATCAACAGTGTCATGAGCCGCAAGAGAGGCAGTCATTCGATGGAGACGACAATCCAGAAATGGTTCCCGAGCTAGAATATTTTCTAAACTCTACCGCCCTATGCAATGTTGCTACCGTGCGGCTCGATGAGCAAGAGGGCAAGTGGCAGACTGCTGGCGACCCGACTGAAGTTGCTCTACAAGTCTTTGCGCATCGTATCGACAAGGGCAAGAAGCTCCTTGAGCAAGAAGTTGGATGGAACCAGATCACTGAGTATCCATTTGACAGCACCGTCAAGCTTGTTTTGGGTGGTGGTGGTGGTGGTTCCGCGTGATTATGTCCCAGGGTTGAATGAGAGGATGTTTAAGCATAAGCTGATTTCGTGGGAGTGGGCGTTGAGTGGGGGCGCGATGGTGGTGTTTGTGGCGGGTGTGGAGGGGTGGAATATGGCGAAGTGGGGATTTGGGTGGTTTGAGGAGGAGGGGCAGGATGAGGAGGTGAGGAGGTTGGGAGTGGGAAGAAGGGGGCGGGCTTGAGGCAGGGGGGGCTTTCGTTCTTGAGGAGTTTTAGTAGGAGTACGACGAGTTTGGGGAAGAGGGGGGAGTCGCAGGTTTGAGGTATGGTTTTTCTCTGGATTTGACTGGCGTATTGGGCCATCTCAGACGGCGGTGGCCATGCGGAAGCATATGAATGATTCACGAACCTGAATCAAGGGCTACAGACATTTATATTCATTCTGTTTTCGACTTAACTTGCTGAAGTACCTCAGACAGTGGTAGTCACGCATAAATATATACATGAATTCAAGGACCTTGTCTATGGGGTTTAAGTTAAACCTTACATTCATGATGGTTTCGGCTTGACCTGCTGAAGTGCCTCAGACAGTAGTAGCCACGCGTAAGCATGCACATGAAATCACGGACCTAATTCACGGCTGTCAGACCCTTATATTCATCCTGTTGTCGACTCAACCTACTGAGGTACCTCATACAGCGGCGCACATACATAAACACCCATCAATACCCCCCCAAAAAAAGCAGCAAAAGCAACCACCCAGCGCCTACGCTGTCCTACACAGAAAGGAAGAAAAAAAATAACCACTTCTTACCCTCTATACCCCTATTTCGCATCCACAGAAAGCTTCACAACCGCCGCGAACAGGTCCACCGCCAAATCACCCCCCTTAGCCACAACATCCCTCATACTCTTCGACACCGCCACTTCCGGCCCAACAACCACCTGCACACCCCCCATTCCCACAAAACTAGAGCGCGAAGCGTTGCCGCTCTTGCCACCACAACTAACCAGGCGGGCTGCCGCGCTCTCAGCCAGATACGCGCGCAGCTTGTTCGGCCCCTCGGTGTGGTCATACACGTACTCCAGCCGAAAGGGGGACGCGGAGTGGCCGGTGCGGGCGTAGTAGTCGACGATCTGGGCGTACGCGGCGGCGGCGAGCTGGGGCTCGTCGTGGCGGAGCGCGAGGATGTACAGCGACAGGTGGTGGGTGAGGGCGTGGAAGGAGTCCGGGGCGGCGAGGCGCGCGGAGGGGTTGGCGCGCTGCGACGCAAAGGCGGGGTCTTGGTACGCATTGAACATTCTGAGGGCGAAGGTGTCGTCTTCGGGGGTGAGTGGGCGGAAGACATGCTCTTCGATGTCGACTGGGGGGGTGGTGGACTCGCGGGTGGGGATTGGGGCGGTCATGATGGCGGTTTGATGGGGGCGTTGAGGGGCTTGTGGATGGCCTGGTTGGTTGATGAGGCTGAGGTAGTTTGATGAGGTTGTGGTTAGATGCGGTCTGACGAGGACTCGGTGACGCGTTTGGAGGTGAAGGTCTGAGGACGAGCTCGGTGCGTGTGCGTGGGGATCTGCGATGGATGCTGCAGTTCTATGCGATACAGCCGGAGTAGCGGGTGATGTGCATACAGACGATGCAGAGATGATAATGGGGTTGTAGGAGCTAGAGAGTTGATGGATTGAAGGTGGGCGAGAGGAAGATGTCGATGCTGGAGGAAAGGCGGGCAGCTCACTTCAACACGGCTCGACAACAGCTGGTCAGCTGCCCTTGCCCCTCCGTCAAAGCAACGAAAGGGCTACCAACAGCATGCTCAAGAAGTAGCTTGTGGATTGCAGTCTCAGTCTGCCGCCAAAAAGCCCGAGAGAGCTGCGCCAATGGTGGATCGAACAATTCGCAGCTGCTGGTCAGAGATTTTAGGGATGAAGTGCTACCGCCTTAACACTGCTACACCACGTTTTTTGAAGAGATAATTTGATGCTCCTAGATCTAGCTCATGGCTGTGACCGGGCCTTGATCTCCGGGGAAATAATGATATCGGAAAGTGACGGCCTAGGAAACAAATTTGTGGTCAGGAAATCGAAAGAAAGGGCAGACCGGCAGCTCCAGATCTATTTTAATACCATCACAATTCCCATCCTTAACGTATGCGCGCACCAAAACTCAAGCAGAAGTGTGCACTTAGCCTTTGAGAGGGAGTACTACAAATTGATCATTTTGACGCCCCTCATCCATATCATCACATCGTGACCGGAAGCCAATTGTCCAGGTGGAGGATGAGACAGGAATATGTCAGTCAATTGAACATGTTTTCCGCTCCGCCAAGAAATATCAAGGCCTGAACGCCAGCTCCAGACGTCCGACCCTTACCACGATTCCTTCCTTTAAACCCATGCACCTACGAAGAGCAAATCGGAGATGTGCACCTAGCTTTTGAATTGATCCTCGTACAAGCCGATACAGTGGCAAGCAGTCTAGATAAGATGCTTTGACCTAAAGTATGCCCTCAGGTACACAACCTGCCATGCCCCTAAACCGACCAACATGCCCATTGTGCCAAACGCGAACCACTTGACTCGCTCATTTGTGCTCTCGTTTGTATCCCGTAGCTTCTGCTCTCGTCCTCGGAGGTAGTCCATCTCGCCCACAATTTCTTGGACGAGTTCTTCCATTCGACGGAGCTCTGCCTCGACCGGCTTCAGCTTCTCGCCAGCCTGGATTGCGGACCAATCCTTCGCATCAGCACCAATGTCGATGTCGAGTTCGACGTGTCTTGTTGGCGCCTGGCCTCCGGCATCTAGTAAAAGCAGCGTCAGTGATTATTGCTTCGCTGTGTCGTGTGAACGCAGGTACGGAAGGACACGAACTGGATGTGCGGATGTTCTCGAAGCAGACATCAAACGCAGAGTCGGCATGCGAGGTGAAAGCGTTTCGACTCTCGCCTGCAACGTCCTTTGGCCTTCCGTAGTCATTGCCCATGGCGTCTCGGATCTGTAAACGCATCCCAATTAGCCATTGCCCAGTGTCCCAGAACGTCCGATTGTCCAGCGTGGCAAGCGGGTCTACTGACATGCAAGTTGAGCATCTGGCCGTCCCCTCTCTGACCGTCCGTAATGGCTGTGACAACTACCAGCTGGTCTTTGGCAACAAAATTTCGAATGCATCGCTCGAATCTGGCGGATTCGTGTCCTGGGTGGGCCTCGATATCGAACTTCAGGGCGAAGGTAAGGGGCACTGCGGCCAGCAAGAGCACGAAGCTCAAGTACCGAAACAGAGTCTCCATGGCTGTGGCTGTGAGGATGCAAGTGCGTAACCCGCCTCTTGGTGTTTTGGCGAAGGGGATGCTGAAGGCCAGATAGCCCGCGGAAGGAGCTAGGGTCCGATTGGGGGTGGCGGCTTGGCGAATGTCGAGCCTCAGAACTCAGGCTCAAGGCAGCATCATCCACCATCACTGAGCAACATTCACCGATCAGACCCCCATCACAACCCAGTATTGACGCCCAATCGCCCTGTAGTACCTTGGTAGAGCTGCTGCAGAACCCCCACTCCTTGGGCCGTCGGCGTGGGCTTCTGCGCTAAGTGGTCGCTTCACCTCTCCTGCGGACCAGCCCAGGCGAATTTCACAAGGCAAATGGCTACTTTGAGCATACCGAAAAGAAGGCAACGAGAGCGGTTACCCTTCTCAGAACTCCCATCGCCTTTCCATTTTGCGCCGCCGTAGTGCGAACCTTAGCCAACTAACCAGCAGGCTCCCCGCTTGTTGCTCTGTTCTTTAAGTATACTTCATAGAAATATCATGTTCTTGTCCCAGTGGTTACTTCTTCAGCTGCCGCAAGCCTCTGTCTCACGTGTACACACTTTTACACTCAGCCTCATCAATAAATCATTTCCGTTAACATCCTGTTCATTCGCCGCATGAAATGGCTGGCAGCCGGCGAGGTCGAGGCCGGCGAGCTGCACGGGTCGTTGGTCGAGACCAGCTTCCGCCTTGCAGCCCTGTGCATACCTTCGACACGCTCACACCTGACCACGCCTTTCTAGCTCCTCTGGAGTCCCGCCTTTGCAGACTTGGCGAATCGTTGCAGCAAATGAGACATGAATTTCTTGACTTGATCAAGCTCGTTACCGCAGCTAAATGCAGCAAACCATCTCGCCGAAGCGACCTGCGTCCAAGCTCTGTCCCATTGGGATCTTCTTCCCACCACGGCGCTCCAAATACTGGCGGCCCACAGCTTTCGACTACACTTCACGCTATTGAGAGAGCGCCTCCACTTGAAGCACTTAAAAATGCGTTTGAGCGAGATGTGGCAGAGGTCTTGCCCTCGTCAGACTCCCAGAAAATATCGACGAATGAATCTCGACATTCCCTCAAAAGACCCCTAGAGACATCAGCTGACGATGGTCCATCCGGCATGATGAAAACGTTCTGCATCGGCCCGGAAAGTTTGTTAGAAATCCAAGCTAGGAAAAAGGAACAGTACTCAAAAGAAAAGCAACAAGAAGTTCAAGCTATGAGGGCACGTGGAGCTTGCAACGATTGTCGACAAAACAAGCGCAGGGTTTGTTACTCCCGACAAGTATAGGCCGTCTTTCTAATTCCACTTCATTAGTGCAAATCAGACCACCCTCCTCCAGATAGTTCTTCAAAGGCGCAACGGCAGTCTTCGCGTGTGGGGTATGTGTATCTGTCAATCTTGCTTTTATTCATGAAAAGTAATCGTCCTCCAGCTCAAAATTGTCCGCCAGGTCCTTTCCTCAGTCTAGTAAGAGCGTCTTCTTTTCATTATACCTTGTTACCCATCTGTGTGCTCCCATGAACTATACCGCCTCGCCACAAGCCTGTGCACAATCGTCTACCGCTGCTGAGGATGCCTCCATAGGCTTTCAACCCTTCAGACGCGATGTACACATCTGATGCCGTGCGAATTGAGCTGCCTCTTGACTTTCTGGGCACGTCGCAGCTGGGCTACTCCTGACGGTGGTATGGAGCGAGCCAATGTCGAACTAAAGCGCTGCTATATTATGTGCCCAGACTTGTAGCCCAATACTCTACTAGCTGAAAGTTTACTGACCCGTATTACTCGATTCTAGGCACTCATACCGCAATATTCTGTCCCCGCTCCACACCTGAATTTCCTCCGCTCTTTTCTGGTCCCGAGTTCCGAAGGTCTTCATTACCCTCGCTGGCAAGTGAGCCAGCCACTGATCGACCAACGATGACGATGTACCGCAAGATACATGGAGAACCGAAGAGACTGTCGATAGATCATCACCAGAGCTTTGGTCAACCCCCGTCTTATGTTGGCATTGACATGGATACTGAACCTGTTCCGGGAGCTGGATACCCCCAGGTACCCGACCACAATTTGCTGGGTTCGGATGACGTCCTGGGGTTCCTCGGTGATCCTTTCACCCCATATATCCCAGGAATTGACTGGAACCACACTTTTGCACCGTAAACAACCTACAACACCCAGGAGCGCCTTCCAGGACTATACTTACCTGCAGCGGCAATGTTTCCATCGCTCAATTCATGCTCCACGGCATGCACATACCCAATTCCGGGACGTCAATCCTTGACATGTTATTCTCTCATTTCTCTACCGCCCAGGGAAGTTTTCCAGGACTATACATACCCGCAGCAACAATGTTCCCATCGCTCAGTACAAGCCCTACGGCATAGCCATGCCCAATTCCCAGCCTCCAATCCTCTACGTTCTGTTCTCTTATTTCTCCGTCACCCAGGGGTACCTCATCGTCCTATCTTGGCACCCAAAATTGAACTATCCACCACACGCGCAATTTACAGCCTCCGGTCCTTTACATTCTGTTTTCAAACTTTTCCATTGGTTAGAGGTGACTCACACCTCTATCTACCCCCGCAGGTTCAAAGTCTAGACCACTCGATTCACGCTTTATGTTATATAGTTCGTTGTGTCAGTTCTTAGAAGTTGTGTCACAAACAGTACGGTTAATAATAAAAGCCACATTTCATATATTTCGAACCACGATTGGTACCCTCTTCGGTTAATTCTTAGACCTTGCGTTACAAGTGGAAGCTGTTGAAGGAATATCACCAACGTCACTTTTAGTAACATTTCACAACAAGTCACATTTGAGCTATGATGAGCCAGATACCGGGGCCAACTCGTGTCGGATTATGCAGCTACTGTACAATGCTTAAGGCCTCCGCCCAGACGCCACCTGCCGTGCTCATGCCCAAGAGCGCCCAAAGGGGGTATATCAGGCCCACTTACCACGCCGTGTGGCCCCCATCAATCACCAGATTCGCGCCCGTCATGAACGAACTTGCGCGACTAAGCAGAAAGACCGCCGCCCCCCGGTACTCCCGAGGAGTACTCAGCCTCCCAAGCATGTTCTCCTTCTGCCACAACTCCTTCAAGCCCGGCTGCCGCTCGAAGTCCGCCATCACCATCGGCGTCAGGATATGGCCCGGAGAGATGCAGTTCACCCGAATACCCCCGCTCCCGTCCTCACGCACCCTACCCCACTCCATGGCCAGGTTGCGCGCAAGCTGGATAACGGCGGCCTTTGAGGAGTTGTAGACCGGGCACGTCAGGCCCTTGTTCGCGACAAGGCCGCTCATGCTGGCGATGAGGCAGATGGAGCCGCGGGACTTGTACCGCAGCATTTGGCGCGCGGCGGCGGTGGCGGAGGCAAAGACGCCGGTGTAGTTGATGCTCATCAGCCATTGAGCGTCGGCGACGGTGTGGTCGAGGGAGGGTTTGACCATCTGTTTGCCGGCGGCTACAGAGAGGGGTTAGCGAGTTGTGGAAAAATGGGAGTAAATGGAGTAAGCATACCTGCGATGAGGCCGTCGAGGCGGCAACGGTCTTCGGCGATGCGGGCGACGAGGTCTTCGAGGGCTGGTTGGTCGGTGACGTTGACCTGGTGGTAGTGAAGACTGCCGCCGAAAGGGACGGCGCGGGACTGGGCGGTGTACCAGGCGTCGTCGGGGTGGGGCAGGATGTCGAGGCAGTGGACTAGAGTGTGTGAGATTGTGTTCGAATTGTGAATGAAGGTGGTCTGTTTACCTTTGCCTCCAGCTTCAGCTAGGGCCTCTGCGAGGCAGAGTCCGAGACCGCGAGCGCCGCCTGGAGGAGTGAATTAGCTGGTTGTCACTTCTTCGAGTTGTGTGTTTGGGGGCTATTCGGCTTACCAGTGACAATGTAGACACCTCCGCTGAGGTCAAAGTCCCGGAGACGCTTGGTGTCAAACGCCTCGTGTGAGATATCGGGCACGATGGTCGTCCGGGTGGTCTCCTCCTCGTAACGGACCTTGAAGGCCGTAGCTGCGTTCAACTGGATGGGGCGCCATTGAGTCTGGTCACCGAGGTGCGTGAGTTGGTGTAGTGACAGAGCTGTCGAACGGACAGCAAGTCGAGAGCTAGAGGGGCAGGCGAGCGAAGGGAGGACGCGACTAGCAGCCATGCCAGCGCGGAGAGGAAGGAGAGGCATTGGAGTACTGCAAGTGCATGCAGTGTAGAAGGAAGCTGTAGAAAAGGCTGTGAAGAGTGTGAAAGAGGTTGATGGAAGCGTTGTTTCAGGGTTTCGAGGTGGTGGAGTGTGGAGTGTTTTGTGGCAGGGGCGAGAGCTTGATCAAAGAAAAGTATTTTTTTAAACCTCAAGCCCGCTCCCAATTGAAACGAAACACTTCACTCGCATGATGAATTTCACCTTCTCTGTTAGCAAAAGCAACGACTCATGATGTACGCCACACGACACGCTTGCTGGACGGACTTCCATTCACGGGACTGCTGGTTAAACAAGGCCAATGTCGTAGCTTCAAGCTGTGCGATACAGCTGCCAACACTTCACGATGTCGACTACTCCGGCGCATCATCAAAACTTGAAACAAAGACGTACGAGCCTAGACAGTGCGAATCAGAGCGGGTTCACGCGCTTCTGGTCCACGTCTCACTACCGTTGGTGGTCCAGCACATTATCAGAGATTTGGAAGAGTTCAGGAACAGTGGCAAAAAAGGTTGCACGGGCGAGCACTGTGATCAAGACTGTGGAACCAGTCGTCGGGTGGTGTGCTGCGATAGATTTTGGTTGACGTTGTTCTTACGGGAGATGTTGTTGGCGAGGCGGGTGGCTTTGAATAGCGCAGCTCCACTTCAAGTTTCCAACATCTATTAATCGCCACCGCTCCCTTTTACTGTTTCATCGAATCTTGCATCTGAGTACTCCTGGCATTGGGGTTCACAATACCATCAAGGGGTTGATGCTATTTCGTCAAATGCCATCCCGCGTTGAATCTCGTTCCAGGGTCTACGACGGGTTCTCTTTGTCATCGCAGTCCGAACGCCTGCAATTGGCTACCATACAACGGGAACGTACGAGAATTGTGTAGTGTTCCATCAGTGCTTACAGGTCTCCTCTTTTCAAGTGTTACGGGGTAGTGTTTCGACAGTTGACTATATTCTTATTAGGGGCTTCCACTTACGTTGGTTCATGTCCTCATAGACTCCTTGGTTACGTCCGTAAGCTCCACTGAACCAAATCTATAAGCTACGAACCTATCACTGCTCGATATAGTGTACCAAACTAGGTGGACATGGTCGAACATATTTAAGAAAGGAACCGCGATCTTTTTTGAACGAGCATAAGTCATATCTCTCATGACTTCGAGTTGATATTTCTTCATAGTCTAGACCTACTACACCGAACCCTCCGATGTGCCCTCAGACATGAGATTCGTTTAATTAGATCAAACAGTGTCCTTGATTGAAATACTCAGTTTTCCAGATAATTCGAACGGATAACGACAATGTCATCTCTCCCACAACTCCCCTACGCCCGCTGGCCCCTCGACTACTTCACCCTCTCCTACCTCATATCTGTCATCATCGTCACCATCGTCGTCTCGAGCGCCTGTGCCGCACCCAGCATCCGACAAGCCTCCCTCCCCCAATCGCTCGTCCTCTACGCCACTGGCATCCAACTCCTGCTAGTAAACATCTTGCACCTCTTCGCCATCCGCACACCAGTGCGCTTTTCCTCGACGTCGAGGGGCTCCGAACTCCCGCCCGGGACATTCGTCAATATGGAAGACGTGGTTGCAGTCGAGGGGGGAGGGGCCTAAGATTTCAGGAAAACGCTGAGGGAGAGGTTTGATGCGAGTCCGCGATTTAGAAGGTTAATGTGGGATTTGAATTGGTTTTGGGGCGTTGTGAGTTTGGGGACGGCGGTGGTGACAACGGTGGTGATCTATGAAGTGGATGATGTGGATGTTGCGTTTGCACTTGGTAAGTGTCATTCAGTTCGAGGTCGTTTCGAGTTCTGACAAATTGTACAGGATGGACGTGACCGTGGGTGGGTGGTGCGATTGGGACGTGTGTGACTATTCCTTGGGCTAAGAGGGAGTTGCGAAGAGAGGCTGAGGAGTTCGCGGGTAAGAGGTCGGATTTTAGTGGTGTCTAGGGCTTCAGTCAGTAGAATGAGATGTGGTCTGGTCTCGCATGTGCCCTCAAACTTATATCAGTCATGAGAAGAAAATGTCTTTGACAGTGTCAGTGCAACATCAAATGGGAAGTTGCTGCGAGAGGACTATAGCTCTTCAAATACACTTGATTTTACAATTATGTACCTTGATACGAACCCCGTTCGAACAGCTTTTGAGTGGTATGCCTAAATATCGAATTGCTTGATATCAGGCATCATACCCAGCCCACCTCCGCCGGTACCCTTCACCCCTTGCGCAAGGCCCTTCCCACTGACACCCGCCTCGCCTTCTGTCACACCTCCAGCGCTCCGATCCTTGACATGCTTCCTGAGAAGACTGAGGATTTCCGAGTTTCGCCAACGTGAAGGCACTGGCCGATACGCTGGCTTGAATGTGCCAACGGTCTGGGCCCACTCTCCAGTCCCAGGCGCCCTCTTCCACTCGTCTTGCAGTGCAGGTGCATCGCCCTGTGCAGAAGAAGTAGCCATGTCAGGACCCGAGCCCTCGGCGTATTCTTGTGATGTCGGGGTCGGTTGTTGAGTTGCCCAGTAGTAGATATCCCAGTCGTTCTCGTCGAGGAACAGATCAAATTGTTGGAGCTGCTGTGGTGTCATTTGCGCCAGGTTGGCGTCCGCGAAGGTGGAGAGGAGTAGGTCACTTTCGAGGGTTCCCCGTTTGCGACTCTGGTCTGTCATTCGATCGTTACGTCAGCAAATGTTTGTGATTAAAGGCACGAACGGAGCAATAGTAACGGACATAATAACCTCGCGCGGGTCGTGTTCGAATCCTCTCCAGTCCGTCTCAATGGCTCCACCTTGAATTTTGCGCCCTCCATCTCTCCTACCCCTAGCTCGGCATTTGAGCCACTTGCTTCGGAGCCAGATTGTGTACCACCAGTCATACGCTCGGTGTTCTCGGGAACCGAGTCCTTGGGATTGAAGTCTGGGTCGACCGAACTTAAGAACTCGGGTGGGGGTGCGTCGTTGCCTACATTCGGCATCTCATTTGCGATTGTGGAGTTGGTGTTTGTCATATGAGGATTGCTAGCTTTCTCAGCTTGCTTTCTCCTGTAATCCTCTGTGGTGTCGTGGCCGCGATCATTGAGGTTGAAGCGGGGAGTGTATGAAGAGAACGGACGAGAAAAGGTCGCGAGGGCCCGAGAAGAACGGAGGACAAGTCGAGCGGAGGCCATAGTTGCTATGTGAACAATTGAGGGCTCAGTATAAGATCAATTCGTTGAAGTGATGGGGAAAGAGTGAGGGGTGAAGCTCTTCGGATGGAACAAGTAATGATGACTTCATATGATCCTCGGCTCGTCCACCAGTAGTAGGTCGCTGACATAATACGCCATATAGCAAACTTTCATCAACCCCCACAACACACGATGCTTCATAGAACAAGAAATCGCATGTCGGCGATGACTGCCGTTCGGACTCACCGAATGGTGTCGAAGGGCCTGCGACGGCCATCATTGCGGTGGCAACGACGCAGGACTGAGACTTGTATCAATCTTCTGCTGCTAAATTTCGATCTCGATGCAACGGTTTGATCCACCATTCTGGGTATTCAGTAGCATTTGGCTCTTTTTCATAGCTGTATCTCTACTTGGTTCACTTCTCTCGATGTCTTGATTTCCTTTGTAATCTCTTTTTCGGTATAGTCTTCATTCCTGAGGTTTGCGACTGTTTGCGGATTGCAAACCACCTCGATTTTTCCGGCTTTACGGGAGAAAGACCAACCTTCTCTAAATTCAAGACTGCATCACATGAGCATGGTCTCTCGGTGTCTGGCCCCTTCCAGCCTTCAAGAGTGGCATTACAAGTGCCGAACGGTGCGGGCCGCACCGTCTGGAGGGATCTTTATCATCCCTACTCACAGCATGGACCCCAAAGTCCATATGCTCGTCGGAGTTTCAGCGCTGGGGCGGTTGTCTTATTCATTGTCGTAGGCCAAACAATAGCGATTGTGTTGCATCGTTACATCATTCGAGAAACTAACGTGAGGAATGTAAAGAGGCTGGGATCTGAGTCTGCTTGCGGAATTTATACCCGCCACCAACAGGCACGCTTCGCGACGAACTTCCCAGCCTCTCACTATTTGCTGCAAAGTTTGACATGTTGGCAACGTTTGTCAGGTCTTCAAACACTGCAGTCACGGGAAAGGGTATCTTCCCCCAGCATTCCTCGCCTAAGGCTAAAGTTAGAACCACCGCCGCCTGAGGAATGGTATCAGGACACTGGAGGCTGGATGGAATCGACAGAAATCACGCCGCCGAGTATATATCCTCGGAACATGTTTGTTTTCCATGTTTGTTTCCTGCATCATCGTGCATTGCATCGTTCCATATTTGCCCGCTGCATTACCGAGTCTGCAAGGTACCTTTTGCCTCATCACGCGTCCTTACCGCTTCCACTTGCTCCCTGCATCTACCAAAGATCTGATAAATACCTTCGCCACGCTCACACGTGAAAGAGGCGTGTCTCATCTTCATGGCCTCTGTACACCGACCGCAAATTGATCTCTCAATGCGGCCCGCCAACAACAAAGAAATGCATCTGTTCGAGCCGTATGATGATCTCTTTGATCAGTACGTTGAGACAGACCTGCTCCAGTTCAGCGACAATACACTGGAACAGCCAAGTTCCGACGATTTAGCAGGTCTCTTTGAGGACCCATCATCGAATGGGAGCGACCTCGTCGAAGCCTCGCCTATGCCGAGGAGGGAGGCAAGGACCAACGAAGCTTGGCATCAGGCCCTGCGACACCTCGAACAAAACCCAGCCTCGCCCGCTCTGCAGGACCACCAGTCTTCCGTCTACCCTGAATCTCGCGGAAGGGCTTCGGCTTCTGACCCTGAGATCTTCAGTGTAGACGAACTGTTTAGTCCCCTCTCAGAATCGTACTCTCGCATCTCTTCATCAACTCCTACAACTCCTACACCATCCGCATCAAAGGCCAAAACGAGAGCCGTCGCAAGCATTGCTCAGCCAATTGCTCGCAAATTTGCTAAAGGAATACGAAAAGCGACTCGAAAGCTGAGCGACTCGCCCAATCTGCCCAAGATGATGCGACCATCTCAGTATCACTCCGGGAGCTATCACAGTGGCTGGGCAAAGCGAATCGACACCGCATCAGATACATACAACTTACAATTACACAACAATGCGATGCCCGTATCACCACCCAGATCTGCGAAGCTTCCTCAGGCACAAATTTCGAATTCGTTTCTCTCGAATCGCGACGATTTCAGCCTCTCTGCAACTGTTGCCAACGACTTTGAAGACTCCAAACACGACCTCAACGACCACTCACATTACCAATTGACTCCTCTCTCATCACCAACAATAGATCACAACTCTGGCCATCGTCAGGCCTCCTTCAACTCTACGAATGACCACATTTCCTCAAGTTACTTCGGCCATCAGCTGGGCAATGAGGCTCTTTCAGCCTTGCAAACCCCGCCCCCATCACACAGACTCCCAATCGCCGCGTGGGGTCCCGACGCAACCGAGAACTTTGACTTCAATCTCCCAGCCTCGCCGGACTTTTCTCAATCCCAGAAGCCACAAGCATGGTGGCCCTCCAGTAGCGCGCCTCAGCCTTCCCCAGCCGCCTATCACAGTTCGCGAACTGAGAGCTCAGGCATGGGTTTCGACAGTGTCCCCGCGTCTGGCCTTGGGATTTCCTGTGATTTGAGCGGCTTTGGTGAGCCGGGTGCCTCTGCGTCGGCTTATGCGGTTCCTGCTACGCAGCTCTACACGTACGCGAATCCAATGCCGCCAGCGCACACGTACATTGCGACCACGCCGCCTTCGAGGTCGCCTTCTAGCTCCCCTCCACCTCATCGCGTCTCGAATCAGAGAACGTCGTCGAGGCATCGGCAACACAGTGGTCCTCATCATCGTCGCAAATCGAGCAACTCGAGCAATTCGGCTCCACGACCTGCCTCGGTAGGATTTGTGAACTTCACTCCAGATGATAGCCGGAAGATCTTGACAGGTGTTGCCCCGAGTGGCTCGTCAAAGACAAAGGCTAGAAGGGAGAAAGAAGCGGCTGAGAGGAGGAGGAAACTTAGCCAAGCGGCTACAAGGGCGATTATTGATGCAGGGGGAGATCTGGCGGAGCTGGAGAGAGAAGGTCTGTTATGTTTAGCAGCAGAAGAGTAGAAATTCTCCTTGCACGGTTCCAAAAGTGGAAGAAGGGTTCTTCTTGTAATGATTGTAGCGTTTATCACGCTTTTTGGGTTCTTGTGGTTTTGGCGCTTGGACTTGGTTTGTGGCACTATTTTGGTTCTTCATCTAGGAGAGTAATGCGTACAGACAATACGAGAAGCATACATACTCAATTACAGTTACACGATGAATTAATTCTCCACCGTCTCTGATTGGCCTTTATAACGTCCCAACTTATCTAAATACCTAATACTATGTCAGAGCTTCTAGACGGTGTTAAACAAGTGTGCAAGAACAAGACCAGTAGGCCTGAACCACCAGGGCTTTAATTGATGTCACGCAAAATTCTTTCTGATCGTGGAGCAGCCAACGCGATCGCGTTAAGCTGCGATATTATCGAGACGATGGTTCTGAGAAATCTTGGGCGAGCTGCGCCTCGATAGAATAGAATACGGCAGCAGCAGCCTTCACTAGCTTGCATCAGTTTAGCTGCAGCGCAACGCTCTCAGCCCACTCCGCCAGATGCCTGCTGATGACTTGCCTGCAAGACACAAACCTTCTGAAGATATCATGTCAATCACTACCGAATTAAAACTTCACCAGTTCCTATCCTCGAAGGACATACCCTGCGATGAGATTGAGGTCGCTGCTGGAGGGTCAGCCAACTTCTGTTGGCGTATCACGACACAACTCGGCAAGCGCAGCATCGCGAAACATGCGGAGCCTTACGTTCGCATAATGCCTGATGTCCCACTACCTGTCGAAAGGATGGACTACGAGCACTTAGCCTTGATAACTATACCGGACATAGTCTCCACGAACGAACACATTCGCCTGCCGCAACTGTACAACTACTTTCCTGAAGAGCATGTTATATGTATGTCTGACGGGGGATCGCAAGATCTCAAAGAAAGCTACAAAAAAGACGACGACATCGATATCCCCCTCCTAGGCTGGAGGATAGGCGTTTGGCTGGCGAGACTGCATAGGGAGACTTCAGAGCCGGAAACGCTAGAATTTGTCAAGAGGACGTTCGACAGTGAAGTTGCAAAGTCCGTCTTCAGATACACCTACAACGGTCTAGTCGCTGTCCTGAAACAACACGGCCACGATCCTGCTCTCGGAGAGCGCATCAACGCCAAATTCGGCACTGAAGCTGCTTCAGAGAGAACGTGTCTCTGCCATGGTGATTTTTGGCTGCCCAACATCCAGCTCGAGAACCAGGATCCTGCTATCAAAGTAGAAGAAGAGGAAGAGATAAAGCTGCGGGCACCAGTGCTGACAGTTATCGATTGGGAAAGTGTCCGTGTGGGAAACGGCGCCACTGATGTTGGGCGATTTGCTGCAGACTCATGGCTGCTAGATCGCTTTCACGGTGGCAAGGGATTGCTCGAAGCTTTTCTGAAGGCATATCTAAGCGAACATCCATTGAAGCAGCGTGACAAGGTCCGACTTGTTGTGCACTTCGCTGTGCATATTATCTTCTACTCGAGGATGAGGTGGACGGATGGGGAAGGCACAGCGAAACTCGTACAGCTAGGGAAAGCGATGCTTGAGGCTGTGGAAACAGAAGACTTGAAAAGCTTAATCACGGGACCATTGGCACAGCTGTTTAGTGAATCAAAGTAACGTTAGTCACTAGGTTACGACATCTTCCATCTGGCAGCTCGTAATGAGCTCAAAAATCCAGAGTTAACAGAACGCGGCTTGCACTCGCCGATTGCGATGAAGTACCTATAGCTTGGCTCGCCACGGAGGGCGGCGCGCTACCCAGGGACGGATACTACATAGGCTGCAACAGAAGACAGTTTGTGCTCCTAACGGGTGACCGGGCGGCTCTTGCATTGTCCTCCCGATGTGGTAATCGATGCACGGGCCAACACTCTTCTTACTTGCCAGACAACGTCCATCTCCCATCCTCTTCACAGCAAACATCCAGCATTACTTCCAAAGTTTCAGCGGGAGGCTTCTGTTTTACCAAAGGCCTTCAATTGTGAGAACTTTGCACAGGAAGATCTTCTTTGCACCCTTCACTAACTTACCAGACTCACATCACGCTCCGCTCGTCGGACTTCTACGCGTCAGAATCCTACCTTGTCAGCTGTCTTACAGGAGATAATAGCGATGGACAGCATGGCTACTTTTTATGTTAATGGAACGGAACAACCTGAAGTTCAAAACACTGACGAGGTTGTCAACGGAGTTGGCCCTGTTCTCCCTCCGATTCCAAGATATGGTCTTCAATTCCACATAGTACATCGCCTGCTCATTGAGCCGCATCTTCAAAGAGAATTCCGCGATTTAGCATATCCATTCACGACACTCACTTTTGCCACTTCATTGGACTCATCGCTCGCCCTGTCCCCCGGAACCCAAACAGCTCTCTCTGGTCCAGAGTCCAAAGCCATGACTCACTATCTGCGCTCCCGACATGACGCCATTCTCGTGGGTGTGGGCACAGCGATAGCGGACGACCCGAGTTTAAACTGTCGTTTGGAAGGCGTTGGCGGATACGGTGGTGATGGGTTGATCGGACAGCCTCGTCCCATCATCCTGGACCCGAACGCTCGATGGGACTTCTCTGAAGCCTCAAAGGTCATGGTTCTCGCGGCTCGGGGGCAAGGAAAGGCACCCTACATTATTTGCCTAAAGGAGCCGCCAGAAGACAAACGCGCCATCTTAGAGAGTGTGGGTGGCAAGTTCATCCGTCTAAGCTCAGACGCTGCGACCGAGGACGGAAAAGTTGATTGGCAAGAGATCCTCTGGACTTTGACTCGTCAAGGAATTAAGAGTGTCATGATAGAGGGAGGTGGAACTATCATCAACGATCTACTGGAAGTATCGCGCCAACATCTAGTTGACTCCATCATTGTCACGGTAGCCCCCACGTGGCTTGGACAGGGTGGAGTGGTGGTTTCGCCTCCACGAAGGATCGATGCCGATGGGGATCCCGTACCTGCTCTCAAGCTGAAGGACGTCAAGTGGTTTCAGCTTGGGGATGACATGGTCTTATTGGGGAGGCCGTCAGACAGTGTTCGTGGCGAGAACAATGTGGAGTGAGTGGTGATATCCCCTCTAGTTTTTCTAGCGTTGGCCAGCCCGAACCTGTCGTAAGGCCGAAGGAGCTGATGTGGTGCTCGTTCGGAAGCGACATGCTCAGCGGGAAGACATGCTCACAGTATCAATGAAATAGCCTTGATAAATTCACCTTTGATGGCCACATCACGTGACATTTGGATCCTGAATGACTTTTGGAATCGTGACTTTGAGAGAAGGATCCAACCAAAACATTGGTATCTAATGTGAAGCGCTTAAATGCCCCTGAACAGTCTAGACGGAGTGATCGTGACAGTCCACATTCACCACTTTAAGGTGGTGCTGCCTGGTGGCGGGGTTTCCTCGGTCAAATCGCCTTTCGACAAGATCCCTCGACCAGCAATCACTCACAGCAGCCTTGTCTCTCACTTCTACCTCTCCCACGGCCTTCCATACCTCGCGGATCTCAGTTATTCGCTCGACTTGATCGAACCCTCACTTTCCCACGCGCTATTCTATCCTTGTTTTTCACGGCATCAACGCCGCAGCCCACCCCACCACCCCACTACCTCTGGTCCAACCCTCCAACAACGGGCAAGATGCTCAAGATATGGTCTATGGTAGGTTCCGATATTCTGTTCCCCAAACAGTCGGGATTCGTGTTTGCGACAACCACAGCACAAAGTCTCCTCATCAAGATCGCTGACCCTCCCACAGAAGCAGAAGCAGCAGCAGGATGAGTCTGCTGCGACAGGACCGAAGAAGAAGAAGGTCACCGCTGCGCAGCTGCGAGTCCAGAAAGGTGTGTGCAGCCCTTTTAGCGATTCCCAAGGCAACGTCACTGCAAGAACTCGACTAACGGTAGTCACGCATAGATCTCTCGGAGCTATCACTAGGCTCAACCATGAAGACCGACTTTCCCAACCCCGACGACATTCTAAACTTTACCCTGACAATCGAGCCGGACGAGGGCATGTACAAAGGCGGCCGCTTCAACTTCAACTTCGCCATCAACCAGAACTTCCCACACGACCCGCCAAAGGTCAAGTGCACTCAGAAGATCTACCACCCGAACATCGATCTAGAGGGCAACGTCTGCTTGAACATTCTCAGGGAGGACTGGAAGCCGGTGTTAAACCTGAACGCGGTGATCGTGGGACTGCAGGTGGGCTGAAAAACGGATACGCGAACGAATATGCAGGAATGCTAACAGGCAGACAGTTTCTCTTCCTGGAACCAAATGCGTCCGACCCGCTAAACAAGGAGGCTGCCGAAGACCTCAAGTCGAACCGAGAAGGCTTCAAGCGCAACGTGCGGTCAGCCATGGGAGGAGGCGCCGTCAAGGGCCAGTCATACGAGCGCGTCCTCAAATGAGGGTTGAGATAATGCAGACTGGCGGGGTGTTGATTTTGACGAGATCATAGCGAGCATCTGCTATTCGGAGTCTTGGGTTTGGGGCGTACATACTCGGGGTGTCCCGATACTCTGGTCGGTGAACTATGCAGCTTTACATGAAGGGCAGATTTCGGGTTTGGTTGAGCGGTTGGCAAATTCTAGAGCAGAGATCTGAGGCCGTCGCATAGAACGCATGGATATATCAGTCTATTTCAATCTATTTCAATTCATATATGCAAGTAATCCGCGCACGTGACGAGCTCAGACTCATCCGGGGAGAAAATGTCTTCTCCGGCCGGCATCGGCGGTGAGCCAGGGCTGGAGCATCTCGACTCAATTCTCGGACGTCTGAAAAATACCATATAAGCTGGCGCCCCTCCCCTCTCCACGCAAACTCGTCACTTTTCACACACACACAATGGCTGCCCGTCAATCAAGCAGAGCTCTACGCAGCTCCGTCAAGCAATTGGCGTCTGCCCCCGTCGTCCAGAGGCGCACTTTCGTCTCGGCCCTCAGCGCTGCCAGAGCTGGCTTTGCAGTTGCACCAAAAGCTGCTGTCTCCTCTCCCTTCCAACAGACTCGTGGTATCAAGACTATTGATTTTGCGGGCACTAAGGAGACCGTTTACGGTAGAATTAGCTTTCGATCAGCTTATGGACCCCGCTAATAGACGTCAACAGAGCGCGACGACTGGCCGAGGGAAAAGCTTCTTGTGAGTCACTGCTGACGACAGCAATTATCTATGTGCTCTAGGACTATAGTACTAATAACTGGGTCCAGGAATACTTCAAGGACGACACCCTCGCCCTCATCGGCTACGGATCGCAAGGTCACGGCCAGGGCCTGAACCTCCGCGACAATGGCCTCAACGTCATTGTCGGTGTGCGGAAGAACGGCGCCTCGTGGAAGGAGGCCGAGCAGGATGGCTGGATCCCCGGCAAGAACCTGTTCGACATTGACGAGGCCATCTCCAAGGGCACTATCATCATGAACTTGCTCTCCGACGCTGCTCAGAGCGAGACCTGGCCCGCCATCAAGCCTCAATTGGTGAAGGGAAAGGTGCGTGGCTCATGTCCTGAAATAACAGTAAACAGGCTAACATAAAATTAGACTCTATACTTCTCCCACGGCTTCTCCCCGGTCTTCAAGGACCTCACCAAGGTGGACGTCCCCAAGGACATCGACGTCATCCTCTGCGCCCCCAAGGGCTCCGGCCGCACCGTCCGAACCCTCTTCCGCGAGGGCCGTGGTATCAACTCCTCCGTTGCCGTCTACCAGGACGTGACCGGCAAGGCTGAGGAGAAGGTCGTTGCCCTCGGCGTGGCCGTCGGCTCCGGATACCTCTACAAGACCACCTTCGAGAAGGAGGTGTGGTCCGACCTGTACGGCGAGCGTGGCTGCCTGATGGGTGGAATCCACGGCATGTTCCTCGCCCAGTACGAGGTTCTCCGCGAGCGGGGCCACAGCCCCAGCGAGGCCTTCAACGAGACCGTCGAGGAGGCCACCCAGAGCTTGTACCCCTTGATCGGCGCTAACGGCATGGACTACATGTACGCAGCCTGCTCGACCACTGCCAGGCGTGGTGCCATTGACTGGAGCAAGCGCTTCAAGGATATCCTGAAGCCTGTCTTCAACGACCTGTATGACTCGGTTAAGGATGGATCTGAGACTGCGAGGTCTCTGGAGTACAACAGCCGCCCGGATTACCGCGAGCTGTACAACAAAGAGATGGCTGAGATTGCTGACTTGGAGATCTGGAGGGCTGGCAAGGCCGTGCGGTACGTTCAATTCCCCCATCCACCTCATACCTACGAATTTTACTGATAGGCAATAGATCTCTCCGCCCCGAAAACCAGAAGTAGATTTCCCCTACCTAATAACCTCAAAGCGAAAACAAAACAAAGACTTGGAGAATGGTCTGAGCAGAGCGAAGAGGCTCTCGAATAAGTCCCGTGAAATCTGTAGATTACGATCTGGGACGGCACTGGCGTTTTCTTCCTCCGATTCTAGCTTGGGCGTGGATATTTGGCTTGGCTTGATTACACACGCCTCTTCTGTATCTATCGGAGCGGATTGAAAAGTGTCTCTTTTCGTGGTCAAAATCCAAATACCTCAACCTGTTTCTCGCCATCTAAACGTCTTGCACGTGAAACCTTACTTGTCTGTCTAGCTTCTATGCCACGCATCCCTCAAACATCTGCTCCTCCGCAGCGACCCTTTCTGCCCTCTTTCCGCCATTTTGTGATTGCACCGAAGTCTCGCACCGCTCTCGTCTCTCTCTCTCTCTCTCTCTCTCTCTCTTTCTCTCTCTCCTTTCGCACGCGTACCATGTCTGAAACCGTCGTTCTGCTTGCCTATACGTCTCCGCGGCCATTATGAAGGTGTAGTTGATAAGTGAAATTAGACTTCAAGTTCGGGCTTACTGATGAAGTATTACTACCCAAAAAAAGGGGGAAATCAAAGAAAGACGAATGAGGAGGGGTGGAGGTCAGTCAGTGCTAGAACGAAGCGGGTATACTAGTACATACAAAAACCGGCGGCGGAGCCATCAAACGGCCGAAGTGATACAACGAACCGTGCCTATTTTCCGATCAAGAGGGTTTTCTTCCCCCCCCCCCCCCGAACTCTCTGGCTCTGGCTCTGGCTCTGGCTCTGACTCTCGACCCACCCACCCACCCACCCACCCCTCCCACAACGCCCCAGGCATCCGCTCCCTCCGCACCGCCTGGATCCCCGCTAGCCACCCCGCTGCCCCCGCTGCGCCCAGCACGCCATGCGCGACACACGCTTCCAACGCGCGCCCGACGCCCCCAAACGCCCCCAGGTCGACAAAGACGGGCCAGTTGTCCAACGCCCGGAAGACGATCAGCAGCTCCATCGTCAACCACGCCGCCCCCCACCACCCCCTCCCCCTCCCGCCATCCAGGATCGCGCCATTCAGGTTCCAGAAAAACACGCTCTTCGCGCCGTCGGCCGGGTCGGTTCGCTCGACTACAACGACGTCGCCGTCGCCGTCCACTTGCTTAACGGCGGGGGAGTCGGCGCGGCGCCATTCGTGCCGCACGCCCCGCGGGACGGTCACTTCGATGCCCGTGCCGTCGGGGGGTGCGGTTAGGATCGTGGTGGCGGTGCCGAGGCGCAGCGAGATGGAGCCGTGCAGGAGGCGGAGGTATTCGGTGTGGGTGGTGTGGTAGTGGAGGCCGCTGGTCCAGGTTGAGTTGGGCTGGGGAGGGGAGGGGGGCGTTAGTGGGGTTGATGGGGGGTGTTATAAGAGCGATTGAAGGGGAGATTGGATGGGAGGTGAAGAGATTAGACTTTTAAGGGATAGGTAGATGCTATAGAGATTGGTTGGATTGGAAGGAGGTGGAGGTTGGGGGTGAGATGGATGGGAGCTAAGAAGTGGGATTGACGGAGGTGGGCTGGGGGAAGGGAAAGGGACGTACGGGGAGGGTTATGGTGGTTTGAGTGGGAGAGGAGAGGTCGTAGACCACCGCGTTTGGGGGAGGGCGGGTGATTGTGGGGTTGGAGGGGTTGAGTGGCATTTTCTAGTGCGTCCGAAACACCTCTTTCGACCCGTCAAGATTTCTGATCTTGAATTCTCGGGCAGAGGGCTGGGAATGAGGCTTCCTGGCCCTGAGCTCTCGGACAGGAGATTTGGAAGGAGGCTGTGGCGGTGGAGGAGATTTTGGTTGAGGGGTAGGCGGCTGTGAAAGTTCGCGGGATTTCCAAATGGATTTGACGAAGGCGGTGATGCGATCAAAGAGGTGTTTTATAAAAAGGAACGTTTGGGTAAAGAAGTGAATGATGTATAGGATAGGGTATGTGAGGCTCATTTAGCTTCGAATAGAATACCTCAAAATCTTAGAAAGAACGCTGGACGCTGAAACTGGATAGATTATATGACTTTTTAGATTGAGAGACTAGACTATAGAAAGGAGGTCGATTACAGATACTCAGTGCTCGGTATGCAAGCTTTCAAATGCGTGGTGAGAAACAAGGTAGCACGACCAACAGTAAAAATCGGCACGATGACTGCCGAAGCTCCCGAAGGCGAGGTTCGCGAGTGCGGAAACGTTCCGCACCGCCGTCTCACCAGGCCAACTTCATCCCACGCCGACGCAGAATCAGTCGTTCTTGGCACTTGTAAAGCAGCGGTAGAGCCCTATAGACTAGCCAAGCGTATCGTAGATGAGAGGGTTAGCGGCGGTTTACTAACATATTCATCTTGTGTAAAAGACCCTATACGACCTCTTTCTCAATTCAGGCAAGTAAAGCCGTGGATTGTCCTAGCCATGGGTTTGGATCCTTTGGGTCGTATATAGAAATTAGGCGGACCATGCAAGGCTGTGGGACCCCTACTCGTAGGATTCAAGGAGAGCGTAGCAATGGGGTCCAGAGTCAATCTCAAGAAAAGGTGACGTCGTATAGGTATTGCGTGTTCACGATCACGACATCAATTAGGTATTCATGTTCTTTGAAGTTGTCTCTCATTGCATACACCATACGAAATTACACTTTGGTGTCAGCCAGTTCACCCCGTCCCTCACATCGACTTCTCCCTCTACATCTCAATCTCCACCACCTGATTCAACTTGATCGGTATCGAAAAACCCTTCTCCCGTAAAAACAACAAAGCAAAATGCCCAAAAGCTCGATGCAGTGACACAAAAGAAAACAAGATGCCGTTAACCGCTCTCTCGCTCAATCCCTCTCTGCTCTGCTGGCTGGCAGTGAAAAAAAAGAAAGGCTATTAAAAGCTAACCCATAATACACGAGCATTATCCGTCTGATCTGTCGCCAATCACAGGGGGACTGCCTCTAAAATTGTAAAAGTTTTGACTCTTGTTGTGACGCACGCTGGAACCGTCGAGAGAGGAAAGGAGGAAACACAGCCAGCCAGCTGGATTCAGAAGGACCCGCATCAAACGCCGAGAAACTCGAGATGGCAAAGAGAACGCACATACACGCACGCCGTCGCTCGCCCGCTTTTTAGTTTCGTAAGTAGAGATAGTGGTGCTTCTCTACCTCTTCCGGAAGCAGAAGAAGATACCGCTGCGGCCCAAGAACCACAAGCAGCCCAAGAAGCGGACGAGGGCGAGGGCGGCGGTGGCCCACAGGAGGGCGCGGAAGAAGTTGGCTGTGCGTTGGCTGGCGCCAGACTAGACCAATTGTTAGCATTTGTACATTCTGCAGAGTGGGCGGAGGGAAACATACCGAGAATCCGAACTTGTCAAAGCTATCGCTGGTAATCACAACCGCAAGGAGAGCATTGGAGAAAATCCAAGCAGTGGTCAAATGGGTTCGGAAAGACTTGTACGAATCCTCTAGAGTCTTCTCGGTGCTTTCCACTGGCGCAATATAGGGAGCCAAAGCTCGCTTGACGGTAGCCTCGAACTGAGAGTCAATATCCGCTTGTGGAAGATCCGGTTCCTCGATGACTGTTGATTTGCCGTCGGATGCCTTCTCTGTCTTGGCTGATGGAAGCGCTTCAGCCTTGTCCGAACCCTTGGTACCCCAAGAAACATCGTGCCAATTGCTGAAGGCGTAGACATTGAGAATGTTGATGTACGAGCTCATGACTAGGAGATATTGCGGGAATGAGGTGAACATGTGCCATGGGTCCAAGTACAGGAACGAGGCAACGAAGTACAGGCCAAAGGTGGCAGCCAAGGCAATGATGATGATACCAACACCATCTGAGGAGAAGAATGATTTGACAAAGTCCTTGGTGCTGTCCGTGTCCAGTTTTTGCGACTTGGGACTAGTGAAGGCCTGAACCACAAGGTACATGGATAAAATGATGACGTAGAGTTGAATGAAGCCAAAGACGATGAATGAGGTCATGTAACTCCAGCGAGAACCCTTGGGCCTGTTTCCGAGAGCCAGAATGAACTGCAGGAGGAGGAAGGCAAGGTACAGGTACTTGAGGACGGTGTTGAAGATGTTGGTTCCAGTTTGACCGAATGGCCAGCCCGTTTTGCTAGGGTCTTCAGCTGCATTGCCGACAAGATCCATGATGACAGAGGTCGTAAGCCAGAAAGAAGCTGCGGGAGATTAGCGGAGAATCTAGTAAAAACAGGAATTAGACTTACCGAGAGCAAACCAGGAGAGGAAGACAGTGAAGACATTATAAATCATCTGAATGTGGAAGAAGAACATGCGAATGATGTTGTGGCCACTCTTGTACATTCGACCGAAATGCATCAAGGAGTAGATACTGGCGGCGAAGGAACCGTTTAGCCAACGACGACGCTGACCGATGAACTCTGCAGCACCTTCTGGCACATCGGTTTCACCCTTGGAGGCCTTGACGTAGGTCAAATGCCACTTGGAGCCGGCCTTGGCGACCAGCTCGAAACAGAGGATACGATCCTCGGCCAAGAACATGTTCTTCTTGAAAATGTTCATACCCTCGATACCCTTCTTTCCAAGGATCTTGGAGAGAGTGTGGTCGCCGTGGAAATACTGCTCCAATGGCCTGCCCATGATGGCGCGGAATCGGTAAGCAGAGAAGGCACCGGGCAACACACTGACGTAGCCGAAGGAGGATTCCAGCGGCTTGTCGAGAATGTTACTGATCTTGTACTCGAAGTTCTGGGCGGCGACCAGGGGATTCAGCAGGTTCTTCCAGCCCTTACCCAACATGGCGTGAATTTCACCACAAGCACCTCCAAGATCCTTGTCGTTGTAGAAACCTTCCCAGAGCGCGAGCAGCGACTTGGGGCCAGGCTTCGTACCGGCGTCGAGAAGAATGCAGACTTCGGGGTTGAGAATGCGACCAAAGGCGGTGAACAGCCATCGATGGGAGTTGATCTTCTTGCTATTCTTCTGCTTCAAGCAGAACATCATCTGCACGGGGGGTAGAGTGCTGGCACTATCGTCGTGTGGTCGGATCAACTGCTGGTTGGCCGTGACGGAGAGCTGAGTGGTGTACTCGAACTGGAGACTGTTAGAATGGGAATTAGCTGGACCCGAGGGATCCGCTTACGATATGAGCAACGGTCTCCTTGCCGTCAATATCCTTCTTCATGACACCGTCTTGGTAGATACCGACGGTCGCGAGGAGATCGAGGGTGCCCTTGTCGCAGGGGTCAATACCGTCGAAAACCAAGCACACGACAATCTTCTGCCACGCTGGACCACCCTTGTTCCAGAACTCGGATTTCTTCAAGTTGACAATATCACGAATGTTCTGCATGACACCGTGGAGCGTCCGCGCAGTCAAGACCTTGTCTTCATTGTAGTATGTGATGGCAATGAGCAACTCGGTGTGCCGGTTGTACATGGCGGGCCGAAGATTGTAGCCGTTCTTGAGTGTGAAGTCATTGGGATCGCAGGTCGCAGCGGTGTCTGCAGCACGTCAGCTCGGTTTTCACGTCAATTCTATCACCAGTATATACGCACATCGCATGTGGGTGAACTCCTCGCTGCCGCTCTCCAGGTCGTTTCGGTATTTGGCCTGCACCGCGTTCTGGATGGCGCTGGGCACGGGGTAATCGGCGCTCAGGACGGAGCCTTGCACGAGCTTGACCTTGCGAGTCTGGGCACGCTTGAGGCCGCCAGCCATTCCGCCGCCGGGCTGCTGGCGCTGTCGCCATGCCTCGGTGGAGCTGGTCTCGCTCCTCGAGTACGGCGAGGGGGCGCGGCCAGGAACGCCGTAGGATTGCGAGGGGTCCTCCATGTGGCTGCCGGCGTAGACCTCAGGGCCCTCGTGGTAGCCGGTCTGGTAAGGGGTGCCTCGCGTCGAGGGGTTGCTGCTGTCGGCATATGTCTCGGTCAGGCTGTAGGTGGAATTGGGGCGCACTTCGGGGTCGCCATGGAGGTAACGCGCGTCCGGATCGTCGAAGGGGCCCGGGTTGACGCCCGTGGGATTAGAGTGGAGCAGCGAGCGCTCAACCTCGTCGTCGTCGGACCCGGTGTGGTGAGGCGGGGCATCGTAGTGCTGCTGGCCGGGTCAGTAAGGTCGTGGCAGCGCAGAGGGAGAGAGGCCTGACCTGTGCGTGAGGGTCGCCGTATCCGCCGGGGCCCTGGTATGCCATGGTGGTGAGGTTGCTCAGACGGCAGCCGTGGCGGCAGAGGTGGGGAGCAGGGCGAGGGCAGCAGCGGTGGAGAGATAGGGAGCGATGGATTCCACTCGGGGGGGCAGCTGATATGTAGTGGTGGTGAGAAGTTCGGGGACGCTGCAGCTGAAGAGGAGGTTCGCTGCGCTTGGACGCGAGTGGACTGGCGGCGCTGGGGCTGGGATTAGGGCCTGTCCTCTCTGTCGCGCTTGGATGGCCGCTGAGGCCAGTGAAACGCCATCAGAATGCCCTCAGCCTTGTTTCGAATACACGCCGCCAGCTCCTTTCATCACCGTCACCCGCCGCTCCGCTGCAACCCTCTCTGTGCCCTCCGCGTGCCCCTTTTCGGCGCCAACATAAACAAGAAGTTGGCCGGCGATCAACTATCCGCGAGCATCCCCAGACTGCCTGAGCGCTGGCTGCTGTGGCGTCTGCAACAACACCAGCGGCCGCCCAAAAATAGCCCACCGCCTTATTCAGCTGCTCTAAGCTCCATCCAGGCCGTCGCAGGCGTCGCACGGGCACGCCGTGAGCCAGCGCCAGCGCTAGCTGCTTTCGCCGCCGGGTGCTGACGCTGCTCAGCCTCACATCGCTTTTTCCTCTCCCCACCGCTCCCACAGCACCAGTCCAGAGGGCCAGGCCGGCACCCTGAGTCCCTCTTCTGCTCGGCCTGTGGTAGCGAACAGTGGGAGCGCCGTGGGTCGCCCGCCGCCCGTGGCTAAGCACCCTGAGTCCCAGTACTCACATCTCACTGCATACCACTTCCGCCCAGCTGAGCTCGTTTGCTGCGGGCTTCCGAGATCTGTCCAGGTTCCTATCTTGGGACATCTGCAAATCTCGCTGCTTAGGTAAACGCTGCACCTTGTTCTGTTCTCGACGACGGTGGCCTGGAGTGGCTGCTGTCTGCCAGACCTGCATCTCCTTGCCCTCCCATTCCTCCAGGAAGGCCTGCGTTCGCCTCTGCGGTCTCCATCCCTGCGCAGATCCCGGCTTGGCAAACCGACGTGCCATCAACGGCTACTACCGCTCGTGGAGTGCCTTTTTTTCACAGCACAGCATGAGACATGTGGGTGTCGAATTTCAGAATTCCTCTCGCATCTCTAGACCATTTCTAGCTAGTCGTACATAGTCAAGCTTCAATCTCAGATTCATGTTTCCTGAATAGTTCAACATGTGACGTCGCCACGCACCACCTAGGCGTGTTCACCACCACGTTGTGGCTGCTTCTTGCTTCTTGCCGCTTCCCTTCACAATTCCAGCTACCTCATCTCCCGTGAGATCCATATTCACTTCTACAGTATCCCGACATCTCACTTCCAGATTACTAACGGGCCCTGCAGTAGCACTCCCGTAGCGCCCGTTCCGAGTCACTGGCAGCCAGTCTTCACCGCCCGCCCCCACCAATTCTCACCGCCACACTGTTCCACACGTCAGCCCTATCACCTCTCGAGAACGCCTCCAAGACAGGCATGGCTCCAGCCACGCCTTCGAGAATGTTGCCCAAGTCCGTCCACCACCGCAACAATGCTGCCACCGCCTCAGCCACTGTCGCCTTGCACCCCCCGGACCCTCACTCGGATCCCTACACCGAAGACGACACCACCACCGGCGTCCACTCATTCAACCACCCCCCGCACCCTATCCCAGAGCCCAACTACGACAACACCACAACCCTAGTCATCGTCTGCTGCCACGCCATCTTCACCCCGGACCCCTCCCTCCCCAGCTTCCCCCTCTACTCGCCCTACAGCGAATCAAACTGGCTCCTCGCCCCCTTCCAACGCTCCAACCCCTCGTCCGGCAAACCCAGCGAGCATGAAACCTTCCTCGCCCACCTCGCCGCCGGCCTCGACGCCCTCACCACCGAAGCCTGGACCAGGCAGACCCTCCTCGTCCTCAGCGGCGGCGCGACCAAGCAAGACGTCACTGAGCTCAGTGAAGCACGATCCTACTACCACGCCGCTCTCGCGACCAGCCTAGCTGCCGGCGAGCGCGGGGGTGGGTTCCCAACGCGTGCTTTTGAGGAGGGACGGATTCTGCTGGAGGAATATGCGACGGATTCCTACCAGAATCTGCTCTTTCCGATTCTGCTCTTCCGGCGAAGGACCGGTAGATATCCGAAGCAGATCCGCGTCGTCACGCATGCGTTCAAGGCGAGGCGGTTCTTGGAGCTGCATGCGAGGGCGATTAGGTGGCCGAAGGACCGCGTGAGGGTGCAGGGGATTGATCCGGTCATGTCGGCGCAGGAGCTTGCGGAGACGGCGGAGGGAGAGGAGAAGCTGGGATATGGGCCGTGGGTTGATGATTCGTATGGTGTTGGGGAGGTCTTGGCAAAGAAGAGGAAGGGTAGGGGCTGGGATGAGGAAGTCGTGAAGGAGATAGGAGAGGGACTGGAGGAGAGCGTGAAGGTTCTTCTGGGCGGGAAGGAGCCGGATGATGAGTTGCCGTGGGAGGTTCTGGATGGTGCGAACGTTGACACCAGGGGTGACGGGGGATTAGTGGCTAAGGCGGGTAGCACTGCGGCTGCTACCAGCCCGGAGCCACTAGTTGCTACGAAGGGGAAATGAGGCGCAAGGTGTAGCCCGTCTTGGGAAGTTCGGCAAAGGCACCGTAGGATTATGTGCAAAGCCCGAGCAGCTGCGCAAGGAGATTGAGAACATCCAGCGTCATCGGAAAGTTTGGGAAATGATCCAGCTTGCTGGAAGATGCGTCGAGAGAAATACGCGCACCCTTGTGGCCTATCGAGTGAGCCACTCGCCAAGCTGCTTACTCACTGTCACGAGAGTTGCTTCTACTCTCAAGTCCTGTCGTAATATAAATACACCTAGGTAGGTCTTGCTTCTCCCTCCGACACGTTTTCGAAACTGTGAAAAATAGTCTTGGGTTTATCAACAACGAGCCCCCCTCCGCGTGATGGAAGAGAGGGAGAGATCAAAACGACAAATACGTCACCCAATGGGAGTGCGGGTGGTGTGGTGCCAATATCGTTGCTCAGTGACGTTCACTACCTCTACGCCATTCTAGATATCACCGAATTCATGTCTTATTTATCCCTATCTTTCCTCTCTTTCTAACATCATTTCTATATTTCCATGCTCTCCATCACCATCCTTCCCTATCCACCTCCATTTCCGACTCGCTCTCGCTCGATTGCTCCTCCACTCCATCATGCGTTGCGAAGCGTGATTTTAAACACTACTCCTCTATTCGATAGCGTAAAGACGGTTTTTGATCACTCCCCCGGAGCTGGACATCAAATACCAGAATACTTGTTTTGATGTCCAGCTCCTCGACCTCTGGGGGTTGGAAGATGGGGGCGGAGGGGGTTTTATAGGTTAACAGATGGAGGAGGTAGGGGGGCACGTGGAACGCTCGTGATTATTGTGGGTGGGGAGTGCGAGAGAATGTCCTGGAATAAAGGAAGCAGATGCGGTAAGGGGGCGGTCAAGTGGCTCACGTGAGCCTCGTGACGACACTCGTTTCTACCGGAGCGAAGGATATAAAAGAGTCCAAGTTTCCTCGACATAAGAGTTCTTCAGCGGAACGATCGGGGTCTATTGACAAGACGATATCAACCAGACTATGGGCGGGAAGAGGAGGAGGGATAAACGTAAGTTGACATACGTGCTCATGGAGAGTGTTGTGGAGTAGGAAATCAAAGCGACTACAGAAAAACACACCTGGGCAATGGAGGATTGGCGGCGGATCATCAATACGCCACACACACAGCATCCGATGGAGAGGGAAGCCTATGTTGCTAAAAAAAAAAAGAACGATGCTGCTCTACACTACCACTCGTTAATCACAAACCACATCTTTCAAATCCTTCTATTCTTCACGTTTCCCGCTGACATCTTTAACCTGCGTCACTACCGTAAATCTCTCTCCTCCACTACCACGCCCTTTCAATACTCACTACTAAGAGCTTTCTTCCCTCTCTCGCCATTGGATTTTTTTTTTTTTTTTCAAGAAATGCGTTGCTCTCCACCCCCCAAACCCCCCGCCATGTGCTTGTTCACTGCCCAAGGTTTCAACCACGCCCCGAGCTTTCAATCAACGCGCTTAAGATGGTTTTGCTATCCACCTCCCATTGGACAGTTTTCCGGCCAGTTTGCCTCTCCCCATGTATTCGTCGAGTGTCATCGTGCCAACCACACCCGAGAACTGGACAGAAGAAGATTGAAGGACGGATTTTGATGTCCATCTCGCTTGTTGACGTTTCCTGGTGGGCGGAGGAGGAGGGGGAGGGAGGTTTTATAGCTAGAGACGAAGAGGGAGGAAGGGAGGAGGATGGTCACGCGATAAGCGTGATTTGTTCCTGAAGGGGAGATAGGAAAGGGGGCGGTGGGGTTGGTCAGCTGAACACGTGAGTCTTGTCCGCCCTCGCTATCGCGGGGTATAAAAAGGATGCAAGACTTCGGGACTTCGAGTTCTTCAGCCGAGTGGCCTTGGTTCATCAGAAAAGCACACGGAGATTGGCCATGGGAGGGAGAGAGAGAGAGAGAGGAGCAAATCTACGCGGATTTTCAGCTTCACATGGACCAAACATCTTGGTGCTTTGCAGGACGATGGAGGTTTTGCGGATCAATAAGTGAAACGACAAACGGACAATGGTAGCTGGAGGGGCGAGAATGTTAATGCACTTCATCGTCTCCTAATCTTGCTTCGGCTTTTCATCTTCCTCTTCTAGTAAACAACATGCTTTTCTTCTTTAGATAGTTGTCATCGCTTTAGTATTTAGTAGTACACTGGCCCGCATCATCGGCCTCTTCCCCTTCTTCTTCTTCTTCTCCCTCTCCATTTCACCTGAGGATCTGACGTTTTGCACCTCCAACTCCCACACCCTCCACCATTCAACCGTGTTAGTCGTATGTTTGACAGCCCCGCTCTCTCCTCCCACCATGGCGGCAAAGGCACAGGCATTCGATTTCCGCTCGAGAGCTGGACATTGGCATCCGCTTGACTGCGTTTTGATGTCCAACACTCTCACCAACTTCCCTGCCGTCAAACGAAGGAAGGGGAAGAAGGGTTTTATACACGAAGCCAGAAAGAAAAGGTATCGGTCACGAGACTCACATGCTTGTATTCCTAATCCATGTGAGGCATTTCTCTTCAGTCTGCAGAATACATGGGGGCAAGGGGCTACGGGACACACGTGCATCGGCTCCAAGCAAGTGTGCCTTGTTTTCGGTGGACTGCGGAGGGTATAAAGAATTCACAAAGTCGTCAGACTGATGGGTATACAGCCTCTCTATACGTCCGGTGAACACAGCGCTAAACTGAGTCGATCGTGGTATACCTCTTTTCTGGGTTAGTACTTAGCCGACTTGAGGATTAATTGGCCAGAAAGTTACTATTCCCCCCGTAAAGGCGCACGGAGTTGCTCCCTTATACGGTAAGTCTGTGGCTTGATATTAGAGAGTGACCACCGGACGTAAAGAGAGGCTGTAAAGGAAGCAGCAAACCTCTAGCCGGCACTGCATGATAATGACGGTAGTATATACCACATCCTGGAGCTCTTTCACCACCTGAGCAACACCATTCCAACCAACGAAACGGCCTATCGGAACAGAACTTCGCGCTTGTTCCAGAAACGCTCTTCATGACAGCCAGCCCATGACGTAAACCTCCTATGTTCAAATCAAGCACCCTCCTTTATTCCGCAAACACCATTCCATCTGGACCATTCCTGCTGCTATACCCTCTAGCAGCAACCGCTCTCTGAATTCAGCCAATCGCCTGGTCGTGTCCTCGCTCACCGGAGTCCCCCCTCCCGTCCACAGGACCTCAGCGGCCGCTGCGGCACGTGGCCATAGCATGCCATCCAGCGTCACTGCGTCGGTCATCTCATTCCACATGTGCACTTCGCCTCCGGCCACCAGGCGGCGCTGCTCAGGCGACAGGCCGTCAAGCGGATTGTAGGAATAGATGGTGCGCCAATTCTTGTACGGCGCGCACTGGTCCATGTACGGCGGCGAGGCCCGCGGATCAGGGCCGGGGTCCGACGGGTTCGCGGGATCGAACCAAGCGCCGTGGCCGCAGTCGAGATACCAGTGCGTGCTGGCGCCGAACAGCACGCGGTGGCCGCGGTCGAGCACGTGCCCGAGCGCCTCGTTGGAGCGCCACGTTTGGATGATGGTGGTTTGGGGGAGTGTGAGATTCCACTCCAGGAGCAGCTCTTCCCACACGATTGGGGTTTGCTGGTGCTTTGCGGCAATAGTGAAGACGTGGTCCATGACCTTTTGGACAAGGGCGCGGATCTTGTCTTTTGTGAGGGATGAGTCGGAGCCGAGACCGTAAACGTGAGTGTTGACTTCGTCTCCGCCAAAGTGGAAGTGGCTCGACGCCTCCGCGTTTCGAGGAAGGAGGTCGTTGAATAGTGTATCTAGGAACGCCATGACGTCGGGCGAATCTAGTGCGAGTTGGCCAGCAGGAGGCTCGGCGGCATACGTTATCCAAGGCTCTCTATATGCAGAAGTTATGAGCTCGGGCTGTGATGCAGCTACTGAGGTGGTGTGGCCTGGGATATCGATTTCGAGATAGACTTCAATGCCTCGTAGGTGGCCATGTCGCTGCACCTGGCGTAGATCCTGCGGACTCCAGATCTGAGACGGATCATACGCTCCTTTGGCAGCCAGTTCGGGTAGGGCTGGTACATCCAACGGCCAGGACTGTGCATCTGATGCGTGCAAATGAAGTTTGTTCAACTTGCAATGCGCCATTGCGTCGAGAACTCGAAACACGTCCTGTGGAGCAAGCCAGTTCCGAGAGATATCGAGATTGATGCCCCGATGCTCAAATGCTGGACTGTCCACGATGTGGATTGGGGCAATGGAAAGATAGCTCTCCGAGGCGGACTGTGAATGGGCGTAGAACAGCTGGGCAAAGGTGTCCAAGCCATAGATTGCTCCTCGACTAGTTGCTGCCGTGATGGAGGCATGGCCAGACTCTGAGATATCAAGAAGGTATGCTTCATCACTGGGAATAAGGTCTTGTTCTTTGCTGATGATGTGTTCCAGCTTCGACAGCGTAATAGTGAGCGTGGTTATGTTTTGCCTGTTCTCGTTGTTATCTGGCTCGAACGTGATGTTCTTAGGATGGAATATGCGCGGCACGAATCCATGGTTGAAGATTAACCCCTTAGCTCTCTCGAATGCGGCAACAATATCGTCGGGCGCGGCATCACGCTTTCTTCCGCTCTGGCGGCGAAGTAAACTACCTCTGCAAGAGCTGAGTGATCCGCTAACGGTCAGTTACACGAGATGCTTACAGAAGCTGCTGAATGCCATTGCCAGTTGCCCAGAGAGACGATGAGGCCGATGTCCTATTCACGAAAGAGAGTTGAAGGGATGGTGAGATCCACACAGTTGAAGCGCCGTGAACCAGGACGCGCGGTTGAGGCCAAAGAGCTGCGACCGAGAGCACGAACAAGAACAAATGCGCAATGCAAATGCTCCGAACCCAAGCCATTCAATATTCAGGCAGCGTTTGGATTGGCAATTAAGGGAGAGTTGAGTGGTGTTCCTTAGCCACCAGCCTCCCACTACCAGCAGGGCTAGTACCTACCTAATTTTATCTCAGTACTTTGTAACTCAGACACTCCGCTTACATAAGACTGCAGCTCCCCCAGAAAACGGGGCGCCTGAGGACCTCGCAGCCTCCTTTCCCAACACGTCCGGCACGCACCCAATCGTTCAACACCACGTTATGTTACCCCCACCATTACATCGTGGGTGATGGAGGCTGAACTGCTGTTCTGGTTGGCTATGCGGGCGGGGAATTCGAGGCAACCCTTAGCGCGCAGGTCAGCGGCGTGGGTGTATCAATCAAGCTTAGCGCAGCCTGGTTGCGCAACGGAAGGTGAGAGTTAAGATGGTTCCCACGACCTGCAGTCCCGGGCCGCAGTGCTCTCCTCCAATCTCTGAACAATAGCCCAACTGGGTTTCATCCCTCTCGAAGCCACCAGCTCGTCGGGATGGATCCTCTCAGTATAACGGCGTCAGTAGTCAGCATCCTGCAAGCCGCGATTGTTACCACTAAAGAGCTCGTCGCATTTGCAAAGGACGCCAAAAATGCATCGCGAGATAAGAAGCTGCTGGCCGAGGAGGCATCATTACTGTCGAAACTGCTAGAACGCCTCCGACAACGGGCTCTTACAGACCAGGACAAGACTTGGCTTGACCAACATGCAGACGTTGTTCGGCAATTCGAAGCAGCTTTCCGTGATCTTGCAAAAGCGCTCAAGATCGACTTGCAGACGCAAAGAATCCCAGACGAATCGAGATTCAAGGCTTTGATTTCCTCTGCAAGGTGGCACTTTTCAAAGTCCGAAGTATACGGCCTACTACAGCGAGTTGAGCGTTTGCGGCAGTATGCTAGCGCTCTTATGTCTGATGCTCAACTTTCCATACTCTCTCGCATGGACGAGCAACAGAAGGAATCGCTAGATCGGAAGAAAATGGACGAGATTCTGAACTGGCTCTCTCCGCTTGACATGAACCGCACACACCAAAGCATATCCGACCGAGCCCAGCCTGGCTCTGGTGAATGGTTTCTAACCTCGGTGCCGTACCTCAGCTGGTCATCTAGCGACGGAGAAATAGAGTCCCTTTGGTGCTGGGGCATTCCAGGCGCTGGAAAGACGGTTCTTTCGTCCATCGTCGTCAATAAACTCCGTCAGTCAAGAATCGAGGATCTGAGGAAGGAAATTGGAATTGTGGTCATCTATTTGAAATACAATGAGCCCGAACAGACAGTAGACAGCCTACTGGGGAGTGTTCTTAAGCAGCTCATCCAAGATTCCAACGTGCTCGATCAGGCTGTTCAAGACTTATACGAGCACCACCGCCAACGAAACACTCCGCCTCCTCTCGAGTCCATCGTGGTACGCCTCCAAAAAGCGTTGGAGACTTACAAAGAGGTCTTCCTGGTTATAGACGGACTGGACGAATGCGAAGAGGAAACACGATGGGATCTTATCGAGCATGTTAGCAAATTCCCCGGTGTCCGCCTCATGGTGACCTCTCGATATCTCAGCGCGATCGAAGAAGAGCTCGAAAATTTTGTCCGCCTCGAGATAAGGGCCCACAAGATGGATATCGAGCTCTTCGTTGAATATCAGATCCAGCGAAATCGCAATCTTCGGCGTATGGTTCTGAGAGCCCCAAGGTTGCGACAAGACATCAAGTCTGCCGTAGTCAATACCGCTGAGAACATGTTTTTGCTAGCTCGCCTCCATGTCGAGTCTCTCGCGAGCGCCGCATCTCTCACCATTAAACATGTTCGGCAGAAACTCCAGGAGCTTCCCACAACTCTCGACGCTTCTTACGACAATGCGATGCAGCGCATCAGTGATCAAGAAGAGGATCACCGGAGACTTGCTTTTAAGACATTGGCTTGGGTCACGCATGTCTTCCGCCCACTCTCTTTGCAAGAACTTCAACATGCTCTCGCCGTTGAGCCGGGAGACTCCGAGCTAGACGAGGAGTTGCTGATGGATGCGCCAAGCATTACTGCTCTCTGTGCCGGCCTCGTAGTCATTGACAAGGCTACGTACAATGTTAATCTTGTCCACTACAGCACCAAGAGCTACTTTGAGAATAAACGGCAGAAGTACTTTACTCAATACCATGCTAGTATCACTCTAAGCCTGGCCACGTACCTAACGTTGGACGCGCTGCAAAACATCACAATAAGTGAAATCGTTCGAAATTATCCTCTCGCCAGCTATGCCGCCCAATGCCTCGGGGACCATGCTCGCAACTCGCCGGAAGAGTCACTGTCTCCAACGATTCTCGAGGCTATCTGCCATCTTCTGACGGATCCCGCCAAGCGAAAAGCCTTGCTCACACTTCTAGATGGCTTAGACCTCATCCGTTCCGGATATTACTCTACTCAGTCGGTGGACGAGGCTGACACCAGTGTAGACAGCATTAGATCACCTTCGACTGACAATGGGACAATGGCTCTTGCCTACGACGACACCGCCGCCACCACCACCACCCTGGGATTGGATTCCGTATCTCTGGACCTTGAGGAAATGAGCATCATGAGTAGTACGGTCTCGGGGACTACAGACTCTACTATAGCGGATCAAGTCACCGACACGTGGCAAGCTAAAATGAGAAGCAGCCACATACCGGAGGTCACCGCACTCCACCTCGCCGCATCTATGGGTCTGGCCAAGGTGGCCTCTATGCTTCTTAAAGAGACGCCAAATATTGATGCTGTCGATGAGACTGGGAAGACTGCTCTCACCGTTGCAATGGAGCGTGGATTCGAGAAGGCTGTCGAGTTTTTAATCAACGGCGGCGCTTTAGTCAATTTAAATGACGATCATGGCCGTATGATCCTCCTTCTTATCGCCGAAAAAGACTGGAATAATGCTGGGGATATTCTCGTCTCAAAGGTGCAGGCTCGGCTAAACGCCGAGAGCACTACCACCGATCTACAGCTTCGATTCATTCTAGCGGCATATCGCAGCGATATCGATCAGGTAGTCTTCTTGTCCCAGACAGGTGCGGTGGACTTGCATGGCGAGGGTGTTTCCATTGGAGGTTTAGCGCTGTTCCTGGCAGTTGAGCGCCAAGACGGGGCAATAGTAGACACTCTCCTCCATGCAGGTGTCAACATCAACGCCAAGGACAGCAAGGGCCAGACAGCACTCTTCAGAGCGACTCGTCGCCAAGATGCCGTGATGATGAAGCTTCTCATTTCTGAGAACATCGATATTGATAGTCGAGATGATGAAGGCCGCACAGCTTGGAGCGCGAACGTAAAACCACGCAACAAGGACATTCTGGATATTTTGCTGAGTGCCGGAGCTAGTCCATCTACCCGTGGCCTTCAAGGTGTCAGCCCACTCTACGAAGCTGCTGGGAATGGAGAAACGGAGCTGGTACGCTTCCTGCTCGAGAGTGGAGCCAATCCATCCATCCAGACCGAGTATGATTGGGCACCCATACACTGGGCTGCGTCGTATGGCCATGTGGAATGCGTGCAGCTGCTTATCGACGCTGGCGCCGATGTTAACGTTAGGTCAGACCAAGGCGTCACCCCCATGGATCTTGCAACACAGGCGAATCAGCTTGTCGTTGTGGAGATGCTGAAGCATGCTGGCGCGACTTTCACCAAGCCAGACCAGAACGGGACTGAGACACCACGGCTCCGCATTGAACCATCGCTATCAACGCCAGTTACGCTCGCGCCTTCTGCACCTCTGAAACACAAATTGTTCTTAGTATTTGACAATCCGCTGTCACGCACGCTCGTTGACAGAACGAACTTTGGCCAGTTCCTCTATCCTAGAGTGCAAAAGGACTCCCCTGCCCCCGATGGTTACATCTATCAAGTCTCACATGTTATGGAGACAAGCTCTCCTACAATCAGCGTCCGTCGAGCCGTGCGTCGTGCGGAAATGGACGAATACCCACTGCAGCTCGACGAGTTCAATCTTACGGATGTTCTGTACCACATAACGCGTCTGCGCGGCGATTATCAAGAGTTCAAACTGCAGTGCGGTGCCCAAACCGCTCTCAACGGCGCCTCGGAGCAGTCTGACCTCTTACCATCATCGCCATCGTCGACATTGCGCATGCACAAAGACTGGACGGGCAACTGGAAGGTGCACTCCAATGCTGCAACTTCCAACGATCTGATATTCCGCACGACACCGGACTGGACCGCACAAAGCGATAGCCAAGACTATCGGTGGATAAGCGAGGCGGGCAATTTATTGGCGAGGTCGGGATGGGACGATGGTACGCCAAATATGTGCATCGAGCCAGCGCTAGAGAGAGGGGTGTTGGACCTGCTTGCAACATGTGGAATTGTTAAGTTATGGGCAGAGAAGGCGCTTCAGGGTCTTGTAGGGGTGAAAGACGTTTAAGAGGCAGCACGGCGATGATCTTTTTGCGACGGTATAGCTGTAGGAATAGCAGGGGCGCTTGGACGGCGCTTGAGAAAAGGATGGGTTATGGGCCACTCTTTGATTTATTTTAGATGTACATTAGAGAACCACATTTCTGGGTTATGAGGGAAATAGGACTGTAGGAAATGTGTTTCCGAGCGAGCTCTTGGCTACACTAAACCTACTTCTTGTCCTTCCCTATTTCATGAGATTGCTAATCTTCTCTCCTTCCTCTTCCTCCCGATTTCCTCCCATTTCATCTCCTCATCCTAGCCCCTTACTAATACTGCTCTGCACCAGCATCTCAAGTTCGCCTCCTTCTTTTCTGCCCCAAGATGGCGTGCATCACCACCACCATCTCCTTCACCTCCTCCACACATGGGGCGTTGTAGCAAGTACTTTGACGCCCAGCCTCCACACCATTGTCTCTTGTTGCATGTCTTTTGCAGTGCAGTCCTCCAGTCACCATGGATCATTCTTGCCCTTTGACTTGACACCTCCAGTTGTCCTTCATAATAACGTACTGAGGGTGCTTTTGCTCTCCGCCTGTAAGCCGAACATTGTAGGTATTCCGCTTCTAAAGTTTTGATTTAACCTCCGCCCAGGAACTGGACTTGATTGCCAATGCCTTGGGCTGTTGATGTCCAGCTCCCCTCAACCCTTCCCTGCTGCTCGAAGAGTTGGAAAAAGAGGATCCTTTATAGTCGAAAAAAAAAACTGTAGTCATCAGCGCACACGTGCTTTCCATAGATCATGTGGACCGTCCCCCTAATCCTTCCGGACCAACAAGCCGTGAAAAAAAAAAGGGCGTTGATAGTCTCACACCCCCTTTTCGCTATTCGCACACCCCCTCCCCCTCTAGTCGTTTCACCGCCTTCCTATTGGCTCGGAGGGGTGTTCCGGAGCCTCTGATTCGCTTGCTTAACTTGCTTACTAATTCCAAATGCTCTCTCCAAATGCGGCCTTGATCGCAATTAATTACATCCTCTTCCTCTCCCTCTACAATACACTCACCATGGCCCTCTAGCCGCCACGGCTGGCGTACTACGCTACAGCAGAGGAAGCGCATATTGCTCTACAAGCGCACGCATCAGCGCGGGGCTACGGCCTAGCAAAATACCGTAGTAAACCAGACAGAGTGGACATACGAGCATACCTCCAGGACGCATGCCGACAGCTCCGCCGCCAGCACCGCCTATTTCTGTAGTCCCTCGTCCAGCTCCTAACGCTCGGAATGCCTATCAGTCGACAGCTACACCGGTTGATCTTTCTCGTATTGATCCAGCCCTTCTTAGGCCTACAGCTGCATCTACGGCAGCACCTACGGCAGCACCTACGGCAGCACCTACGGCAGCACCTACGACAGTACCTACGGCAGCACCTACAGCAGTACCTACGGCAGCACCTACGGCAGTACCTACAGCAGCGCATACAGCAGCGCATACAGCAGCGCATACAGCAGCGCATACAGCTACACCTACGGCTGCACCTGCAGCTAAGAAGCGCGGCCGGCCGCCTGGTGCAAAGGATAAGGTACCACGGAAAATGGCACTTCAGAGGAAAGATAGTACTCAGCCTACGCCTTAGCCTATGCCTCAGCCTACGCCTCAGCCTATGCCTCAGCCTCAGCCTTATCCTTAAGCACAGAGGCTTAGCCGAGAGGAGCTTTTACATTAGCTTGCAGCGTATGATAAGGAAATCAAGGGGTATATTAATGAAGGTGAAGAGTAGGTGTAGGCGGCGATGCTAGGGGGCCAGGCTTGATGCAAAGGAGCCGTAATAAGGTGAGGTTTTGACAGGTTTAGCATGCTTGTAGGCACGTAGGCACTTCTAGAATAGAACTTCTATTCTATACTTAGAATTAGACTTATACTTATACTACGTGAGCTTGTACGTGAGCTTGTACGTGAAGCTATACGCAAGGCTGTATAAAATGGAGAGGCTATACAGTCTCTCCATTTTACGGCGCATTTTTTCCGATTCGTGTAGCCTTATATACGGCCTCGCGTACAGCATCACGTGTATATAGATGTATAGGTGAATGCCCGGAGGAAGCTCCGCGCTGCTCCGAGCCAATAGGAAAGCGGTGAAACGACTAGGGGGGAGGGGGTGTGCGAATAGCGAAAAGGGGGTGTGCATGGAGGAATTAGGGGGTGTGAGATTATCAACGCCCAAAAAAAAGGGGAGGGCTAATCGTACACCCCCTAACGAATAATCGTACACCCCCTAACGACTAATCGTACACCCCCTACTCCCCTGTCACTTCACCGCCTTCTGATTGGCTTAGAGGGTTGCTCCAGAGGTTCCGATTGGCTCGCTTCACTTGCTCACTAATTCCGAATGCTGTCTCCAATTGCGGCCACGTAGCCTCCAGCGCAGCCTATCTGATTTGTGCAGCTATATATACGGCCGTACGTGAGCTCGTACGTGAGCTCGTACGCGAGGCTATACAACTCAGCATAGCTATACATCCTCTCCATTTTACAGTGCATCCGGGCCGATTTGTGCAGCCGTATATACAGCTCGTACGTAAAGCTGTACGTGAGGCTGTACGTGAGGCTGTTCGTAAGGCTACACAAATTGGAAAGGCTATACAAATCGGAAAGGATGCACCGTAAAACGGAGAGGCTGTATAGCCATGACGATTCGTATAGCCTCACGTATAGTCTCACGTATGAGCTCACATATGGCAGAGATGCACGTGTAGATAGACGTAAGGGTGAATGTTCGGAGGCCTACTGCCGGACCTCCGAGCCAATCAGAAGCGGTAAAGTAGGGGGTGTATGATTATTCGAAAGGAGGTGTACGATTATTCGTTAGGGGGTGTACGATTAGCCCTCCCCAAAAAAAAACATACTAAAGCATCACAAAACGTACAATTTTCCTTACATCCACCGCTATCTCCTCTCCCCGTGCTTAATTAACCATAGTAACCTCTCACCCTCCCCCCAATAACCCCCTCCACACCCCCCCTAACCGCCCCCGCAACCCCCCCATCAAAAAACGCCACGCCAAGCTCCTGGCTCGTGTACCAACTCGCGCGATCCAGGTTCCCGCTCCCCAGCACCGTCGCCGCCTCGTCCACAATCAGCAGCTTCAGATGGCTCTGCTGCGGCTCCCCGCCCTCCATGCCCTCCTTCCTGAACCCGCCCAGTGGCTCGAAAAACTCAACCCTCAACGCCCCCGGCGCCACCAACCCTACGCCCGCCTCCTCATCCTCATCTCGCGCAGCTGTGGCGGAGGAGAGCAGCGCCCGATGCCGTCTCACAAGCTTCCGCACGCAGCGTGTAGTTGTAGTCCCTGCGGTGACGAGCTGCTCGAGGATCATGAGGCGCGCGGAGGTGCGGATGTGGACGGCGACGCCGCGGCGGAGGGCGCGCAGGAGGGCGGTGAGGACGGGGGGCGCGGTGAGGTTGGGGGTTTGGATGTAGATGCTACTGTTCGCGCGGGCGAGGAGCGTGAGGAGGAGGGTGTTGAGGGGCGTTGGAGGAGATAGGGGCGGGGAGGAGGAGAAGGGGGCGAAGCGGGGGTTTAGGTGGTGGGGGGAGGGGAGGAAGAGGGTTGGTATTGAGTGGGTTGGGAGGGGGGTGTGAGTGTGGGCGGGACCGAGTGGTGATGGGTGGATGGGAGTGGGAGATTGAGGAGAGGGTAGAGAGGTGACGGAGGGGTGGGGTGGTGAGGGAGGCGGAGGAAGGGATCTTTCGTGTTCGTTCGATGACCAGAATTCGAGCCAGAAGCGGACGAATTGCGATACCACTAGCCCAGAGAGCTCAATGCACCCCTCGAACCAGGACTCCCAGCTCACGTTGCAGCTAGGTAAGAAGACTCTCTTGCGGTCGACGATTATGAATTTGGGATGCACTTAAGGTGGAAATACACATATTAGCGGGTTTTCGTAGATAGAAGGGTGGGAGTATGATATAGACGAGGTCCTCTGGTGTTTGTAGTCCTCAAGTGCCACTCAAGTCGTGTTTAAGACACGATTATCGGCTCTAAAGCGACTAAAATGGGTGCTCAAATGCGACTTGAGTGTGTGTTCAAACGCGACATGAGTCGTGTTTCAACACGATTCCAGGAACGATGACACCAAAGGACTCTGGTATGTGTAGTACGACCTTACTTACTGACGCTGAAGGGGAGGAGGAAAACACTTTTGATCTCGAGGTCGAGGCCGCCGAGCTCGGCTGGGGACGGGAGGCCGAGTGTCTTGACCCATGTTGAGGGCGTGTAGGTTTGACCGGTGATGGTGTGCGGCTGGAAGATCTTCTGGAAGAGCGAGAGGGAAGATAAACCGATGCGGACGCGTAGTTTCCAGCCTCCGCGGGCTTGGGCTTTGATGGATAGAGCGCGAAGGGTGTTGGCAAGCTGCGACAGGGAGGATGAGCGAGCCCAGAAGCAGGTAATGAAGATGATTTCGGATTCAGCAGACTCAAGGGCGGGGAGAATGCTACTGAATATGTTGTCACCAGTGCCAGTGATGAAGTTATGGACTGTTGACGATGTAGTGAGAGTACTTGGGGTGGAGGCGTAGTAGTTTGGGGTATCATGTTTGTTTTCTTCCTTGTGCAATAGCAGATCTTCTTGCCATTCCCTCGCGATGCTGGCAAAGGTAATTGGGCCAGGCATGGCTAGAAAGTCCAGCGCGTCACAACTTAGACTATGCATATTGGATCAGCCACATAATCCATGAAGAGAAATATAAACCCCAGTTCAGGAGTGCTGCGCATGAAAGTACGCAGAGACAGATAACTGCTATACTTGAATCTTGACGAAGTGAGATCCCTCTCTAACAGCTCTACGGGCTACCAGAGGACGACAAGTGAGGCGGCAGTGGGTAAGTGAGGCACGTGAAATCTGCGCACCTACAACAAACGCTCAACAACCCTCAACTTCTCCAGGCTTCCACGGACCACTGCCTCCACCACCAACACACCACACTCTCTGAAGGCTAGGCCTACTCTTTGTGGCCTTGAAAGATCTTCACTGAGCGAACCAGCAATACCTTAGCGTTCTCTTTCGACTGTCGGCAAGCCTGCCCTACTCAAGATGACTAGAGGAAAGAGAACACAAAAAGCGGGGGGCACTCACAGTGAGCAGGCACTGCTGATGATGAAGCTAGACAAGGAGAGAAAGAGGGCACTAGCTGCGGCCGAGGGTATCGTTGAAGACCGTGAATTCGAGATATGGTACGAAGAGCGTAGAAAGAAGATGAAACAGAAAGAGACAGAGAGAATCCAGAGACAACGCGAGAAGAGGGCTGTTCTGGAGAGCTTGAAAGGGCTCTCACTTGATGGAGGTCGCGAACAGGAGGAAGTTGGGGAGAGGCCTGAGAGGCGAGACAGACGTCAAACCGACTCGTACCGCCCAGCCCTGCCAGCTACTGACTCGTATCGCCCAACCGACTCTTATCGTCCGACGTACGACGCCTACAACGATACGGACTACTACAACGCTCTCGTCGCCGATCTCGAACCAAGCGCGCAGGGGTCCTCCAGAAAACCTGCCAGCCCACCATCACAGCTTCCCAAGCTCCAGCCCTCCTTCCACGACCGCTCTGACACCCTTCTATCCACCGGTATTCCCGAATTTGGGGCCCTCCACTACATTCCGCCCCCCTTGGTCCCCTATAACATGCCCATCGTCATCAATTCACCGCTGCCACCCGCGCCTCTGCCCCGCCAAAATGCATACGCGGACCCAGAAGAAGACAGCTCTGATTCCGATGTCGACATGGACATTGACGCGGCATATCCCTCCTCCAAGCGGCCCCGACTAGGCGGTAGTTCCATTGTCACGCCCGGTGAAACTATCACCGACGACCCCCAGTGGATGCGCGGCCACGGCACCTACATCCCTCCGCACACAACCGCCATCACATCAACCGTCGCCGGCACGCTGCACAAGACCAATAAACTGCTCTCCGTCACCCCACTGCGAGCTCGCTATACGCCCGAGATTGGCGACCTGGTTGTTGGGCGCATCGTGCAGGTGCAGTCGAAGCGGTGGCAGGTCGACATTGCAGCGCCGCTGCTGGCGGGGCTCCCACTGAGTGCAATCAACCTCCCCGGTGGAATCCTGCGCAAGCGAGATGCAGCCGACGAACTCAACATCCGAACCTTCTTCACAGAGGGTGACCTGCTCGTCGCAGAAGTGCAGAATCTCTTCCAAGATGGAGCCGCAGCGCTACACACGCGGAGTCTGAAGTACGGCAAGCTGCGAAACGGATACTTCCTCTCTGTGTCGGGTGCTGGGGGATCGAAGGGAAAAGGTGGAGTTGCTAGGGCTCGGCGACAAGTCTTCACAATCACGACTTCACGCGGTGGTGAGGAGGTTGATGTGGTTCTGGGAGTCAATGGCTATGTGTGGATTTCGAAGCACGTGGAGCCGGAGGGACATGGGAAGGATGTCGCCATCACTCGGCTGGAGGAGACCATAAGCAAGGAGATCTACTCGAGCCAGAACGAAGAGATTGGGGTGAACACTAGGCGGGAGATTGCTAGGGTGGCCGGGGTGATCAGGGCTTTGGTGGAGCACGGAGCGAGCGTGGATGAAGAGATGGTTGTTAGGGCCTATGAGGCCAGTCTCTCGGTGGATGCTGAGGACGCAATGGGCGGTGATGGGGAGAAAAGTGAGTTCTTGGGAGGAGAGAGGGGCAGGAGGGTGGTTGAGCAGGCTCTAGGTGGATTTGGAGGTTGATATCGGACGAGTCTCAACACACACTCTAATCTGGACTACTCTTTGGAGGGTCGTGGGGCATATGATGCTGCCATGAAGGACCTCCACTACTACAGAAAGTTGGAATTCACTCATGAGGTATGTTATCAATCGTAGGCTTTCTCCGATCATCAACTAATTTTCTGGATAGATTTGCTCTAGTTTAGAGCTAACTCACTAATTGGGACTTGGACACTAGCCGGTAGATAGTTGCTTGCCGCTGCTTGCGGTGCCCTAGCCTACTATCAGAAATACAAATTAACATCAAAACCATAAGACCACGTATTAGAGATGTTGTTTCACTTTGAGCTAATGATAGGACTATCCAGAGTTTTGTTTGAAAAGTACTGATTCAGTGCTTTGCTAGATGTCTGGGACACTCGGTCACCACCGTTTGAGGTGCTTTAGCAGATTATGAAACTTCCGATGATACGTAAAGCCCTTGAGAGCTTGAATCAGAGGGTTTTTATGCGCCTACAGTCGGCCTACTTGGCCGCTGTTTGTGGTGCTTCAGCACTTCATCAATAGATCAATAGACGACGAGCCCAGACTTGTTTCCTAGTGCATTACTAGATTATAAGTTCGGGCCGCGGATATACCACTGCAGGGGTTCCACTCTTGACTGCTCGACACCACCGTAAGGAGTAGCCTAGCTAGCATGTATCCAGCCAGCCAAAAGGCTGCCCAACACCCACTGCACGAGGAGACGGAAATATGACGATGGATGAAACTCGACAAGGGTACCATTTCCGGGCTCTAGAAGGCCCAAAAGAACGATCTTCGTCATGATCGGGTACCTATTCGCAAGAAGACAGTGCGAACCTCGTAACCCTTCTCGTACAGTACTAGGCCATAAGTCTGGGCACACGGATTTATCACTGCTTGGCTCCAATCTTGCTCAGTCGACACCACTGTGAGGAGCGGCCCAGCTATTAAGCAGCCAGTCAGTCAAGAGGCAGCCGGAATTGCAACTACTTGAAACTTGACATCGCGCCTAGGTTCTTGAAATTCCATGGGGGTACCCTAAGCAATGGTAGACGCATGCACAGACTTGTGACCTATTACTGTGTATTAGGCCATAAGTCTGGGCACACGGATTTATCACTGCTTGACTTCAATCTTGCTCACTCGACACCACTGTGAGGAGTAGCTCAGCTACTAAGCGGCCAGCTCGTCAAAAGGCAGTCCAGATGGGTGTTTATTACCGGGCCAAATTCCGTCTTTCAAATTCCTAGCACGGTAACACGTGATGCACCTTCTGTATCCATCCCGCCGCCGATGCCGACTCTTAGCCTCGCATCTCTCACCATCACGACAGCGGACTCCAACGCCCAGCTTCCGCTCCAAGACTCCAAGCTTCCTACTCTGTCATACCAAGCCCTCTAATCCGCTGCTTCGCCGTCACTCTTGTGACCCTTTTGCAGTCGTCGGCGGTACCGCACTCACCTGCTCGATGCAGGTCCATGTCATTAATCTGCACGCTACGCCAGACAGCCAATCAAGACCATGTTTCAACTATGCAATTCAACCCACCGCAGCGGCGGCTGATAGGAGCATTCTCGCATGCCCCGCGCGCGCCGGCCAAGACCTGCAGGCACAGGGACGGCTGTCCTGGGCATTGTTACACCGAAGATCTTAACCTTGTTATGGGAGGTCTTAATTGATTGCAGGGAGCTCCGTGTTGTCGCATTGGCAGGTTGCCCAGCAGCCAGATGGCGACATGGTGCTTTATCCGTAGCCACCAGTAGCGGGGAGTATATATCTTGCCAGGTGCCCGGTCACTGCTGCTGCTTCTTTGAAGTTCATCGCGCGTTCTAAGTTTCTGAGAGACGCGTTGACCGCAGCTGTTGAGAGTCTTGTGCGGCTTCATTCTTTAGAAGTGTCTCTATCGCTTTGCATCCTTACAGAGTCTTTCTTCTCGTTCCCATTGTCGATCGCTTTCATCCGATAAGATGCGTTGCTCTACACTGGTCGCGGGGCTTTTGGGCCTGGCGGGAGCCGTCAATTGCTTGACTACCTCCCATGTTGAGATTATGGAAAAGCTGCGCGGGGTGCCTGAGGGCTGGAAGGCTGCTGGCACTCCGAATCCAAGCAGGAGGATGCACTTCCGTATCGCTCTGACCAAGGTACGCTTCGATTGATTGCGCAACTTTCTGCTAGCTTTTCAACCATGCCTGTACATCCATACTAACAGATTCTTCAGTCGAACCAGGCGCTATTTGAGCAAAGCCTCATCGAGGTGTCTACTCCAGAACACCCCAGATATGGGCAGCACTTGAAGAGGGACGAGCTCAAGGACATGCTACGACCATCTGCCGAAGCTACCGAAGCCGCCATCGAGTGGCTTCGTGATTCCGGAGTCTGCAGCGAGGATATTGAAGAGGATGGCGAGTGGATCAACTTCGTTGCACCAGTGTCCGTCGCCGAAGAGATGATGGATGCCAAGTTCACTACCTACCGCAGTCTTGCCCGATCAACGGTCACGAAGACCCGAACTCTTCAGTACTCCGTGCCCAGGGAGCTCCACAGTTTCATTGACATGATCCAACCTACCACCCGGTTTGGCCAAATACGCGCCAACAGGTATCAGTACCTTAACAAGGAGGTCATCGGTGCTGCTGGCACCGGGCTCAATGTTACCCAGTGCAACACTACTATCACTCCTTCTTGCTTGAAAGAACTGTACAAGTTCGGATCCTACAAGGTTGACGCTAAGGCTGGAAGCAAGTTCGGCGTCAATGGTTTCTTGGAGGAGTACGCTCTTTTCGCTGACCTTGCTCAATTCAATGTCGAGTACGCGCCATGGGCAGTCGGCAGCAACTTTACGTGGACCTCAGTCCATGGTAAGTACAATGCATTATTGTTGGAAGCCGTAAATTAATATAGTGTAGGTGGCGTTCTTCCCCAGAACACTCAGAACGATAGCGTGGAGGCCAATCTCGATATCCAATATACTGTGCCCTTGACAGACCCTGGTACAGCGGTCAACTTCTACAGCACTGCAGGCCGGGGCGAGCTCATTCCTGATCTCGACCAGCCCAACCCGGCGGACAACGAGAACGAGCCGTATCTCGATTTCTTCACCTTCCTTACCGGATTGAAGGATGAGGAACTTCCTCAAACGCTCACGACCTCGTACGGCGAAGACGAGCAGAGTGTACCAGAGCAGTACTCGAAGACGGTTTGTGACCTGATCGGCCAGCTGGGCGCACGCGGTGTCTCGGTCCTCTTTTCCAGCGGTGACACAGGTGTCGGGTCGGCGTGCCAGACCAACGACGGCAAGAACACAACCCGCTTCTTGCCTACATTCCCCGCATCCTGTCCCTACGTGACCGCAGTTGGCGGCACCCACTACGTCGAGCCCGAATCCGCCATCTCGTTCTCCTCCGGTGGCTTCTCAGACCGTTTCCCTCGTCCCTCGTACCAAGACAAGGCTGTAGGAGACTACCTCAAGATTCTTGGCAACCGCTGGGAGGGCCTGTACAACCCAGCCGGACGCGGCATTCCCGACATCGCGGCACAGAGCTCCCGTTTCCGTGTGATCGATAAAGGCCTCGAGATCTCGGTTGGTGGTACCAGCGCGTCTGCACCAACCGTTTCGTCAATTGTGTCGCTGCTCAACAACGCCAGACTCTCGGCGGGCAAGCCGCCGCTCGGGTTTCTGAACCCACTGATCTACAGCAAGGGCTTCAAGGGCCTCAACGATATCACCACGGGTGGCTCAACTGGCTGTACAGGACATGATATCTACTCGGGTCTTCCGGCGCCGTATGTGCCATATGCCAGCTGGAATGCGACAAAGGGCTGGGATCCGGTTACTGGGTATGGCACGCCCGACTTTGAGAAGCTGTTGAAGATTGTGCTGGGTGGGGGGTATGGGGGATACAGGAGGGGTTGAGACGTGATGGTGGGGTGTGAAGCATGTCCTTCGACTGCTTTTGTTGTTGTAGCATATGGGCATACGCATTATGGATTGGCGTAGAATGCCCAAAATGGTTCACTTATATCTTTTTCTGATTCCTGAAAATGTATAGAAGGACTTCAGACAGTGACAAGCTTCGGGCGTGAAGCTTGAGGCGCGCTATCGAAGAGATCGCAACGCCACAGCCGGCGGCGCCATTGAGATCTTGGCCTAAGGCTCAACCTTCATCGAACTCCCTCTCCACCACCAAACCTCATGAAAATGTTGCAACTCATCCCAATAAACTTTTAACGAAGGAGCCAGGACCCGCTCCCGATACGCATCATGGATTCGTGTTTCTAGAAGGCCACGTCCCGCACAGCCCCCGCGTCACGAGAAGCTTGCATCTCTCCGAGCTGCCCCTTACGGATAGCTCGCCCTTGCAGAGCTGCTTATCGGATTTGGCGCGGCCCGCGGCGCTGTGCCCACTGGTGGCTGGGGAGATTGCTGGCCCTCGTCTTTCCCCTCCTGCTCCGTCTGGCTTAAGAGGATTGCACTGGCAGCCTGTTGGGGCAGGTCGGCCGTCGAGAGCGGGTAGCATGCTATCATCACTTTTCATCTCGTCTTTTGTTGCCTCTGGGAGAAGAGAGGCCGCTGTCTGAGCGTGATGAAGAGCCCGAGTCTCCTGTTTAAAGGCACGACTTTGTGTTCTAACGCATGAAACAAAACACCCCGGAGCTGCAGGTGGTTCAGGTGGTGATCCCCGCGTCTCCATTTCATTCACCCCTGACCCCAGCACCCGGCCAGGCACCGAGGTCATCGAGCCCCGCCGCCACTATCTGCGAGCTCTGGGGTCGGCCGTTCGCTGTGGCGGAAATGATGCTGTTCACTGCCCTCGTATGAGCAGGGCCAGCTACTGTAGTGCGGTACTCTACCTGCCTATCATAGCATCGGCTTCGCCCGCAAGCACGGTAAAGCCGGTAAGCCGTCAGGCACACAAAGTCTTGATAAACAGCGCCGCGTCCTACTTGCAGGTGACGTCGCGCTCTCTCACTTTTTTTGCGTGCGTCCTCTCTTCCACTCTCCAACACTTTTCACGCGTATATACGTGTGTCTTGAAGTCAATTGAGGCCAATTGGTTGCTCTGAACAAGGCAAGATGCGTTTCTCTGCTCTGCTCGCCGTTGCTGGCATTGCTGGCTCGGTGGCTGCTAGAAGCCCGCTCCATGTGGGCAAGATGATGCAGGACCGCTCGCCAGCGCGTCCGAGGTTTGGGTTCCCTAAGAACCCGACTGAGGGAAGTAAGGTGGAGAAGAGGGCTACTATCCTGCCGCAGAATGCGAATACTACCAGTGAGTTCATTACGTCAGCTTTGGTTGCCAACTGAACACAAAACTTACATGATTGCAGAGTATGCCGTTGATGGAACTGCTCTCCCGGACGTCGACTTCGACATCGGCGAGTCCTACGCCGGTCTCATCCCCGTCTCCTCAGCTGCCAATGCCTCCGAGCTCTACTTCTGGTACTTTCCCTCTTCGAACCCGCTCGCGGAGGACGAGATCACTATCTGGCTGAACGGCGGCCCCGGCTGCTCCTCCCTTGAGGGCTTCCTGCAAGAGAACGGCCCCGTGCTCTGGCAATATGGCACCTTCAAGCCTGTTAAGAATCCATGGACCTGGGTCAATCTGACCAACATGGTCTGGGTCGAACAACCCGTCGGCACTGGATTCTCCCAGGGCACTCCCACTGCTACCAACGAAGAGGAGGCTGCCGCTCAGTTCCTCGGATTCTTCAAGAACTTCGTCGATACTTTCGGTCTGCAGAACAAGAAGATCTACATCTCGGGCGAGAGCTATGCTGGCTACTACGTTCCGTATATCGCGGACGCCATGTTCAACAAGAAGGACAAGACGCACTACGATATCCAGTCGATCATGATCTACGACCCTAGTACCAGCTACGACGTTGTGCAGCAGCAGAGTAAGCTGGCTTCCTCAATTCCCAGTCGCTTGAATATTAGATAATAACATACTACAGTCCCCGCCGTCCCTTTTGTCGACTCCTGGGCGCCCCTCTTCAACCTCAACAAGACCTTCACCGCCGACATCCACAAACGCGCCAAAAAGTGCGGCTACACCGACTTCCTCAACCAAGCCCTCGTCTTCCCGCCCAAGCACCACCCGCTCCCGTCCCCTCCCTCGGCCTCGGCCCCCGGCTGCGACCTCTGGGACGACATCCTCAACGCTGTGCTCCTGACCAACCCGTGCTTCGACATCTACGCCATCGCCACCACCTGCCCGCTCCTGTGGGACGTCCTCGGCTTCCCCGGCTCGATCCCCTACCAGCCCGACGGCGCCACCATCTACTTCAACCGCACCGACGTGCAAAAAGCCATCAACGCGCCCATCCAAGAATGGGAAGAGTGCTCCAACGGCGTGCTCGACACCGACACGTCGCCGCCCTCGGGCCTGTCGGTCCTGCCCAAAGTCATCGAGCGCACCAAGCGCACCGTCATCGTGCACGGCGAGCTCGACTACATCCTCATCGCCAACGGCACGCTCATGATGATCCAGAACATGACGTGGCACGGCAAGCAGGGCTTCCAGCAGAAGCCCGCCGACGAGTTCTTCGTGCCGTACCATGAGGAGGCGAGCCTGGCGACCATGGCCGCGAGCGGGATTATGGGGACCACGCATACGGAGCGCGGGCTGACGTGGGTGGAGACGCGGTTGAGCGGGCATATGGTGCCGCAGTATCAGCCGAGTGCGGCGTATAGGCAGTTGGAGTTCTTGCTGGGGCGGATCGACTCGCTGACGCAGGAGGGGAGCTTTACGACGCAGCCCGGGGGGCATTATGGGGGGAAGGAGAGGAGGGCGATAGAGGCGGAAGCTTAGAGGAGTGGCGAGTAGGAGAGGGAAGAAGGGGCGCGGCTTAATGTGTAAACTCTAGTCCATGAACAACGAAGACAAAAATCAAAGATATGATCCTAACTGATGATGAGCTCTTGCAAAGCTTACGAGTTTTAACTGTCTGCCAGCTCTAGATGTTCGAGAGGGGACACTATCTCGTGGAGAAGATTTTGAATCGCGTGCGTACCCCTTGGATGTACTCTCCTCTTTCCCTCATTACTGGGACACTCTGGCTATGAGCTGAACATCCAGTTTCCTATACTCTATACTCCTACTCGTCTGTTCGTACTTCAAAGTCGGTCGAGCAGGTGACCGATATCACGTGAATCGCCGTGACCATGCCCGTGACGCTCCCTCGCGAATCTTTCGGCCGGGGGGGTATAAAAGCCCCTCCCCTCCCCTCCCCTCCCATTTTTTTCTTCTCTCTCAGGGCAGGGGAGTAGGAGCTGGACATCCAAAGATTCCAATCCATCCGTCATGGCTGCGGGAGCAAACATATTAGAGCAAGAAATCGATGGGTGCGTGGATTTTGGGCCGGGGCTTTCAAAAACCGTCGAAGAAAGGTCCCAATAGGAGCGTGTGGGAGAGTGGGGCGGGGGGTCAAAAAATTGCAGAAAAATCCGACTGATGAAGAGGGAGGGGAGGGGCTGGTGCGTAGAAGATGGGACGAACCCAATGCAATGGAGTGGGGGAGGGGGAGGGCAGTTGGAGAGGCAAAAGCTCTGATTTTGTTGGATTATGACAATCACCTACAGCAATCACTGCCGGTAGCAAACAGGGCGCTTTCATGTATATAATGTCGCGTTTTGTCAATGTTCAGATGCTACGGCCTGCAAATCAACAGATTTATTGGCGCACATGGAGGTGGGAGAGAGGCGGAGAGGGGGGGAGGATGATAGCTAGCGCTCATGCTTTCAATGCAGCGGTGACGATTATTAGGGGGCGAGAGGGGAGGAGATGGTGGAGTTGAACGGAATTGAGATGATGATGAGCATGATGTGTTATCTCTTTTGTCCATGCATCTATAACAGTGTAGAAGTCAATCCATCCGCTCAGCTCTGCTATCTCGTCGCTGTCCGTTACGTTTTGCTTTGTCGCCTGTTGGCCTTATAGGAGGCCTAGGACTCGGACGTTGAGGAAGCTACGACGTGGTTGTATTAAAGAATAAGGTGTAAGATGGTGGTTTATATTGTGAGGAATGGTTCGCGAATGTGGAGCCCGTGACCATCCCGTGACCTCCCTCGCAAACCCTCCCGAGTACGGGTATAAAACCCCTCCCTCTGCCCTCTCTTCTCCCTCTACAGGAACAGTGATCCCGAGGCCCCAACATCTTCCCACGCAGTGTCCTCTCTAGGGATTTTACAGCCCCGACCCAAACTCCACGCACCATCCATGATTGGGTTCGGAGTTTGTGCTCCCGCTGCCATAGTCGGCGGCCTCTGATGGATTTTGATGTCCAGCCCCGGGGTGCAAATCAACATAAGCAGTCTCCGATAGGAGGGAGAAGAGGTGCTCGTGTAAACCCAAGAGAGGGCTGGCCTCATGAGAAGGGCTGGGCAACGGATGTGATGATGGCCACCTCCAGCATCTTAATGGCGAGGAGCAATTCAAGTAGTTGGTGGAGGAATAGGAGAGGCGTAGAGAGTAGCGACAGCGGCGGTCGAGGGGAAGTCGGAAAGGTGGCAAGTGCAGGTCGTGGCGAGCATCATCGATGGCGTTGAGACTAGACCACTCACTGCCCAATCCCCATAGCACCTTTTGTATCTCACTTATTGATCCCCCATTGCGCGTGAGAGCCCGATATTTTGATGAACGACCCCAATCCCCCTTTGCCTCCTCCATTAGTTGTTCAGCTGTAGCATTTGATGAAACCGAGAGAAGGACCCTGCACTAAAGAAGTAGGTTTAGGAGGAGTTTGAAAGGTATTTATATGCCGGGAAGAAGAATGAGTTAGCGGGTCATATGAGTCAGGTGACTGCTCTTCCCTTCCTGAGAGAGCAATACTTGAGTCGATGAACTTCGAGAGTAACTTGGCGGACTCCTGGTAATTTCACGGAAGTGAAAAAGGAGAATGGCATGGGACGTGATTTAAGCACTTGTGCACGTATATGAAGGAACGTGTGATTCAGACGTAAATGGTAGAAAATCTGGGAAGGTTGGAAGGGCATATGAAGGAACACTGATGGTTGCTAGCAAGTGGAAAAGAAATGAGTAGGAGAGTGTGATTTGGGTCAATATTCTCGACATACAAGAAAGGAAATAATTAGAAAGTCCCGGGGGCACTCAATGACTCTACGACGAGTGCAAACGCGACAAGAAAGGTGATCAAAAATGGGTGTACTAGCACCTGGTATTTTCTAGACTCAAATGAAGGGCAAGGGGGTTATTCAGGCCTCAAGAAGTATCTTAAGTAGATCACCAGCCCCATCGCATTAAATGTGTTTAATCCCAGAAAGAATATCCAAAAAGCCCCCTGACCTGACACAGAACCATGAGAGCCCCAGAGTCGCCGCAAATGAAGGAAAAAAGGGGGATATGATCGCTCAATAATAAAAGAATCCACACGCTCGCTAGACCCAGCCTTGCACAACCCGAACACCCTGCCCAAATCAAGTGAAACCACAAAAAGGAACATGAAAAGGCCCTAAATTAAACCACACCAGTTACAACGAACCTTAAACACCCGCTGGCCCACTCGCTACTGTTGCGGGTAAAACACCTGACTCTGGGGTTGGACTGGGACCTGAGGGTAATAGTACCCGTCCGGACTCGGCGTCATCATGCCACCCATACCCGGTACTGCGTAGCTCGCCGGCGCGTACCCTTCTGTCGGCTGTTGGTACATCTGCGACGGATCGTAGTAGTACGTCATACCGTTCTGTTCGTACGCCATCATCGTCGGCGGAGGCGCAGAGGTGGGCGCGGTGGACGCAGGGGGTGGAGGAACGGGCATGACGTAGCCGGCGGCTTGAGGATTGGGTACAAACATAGGCACCATGCCTGGGGCGGCGAATTGCGGTTGTGGACCATTTGCGGGCGGAGGGTAATAGAAGCCTGGCTGCATAGGGAAAGCCTGCGGTGGGAACCCAGGCTGTTGGAACGGCTGGAAGGCTGGGGCATGGATGGCTCGTTCTGGAATGTTTGACAGAGGAGTACCGGTGGATCCCTGGCTGGGGTACGACAGTTGGCGCGAATGGGGATAGAAGGGTGGAGGTTCGGTAGATGCGGTAGCCCCGTTGGCCCCATTCATGTGCGCAGGTACTTGCTGATGGAACGGTTGCTGTTCCACCTGCTGTGGGGCGTGGAACTTGATAGATGCAGGCGACTCGATTCCAGCAACGGAAATCGTCTTCTGGGGTCGCGGTTGGTGCATGGGAATCTGACCTTGCCAGTTCTCCCGGAAGCTGGGCTTCTGCGGTAGCGGATATGTCTGTGGCGGCGGCATATTGACAACGGGAGTCCCACCACTTGGAGAAGTGACCGAGTGAGGCCCGGAGGGATGTTGGCCACCGGGAGGGAGTCGAACAACGGGCCTCTCCACAGGTCCTCCTGCCCTCGACATAACAGACCCAGTGGGAGACACAAGTCCGTCCCGACCCATCTCTCGCGCCAGAGACGACCTCCTGCTCATCGCCACGCTAGGCGAGTATACGCTTCCACCGTAGGCGCTGGTTCGTCGGCTGGAGAAACCACCGTAGCTTCCAAAGCCCCCTCTGCCACGTCCCCGACCAAACCCTTGCTGGTTCGGCCGCAGCGCTCGAGGGATGAATATAAACGATCTGTCGATGGTCGGGAATATATATCGAGGTGGATGGTCGGGTAGAGAGATGCGGACAGGTTTGTCACGGCGGAGGGGCGGTCGGTGGTTCGGGAGTCTCGTATGTTGTTTTGCTGGGACGCCTTGGAAAACGATGGGAGCTTTCATTCCAAGAAGGGACACTCGGACGTTTAAGCTGCCAGTTTGAACAGTAGAGGAGAAGGAGCGGACCGGCGCGGCCTTCGGGGCGGGAAGTGCGGGTTTGACGAAATGGGCGGGTTGGTGGTGGTTATGCGAGGGTACGTGGGACGGTACTGCAGTGGGCTGCATGACGGGTTGTGGCCGAGGCGGTGGAGGCATCTCATTGACAGTCTGATGGAGATCATGCTGCCAAGGACCATCGGTAGTCTCAGGTGGCATGGACATGCTGGGACAAAGTTAGTACTCCGTTTGCTTACCGGACGGGGTGTATGGATCAGACGAAAGCACTTACTTAGCTGGGGAGAATGGGCCTCCCACCATTCCTCGTCCCCGACCCCTTCCACGTCCAAATTGTCCTCTAAAGTTCTGGCCAGCCGCTGATCGTTGATCGTGCATGAAGAAGGCTCCCCGGTTCGGTATGAAGGCTGGATCCGAGTCTCTCTTCTTCTTATATTCATCATGCTCTCGCCGCTTGCGCTCCGCGAATGTTTCGAGGCGGTTGGCAGATTCAAAGTCCCCAGCCTGCGGGGTGTCGCGGGAAGGCCTGGTGTCGTCTCCGCCATCAAAGTCTATACCATCATCATCACCCGCTGCTCCCTCTGATATTTTTAGGCCGTTCATCATGACTTCTGTGTCCCGTAACGCCGTAAAGTTGGTGTCTGATCGCGCAATCGCCGGGGAGAGGCCATCATCAGGCGGCATGATATCGAGTGGTTTCACGTCGTTTTTGGCTCCGATGGCATTTGATTTTGCTTTCGCCGAGGTGAGAGAAGGCGCTGTCTCTGCCTCGCTGAGGTCGCTATTGTCCGCATCGCCGTCCGCGTCGCTGGGGATGGAAGCCTCGCTCTGTGAATCATCGACGAGGTCTGTCGCCACCTCGCCGTCCTCCTCTCCCTCCTCGTCCACCCTCCGCCTGCGGGATGTGAGTGGTCGTTTGCGAGTGCCAGGCATATTAGTGACGTGGGAGGTAGAGAGGGAGCCCTGAATATGCTGCTCTGAGATGCCTCTATAAGAGAAGAGGGTCTCTAGAGTATAGGCATTAGAATGGACTGCGCTGGGCAAAGAAGTGGAGTGACAACGCACCAGTTTAGAGTGAGAGCTGTGAGTATAGCGCGATAGGGGAGGTATCGTCCCTAGCACGCGCGGCAAGAAGTGAAAGGGTGGATGTTGTGGGGGTATAAGAGTGGTAGCTAGAGGCTTGAGAAAATGTGTAAGGCTCCCAGCAGCGGCTCGGCAAACGCCGCGCCTGGGGAGATCCCCCAGACAAACCACACTCCACCAACACTAACCCCACGAGATATTTACGTCGTCGCTTCCTGCTCATCGTTTATTTGCTAGACTGCGAGAGTATGGATGCACGAGGGACGACAATTTAGTGCTGGTACTGGATGATGGGCTTGGCACAAAGTCACGGGACCACAGCGTCGTGAGGGACAGCGAGGGAGAACGAACAAAAGCAAGACATTGAAGTTGAAGCTATGCAGGACCTCATGATTGCTGGTTACTGTCTCGTTCTGCCTCTGCCAAGCAGTGAAGTCTAAGTTCACTTTGGATGTAATGTCATGTGGTAACTCCGCGGTCTCGATGAGCAAAACCGAAGCTCAGGATTTGATCCTCATTACTCAGTGTCAATATTCTACACTGCATATCATATCTACTTTCTTTCAACGTCGTCCGTCTCCTTCTATGAGCTTTCAGCGCCCAACCTCGTCAGTTCATTCGTGACGAAATCCTGGGCGCTCATCAACTCAGTCGACCCGTACACCACCCGCCTCCGGACGGCCGTTGGTGCACTTGTACGCTTCGCCCACTCCAGCAGGTTCCCATACTCATCCATCGAGCCACCTCCGACTGTGAAGACAATCGCTTCCGAGAAACCCTGGCGTCTCTGTCCAAAGCTTGCTTCAATTCCACGCGCGGCGCTTCCAGTCTGGTTCCTCGTCTGGCTAGCTGGAGGCATAGTGCCGCGTGCATTCGCAGACCTAGGGTCAAAGTAGAGGTAATTTTCGGTCTTCGATATCGCTGACGACGAGGCATTCTGCGGGTCCATCAGGGATTCCGTGATTTTCGTTAGGGTGAGGTCTTTATTTGCGGGGAGGAAATTCTTGATCCCAGAAACCAATCCTTCCAAGTTGGCACCGAGACCTGCATCCTTGAAGCGGTCCGTGACGCGGCTGGACAGACTGCTAAATCCACGGAATAGCTCGTTTGAATTCGACTGCGCGGACTGAGTCGGTGCTGACGAAATCATCGTCATTCGTGTTAGTTGCCGAACAGTCTTGATGTATTTCAATGAGGTTGTGTCTGCACCGGCAGCTTGTAGCGCTTGGTCGAAGCCGTCCACGTCGGCCCTGGGGACATCTTGTTCGGTGCTCAGATACCTGAAGACACATTAGCGACGGGTGAGAAATGGACGATGATCTTAGCTACCAGATGATGAATAGACGCAGCTTGTCGCGCGGCTCATTACCCTTTTCAGGGTCTTTTATTAGCTCCATTATTTGTGCCTTCGTTTGCTTGGTAATGTTCTCCTCTAACTGGAAAAAATTATCTAATTGCCGATCTAGATGGGTAGATTAGAATCATCGCAGCTCGCCAACTGATCATCCAGATCTTACCCTTGATGCCTTTCAGCAACTGTCCCAGGATAGACATATGCATGTCGAGGGTAGATTTACGCTCGCGCAACTCTGGCAATAGGGAGACGGCAGCCTTCAAATGCGCCGCGCTAGTACTGGAGTCTTGTTGCAAGTCTTCCAGAGATGAGGCGCCAGTCTTCCTGGTTATATCATTGGCATCCTCTTTGTATTTAGTAAGCTCCATGTCGATGTCCTCGGCAACTTGCGGGAATGGGACACCAGCATTCCGGCTCCAGAAGTAGTCGTTCGAGTTGAGATCGTATGCCTTCTTTTGCGTGCCTTTCGCCGGGTTGCTTTCGTCGACGGGCACTTCCATTGTGATACGGTTTAGATGCATTTTCAGCACGTCGTACACTAAAGATTGATACGTCCACGAGTGACCCAGCATGGCAACGAGGTCCACTATTTCTGTATGTCAGTAATTTGAAGCTGTCGTATTTGAAAATGACGTACCATTTCGATCGACAATGATGAGGACTGGCCGCGTAGTAGACGTCGCCTTCTGGTCGCCTCCAGAGAAGAGATTTTGTTTCGAATTCAAAACGTGATCCCTGAGCTTCCTGTCTAGCTTGGCCGCAATCATCTCCGCAGCACCTCCTTTGGGACACCGAATGATGGGGATTGTGCCATGGGTTACGACTACGCTGAAGAGACCGTTGACTATCCGATCGATCGTGATATCCAGCTCCTCGTCTGTGGTTTTTATGCTGTTCAAGATGGAGTACGCGTCGTCGATGGACAGCGAGAACAGATCGGGCTCGGAAACGACAAAGTTGAGGTATTGGTCGTATATTTGCGCCAGGTGTTCTGATGTTCCAGAGGCAGCGGTTTGAGAAGCGAAGTCTTCGAGCAGAGGTCTTGGAATCGAAGAGAGGAAGTTTACGTAGGCGGGAGAGTAGAGGTTGCGGGCGAGGTCAGACGTTATTATTTGGAGGTTGGCAGATGTGGGTTCGACAAGGTATATGACAGGCACATCGGGTATTGAGTGTCTTGTGGTGTTGATGGATAGATGGATCGTGACCTGCTCAAGTCAGCAAGCTATCTCATAAGTGGACTTGCGTACAATTGCTAAGCAGAAGGTGGTTTAACTTACTCCCCAAGCTCGAAGGTCGCTCACTCGCAGCACGCTGGATATGACATCTTTGCCCATGTTGTCAAAGACCAACACCTAGCATTTCTTAGTTTGTATTTTCTATAGTGTAAAGGCAGGCGTCAAACCTTCCATATTGGCTCGCCCGTCTCGGACAGTATGGGGGAGTTGGGCTGTAGAAACCCTGGCGTGGAGTCATGATGCTCCGAGTTTTGGGGAGACTTTTGGTTGAGGTTGAGGATGGTTTCAATCGAAGCTGTGTACACAGATTAAAATTATATATTCCGGCTGGGGTATCTCTGTACTTGCCCACTTGTTTATCGCGAAGTGTCTGGTGGTGAGCGGCCATGATGGAGGTTGAGGGCTGGCGCCAGCCGATTTGCAGGTCACCTCATATGCAGACGGACGCAGTGGTGAAGACGCAAGAGGACAGCTTGCACAGATAATTGTATTCGAGCTTCGTGGGCACACTACGTTGAGGTCACTGTGGCTCGTCCACTTCTTGGGCCAGATGTTCTTGCCTGCACGGGCCGATTGCAGCCTAGCGCCTTGGCAGCGGTCTTTCCAAGGTTTCTAAGCTGCCCGCTCGCCTCCTCTCCTCACTCCTGCAACACACTCACCGTGGACACTCCTTTGACTCCATCAACCTTTCCTGACTTCTCCGTTTGCATAAATCATCGCAGTGACGACGCCGTGCAGTAGGGCCGTCTGCGCGTGCGTGTGAGCTCTTGTTTGGCTTCTCGAGGTCGTCGTGAGCAGCGCTTTGGTGAGGTGGCGATTTGCGTGTTGTGCTGCTGGGCCGCCGGTCGGGTTTTCGTGACGGGCAGAGTGACGCCCTTCAACGGCCAGCGCCAGTGACACGGCCTCTACAAAGGTATCAATCAAGGCGTCTACAGTACGGCCCGGTGTGTGGCCGCTGCTGCCATCGCTCATTTAAGGGTCGTTGCTCGTGTGGCAGCGCTGGAGGCGTCCGTTGCTGCGAGGATCGCGGTCGCAGCGACAGTGACAGCACGCGGCAGCCTTGGGTGACGACAAAGGCCTCCGGACTCGGCCGCGCAACACACGGCTTCTCTCTCAGCAAACAGTCGCAGGTCGCAGGGCTCGCTCCGAACCAACTCGCACACGCAGCAGGCAAAGCACGCAGAACAAGGCAGAGGAACCCGGAAGGACCAGGGAGCACGCCGCGCTTCGGCCGCAAGGGGTGCAATTAGCATCACAAACGCAGCAAACCCACCGCTTTCGCTCTCCGGGCACGCTGCGACGGGGATAGTGCCGGTGCCGCTTTAACTCGGCTGCATAAGCATCCTGCGGCGTCACAGTTTTCCGCACCGCCCAATCACCGGCTGCCCCTCCCCTAAGCGAGGCCCATCAATCGGCCCGCGTTTTCGGCTTTTCCATCCCGTCTCACCATAGTCCACAATGGCAAACCCCAATCACGTGCACGATGACTCTGTCCACGTCCACAACGGACAGAACATCTACGCCGACCCAGAGTTCAATCCCCAGTTCCCCGGCACTGTCAACCCGTCTTTTGACCCCAGTGCCTACAACCTGTACTCTACCACCGCCCCGCAGCAGACTTGGCAGCAGCCGACCATCTCTCGGCCAGCATCAGCACTGGGGGCCCCGTACGAGGCCAGCAACCAGTTCTACGGCCGCCCCTTCTCCAACAGCCCGCTGCAGTTCCAGGACCAGCCATTCCGCCATGCGAACATCAACTCGTACTCCCAGCAACCTGCTGTGGACCCGTCCCTGGTGTCATCCTCCATGCGGCAACCCAGCTACGACTTGGGCATGAGGAACATGATGCCTACGAGTGGCTCGCCGAGCACCATTTCCCCGCAGGCACTTCAGACCACCATCAGGGTCAAGTCAGAGAACCAGCCATCGCTCCAGAACATCCAGAACATCCAGAACATCCAACAGGCTGGCCCTGCCGTCCAGGTTTGTCCAACTCATGCAAGATCATTCACTCGTTCTAATATCTCTAGGAGCCCACGACCAAACCGGCTGCACAGTCTTATGGCTTCCAGCAGTCGGCCCCGCCAGCAAAGGTGGTCGTGCCTGTGAATCCATCCATCGTGACGCCGAAAGGTGAATTGCAGGGTAAATTCATGGTCAAGAACCTCGATGAGCTTGTCAAGGCAACGAAATCTGTCCGCTTGCACCACTTCGTGACTCTCAGTGATATTACTCTAGACTTGCCCCTCAATAAAAGTAAGATACAGACTAGATACCACCACCCCCACAACACATTGCAATGACTGACTGCGTTAAAGCAACGGTCCCCAACTACACGCCAAGAAAATCCAAGCGTGAGATTAAGATCCTAGCTGCCAACGATAAGCAACTGTCGAGTATGTTCCCCTTCATCTTCCGGAGCTATTGTGGTACTGCAGAAGCTAATCTGTATGATAGCAAAAATCACCAAGAAGTCGGGCAAAAAGTCTTCAACCGCACTGAGGGCACCTCGTATCCGGACTGCACCTTCAAGTGCACAATCTCCAACAAACCTGAAGCGGGAGTATAGTGACAGTGCTAGCGAGACGGAATCGTCTGATGACTCTGACTACTCCTCTGACGAGGAAACCCCTGAGCCCTCACCATTACCAGATAAAAGGCCTGAGGAGCCTAAAGCCGCAGTGGAATATGATGTGACTGAAGCTGTCTGGCTGCCTCCTAAGTCTTCTGCCAGACCTGAGCAAATTCGCACTGCTCTCGTTAATTTCTGGGAGGTGGTCCGGACGATTAGGGATCGGTGGCGGCTTGACAATGCCGCTGTCAAGCAGGCAGAGGAGAAGAAGAGGGTCAGTGAGCTCCCTATGCTAAAGAGCCGTGTTGGGAGCCAACAGGCCATGATGGAGGTAGCGCTCAAGACTGCCCTTGAGCATGGCCATCCTGACATTGTTCACCACCTTAGCGAGAACAAGCCTTTCCTTCTTCTTCTCTACCAGTTCATTGCCGACCGAATCACGTCCAAAGATTACGATGGCGTTATGGTTGGCGTCATTCTGGAGCTTCTATCGCGATGTAGCACTTTGACAAATGCCAAACTCGAAGAGTCTAAGCTGTCCAAAGTCTTCACCATAATGTCCAAGCCGGGGAAAGGCAATGATAAGACGAAAGCACAAATTAAGCAGATCCTAGCCAAAGTTGCGGCCTCGCCCGAGACTAAGGTCGAATCTCCTGCGCAGAAGTCCGGTGACACAAAGGACAACATCAAGGCCACGCAGCCAACAACACGCCCCTCTGCTGAGCCCCTGACAGGCACCAAGCGGCCACGAACTGCCGATGTGACTTCGGGTGAGCCTGCCAAGAGGGTTGCCTCAGGCCTCAACAAACCAGTCACATCTGCCACCACAAAACCCCCAACAAACGGTCTGAAGCGCCCTGGTGAGAGATCTGTAGCTCCGACCAACACTGCGTCAAAGCCCAAGGTCAACCCATTGGTTGCGAAGCCGACAAGCCTCTTCTCCAATTTACAGTCAGCACCAAAGAGGCCTGGTGCTCAGCCTGTGGCCAAGCTAGGAGCTCAGTCGAAACCTGCCGCCAATGCTTTGAATCAAAAGAAAGCTGCCACGGCACCTCCTATGCGATCATCAGCGCCGGCATTTTCTTTCGCCGAGACCATGGCGAACTTGATGAAGCCGAAGGAACCAGAAGTGGTGGCCAAGCCCGAGGAGAAGCGACCGCCAGAGACGCCAGAGGAAAAGGCAAGGCGACTTCGGAAGGAATCACGTCGACATCTGCGTGTGGCTTTTCGTCCGGATGCAACTCTTGTCAGCGTCCGATACTTTAGCCATGACCCCGAAGAAGAGGTTGGCCACGATGCTAGTATGGTCCGTGACGCCGGTGATGTTGGTGGTGAAGGCCGCATGTTCAAGCAGCACAAAGACATGGATATGGATGAGGAAGATGACGACCTGCCTCGTGAAGAGTCGTTCCGTGACTGGATTGAGCCGTCCGAGATTGACTTCAGCGTCATTGCCATCGAGGAGCGCAAGAGGAACTACCCTCGATCCGGTGGAGGCTTGAACGATAATTGGAAGTTCCCAGAAAAAGAGGAGAACGAGCGCCGTGAAGCCAACACACTGATGGTGTTCTATGCTCAAAAGTCTGATATCCCGCCATCGCCGCGAGAGCCACCCGAGCCAGCCGAAAGCGCTCCAGCGGAAGTTGTTGAGTTTGGCCCACCACCCCAAGAGGTCCTCAACCGTGCCGCTGCCTTCGCGCCTGTCTCTGTGCAGCCTCCAGTGCAAGACTTGGCTGCAATTTTCAACATGATGGCCCAGCAACCTCAGCAACCCCAGCAACAGCCAGTTGCTCCAACTTCTCAGCTAGAGAGCATATTTGCGCAGTTCGCAGCTAAGACAGAGCCAGCACCACAGCAGGCCCCTCCCACCAACATCTACTCGATCCTCGGCGCACTCCAACAGCCACAAGCGCCGCAACAGGTGCCACAGATGCCGCAGTACCCATCTGCTTTCGCTGTGCAGCCACCTCCACAGGCCCCAGCAACCCCTGACGTGAGTGCTTTACTAGCGACACTCTTGTCCAGCGGCCAGCAGAACAACGCCGCTCCTCAAATGCCGTTCAACATGCCCTACAGCTTCGCAAACATGGGCCAGCAACCCCAAGGCCAGCATCAGCAACAGTCCGCTGTCTATGAAAACGAAGAACGCAAGCGATGGCGCGAGAACGGCGGCGGCTACCAAGAGCCTCCTCCCCCTGAACGTGCACCCGAACGTGAACACAGCGGCTCGTTCAAGAAGGGGAAGAACAAGAATAAGGGGGGATCAGGTGGCTTCCAGAAGCCGCACAAGGTCCACCCGTGTAGGTTCTTCCAGGAGGGCAAGTGTGCGAAGGGCGATGCATGCACTTATATTCATGATCCGAATGATATTAGGAAGCGCTGAGCTAGCGTCGTTGTTATCAAGCCTGAGCTACAACAGACTCCGCGACGCTATAGACACCATCATCACTTGCGGATATTGCATCAGAGATTGGAACTGTTGTGACTACAGCACCGTTTCTTAAACTGTAATTCTACAAGCAACGTCACTGTGGTCACAGCTTTCTGAGAGCACGGTCCCAAGATTGAAGCTTGTCGATACGGTCACTGGCTTCTCTACACACTTCTCTTCTCCATTGACCCACTTGTCTTTTGTTCGCGCTGGCGGTCCTTATTGTGACCCCCTGATGATTCTTTCTTTTTCTTCACACTTTTTTTTTCTCAGCATACTATCCGGCGTCACCTCTTGCATACGGAGTCAGCACGTTTCATGCATCTGGGCGGTGTTTCCGGATCGGATCAGCGTTATAGCGCGGACTATGGGTTACAGTTTACTCTCATCCTCTGTGGTCTGTGCAGACGGTGTGCATAGCATACGGATGGATGGATGAGTGGGGTTTCTTATTGGGGTTTGATTTGTCCTGCCCGCGGAAATGGGCTAGGATAGATGGATACAGCATAGCAGTGGAATCGATCGGCTGAAAGTTTACTCCAAGAGTTCCTGCGAATGATATGATGCTGTGAACGGTGTGACAACAGTGACCTCAATTTTTAACCAATGATATTGTATTCAAAGCAGACAGAATCGCCAAAGGGATCGCGCCGACTTGTTCTGTGCTGGACATGATCGTTGTAGTACAACAGTGATGGAAGAAATAAGTGTAGAATAGAGCTAGGCTGTAACGATGGGGCGACAGTCCTGGCGGCAACCCGAGCGCCAAACCGAAGAAACTCTTTGCCCATCGTGTCAGAGCCCCTTCGTGTCAAAATCACTTCACCCTTCGCGCTGTTGGCCCCTTCGTGGTAGCCGGTGACTCCCATATATATCTCCCTCCACACGGCCTAGCTAGCTACACCAACACAAGTCACAATACATTCTCTCTTCTTGCATACCGAGCTGTCACAGCGCAAAACCCCTTCACCCTTCGCGAGCGTGGAAGTTCAGTACACTTCTTCAAAATGGAAGGTGCTGCGGAGTCAAAAGTAGAAATGATCAGCCCCGGCTTCGATTCTGGCTGAGGGCATTCAGCCTTACACTGTATTCAACCCTACTCAGAAAACTCTACTTCTCTACGCTTGCTCAATATCCGCTATCTTCTCCACTATTTCATCGTTTATTTACTTCCCTGCGATTACTGCGATTGCGGGGTCGCTAAAAACCACCGTCCAATCAATCAACTTTACAATTACTTCGTATCAAGTAGTCTCCGGAATACTGTAGCGCCGTCAATCTTCGGAACTCTCGCTGACGACATCGGAAGAAGGCCTGTGTTATTGTTCACACTTGCACTATACCTCGGAGCAAATGTCGGCCTAGCTTTGACGAAGCACTGTGTCGCGCTGGTCGTCCTGCGATGTGTCCAAAGTGCAGGAGCATCAAGCACCATTGCCATTGCCTATGGCATCATTGCCGATATCTCAGTACCTTCGGATAGAGGATCCTTCGTCGGTGTTCTCTTAGGATTCACCCACGCAGCACCCTGCCTCGGTTCTGTCATCGGAGGTGTAGTCTCCGAAAATCGGTCTTGGAGATGGATATTCTGGCTTCTGGCAATCGCATCTGGAACCCATCTCGTCATGCTCACTATTTTTCTCCCGGAGACATCGCGAAAATTGGTTGGGAATGGCAACATTCGCCCAACGCATAGGATAAACCACTCTCTCTACGCCATGCTTCATCGTCAATCTCCTTCCGAAGAGCCTATACGCACCCCAATGTCGTTTGATTTCCTTGGTCCCTTCAAAAGCTTGAAGACTCTCTATAACAAGGCTAACTTCATCGCCATTCTCGTCGGCGGTATCACATACACGATATTCGGCTGTCTTCTCGCTAAAGTATCTAACAACTGGTCTGACATAACTCCCCGCTGGCATCGGCGGCATGATGGCTGCACTCCTGACGAGAAAGCTGCTTGATTACGATTACGATTACTGTTTGACAACACAGACCCACAACATACTGCCCGGCTTTCCCATCGAAAAGACTCGGCTGAGATCAATATTCCCCGTCATAGCTACAAGCTCCATCGCCACGGTAGGATACGGTTGGACGCTTCACGCAAGCCCTCACATTACCGTCCTCCTTGTTCTCCAATTCTTTTCGGGGGCGTGACAAACCTTCCTGTTTGTTACGCGCGAGACGCTGCTTACGGATCTGAATCCAGATAGGAGCTCGACCGCCCAGGCCAGCTACAGCTTGATTCGGTGTTTACTGAGTGCTGGAGGAATCGCAGCTGTCGAGGCAATGATACAGGGTATGGGTGTTGGCTGGTGTTTCACTGCTTTTGCTGTCTTCGGCGCTTTATGCGTGCCCCTTCTATGTGTTAAAGAAGAAAGGAAAGAACTGGCGCTTGGAAGGCGTCGCGGATACAGATGACGGACCTACGGAGAAGGGATAGTAGAGCAGGATGTGATTGGAGCCGAATCGCATGCAAAGTACAAAGGAATGTCTGCCCCTGGAGAGTGTCATCCAAGGAGGATACACAACTATCTGCATTAACTAATCTTGTCCTCACGACGTGTATTGCGACAATATAACAAGCGAGGTAAGATACCAATCCAACGGTGACCATAGTATGTACGTATATCTCCTAAAGCTCAACTACCCTCCATCCCTCCCTCTTATGCTCCTAGCTCCTGAACCGCCACCACATCAACCACAACACCCCCACTCTTCTCCGTCACCACCTCCACCTTCTTCACCTTCGGCACCTCACTCACCAACGGCATCATCGCCACAAACTCCTCCAAAGAAACCTGCCCATTCCCATCCACATCACACGCCTTCAACATCTCCTCCACCTCCGCCCCCGTCACCAAATCATCCATACTCTGAATACACGCCCTCAACTCCCCCAAATCAATCTCCCCACTCTTATCCACATCAAACAAACTAAACCTCCTCTTCGCCCGCGCCTCCAGACTCATATCCAACTTCGCCCGAAATAGCGCCGAGAACTGCTCAAACGTAATCCGCGACGTGCCCGCCACCCCAGAGATCCGATCCATGACCACCTGCAGCTGCTCGGGCGTGTATACCCGGCCCGTCGAAGCGAGCACAGTCGCCAGCTCCGCGCGGTCAAAGAACCCATTCCCGTCCTTGTCGAACGCGCGGAACGTCTCGTGGCACTCCGCGACCTCCGCCTCATCTAACCAGCTCGCCGGCGCTACACTCCCCCGCCGCCCCGTCTCGTTCGCCAGCGCCTCGATGCGCTCGAGCGCGTCGAAGGCGCGCTGCGTCGCGAGCCACAGCTTCCGCGGGTCGTGGCCGAACTTCATGCAGCCGTTCTCGGCGATGAGGGGCAGGTCGAAGCGCACCTTCGGGTTCTCCATGAGCTGTTTGCCGAGCGGGGTCGTGGCGCGGTTGTAGTAGTGGTCGCGGTGGGGGAAGGTGCCGCAGAGCTCTATAATCCGCAGATGCTCTTCGAAGATGGTGCGGAAGATGTGCAGTGTCGGTGGCAGATGCGGCTCCAGCGTCTCGTAGAAGGCGACGCCAGCGCGCTGGGAGGCGAGGTCTTCTTGGTGCGTCATGATCAGGCAGGGGACGAAGATGCATTCTTCGGGGGCGAGGGAGCGGAGCCAGTCGAAGGGGAGGGTAGCGATTGAGCGGGCCATGGTGTCGCCGGAGAAGGACTGGATGGTGTGGCGGTAGATGTTTCGTGGGAACTGGTCGATGAGGATCATGAGGGCGAGGCAGCCGCGTGCGGTGGAGGTCCAGGAGGCGTAGGAGCCGGCGAGGGCGGCGGCGACGTGGTGCCCGAAGCGGGTTTTGATGGCGATGTCGGTCGTGTTGGACTTGCCGAACCAGAGGGCGAGGCAGGTCATGACGTCTAGTTGGCCATGCTCGTCTCGTAGGAACATAAAGGAGATCAAATCTTCCTGTAGGGCCTCCATGTTGCGTTTCTTTCTTTAGGTCGTACTGGATGGTGGCTGTTTGGGGAGGGGCTGGTCGAGGGAGAGGCATTCTAAAAGAGAAAAGATGGGCTGATATTCTATCTTTCAGAGGTCGTTCGCGTGAAGTGGTTCCGGGCTGAGCTATCGCTATACCAGTGTCCATGGGGGCTAGTCTTTGGTGTTGTTGCTGCAGCTTGAAGCCAATCGCGGCTTTATCGCGAAGGGCTGGACCTGTGGCGTATGCAGGCTTCAGCTGAAGGTACAGCGCCCACATCCATGAATCTGGTTCAGAGGTCTCTAGTGGTGTTGTTGAATTCATGCGGAGTAGACATAGCGCTCGAAGCAGAGTACGGTAGCTCTGGAGCGTCCGATAGTCTCAGGTTGTGAAGAAGCAGTTCTGTGTTGATTTGAAGAGGCATAAGGCCCGTATATATAGCCTATGAAAGGGGGGGGGGTTACTCCCCTGTTCCCCCTTGTTACGGATATGGAAGGATGTAACGCCACTGACACGCTAGTAGTGGCAACCTGAGTGATAGAGCGCTCGGCTACGAAAAGGGCGTCTGTGAGGCGCCTAGTACTGCCTAAGGCTGGTTAGCGCACGATTGGTTCGGATGAGGGGTCATGACCTTGCCAAATATTTCTCTCTCTCAGGCTATTTGGCTGTGTTATTGTTCAAATAAGTGTGCTATAGATCGTTCTAGTGGGTGAGCTTTCGGCGAACCTGTCTGCTCTAGATAAAACATCCTTAAGGTAGTGTATGCCTCATCCATATTCTGATATACAAGCGTTCGTGGACCAGATGCGTAGCATTGAGCGCTCACTAGAAGAGCATATCGACGACCTTTAGTGCGAGTCTATCGAGCTCGATCACGGCTTTGCCACATTCAGGCGAAGGCATCTAGCGTTCTGGTTATCATGCTCTCAGGCGGCGGCTTACAGTACTACGGCATAAGTTTGGGCAGTCCGGGCGTTTACTCCGGGTGTCCTGATAGGCTTTTGAAACTCTACATACGATGTAGCCCTCGACGCAGTGGGAATAGGGCTACTGTTTGACTGACTAAAGGCTAGCTAGCTGGGGTACTCCTTACGTTGGTACCGAGTGAGCAAGAGTGAAGTCCGACCAGCGTGATGTCCGTGTACCGAAACTTATTACCTAGTACTGTGCAACCAATGATACAAGCCTTGTTGGAAAAGCTGTTGGGACTAGAAGAAGCTTCGGGGATAGAACTGATCTACAATGAGGTTGTAACTGCGGACGACCACACCGATACCCATTGTCGTCGCCAGTGGAGTGCAAAATTGTACAATTCAATCTATTTCGACTTAGATAAAGCTGCACAAATTAAGAAACAAGTTGGGAAGCTATAACTAATACCAAAGGGTGAGGCTACCACTTTTATACTCCCGTAGCATCTACCCTTTCACTTCTTGCCACACGTGCTAGGGACGATACCTCCCCTACTGCACTATTCTCTTAGCTCTCACTCTAAACTGTTACGTTGTCACTTTGCTTCTCTGGCTAGCATAGTTTATTCTAATGCCTATACCCTGGATACCCTCTTCTCTTATAGAGCGAATTTGGCTTAGACGATTACAAAGCTGCGCAAGTCAAAAGATACGTTGAGAAGCTATAAAGGAATACCAGAAGGCGAGTCTTCTGTCTTACTTTTCGTAGGTGATGGTGTTTCTGAACTTTACGCAGCTCGCTCGTGTGACCTCTTCGCAAAGGCAGGAAATGGTGACCTATCTTTACGCGTCAATATGCGCGAATTTCATGCTCATAGGCTACTAAGATTGGGTTAAATAGTGTGAGAAGAAGCACACTGCATTAACCACTTTTCATGACTGGAAAGCAACTCTGGGTGTCACAAGGATGATTCAGAAATTCACACAGAGGGAAAACCGCTTTCACTCAGGAGGTCCGCCTCCGTGACATACCATGACTGAGCCTTACGATTAGTTCTAATGAAGATGTGAATTTTGATTCGTAGATACTAAAGAGAAAGCTATAGTCCATTAGCCTAGGAGCGCTTCCCTAAGCTAGACGCTATCCACTCAAGACGGCGAGAAATCAACACCGTCACTAAGGCCCCATTCCCAATTTGCCGAGTCCACTACCATTGCTGATGGTCCCAGTTCGCCCCCAACATCCCCCGCTCTCCGAACCGAATTCCTCCAATCTGGTGCTGTCCCGTCTGGTGAATTGAATGCCGACGGCTGGAAGCCATTGAGGCACTACGCTCCCGAAGAAGCCGCTGACTACGTGGACCATTTAAACGCCTGCCCCCCGTTGACTCCTCGTCATCCTCATCACCAGCCTCTTCATACCCCTGGAAAACGTATCCGTGGTCAACGACGCCGTTGCGAGGCCGCTGCTGCTGAGCCCGCTGCTGTTCTCGCTCGCGCTGTATAGCGCCGATGTCTGGTCCCCAGAGGTCGCGGCCTTCAAGATGTCCGTAGTGGTGTCCACGCTCGTACCCGTCTTCATACCCTTCCGATCGGCCTCTCACATAGCCCAGCTGCTCTCCGTGATGCAAGTAGCCCTGCGCGTACTGGACGCCCTGGCGGCGCCCCTGCTGGAATCCTTGTTGGTGGCCGTACTGCATGCCCTGCTGTCTGCCATACTGCATGCCCTGTTGGCGACCATACTGAACGCCTTGCTGCAGACCTAGCTGTCGGCCATATTGCATTCCCTGCTGCCGACCGTACTGCATTCCTTGTTGCCGGCCATACAGCATGCCCTGGTTGCGGCCATACTGTACACCTTGCCGTCGACCAGCATTGAGAGCTCTCACAATTTCTTCACGATGTCTAGCGTCGTCGCGGCCAGCAAAGCCTCGATAAGCTCCTCGCTGGCTGGCTTCGTCCGGCAGCCAGTATGTGATTTCGCCCTCATCCTCCATACCGTCCTGGTCTCGGCTCCTAAACCGCATAGTCCTCGCGCTTCTCGGTCGTCCATTCTGAACCATGTCATCGAAGATGAGGGCGGGCTCCATGGTTTGTATATATTGGATGTGATGAATGGAGTATAGGCAGGTAAATGTTGTGGTTCCTTAGAAGCTGAAAAGGAGTAGAGTAGTTGTGCTTAGAGAAACAGTGGTGGTCTATGAAGAGAACAGTGTATCGGCTGCTTATTAGCTGTGATGTGGATGTGTTGGAGAGGCTATTGTGGTGCGGTGGTGGTGGATATGTTGTTGTGGTTTGCAGGAAACGGTGCGAGCAGTAGATTCTTTTATAGGCAGCTGGAGACCTGGATAATTCACTGACTTCAGCGTACCGGCTCCTTCCAACTTGGCGCGCCTGGAGACCTCCCAGTGAACTGCCCGTGGGCAACCGCCTATGCTCGAACTGGTAGATTCTAGAAGCAGGACTTCAGCGGTGTTCTGGATTAGAGTGAATGGCATCGTTGACTTGAGTTAGACTGCGCCAAGTATACACATTCCTCTCACGTCTGGTGCCCGGCGCGGAAACTAAGCCAATCCTGGCAATTCTCCTTTCCTAGGCTAGCATTGACTGCCTTGAAGATTGATTGGCCAGATGGTTGCTATTCATCCTTGAAGGCACCTGGAATCGTTACCTCATGCAGCAATTCTGTGGCTTTATTTCCAAGTTAGGCCACCGGACGTGAGAGAAAGCTGTAGAGGTAATGGAGCGCTCGATGGGATGCTCAGCAAGGGTAAGGACGTCTGTTAGGCGTCTGATATTGTCTGGCATGCCCAGGTGGCTTAGTGCAACGATACCTCGGTGGAGAAGTTTGTGATCTTGATCAATGTCAGTCTCCTGGGCCATCTAGCAGTTCTGTAATACCAACGGCTTTTGCATATATCTTGTATCCTGACCCTTTTGCTTATAGCTCCTCGGTCGGATACTCGCGAAAGCAAGATCACATGATGAACATGGTAGTAATCGGCTTGTGAGGTGACATGCACGACATTAGCTGACTGACAAATGATGAGAAGAAACGCGATAGGTTTTAGATTTGAAAAAGCACAAGGGCTAGCGTTTTACTATGGCGAGGTGACAATGAAGAGCCTGAGATGTGGCGTTGAGAGGTTATTTTTTCGGGGGAAAATGAATATAGAAAACAATTTACCCTAGTGGAAGCACTCAAGCAGACCGACACTGTATTAGCTACTTGAAGCCACCAATTAGTCGGGGCATAGCCCTGGATCTGACCTGTGTTATTGCTAGCCTATAATAGACTAAAAGAAGCAACTAGATCTGATCTAGAACATCTGTGATAGGCCAGGAAGGTAACGCCCTATTCACATTTTCGTCTCGACTCCTTGAGACCCTACCACTGCTGATGATCCCAATTGGATTCCAGCATACCACGTTGTCCAAATCGAGGTCCACCAACCTGGCGTTGTCCGCGTCCGGACTCCTGGCCACTGTGTCCTCCTCCGTAGTCATGCTGCGAACGTGGACGCTCAGTCATAGGCATCGGCGGACGACGGGCAACCTGCTGATCATAGCCAGCCCCCATAGAAGCTCCACGGCCTCGCAGAGGACGCTAACCGTGTTCAGGTCCATCCAGACGCATCCGTCCCATAGAGGCTGAGAGCGGCTCGTCGTCATCTGGTTCTTCGTATCCCTGCGAAGTGTATCCGTGGTCAACGTAACCATTCCCGTGAGTAGATTGGCGGCGCTAGTGGGTTGGTCGAAGTTGTCCAGACTGCTGCCCCCGCTGCTGTTCTCGCTGCCGCTGAATCGCAGCGACATCCGATCCCCAATCCTCCCGGCCCTGCTTGTAGCCGGCCCAGCGCGCCTTCTTAAGTTTGTCTTCAGTCGTGGGAAGTCCTGGTTGTTTCGGACCGTTCGGGCCCCAGAGATCACGGCCTTCGAGGTGGCCGGCGTGATGTCCGTCTTCATAGCCCACTGAGTGGGCTTGAGCAAAGCGTTCACGCTGCCCGTGTTCAAAGAAATTCTGGGCGTGTCCCATTCCCTGACGCCGCCCGTATTCGACGCCTTGTTGACGGCCATATTGAAGCCCTTGTTGACGGCCATATGGAAGCCCTTGTTGACGACCAAACTGAACACCGTGGTGACGGCCGAACTGGACACCTTGGTAGCGGCCGAACTGTACACCTTGGTGACGGCCAACGTCCAGAGCTTGCGGGACTTTTCGGCTGTGTCGCTCCTCATCTAGGTCTCCGAAGTAATTGTTTTGACGCAGGTTTTAGTACTGATGGAGATGCTGATGGTAGTGCATGTTCTGACGGCGGGCCATGTCCTTGTGGATAAGAGCGGGTTCCGTGGCGTTTATAGAAAGGCGATGAACTGAGTATATGAAAGCGTTGCAACTTTTGATTGGCTGAGTGGCTGTAGTATGCTTGAGCTGGAAACGATGTTCTTGTTGTAGGTAGAGATTGGGTTTGGGGAGCTTCTTAGTCTGCTGAGAAGTGGTGGTGGTGTGGTCTGGCTGGAGAGTTCTCGTGGTGTGGAAGAAATAGAGGGTAGTGGAGGGATCCTTTTATACGTGCTAGATGACCGAAAGGTCATTAAATTGAGCGCGCCGCCTCCAATCCAGCACTTCTGGAGCCTTCTGTGAGTCGCCCGTAAGTAACCGCATTGCGGGCTTCCCGCCCCTGCGCGTAAACCATATTCTCTAACCAATTCGATGTCTTCTTTTCACCTGGCGTTGTAGATTCAGACAGCGATTAAGCGGCGGCTAGGTTCGAATAGGCGTTATGGCGTGGGCATGCGAGAGTGTCTGGCGAAGGTGCTTGGCAAGCATATTCCCTATACACCAGTGACATTTCGAAGTAGTCCATTGATCGGGGGGCGCGTCGTAGTCGTATATAGTTCCCAATCCACGAGGCCGTAGAAGCTATTCATCGTGGCATGCATGAGCTGAGGGAGCCCCGAGATGTAACATTCACCACTAGAGCACCCAAACTCAAGCCATGTCTTCGCATCCACGGAGATCAGTCGAGAAGTTTTCGTAGCTGAATTTTAAACATCCACTAGCCTATGTGTACTCTGTACACTCTAACCATCATTCTTCACCACTTCTCCTACGCCATGGCAGACGCGGAGCATGTCTCGTCCTCACAGCACGCCATGGACGAGACGCAACCCTCTCTAGCCTCGCGACTAGGTATGGCAAAGAAGATCTCTGACGGCTTTCGTGAGCGTGAATTCTACAGGTAGACCCTTGCGAAGCTCCTCTTTTGTATGCGTTCATGGAGGTGATTGCTTATGAGCATTGCGCTGAACCAAACATAGTCCGAGAGTTTGCTGGGAGAGCATTCGGTCACGTTTGAAAATGAGCGCAAAGATAAAGAAGGGAGCAAGCCTGGAGGTGGGAGTAGACGATTCTAAGATCTTGATGAAATCGCTTCAACGTCACGATTTTCAACAGTCCACTGGGCCGGTATCTTTGACAGCAAGACGAGGCGAAGAGATTTGTCTGAGAAAAAAGTTCGAGGTCCTATGTTCGTAATCGAGGACGCTTAGTCGGTCATGCGTAGTTGGTATGACATCAGCAAGTCGACGATATCTTCAAGCCCTTCTGATTCTGCAAGGTCGAAAGGAGTCGCTCCCTCTCTATCCACCGGCTCAAGCTCAGCACCATTTGCGATCAACATTTTTATCGCTTCTTCCTGCCCTTTGAAAGCAGCCAAATGAAGTGTCGTATCCCCTTGAAAATCTCGTCGAGTCAGATCAGCGCCCTTATCGATGAGTAGTTGTAGGATATCCGAATGGCCGTACATCGCTGCTCGGTGGGCGATGCTCGAACCCTTTTTGGTGGCCGCGTTGATATCGGCGCCAGAATCGATTAAGAGCCATGCAGCATCCATGGGTCCATAAAAAGCAGCATGATGTGGCGCAACATAGCTATCGGTGTTTCCGAAGTTGGCGTCAGCGCCATGAGCAATCAAGAGTTTCATGTTCCCCAATTTCTTAGCATGAATGGCAGAGGCAATTGGAGGAGACCCAATCTTGTTCTCTGCAATGACGTCAGCTCCCAGGCCAATCACAGTCTTGCACGTTTCGGGGTGCCTCCATATGATGCCTCGTGTAGTGGAGTCCATCCTTCAATGGGGTCGGGAACTTCGACATCAGCTCCGGCCTTCACAAGCAAACGGATTATCTCGTCGTGTCCTTTCCGGGCGGCAATGTGTATCGCACATTTGCTCCATTTTGGGTCTTTTTTGAACAGATGAACATCGGCACCTCGATCCAACAGAGCCTTGACACAGCGAGTATTACCTTGCAAGGCTGCCACAAATAAAGGGGCCCTGCCCTCAGTATCTGTCCCGTTGACGTTGGCTCCTTTGTCGCAGAGTACACAGACGATCATGTGGTTGTCGCCCTCCCAGATAGTTCTGTGCAGAGCTGTTCCTCCGTTGATATCTTGGGCATTTGGCTCTGCTCCCTGATTCAGAAGCATCTCTACAACGTCGTAGCGATTTTTCATGGCAGCTTTGTGAAGGGATCGGCTTCCTTTGAAATCTTTCGACTCAATATCGACACCTTGCCGGAGTGTCGATCGTGCCAGGGTACTGTCGCCAGCAATGACGGCAGAGAACAAGGTCGCTTTGGTGAGTTTGGACTTCCGGGTTTGCTAGCTTGGCAACTCTAAGCCGGATTTATTTGATTCCACGGGGGTGCCTTTCCTTTCTGGCTCGTCCGGAATCGGCATCACTCGTCCGACTAAATTCTTGCTTCCGTCATCGCTATTACCCCGGGATTGAGTTATCGGGTCATTCAAAGTGATGTGATGGAGCACGGGAAGGACTGTGTCCAAATTTGCAGACTGGGAAATCTCTCCATTGTTATTCAGCGGTTGGGAGTCTCCATCTGCAGCGGCAATATGGGTGAGGCTTGAGGCTGGACTGCTTTTGTTGGACATCGCAGTATGGCAACAATCGGCAATGAAAACGCCAGAAGGTAAGTCGGCGTCTGTCGACTTTAGGATCGTGCTCAAGAGGTCACGACCTAGAGGGCGAGTTGTCGGTACTTTGGCAAGTAAGTCTTTAATCCATCGTAGCGGGACAAGATCTGTGGGCGATTTGGCCTTGCCTGAAAGCTGATTTACCCAAGTAAAGGCACCGTCTTTATTCTTCGCGTCGATTGCGCTCTTGGACCCAAATCCTTGGAGATGATCTCTCATAGCTGAAATGGATTTGCCATTGAGGATTGTACACATTTCCAGATAGACGCAGCCCAGAGACCATAGATCCGCGGCAGAGCTACGTGGTGCATCTTCTAGTAGCTCAGGAGCACTGTATCTCCGAGTCATAAGAGGAGACGTGTCTTGGGTCATACTGTGGCCTACGTCTTTCCAGTTAGTGCGATACCGAAGTCGGTGTACAAAACAGTATTATCTTTCAACAATATGTTTTCCGGCTTGATGTCTTTATGTCGAATCTGTTTATCGTGAATGTAAGCCAGACCTGTTGCCAGACAGCCATAGAACGTCCGCAGAAGGGTCACTCTAGACTCAGCCTGCAAGACAGTGTCGAGAAAATGAGCCAGATTGCAGTCTGCTACGGGAGACACGATCAATCCAACGTACATCGGATCAGTGTAACTGCCGACGAGCTCAACGATGTGATGATGCCTAAGGCGTTTCAAGGTGATGAGCTCTCTTTCGAAGTCTATCATATTTCTTTGGAAATTGCTAAAGAAACGACCTCTTTTTATTCTCTTCCGCGCGTAGTAACGATGTCTTTGCGTACTCCGGATTTTTTGAACCTGTCCGTAGGAGCCAGTACCGAGCAGCTCCTTTTCCTCGAAGGGTAAACTTCGTCTTGGTCAAAGTACTGGTGGTAACCGCTTTCGCCTCTTTCCAGCTCGAGTGATTTGGTCATAACAATCCATTGTATCTGCAATATTGACTGTCGAACGGCAGCATCGATGTTGGTTGGGAGGGACGACCGAGAGGACGGAAACCAGAGATCATTCACGCCGGGTGCCACAAAGTCCTCAAAAATTTCGAGATGGTCGATGACTCTTACGACGATGTACAACCTAGGGCACTGTGCCCATACTGGGCTCACAGCCTGAAGAAGCCCTGCAATGTGTTGAATATCCGCATGAGTAAGCCTCTTGAGGGGGTTGAAGATGGATGACCCATTAGGATGGAAAACGCGTTCGAGTTCTTTCTCCGGGCCACCCGTTGTCGAATTCGATATCTCGTCAAACAGCTCTCCATCGAGACCCGCAACTTTCTGTGACTCACTCGATACTTGCATAGTTGCGATCTTAAGTTTGACATACGATGAGGCTGTCTTTTCTAGCCAAATCCGTATGGTAGCTCTGCTGTATCTTGCTGAAGCTACGTTCTTTCACAACAAACGGTGCTTCCATTCGGTGCCCAAGGCTGAAGAATGAGGCGGTAGGGAGCTGCGCGTTTCTGACAGAAGCCGTCACGGGAAGTACATGAGTGCAGACTTCGCAAGGTAATAACGAGGTGGGCCGTGATACTGGACAGGGGAGTGTCCGCTTGGACTGTGGTGGGGAGGCTATCTAACATCTCTACAGCTGCGGCGATGAGGCTGTGTGATGTCGTGGTCCTCCCGAGACCGGGGTCCGAGTTTGGGGGCCAAGGTTCGTTCAGCCAGATCTTGGCACATCACGTGTCTGTAACCCTCCGGGCCATGAAGAAGCAGTTCAGTCAGAAAGTATAGTAGACTAATCTAAAAGCTTAGAGTTGAAGAAAGGACATGTTGTCCATAAATTTCGTAGCTGTAGAGGGGCAAAACATTCACAGCATGACCAATCATATCACACCGCCGCAGTTATATAGACTTTGAAGCCCTGGGCAAAGAAGTCAGAATGAAACGCTTCATTGCTGATCAGACTGAGGTAGCTAGCTACGTACTCTTGACCGTCAAAGTACCCCCCTCACATCATCCCTGCCAAAGGCCCTTGGGATTCAGACTCATGGAAAACATCAATCTACTTTGTCTAGACTGAATCCAGAGAAAGAACGAAACAAGTGTAGACTCCAGGACTACAATGTCGCCGCGATCTTCGACACGAGCGCCTCCGTGAAATCCCAGAGCTCTCCAGAATCGTGCCCTCCAAACGCCGCTCCAGTATAGTATGTGCTCCGCAGTCCCTGCAGCGCATACAGCCGCTGATAGAAGCCGTTCCTAATATCATCGGGGGAGACCTGTAAGTCAAACGGGCTGTGGCTGGAAAATTTGACGATCTGCGGGTTGTAATCGCCGGTGGTTTTGAAGTCGCCGGAGGCGTGCATAGTACGCACTTTGGCAATAATATCATCCTGGATGGCTTGGCTGCTCATTTCAGTACCATTGTGGCCGTACTTGAAGTCGAAGACTCCGGTGATGCTGGTGCTTCGGAACCAGTAAAGCCCTGGGACTTCCGGGATGTGGAATTCCGTGCTAGTGGCAGCGAAATTGTACACCGTGTTGTTTGGCAGGCCAGTTGAATTGATCAGACCGGTGTAATAGTAGTGAGGGACAATCTTGCTGAGGACACGAGTTTCCTGGTCTTCGAGCCAGAGGCTGTCGAGAATGGTGCTAGTAGGTGGCGCAGCGATGAGTAGAGCTTTCGCTTGGATAATCTCGTAGCCGGATGGAGTTTCGACGGTTATGAATACACCAGGTTTGTTGTTACGGCGACGCAATCGCATGGTCTTGACGAGGCTCGAGTTGAGGAGAACGTCGTCGCCCAGGTCCTTCAAGGCACAGTCGTAGATTTCGTGCATCGGGCCCTTCGCTCTCATGGTGACATTATCTGCTGAGTGTACAACCCGGTCCAGATCGAATTCCTTGAGAACGTAAAGCGCCGGCTGTCGCAAGAAGTCGCTTCCACCCTGCTGCTGCAGATAGAAGAAATAGAGAATAGCCTCAAGTTGATACTTCTTGGCAAAGTCGATGAACGGCAGCATGAAGTCCTCCGGGACTGGGGAACCGAGGTAGTACCCGCTGGAAAGATTGGCATACTTGGCACGCTGCTCGCCGTATTTGGCCTGCGCAGCTAGGATATCATTCCAGGCGTACCCAACTCCTCCAACCATATTCTTGCCTGTCTGATAATCGACGAAGACGGTACCACGGGTGTTCGGTGCTAGCCCATGTTCCACCTCAATGCTGAAACGGTCCACGAAGCGCATACTCGCGTTAGTGACATGCCATGTTTCGACGCCGAGCTCTACTGTCTGGCCACTCGCTGGGTCGGTCCAAGTCTCTGTGTGGCCGCCTGTTGAGCTAATTAGTTATGTTGCCATTGCGAATAGACGTGGTAGTCACTGAGAGCGGAGCAGATGCATACCTAGAGTGTTCTTGGCTTCAATAACAGTAACGGTCTTGCCCATGTCCTTGAGCCGAACAGCCGCATAGGTGCCACTAGCACCACCTCCGATGATGCAAACATCCGTGGTCCTCCCAAACCAGGCCGCCGGCTTAAATTGGAAGCCATCGTCATTGCCTGTAGCTGCCCGGACCGTCGAGACGGTAAACGAGGCCAAGGCTAGGAAGATCAAAAGTGAGAGGCGCATCTCGATGGACCTGTCAACGGCGACTACTGGGACTATGCGTAGACAGTGCAAGCACGGTCTGGTTGAGGGCGGTGATAGATGGGTGGGTGTCGTAGAGTGGGTGTGGTGGATTGTGTTGGGCAGCAAGGTGAAATGGAAGGGCCGCCGCGGGTTGTGAAGACAGGAAGGTGGAAGGAAGGAGCACGAGGCAGGCGTGCTGTGATTCGTCGAACTTCGCTTCTACTAGGATCTACAAAAGTGAGAGTCTTTCAGAATCACGATTCTTTTCTACGACGCTAAGAACGCCTTTAGGGAATAGATAGCCTATCCAGTCTCATCCTGCACGAGAACACCATGGCTGGTATACCGAAACAGCTCAACAAACGCAGCAAGACAAACTAAAGTAAACAGGAGGGCCACAAAGCTAATCTGAAAACCTAGTTTTATCTCGAGGCTATAATCGAAACCAACCTCGATTCTGTGACACTAAAATAGTGACAGTTTGGTTACATTCGTGATGCCCTTCGATCCTGGCTGTCGAACCCAGGAGCTGAAGACTTGGGTGGTCTCGGCTGCTAGCGTTTACCATCGAGGCATGCATATTCCCGAGTTTGCATATTGTCTGGCAGGCTGGGGCGTGCCATGGACGAACCGTTGCATTAGAGCTAGGATATTCTACTGTGGAAAACAGATATTAGTGAATCATGATAGCATATATATCATTTCCTGCTCATATGAGCGTTGTCAGATCCACGAAGGTACTAGGATGTAGCAGTGTTCTTGTCTGTTTGATCAGATTGTGGGACAAATGAGGTTGAGATAGAGGCGAGGTGTTCCTAGGAAGTGGAACCCATCACGTGGGCACAGAACAGCTCGAATCATATCAATTTTCTACAAAACACTACTAATAGGATGAACGAGAGTCTTGCAGGATGTGAAAGAGGGCTCCAATCCCCCGAGTTAACGTGGTTGACGCAGCTATTACTACACGTGATCACTGATTCAGCGTTGTCCGGGCCGAAGAAGCGCAAACCAAAAGTTCCATCAACAGGCATCACTGTGTCCTACCCCACCTGCAGATCGGAGTCATATTCTCTTCCCAGGACAACATATCTCTGCAGCGAGAGCACGTCACTACTACACTCACCAGATGCATTCAATTGACTACACAGCCAGGTAGACTTCACAGGTCTGTTCACAGCGCATTCACAGTACATTCACAGCACGTACACATTCACAGCCATTCACAGAAGATGCTCGACGAACTCCCCTTTGAGCTCCTCTCCCACATCTACTCCTATCTCGACACTGCTCAGTCCGTTTCCCATGTCTCAAGCACCTGTCGCCGTCTCCACAACTTCTCTACAAAAGAAGGATGGAAGATCTTCCTCCGCACACGGTTTCCCTCGCTCCCAACGCCCGCCCTGCCCAACGACTACAGGGAGGCTGCCCACGGGCTGACTACGCTCTCTCGCAATTGGGACCGCAAAGGCTTCGTCGCCCGATATCTTGAACCGGCAGGCAGCATTACTAGTCTTCCAACTTGGGAGCAGGTTCCGCGCTGGCAGCACCCGGATGGACAGACAATTGGGTATCAGCCCTGTATAGACAGCTACGAGGACTGGACTAGCGGCGACTGGAGCTCGAGGAAGCAGGTCTTAACTTGGTGTGCTGGGACTGAACTGCTCGTCCGAGCGAAGAATACTGGACGTGACATACAGGAGTTCTATGACACTGCCAGTCCAGACGATCGCAATTTCTATTTCGATCAATACAAGCACCTCGCTGCATGGTTCAGATACGGGATTCCTGGCGGTATGGAAGGGCGAGATGATATCACTTCATTGCATCTGATTAGGCCATATCAGAAAGCACCCGGAGCCGAGCATATAGAAAGCATCGTGTTTGCAACAGCAGATGGTGTGCTTCAAAGACTCAACATTGGGTTGAACGGAGGTCGCACCTCGAGTATACAGTCCTATACGACAGATGGTATTATGATCCACTGCACATCTCTCTCGCCATCTATCTCGCCCCTTCTAGCAGCAGACTCAGGCGTGTCTGGAATCGCGTTGTATCCGATGCATCAAGAGAACCAGACCGAGTCCCTCTCCGCTTTCAGCCAGATCGACATACTTCCAGAAGTAGTCACTCTCAAAGGTTTCAGTATCTGGGGACTCAATTTCTTGTCAGAGGATAAGCTAGGAGTTGGGGTTGGACCATCGACTGAGCCGTTCCGCATCCTCGAGGTTTCTCCTGCAGGATTAGTCAAGGACCCCATCCGAAGCTACCAATTCGAAAGGCCAGAAGATTCACATCGCCTGGATGGCCCACCCGGAGCTCCTGTGGAAGTCTCAACATACTCGGTCATCCCTCTACCGCCATCGTCACAAGGTGGCCGTAGCTCTGGGGAGGTCTTCCTCACAGGTGACAACAGTGGCACCATTCGCCTCCACGACTTGCGTTCTCCCTCGTCATCTGAATGCAGCTATTGGGACACCGCAAACGATTCCACCATCTATGCACTCCAAACCCAAGGTCGGGAAAGAATTGTTGCAGGTACGGGCCGACATACTACCGTTATGGTCTACGATTTGCGCGTTTCTGGAGGTCGAGCCTACCACAACATCGAGGTCCCACCATCAACACAGCGTCACTACAACACTCGTCATCCTAGAGCCACCAAGCCAAAGGTGGAGAAGAAGTCCGATGCCCACTACAACTGGAACGTGTTCCTGAACCCACGCGGCGTCAACCAGTTCCGAGCCCAACATGGCCGACGATCTCACAACAACCGGTACGAACGCGACTCTCCAGTCTACACCCTGTCCCTGCCGTCCCCAAGCTCGCCTACCCTCTTTGCCGGCGTAGAAGATGCAGTAATTCAGCTTGATTTCACCGGAATCCTGGACGCGCACCCAGACCCCGTCTTTGCGTCCACAATAGAGAGGACCCAGCGTGGGGAGATCAGCGTGAAAAAGAGCTGGAATCCTAGAGGCGACGTGATGAACTTCGGAATGTACGACAAGACGGACGAGAACGCGCTCGGTATGAACCTTTGGGTGCAGGCAGGCGTAGGCCTGTACAAGGGAACGGCTACGGGGTTGGACGATAGGTGGAGGGATCCGAGCCAAGTAGACCCTCTGCCTCAAAGAAGCAACAGGAGTGACACGACGAGCGGCACGTGGCGTGGTGAGTAGTAGAGGTTTTGTTAGAAGAAGTCGTCGGGAAAAGGGTCATAGATAGTGGATATGTCGTTCTTTGACCGTAAAGTGTACTTGACGAAATATCCACATGAATGCCTAATGTTTAATGAATTTCAGTAATTTACATTTGTTCCTCACATGCCACACTGTGTAACACACTGTAAAATGATCACATTTACGCTGTATATAGCCCCGAACGTCATGAAATTGCACAGCCAGCTCTACTGAAGTGCCAATATGGTAGTGTGTTCAGAGGGCTCCTGGGTGAAGTCAATATCCTGCTTCATGATGTGAAAGACTCGGCATTGCGAATTGTTGATACGCTCTTTTCTTTTAGAATTATTATGTAACACTAGGTCATGAGTCTAGGCACAGAGATATGCCACTACTTGGGCTCCATCTTTGCTCACTCGATGCCACTGTATGTGGTACCCCAGCTAGCGGGTGACCAGTCAGTCAAACGGTAGTCTAATGTCCATTGTGTGAAGCTCGACATCGTATGTGAGGCCTCAAAGCGTAGATACATGGATATTCTGCGGTTCACACCTGATATTTGCTCCGTCGACACCACCGCGAGGAGTAACTCAGCTAGCAGGTTACTAGCTAGTCAAAGGGAAGTCTAATTCATACTGCACTGATTTTTACATTATGTTTGAATCCTCAAAGCATAGGCACATAGATACCGTCATGCTCGAGGTTCATTCTTGCACACTCGACACCACTGTGAGGGGTGCCCTGACTGGTAGGTCGGTATCTAGTCAAAAGGTAGTCTCATTTGGACTGTGTTGACTGCAAGGGGAATGTTTCAAGACGTTTCAAATGTAGAAGAAGCAAGTTCCAGCTCTACTTGGAATATATAGCAATTCTCGATTCCTCATCGCCTATTCATTGATACGATAAGAGACTTGCTATTCTCATAATCTTAAATTTATGTAAGAAAGAGCAAATGGGTCGATAACAAACCGACGGATTAATGAAACAAACTTGCCATAAACATAATACCTCATCGATTGCCACCATCTTAGATACATTAGGATGTACGGATCGGTCGGATATGCAGTCGTAATCCGCGGACACCATTTAGCGGTCTAATGGAGCGGTGTTTTGCGGCCAATGGATGACATACACGAAGCTGCTTTTAGGTCTCACCATGAGTACGTAATTGGAGCCTTGGAGATGGACTGTCAGCGGCCAGGAGCTCCCCATCTTCCCGGCCATCAAGAGGACTTGGCTGCGTTGCTGCTAGAATGTATACGGTTGATGCTTGGAGGTGTTTTCGGTGCTTTCGGTGCTGGCAGGAAAATCGGCGCAGCGTGTGACCTGGATCGAAGCCGTCCAGACTCCAGACGATCTCATCCAGGCGGTTTGTGGGGCTGGTGAGTGGCCCGCAGCCGTCGTCAAGGCACGCTGTTGGTCCCCCGTGATGCTGTCACTTGCGGCGTCTGAAGTGATCGGCCGCGGGCATCAGGGCACCTGTTCCAGGATCGCGTCCGACATCAAGCCGTGGTCATGGCTCGGCTTCACAGCCCGTCCGCCATGGTTCACTTGTAAGCTTGCCAACCTACCCACACTCCTTTAGTTCTACAGTAAACGGCCGCCTATACAGATTTTCTCAGGCTTCATCGCCCTAGTTTAAACGCTCTTACCATTCGGCTCCTGTCGCCAACCGCAGCGCAAACATCGAAGAACGAAAGGGGGCACCATGGCTATTGACGCGAATCGCAGAGGCGGTTCATGGGGAGGTCTTCCTATGAAGACTATCTCTCTGGTCGCTGTATGTGCCCTTACCCGCAGAGAAATTGTGGAAGGCTTGACTGATAAATTTGGCAGCTCACTTTCCAAAACTCCGCCCTCATTCTGGTAAGAACCCTGTTGCTGTGGGATTATGTCCTACTACTAGGAACACTCTAATATTCAAGACAAGCCGGGCGCTGACACATTGCCAGATTATGCACTATTCGCGGATAATGCCACAGAATGGCACCCATCGATACTTTGCCTCCACCGCCGTCCTCCTAAACGAAGTCATCAAACTAGGAATCTCCCTCACAATGGCTCTATACGACATGTCTAGCAAGCTGCCTTCGAACACATCTGCGTCAGACCTATTTGGCAACCTCTTCGCGGCGGTCTTTACGGGCGACAGCTGGAAGCTGGCAATTCCCGCAGTCCTCTACACTGCGCAAAACACACTACAATACGCGGCTGTGAGCAATCTAGACGCGGCCACGTTCCAGGTCACATATCAACTTAAGATCCTCACGACGGCGATATTCAGTGTTGCGTTGCTAGGGAGGTCGCTGTCCACGCGGAAATGGGGATCATTGGTCCTCCTTACAATTGGAGTCATCATCGTACAGTGGCCTCACGGAGGCGATTCGTCCAGCTTCAAATCTCTACAAGAGGCGCAATCACAAATTTTCTGGCCACGTTCCATCGAGGAGCTTCGCGACTTGGGTAGCACAGCGGCACGGCAACTGTCCAAGCGCTCTGCCACATACGAAGGCATTGAGGAGGATGTGGCTATGCAGAATCCAGTATTGAACGGCACGATCGGCTTGGCTTCTGTCATTGCGGCGTGCGTTCTCTCTGGGCTTGCTGGAGTCTCCTTCGAGAAAATCCTGAAGGACTCGAACGCAGCGTCCTCTCTGTGGGTGGCGAATGTACAGCTCTCATTCTGGTCGATATTCGCGGCTGGGTTTATTGGCGTAATCTTCATCGACGGCGAAAAGATTGCGAAGACAGGATTCTTCGTGGGCTATACCTGGATCGTTTGGACTACAATTGCATTTCAAGCGTTCGGTGGTGTTTTGGTGTCCATGGTTATTAACTATGCAGACAATATCGCAAAGAACTTTTCAACGAGCATTAGCATTATCATCAGCTTCCTAGCGAGCGTCTGGTTCTTCGACGTTTCGATCACCGCGCACGTAGGTCATTCCCTCACTCGCATGCACCTGAAGTGTACTAACGCTCTCCAGTATCTGCTCGGTACCTCTGTTGTTTTGTTTGCTACATGGCTATATAGCAGCAACGACCGCATGCGACCGCCACCAATCCGGATCGCAGACTACGAGAAAACGACCATTGATGGCAACCCATCTTACTTTGATCTTGAACGCACCCCAGCGTCGTCGATTGCAAAGTCTCCTTTGAGATCTGAGGGCCTGTCGACCTCACGGCCCGGAACACCGACCGTAGAACGGCACCATTTCCGGAAGGGCTCGGAGCGTAAGTCGCTGGGAAAGCGCGATGCGTAAATGTAGTTGAGTTTTCTTACATGATGAGACTTCGTCGCACATAGGTTCGTCAATCAGGGGGTGCATTTAGGTATGGAGGCTCTTTGCGGGTGTTGCATGCATTTGGATTCATGAATGAGCTGTAAGGTTCACTGAAAGATTTTGGCCTTCGCCGATACGTCATACGAAGGATGCATTTGTTTAGGGTTCGGTAAGGAAAACAATGGTGGCGGCGTTGCATTTTATGTGGTGCGTTTGGAATTGGCCGGCACGTGGTTCGAAGTCACAGGTATGACGACGAGCTTTGCATGAACCAAAGGCGCATTGATGGCTTTTAGGGACGTTCTGTGTATCTGTATATCTAAAAGGCATTGAAAGAATTGCCTGAAACCGTTATGCTAGGGGTTGTGGTTTCGCAGGTCCCGTGCCTTCGCTTTTCTGAGCCAATGTCAACGTCAACCACACACCTGCATCTCAAGCTCCCATCCTCTCAACCTACCATCCTACTTCTACCATATCTCAGCCATCTAGGCCCCCGTGTCCTTTCCGTGAGCTGCCAATGCCTGACATCTAGCCATGGAAGATGCCTCGATGTGGGAGATGCTTGACCAACTCGAACAGGGCCATCAAGGGCCTCCATCCGCCCAGGCGTTGTCCGCGGTAGGATACGAGCAACTCCAACCAGGCCCTCGCCGCGAGCTTGAGTATCGATACGAACAGCCTCGACAGTTCAGCGTGGGAGAAATTGAAACTCTTTTCGACGCATTTGGTACAGGTTCCAATCCGCATAAGGCTGCACACATCACTCACAATCTGCAGACAAAGAGCTTATGCGAAGGCCTCTCGAGGACAGACAGGCACAAGCGGAACAAGGTCGAGCCCGACTCTCTTTAGCACTGAAGTCCTCTCGATACTTCGACGACAGAGCTCTAGCAAGTCAGCCAATGCAAACGCCACCAGAAATGAGCATGAGTCTGCGAGAGGGTTGGTGTCTACGAAATGGGATGACCGGAGCCATACTAACAATGCTACACAGGTCCACTCAATGCATCTCAACCTCCAGACGTTCGAGAGCTAGGTGCGTACAGCTACGATCTTGACAGGAAGCGGGCTGACACCTCTCAAGCAGAAAAATTTACCTACAGACGTCCACCAGCCCCCGAGTCTAGCTCAGACCCTCACGCATTGCTGTCTAGTCCGGCCATGAGAGCGAGCCAACGCGGAAATGACGTTGGATCACAGATACCACGACCTCCCAAGAGGCGGTTGGAAGAGGAGCGAACAAGACAAGAACCGTCACAGAGCCAAGGCTCTGCTTTCGAGCCATCGTATCACAAGGCCAGGGCTGCCCCGAAACGGATCGATCTGCCACATGCTCCACCAATGGCTCAGGGCATCGCATTAGTCCCAGTCACTGAACTACCCGATCGCCTTCGAACCATATTTCCATTCCCCTTGTTCAACGCAATTCAGTCAAAATGTTTCCAGCAAGTGTACAAGTTCAGCGACAACTTTGTCCTAGCGTCGCCGACAGGTAGTGGTAAAACAGCAGTACTGGAACTCGCTATCTGCCGCGCCATCAATCAATACCCCAGCGGGCAGTACAAAATCGTATATCAGGCTCCCATCAAGTCGCTGTGTTCTGAGCGCCAACGTGACTGGCAGAAGAAGTTCGGTCCACTGGGACTGCGTTGTGAAGAACTGACAGGTGATAGTGCAATCTCACAAATTCGAAATGTTCAAAGTGCTAGTATCATCATCACCACTCCAGAAAAATGGGACAGTATGACCCGGAAGTGGAAAGATCACGAGAAATTAATGCAACTAATCAAGCTCTTTCTCATTGATGAGGTTCACATTCTCAAGGATGAGCGCGGCGCAACCCTCGAAGCGGTCGTCTCGCGCATGAAATCTGCGAGCTCCGATGTGCGGTTCGTAGCTTTGTCTGCGACAGTACCAAACTTCGACGATGTCGCGTCCTGGCTAGGCAAGGACACGAACCATCCAGGTCAACCCGCTGCAAGTGAGCAGTTCGGTGAAGAGTTCAGGCCTGTGAAACTTCAGAAATACGTATGTGGATACCAATCGAACAACAGCAATGAATTCGCATTCGAGAAGTATTTGGATAACAAGTATGTCGTAGACCAACCCTGTCGTCATCTACGAGCGATGAAATGCTAACATCGTCACTAGGCTTCCCGAGGTCATTGCCAAATACTCACAACGAAAGCCAATCATGGTGTTCTGTCCTACTAGGAACTCAACGGTAGCCACCGCAAAACTCCTTGCGAATTGGTGGGCAAGGAAAGGGCCTAGAGATCGGTATTGGGAGGCGCCAACGAGAAAGATATCGTTTGCAGATAACGATCTTCAAAGCAAGTTGCCCGTTTCTGGCCACAGTACTACAAGCCCAAACTAATTTCGGGACCAGCTTGTGCATCATCGGCGGTCGCATTTCACCACGCGGGCCTGAACCCAAGTGATCGACTGAGTGTCGAAAACGGCTTCTTGAAGGGAGACCTGAATGTCATATGCTGCACGTCTACCTTAGCCGTGGGCGTCAACTTACCCTGCCACTTTGCCATTATCAAGAACACCGTCTACTGGGCTGGCGCTCTCATGAGCGAATATGCAGACTTGGAGGTCATGCAGATGCTCGGTCGAGCTGGACGGCCCCAATTCGACGATAGCGCCATTGCAGTCATTATGACGAGGCAGTACAAAGTTCGGCGATACGAGCTGATGGTATCTGGCCAAGATCTGCTCGAGAGCTGTCTACATCGCAATCTCATTGATCACCTGAATGCCGAAATTGGCCTCGGAACAATCACAAACCTTCCAACGGCGAAGAAATGGCTAGCTGGGACTTTCTTGTTCGTCCGCTTGAAGCAGAATCCAGAACACTACAAACTTGAAGGCGCAAGAAGCGGACAAGACATCGATGAGCAACTGGACAGCATCTGCTCGAGGGACATTAACTTGCTTCAAGATACCAATCTTGTGACGGCAGGTGAGACATTGAAATGTACTGAATTTGGTCATGCTATGGCACGCTACTATGTGCAATTTGAGACCATGCGACATTTTCTGGCTTTGCCTCCGAAGGCAAAAATATCTGATATCGTAAGACACTATCCTCTTTCGCCGCCTCAATCTAATGGAAGTAACTTGCTAACACAAGCAGTAGCTTTCTGCACTTGCCCAGGCTTTCGAGTTCAAAGAGCTACGTTTTCGAGGAGGAGAGAAGCCGCTCTACAAAGAACTCAACAGATCTCCGTCAATCAGATTTCAAATACCTGTAGACTTGGCTCTACCAATGCACAAGGCGTCACTGATCATACAAGCTCACCTCGGCGGAGCTGAGCTTTCCTTTAACGAGAAAGCCGGGAAGCACAGACAGCAATACCTCACCGAGACTTCCATCATCTTCAAGCACATCAATCGCCTCGTCCGTTGTATCATCGACTGTGAACTGAACCTGGAGGATTCGGTAGCCATTCGTAACGCCTTGATGTTGGAACGCAGCCTTGGTGCCCGGGCTTGGGATGACAGCCCAATGCAGATCAAGCAGATTGATCAGCTTGGAATAGTTGCGGTCAGAAAGCTTGTCAACGGAGGCATCAATTCCATTGAAGCCCTTGAGAATACCGAAGCTCATCGGATAGAGATGGTACTCGGCAAGAATCCTCCGTTTGGCTTGAAACTTCTTGCTGGGTTGAAGAACTTCCCGAAGCTGCATGTGTCCGTGCATTTGATTCCCAACTCAGTAAGTGGAGCCTACCTATATCAGCGTTCGGATTTATGCTTATCACAGATCTAGGTTGCGAAATGTGGCGAGGGCGTCAAAGTTCAAGTTAGGGCTGAAATTGGGTTCATGAACGAGAAGCCAGCGACTCAATACCGGAATAAACCTATATACGTGTGTTTCCTAGCGGAGACATCTGATGGCCACAAAGTGCACTTCGCTCGCACAAGGTAATAAGGACACATTTTATTAATGGTACCAACAAAACAGCTAACAACTTGCAGTGGGCAGAAACTCGGGAAGGGCCAGGACCTACAATTTTCAGCTCTCTTGACTAGTTCGGACCAGTCAATCACGTGCTATGTGATGTGCGATGAGATAGGTGAGAGAACAGGATGGACCCCAGAGTCGTCTACTAACACGGCTGTGTAGCTGGGACAATGCGGCATGCGACACTCAAACCGGACATACGCCCTGCCATGTTTCCTCCTCCGAAGCCACAGCCCCAGAAGGAGCCAGAGAAACCGACCTCGAATACGTCTCGGAGACGCGCCGAGGAGCGCGGCCTGACCAGGAAAGCATCTGAAGCAAGCGACGAGTTCGGAGACGACGGACTGGATGACGCTGAACTGTTAGCTGTTGCCGGTGTTGGAGATCTCGACTTCGCCCACATCGATGACTTTGGCAGCACTACTTCAGCTGTAACTCGGAACAACACTGCCAAAAATGCGGCATTGAAGAAAGGGAAGGGAAAGGCGGACGACTCGGAGGAAGAAGTGGAGGACGAACCTCGCAGGCTTGAGAACGGGAAATGGGCGTGCAATCATAGGTGCGGTGACAAGACCAAGTGTAAACACTTGTGCTGCCGCGATGGGCTCGACAAACTACCTAAGAGGGCTAAGAAGAAGGCTGCAGCATCACAAATTACCAGTACTCAAAAGGATTCCCACCAGGCACAGCAATCGAAAGGCTCTAGGGACAAGACTCAATCCAAACTACAGCTCAACGTATCGAAGCGAAAGAGCTCAGCCGCTGTTGAGCAGGTGGACCTCACAGAGGACGATAAGAGAAAGAACTACGCAACTCACGGACCTCGAGACTTCGTCCACTTGAATCAGCTTCATTCGAGTATTCAAAAGAAGGACCCGCCAGCTTCGGTGTCGGCGGTCATGCACAAGAAGCCAGCGTATTCCTATTCGAATGGAGACACACCGACCTTGTCTTTCATGACCAACGGTGCCGCCACAGAGCCGTCTACGGAAACTAGTTATGGAGATGGGTGGATGGACGACCTGACCTCACCAACGGATGTTCCAAAAGTAGCCGAGGCTCTTTCAAGACCTAAGTTTGTTGTTGAGAAGCAAAATATTCCAGGGGAAATCAGGCATCCAATTGAGGATGATGTGGAACAACTTCCGGATATTGCCGCGGGCGAGGAGCAATCTATGTTCAATGGTGATGACTCAGAACTTGACGCTGTAATGGTGGGCCTGGCGGACTCTCAGGATCTTCAAGACACGCAGTGGGACAATGACAACGAAGATTACGGCGACAGCTACTTCAATGATGACTTTGATGCACTAATGGATGACGAAGCTGTTATGGAAAATTCGAACGAAGACACTTTCATGCGGGAGGTTCCAACTCAAGCTCATTCTTCGTCTTCAACAATGGGTACTCGTGGTCTGCCTGTAGAACAGGATCAAACACCATCTTCAGTAATTGGTATTCCGCACTTACCTCCTGAGAAAGGTCCATCTCTGTTTTTCAACGATACTAGCAGTTCACAACCTCCGATTGAAAGAAACACGCCTATGACCTCGTACCTGGGGAATGAAGGCCCTGCGAAGAAAGTATCGCGGTATTCCAAATTCACGAATATCCGTTCTAGTACAGACGCGATGTTCTCGGATAAGGAGAATGTTCCCCCGGGGAACCAGGCATTTGATCACCCACCTCATCATCTCGGAGATGACGACGAAATGGCTTCTAGCTGGGAGAATGCTGTCGGAGAAAAAGAGACCGCCGCTTCCCAGAATCATGACGACGACAAACTCAGCAATATCGTCGTGCCACCAGGCTATGAAGAGATTGAGCCGTGGCTCATTGCTGAATTCGGTGATATTGTGGAGTTCATCTGAGAGAATATGAAGGATGAATTGTAGGGTGAACTGTACGGGTCCAGATGTCTGCATGGTGTCTCGCCTCTTTTCAAAAAAAATTCAAGGAGCAACATGTACTTGATGACTTTACGACTATATGTTTGTTTTTCTTATTTCACACATCTTTAGGACATCATACGTGGTTTGTTTCTTCCGGGCGTGGGAATGGTGGTAGGGCGCTTCTCTGCTGATGAGGCCCTGTGGTACGGACTCGAAGTACGATGAACCGTGGAACTGTGGAATACAAAAAGATATGTCATAATGACTCTATGTATACGTATATATATGATTCACAATGTATTGATGGTTGTTTTTTTGATGATGCTCACAGATGAGTGAAAAGAAAGCCCGAGAGCGGGACACGTGACATTCTTTCTCAGCTTAGCGCGATCTTTGCCGCATCATCGCGAAGGCAGAGCTTCATCGATCCTATTTCACACATCCCCGGCATATCGCCTCCACACTCTCGAAAGGACGGATCATCGCGGAGCAAGTGATCTGTCTTCCCAACCGCCAGCATGGCTCCACCACAGGACACCCTGTTCCGCTCGGCGGACATGTCCTTGACGCAGCTCTACATCGCCAATGAGATAGGGCGCGAGGTCGTCTCCGCCCTCGGAGAGCTTGGTGTCATGGACTTTCGGGATGTAAGTGCAGCTGGGAACTCTTGTATTCATTTCTGTAGTGTTCGTAGACCAACTAGATGATCTTGGATGCTAACACGATTGCTTTTTGCTAGCTCAATGCCGACACCACCGCCTTCCAACGTACCTTCACGCAGGAGATCCGTCGCCTAGACAATGTGGAGAGGCAGCTTCGTATGTCAATATTATGATACTGGGGGTGTATGAAGCTGACATGGGTCAGGATACTTCCATGCGCAGATGGACAAGGCATCCATTCCGATGAGGTCTATCTACGACTTCAACAACCCGTTCACCTCGCCTTCTGCTTCTGAGATTGATGAACTTGCGGATAAGAGTCAGAGCTTGGAGAATCGGATTTCCTCGCTCAATGAGAGCTATGAGACTTTGAAGAGGCGTGAGGTCGAGCTTACGGAGTGGCGTTGGGTGCTCAGAGAGGCTGGTGGCTTCTTCGACAGGGTAGGATTATAGCAATACTGGACTCGGTTCACATATGCAACCTACTAACATTAATGATAGGCTCGCGGCCAGACCGAGGAAATCCGACACTCGATTGATAACGACGATGCGCCCCTCCTTCGCGACGTTGAACAAAACGGGCAAAATGGCGAAGCTGGCGGAGACCGCTCCTTCTCCGTCATGAATATCGGATTCGTCGCTGGAGTCATTCCCCGGGAACGGATTGCGTCATTTGAAAGAATCCTCTGGCGAACGCTGCGCGGCAATCTGTACATGAACCAGTCTGAGATCCCGGAGCCCATCATCAACCCAGAGACGAACGAGGAAACCAGCAAGAACGTGTTCATTATCTTCGCACACGGCAAGGAAATCATCGCTAAGATCCGCAAGATCTCCGAATCGCTAGGTGCCGACCTATACAGTGTGGACGAGAACAGCGAGTTGCGCCGGGACCAGATCCATGAGGTCAATACTCGATTGAGCGACTTGGCGAGCGTTTTAAGGAACACCAAGCAGACGCTGGATGCTGAGCTGACTGCTATTGGACGTAGCTTGGCTGCATGGATGATCATTATCAAGAAGGAGAAGGCTGTTTACCAAACTTTGAATAAGTTTTCTTACGATCATCAACGGAAGACCCTCATCGCCGAAGCATGGGCACCTACCAATGCTCTTGGATTGATCAAATCGACCCTCCAGGATGTCAACGACCGTGCTGGTCTCTCTGTTCCGACTATTGTGAACCAGGTCAAGACCAACAAGACACCACCGACCTACTTCAAGACGAACAAGTTTACGCTTGCGTTCCAAACCATCATCGATGCTTACGGTACCATCAAGTATCGCGAAGTCAACCCTGGTTTACCCACTATCGTTACTTTCCCCTTTCTGTTCGCCGTCATGTTCGGTGACTTCGGACACGGTTCCATCTTGTTGCTCGCTGCCTTGGCCATGATCTACTATGAGAAGTCCCTACTGCGGAGCAAGCTCGACGAGCTTTTCTCCATGATCTTCTACGGACGCTACATTGTCCTGATGATGGGAATCTTCTCTATGTATACTGGCCTGATCTACTGTGATGCGTTTTCAAAGGAACTGCCTTTCTTCACATCTATGTGGGAGTGGGAAAACGATGGAGCTGGTCCAGATGCAACACGTATCCAGGGCTACACATATCCTTTTGGCTTGGATTGGAAGTGGCATGATACCGAGAACGATCTGTTGTTCTCCAACAGCTACAAGATGAAGCTCAGTATTCTCCTCGGGTGGTGTCACGTAAGCCATTTTGATGGAAACAATTTAAATTTTTGCATTTTGGCTAACATCAACAGATGACCTTCTCCCTTTGCTGGTCCCTCGTTAACGCTCGCTACTTCAAGACGCCGATTGACATCTGGGGCAACTTCGTACCGGGCATGATTTTCTTCCAGTCAATCTTTGGCTACTTGGCCTGCACCATCGTCTACAAGTGGTGTGTCGACTGGATCGCCATCGGACAGGATCCTCCTAGTCTTCTCAACATGCTGATCTACATGTTCCTCCAACCTGGCACGCTCGAGAACCCTGATGCCCCACTGTACAAGGGCCAAGCTACTGTGCAGGTCATTCTACTTCTCTTGGCTCTAGTGTGCGTCCCGGTCCTTCTCTTCCTGAAGCCATTTTACCTCCGCTACGAGCACAACAAGGCTCGCGCGTTGGGATACCGTGGTATTGGCGAGAGCACCAGGGTCAGCGCACTAGACGATGACGACGATGACGAAGGTCAGACTCTGAACGGTGGTCGGGACAGCTATGGCGATGATGAAGATGGTGTTGCCATGATTACACAGGATATCGGACACGGTGAAGAGCACGAAGAGTTCGAGTTTTCAGAAATCATGATCCACCAAATCATCCACACGATCGGTAAGTCAAGTTCAGTCACTCTAAAACTATCGAGCTAGTAGCTAACACTTCGATCTCTAGAATTTTGTCTCAACTGCGTCTCTCACACAGCCTCCTACCTCCGTCTGTGGGCCCTCTCCCTCGCACATCAACGCCTCTCCATCGTGCTGTGGGACATGACGATGAACATTGCCTTCGGCATGAAGGGAATCGTAGGCACGATCGCCATCGTCGTTATCTTCTACTTCTGGTTCGTACTCACGGTCTTTGTGCTGTGTGTTATGGAGGGCACGAGCGCCATGTTGCATAGTCTACGGCTGCATTGGGTCGAGGCAATGAGCAAGCATTTCATGGGCGACGGCGTGCCGTTTGAGCCGTTTAGCTTTAAGATACTGTTGGAGGAGGAGCCGATTGAGTGATTTGGATGAGCGATTTTATTTGTTAGATTTGTATTATGGTAGCAAGTGTTTTGTGTATTAGGATCCCATTATGGACGTGATAGTGAGAAAGGGGGTGGCTGTGGCTGGTGCTGTATATAGAGTGTAACCACAGTTGTCCTTGTACTATCATCACCTCCGTTCATGATTCATTGCGCTGTGAGATTAATCGCGCAGTAGGTGTCGGTTCGTTGCGTTGCCTTCGGCCGTAGAAGACACGAACACGCACGCGCGCACGCTCCGTCAGCATCGGGCAATTGGGCGTGGGTTACGGTGGCCACTGCGACGCAACCACTTTCGAGAGGTGAAACATGAGACTCGCACCCGTTTAACGAGGGGGTCTGGGGGCTGGGTTCACGGGCGTTTGAGACACTGTGCTGGCACGAGTGATGAGCAGTTGCGAGACTTGCTTCATCCCTGTGGCTGAGATCCTTACGGCGTAGAATATGGGAACGGGCTATGGACCCGATTTGCCGTGAGGCTGGAGTTCTGATATCAATCCCGGAACGCCGCAAATGAGGCGAAAGCTAAATCTCCCATGGATGGCGGCCATGAGATATTTCTTCTAGAACCCTTCCTCATCTGGCCGACGGAGCGCAACCGGCGGGCGCGCGTTGCACGATCGCCTCCGTGCGAGTTGACAAAGAGGAAGGGGGCCGTGGGTTAGGCTGGCGCTGATGTGCTGAGGTATTATCCCCCCTCCGAGCAACGGCGCAAAACAGGAGACTCGAGATTGCCTCACCATTCGATTCGAAAGGGGGCTTCGGCGGCGATTGTTGCGGGAAGAGGCAGCTGGCGCGGGCGAGATGGAGAGACAACAACGCGGCGCGGCGCGCTGCCTGCGAACTGGCACTCACCGATCCAAGGGGGGCCCTTGGGCCACAGGCCCACAACTGCAACTGCCACACCTCCACTTCTTCGCTAGCTAAGCATCCCGCGCATCGGGCTTGCAGGGAATGCCGCAGGGAGCAAGCTTTTGGGCGCGCTGCTGGTGCCCGGTTCCCATCGATGGGCAAATCGCCAATGGGCACTCCCCAGCAGCGTGGCACGGCCCGGCCGATGGCGAATGGGAGATCCTGGCATTTGCTGGGCTCCCTTGGGCGTACGTGGGAAGCTATGGCGAAACAGGTCGGGCAAGGGAGGCAGAGTGACGGTGGGAGCCTTTGGGAGGGGGTAGTATATATGCGGGCTTGCGCACACCCCACGGCAGTTCTCAGTTCTGAGTGTTGAACGCTGACAGCTTGCTGCTTCGTCTTACATTATTTCGCAGACTTTCCCAACTTTTCTGTTGGTGAAGCTCGTTGTTGATTTGGATATTTCTACCCTTTGTTGACTGAGCTTGAGCTTGGACGACCGTTCGAAGACATCACCACCCAGGACTATCCCACAGCAGACGTCAAGCGTCCAAGATGTCCTTCTCCGCAGCACGAATCCCTCACGTCAAGCCCGGCCGGGGCAGCTTCGCAAAGGAGCGGCGCTTCTCGACGAGTAAGGATCCGAGTGAGAGCGGTGAGTTGGCTTCTTCTTTTGCGCTTACCACCTGCGGTTTTGCTTTTCCCACACACGTCATGCAGCTTCTGGAGCTATGGAGCGTTGCGTTTGCAGCGGCTTGCTGCTACTGCGAGGTGATTGGGGCCACTCCGGGCCTTCACGATGCATCCAGTCAATGGCCGCAGAAAGAGCTCGTGCTGGTGGTGGTTTTGAGGCATGCACCTCAGATGGATTTGATTGCATTTTCTTCTTTCGGAGCTCCCGTAAGCTGGGGAATACGGAGGCTGGACTGCAGGTGCATCGTGTACCTCTGAGGTACCTGGGAATGTGTACCCCGCAGTGCAGTTCGCTTTTTCCAGCTCTCGACGCGAGGGTTCTTCTTATGTAGCTTCGTTTCCGTGTAGCTTCCGTTTTTTGTCCCCTAGATCCCTTCTCTTTTTCCCATTGCCCCACCACACAAGATGTCCTTTACAATCCGCGCTGCCGAGAGCCCTACTGAAGTAAAGAAACATGCAGAACTCAACTCGAAGATCCATCGCCAATTCCGTTCCTCCCACGAAGGCCACAGGCCCCACGCTGGTCTCGACCCAACCCGCGCCTCCACCGGCGTTGTCTGGACATCCGAGCGCGCCTACGAGCACGGCTTCGCCGAGAACCCAGAGGCATGGGCGAACCTGGGCCAAGGTGCCCCGGAAGTTGACGACGACATCCAGGGCTGCTTCGAACGCCCTCACACTATTGATATTTCTATGACTGGGCGTGAGTATGGCCCAACGGCGGGGATTAGACCGCTGAGAGAAGCGGTCGCGAATATGTACAATCAGCATCATCGCAAGTGGCGGAAGAGCCAGTATACGTGGGAGAATGTGTGCATTGTGCCTGGTGGACGGGCGGGGTTGATTAGGATTGCGGCGGTTTTGGGCAATGCATATTTGGGGTTCTTTATTCCGGATTATACGGCGTATAATGAGATGTTGTCGCTGTTCAAGAACGTAAGTGGAGAAATAGGATTAGGGAGTATGCAACGAAGCTGATTCTGATATATAACAGATCGCCCCTATTCCCATCCCGCTATCTAGGGAGGACGGTTACCATCTGCATCCCGACAAGATCGCGGAGGAGATCGCCAGAGGTACTTCGGTCATCTTGACCTCGAATCCAAGGAACCCGACTGGCCAGATAATTACGAATCCGGAGTTGGCTCAGATTCAGAACATCTGCCGTGACCGCGCGACGCTGATCATGGACGAGTTCTACTGTGTAAGTAGTCGAAAATGTCACTGAAGACTTCGTAGTCCAAGCTCTTGCTAACCCTTCATAGGGTTACAACTACACCACCGACTGCGACGGCACCGTCATCTCCTCTGCCGACAACATCGAAGACGTCGATGAGGATGACGTCCTCATCATCGATGGGCTAACCAAGCGCTTCCGCCTCCCCGGCTGGCGTGTTGCGTGGATTCTAGGCCCCAAGGAGTTCATCAAAGCCATCGGCTCGTGCGGTTCTTACCTGGACGGCGGCACCAACGTGCCCTTCCAAGAAGCCGCTGTGCAGATGCTCGAGCCCAACCGTGTGCGACACGAGATGCGCGCGCTGCAGACGCACTTCCGCATGAAGCGCGATTATGTGATTCAACGCCTCGAGGTGATGGGCTTCAAGCTACCGTTCTTGCCGAATAGCACGTTCTATCTGTGGCTGGATTTGAGCTGTTTGCCTGAGGCGATTAACGACGGATTGAACTTCTTTTCGGCGTGTTTGGAGGAGAAGGTCATTGTGGTGCCGGGTATCTTTTTCGATCTGAACCCGAGTAAGAGGCGGGATTTGTTTGATAGTCCTTGCCATCGTAAGTGTTCACGTCCAGCAACTCAGCATCCTCCACCATTGCTAACGAAGTCTAACAACACAGACTTCGTCCGCGTTTCATACGGCCCGACCATGGATGTCCTCGAAAAAGGAATGGACGCCATTGAGCGTATTGTCAAAAAGTGAGTCCCGCCCCTACCCCACTTTTGCCTAAATGGCCAGTATACCAACACACCTCTGTCTTGGAGGTTCGGGTTCAAGACGGATAAGAGAGAGACGAATATTGAGGTTGAGGAGGCCGACTGATTGAAAGGAGAGTTGTGGCGAGTGGTGGCTGACCTGTTCCCTCCAAGACACCAGACAAATCCGCATGCGACGAACAACGTGAGATCGAGGGGTAGTGAGTTGGTGAGGCATTCGGGGGGGTATTAGAGGAGGGGGTGGAGGAAGGGGCGGGATGGAGCTTGTGGTGGTGGGGTACATCGGGTGCTGGTTTGGGTATAAAGGGGACTTGGGATTGGGTTGTTGGGAGGGTTCGGCTTGGTAAATGGTTTGGGTAATGGGAATTGCAATCGTTTGGGTTGATTAGGTAAGCTTAGCGCTGGGTAGATAGTATTAAGGTATTTTGATTTGACTTGACTGTTTCTGGAATTGTGATGCGTTAAATGTGTATTGTAGCGCTGGAGTGGTGTTGACAGGTCGCAAGTGAGTCTCATGCAGGAAAGGTAATCAAACTACTCTCGATATTGGCTTGAAACAGAACGAGTGTTGCTGCGATGCCGGAAGACCGTAAGTCAATGGAAGGGGTTGTGGTGTCGACAAACCTCAGTCTATTAAGAAAAGTTACCAGGAACAACACGCAAGTTAATCGAATAGACACGTTTCTACTAGAAAAGAAAGCACGATTGCAGAATTTAAAATCTGAGCTGAATGCTGCTGTTAGTGCTATGACATTTGAAATATGTGTTGTCGTGATAGAAGTCGTTGGTGTTGAGATATGAAACGACTCTCGAGGTCAAGGCCAGCGGCTTAACACGCTTCGGACCTAGCGCCGTGATATCCGGGGTGCCCAAACGTCAACCGTGGACCTCATAGACGGCATTCACCGTCCCCTCCGCCCACGCCTATATTCGCCCTGCTATCGCCTTGAGGTACTTCTCCTCTCTACGCCTCACTTCTAGAGCTTCATTACTCGTGCGGCGATTCCTGGTGAACGTCCGTCGCATTCCACCAGCTTGTCTTAGTCAACCCAAGGACAGCTTTCACTCATTCACTCCCGTTCAACTCCATGGCCAGCTCCCACCGACACCCTATAGAGACATGACAGGCTTTAGGTCTGTATCCCAGCACAACCGCAAGCTTCGTACTGCCTGTTTGTACGGGCAAGCCCGTTTGGCATCGCGCCGTCATACCTAGTACACCATGGACGGAACCTATCCACCGCCGCGCAATCGACCCAATGGAGCACCTGGGGGACGGAGACCTAGTATGGAGGGTAGAAAACCTCCTGGGCCTCCCGGAACATCCGTGGCCTCTCCACCTGCGCCTGCGATGGGGACTCCGCCAACAGGGGGAATGACCCGCGCCGAGAGGTTTGAAGACGAGCGGAGGCGTATTACAGAGAGCGTGTTCAGCAAGACGGACCCCAATGGTGCTCGTAAGCTTGTTCCAGCTTGAGTGATATATTCGCGCAAATATAGAAGCTAATTCTGTTATTCAGTCGCGGAATCCTACATCACGCATATTCGAATCCAGGAGGACTCACAGTACCCTCAATCTCCGCCACCTCCCGAATCGCCTCCTAATAATAAGAAACCGCGCATTATTCTAGTATCCGTAAAGAGCTCGGGAAGGGTGCGAATGCATAAAGCCCGGGAAAATCCTAATGGATCATTCTCGATTGGCAAGACCTGGAATATGGAGGACCTTACAGCGGTGGAGACTTTTGCCAATTCAACTCCCACGAACGAAGAAGAGGCGAAGAGGAAGGAGTGGGCGGGAGATATTGGATTCATCGTGACGGTTGCAAAGCCGTACTATTGGGAAGCTGGAACGGCGAAAGAGAAGGAGTTCTTCATTGGCAGCCTCGTCAAAATTTTCCGCAAATACACCCAGGGAAGAGTGCCAGAGCTCATTGGATTCACTGCCAGAGAAACTGAGGTGCTTCTTGGTCCTTCTGGGGCTTTATCACCCCGGCCGCCAACTGGACAAGGGAGACCAGGCCCCCCACCACCAAGGCCAGGACAACAGCGGAGTCCAAATCGTGGCTATCCTCCTGGTACGTCTCCAGAACCCCCAGGCCCTCCAGGGGTTGGGCGTCCACCGCCGATGCCGCGGAGTCGACCAGGAACAGCAGACGATGATGGTAGAAGACCACAACCTATTCGCGATCCGTCGTTGCATGGACCACAACCGAATGCTCCGTATTTCGGTGCAAGAGATCCATCGAGGCAGCCTAGATCACAGCCTTCGATGGAAAGGGGCATGCGTCAACCGCCAAGTCGGGAACAAATGCGCCCTCCGCCAATTCCTCCAGGTCAACGTGGAGGTGGCGGCTCCACCGCAGGCTCCTTTGCCTCATCGCAACGTCTAACGCCACAATCTTCACGCTCTGAAGTCTCTCAAAACCGCCCTGCTACCCCTGAAAGTGGTATGAACGCCTTGCCTCAGAGCCTTATATCAGGACAAAGCCCCAAGAGACGACCCTCTCCGTCAGACGATACAAGGTCCGTGGAAGAGCCCACGTTTGAGCAACCTGGCTTGGGAATATCTGCACCTGAAAGACGAAGACCAAACGGAAATGCCCCTCCTGCCCGAAGAGAGCCTTCGCCTTCAGGATTACGGCCCGGAACGGCGCAGAGTAATGGTAGTTCCATAGTCTCACGCAACGAAGAGCTGTTCCTAGAGGATCGCGCCCGGAATGTGCCGCCCGAAAGACGAAGACCTCCAATGCCATCAGCCCCAGCAAGTCAACGCAGTATGGAAAATGAATCTGTTGATGATTTCTCAGCTCCTCTTCAGACTCCTCTTGCAAGCCGTCCTTCTACCAGGGGAGCTACAGACGAAACTGAACGGATGCCAGGAGCGTTTGAATCTCCCGCTTTAGAGCCAGTGCGAACTCCGGAACCGCCTCAACCGGCCCCGGACACCGCGGTGCCTGAAATACCGATAAGAGCAAGGGAACCAAAACCAGCCACCCCGGAACCAGCTGTTCCAGTTGCTGAGTCAGAACCTGCGCCACCTGTACAGCCCCTCACGCCTCGAGATGAGGAGGTAAGCAGACCTGGACTGGGACCCATGGTCAAGAAGAAGCCTCCAACCGAGGTTGCCAATGTGCTGCGCAAGGCCGCCTTCGCCTACAATGCCTTTAAGCCTCGAGCTGGGGGTGCTGGAGAGAAATTACTCTTGAAGGACCAGCAGAAGCCTTTGGACGAAGCTGACGGTATTAGTGGAGTGTTCAAAGCGCCACGACCGATTCCCAAGGAGGAACCAAAAGCAGAGCTAGAGGAGCCAGTGGAGCCAGAGAAACCACCATTACCCGAAAGAGGGTCAAGAGAGGTGCCAAAGATAGATACCGGGGATCATGTTCCATCTGTTACCGTCTCAAGTCCCACTTCTGCTGGTCCGCCAAAGACGATTTCGGAAGCCGTTGTCTCGTCGAAGTCAAGATCACCAAGCCCAGAGAAAGCCAAGTCTGCAAACGAAAACGAGGTTGAGATCCGACGGCAAAAGAGGCGGTCAAATCATGATACCAAATATTTATCGAAGCTTGGCATCGACCCAAGCATACTAGATGGCAGAGGCCTCGATTTCGAGGCGACTCTGGTCGACTTTGGGTGGGGGAGCAGTGACCTCCACGTTAAGAAAATAGAAATGCTAGAAACAGAGGTTCGGCGAGAACTTGGTCGTGTCGAGGCCGGTAGCTGGCTAGGTCACCTAGAGCAAAAAGATGACCGTGTCGATGCTGTGGAGAGGATGTTGGACCGAGCGATTGCTGAGTGTGACGAGCTTGAAGGCCTATTGACTCTATACAACGTCGAACTTAGTGTGAGTACTCCAGTTCACCTTAAGTTTTAAGTTTTGCACATCCATAAACCATACTAATTTCTATGCAGAGTCTCAATGATGACATCGCCTTCATAGAAGCCCAAGGGCAAGGTCTTCAAGTCCATACAGCTAACCAAAAGCTTCTTCAAACCGAGCTGAATCAGCTGGTCACTACGATCTCCATTACTACTGACCAATTAGAACCCCTGCGTTCAGCGCCAATAGCTAAAGTCGAGGGCCTAGACGCTATAGAGGCATCACTGATGTTGTTGTACAAGGCTATGATCACCATTGATCCGGCTTTAGCACAAGGGAGCCGAGCTAGTGCCGCAGAAGATCCGTCGAAATTCTCGAATACAATCGGATTCGGTAATAGTGAGCTTGCTACCATGAGAGCCCTGCAGGAGAAGAGAGACCGATATATCAGCGAGAGCACCATGTTCATGGGTCGCTTGAAACAATTCATGGAAGTCACCTTTGGCGCTGTCCTAATGGACACCAAAGACGCTATCGACCGACAGATCAAAGATAGCTCCAAGCCACCCACGAAACTGGATGTCGGTGTCCATGACCTTGCCAGGAACGCCTTGTGGAAGTATAGTCCGCTCATGCTATTCGCCAAAGAGGTTGATAACTTTGCCTGGAATGAACTTCTTACCATATACCAGTCGAAAGCACGTCCGCACTATCTGACTGAGATGACCTACAATGCCAAGGCATGGCAAAAGCTGGCTCGTAAACCTACCGGAGACGAACAGGAACTGCTTTTTACCGCTCAGGAGAAGGAGGCGGAGTCACTTACCGGTGCCGCTCGAAAACTCACTGTCAAGCGCAGCCAAACGCTTGCAAGAGGTCTGCGGTCAGCATCTGGTGATAAGGAAGCCAAGTCAGGCAAAGCGCAGAAGGGTACACTGCATCCTTTTGAAGCCTTCGCCAGCGCATTGGATGAGATGTCACCTCTCATCTTCACCGAGCAGAACTTCATCACCGAGTTCTTCCATGCCACGACCTCTGAGAACATTGACTTCCCTGATGCGGTCAATTCGGCACCCCCAGAGGGCCGCCATGGCGCGAATCTATTTGCTCGTAAGCTTTACGAACCTGATCGAGCGATGGCGAAACGGGTCACAGAGGTCATGGAAGACATGTTCTCTACCTGGCACAACATGATGCAGAACCTGATGCAGTGGGCCATCGAGGCAGACCCCTTACAAGGTGTTGGAGTGCTGTGTGCCATCGACCGGAAGCTCCTCGAGCTCGAGGACACCAATCAAGACTTCATTACACGGACTTTGCAAAAGATACAGGAGCGTCTCACTGGCCTCTTTACCCGCTTTGTAGACGAGCAGATTCGAGCTATCGAAGACACCAAAGTGAAGATCAAGAAGCGGAAAGGTGTCATTGCGTTCATCAAGACCTTCCCGCATTTCTCAATCGCCATTGAGAATATGCTTCCTCCAGCCGACGACCCGGAGCGGTTAGACGTCCGTGTCATGGTCGACGACGCGTATGGAAAGATCAACAAGGCTATGTTCGAGAGCTTGAAGGTCATTGCTAAGGAATCACCCGCTGTCATGGCTACTCAAGGTCAAGGTGATCCTGAAGACAAAGAAGCGCTGAACTATCACATCCTTCTAATCGAGAACATGAACCACTACATCGAGGAAGTCGACGAGCGGGGAGACATTATACTCGGCGAATGGCGTCAAAAGGCTGCAGAAGAGATGAACGAGCATATGACGTTGTATGTGGATGCCGTCATCCGGCGGCCGATGGGCAAGCTGTTGGTAAGTCATGCACTTGAACTCCAGTATTTAAACTCATTACTAATAACCCATTGCAGGAATTCCTCGAATCCACAGAATCTCTCCTTTCCTCCATTCCCCCCGGCACACCCCCCACCAGCCTCGCTGCCCGCTCCTCCCATGCCCGTCCCCTCTTCAAGAAGCTCGTCTCTGCCCACGACGGCAAGGAGCTACGTCGCGGTATCGAGGCGCTCAAAAAGCGCGTCGACAAACACTACGGCGATGCGGATGATCCAGGTCTCAGTCGTAACCTCGTTGCCAAGGTGCTGAAGGAGTGCGAGAAGATGTATGAGGATATCTGGAACAGGGCGGTGAGGGTCAACCAGGAGGTGTATTCGAGTGAGGTGGAGATTGAGTGGCGGATGGAGGATGTGGCAGCCGGGTTTAGGAAATGAGAGGAGAAAGCAGGGGGTTCTTGTATTGTTGTTGTTTCGCGGCAAATACCTTGGTCTGTGTTTTTCGCTTGCTATTGGGTTCTGCGGATTGTAGGGATGGGTCGCGAGGCGTGGGGAGTATGCGAGGCGTTTTGGATGGATGCGTTATGTGGCATTTCCTGGATGTAGGTAGGAAGGTCTCTGTGCATACATGGCAGTCTCTCGTCTTAACTTGGTTTTGTGTCTTTGTGATGAGTTCTTAAGTGGACTTTGTTGGTTGCTTCAGCCTTTGATTAAAATTCTATAAATTAAGTTGACTTCACAATCATGGCATTTCTATTTACTCGCGGAGAAACATTAGATCGCTACGTCGTACGAGACGAACAAGTTCATTCACTAACAACTCGAAAGTGTAACAATTCGCGTATAACGTCCTGGACACAGTTCATGTGAGGATCAGAATCCATGGCGTGAAGACTTCAACTTAGTGTTTCGAATCAAGTTTCTATAAATAGGAAACATCCTCTTCTATGACACGGTCAATAATCCCTTCTCAATCGATCTCGATAAACTAAAGTGTGAGCCGTTAAAGCACTGTAAATCATGTGAGTTTGGCGGACGACAAGGGACGATCTGTCTATGACGACGTCGATCTCGAAGCCGAATGGACCATGGGCCCACCATCAACCACCCCCATGCAGACCCGCCATATCAACGTCAACAACGGCCAGGCAACGGTCTTTCGGTGTTTACAGCCTCGGTCATGTTGCCAACAGGCTGCAAGCTTGATTCGTATAAAGACGCGTCTTGCATTCCAGAAAATATTATTTAGTGTGCTTGAACTTACACAACCCTTCAATCCCCACCAGCCCTGAACAACACCCTTCAGTATGCCTGGTCTACTCAACAGCCTCCTCGCCCAAACAGCGTTCCGCAACCCGCTCCTTCGAACTGTGGTCCCATCAGTAGCTCTGGCCTACGGTATCCAAGCCGCCTTCGCCGTCCCATCTATAGCCGCGCAATCCGAGCGCTTCTACGACCTCTCCGGCAGCCTAACCTACCTCTCCTGCACTGCCTTCAGCCTCAGCCTGCCCTACCTGCGCGCTCGCGCCGCCGGCGCAGCCAGCGGCGGCCTTCTCGAGTACCTGAGAGCGCCAGCGCCGGGACAGGGCCTGTGGTTCTGGCGACAGGCTCTGCTGAGCGCTGCCGTGGGGATCTGGGCTACGAGACGTAAGACTGCATCCAAATACTCCCAATTGCACGAAAATGACTAAGACTGATGGTATATGCAGTTGGTACTTATCTGTTTAAGCGCATCTCGGCCGACGGCCACGACTCCCGCTTCGACGAGATCCGCAGGTCGCCGCCGAAGTTCTTTGGCGCGTGGATGGCGCAGGCGACGTGGGTTTCGCTGTGTCTTATGCCCGTTGTTGCGGTTAATGCGCTTCCGCGTAGCGCGTTTAGCCTCTATCGCTTTAAGAACGTGGGGGATGCGTTTAGTGTCCTCCCTGTCGCGCCTTTTCTTACAGATGCGATTGGTATAGGGTTGTTTGTGTTTGGGCTGGCGTTTGAGATTGCGGCGGATAGGCAGAAGTCACAGTGGGTGCAGGAGAAGAAAGAGAAGAAGCATAGTGAGGAGTTCTTGACGAGGGGGTTGTGGGGGAAGAGTCGGCATCCGAATTACTTTGGGGAGATGACGCTGTGGACGGGGATCGCGGTTGCGGCGGGGGGATTGCTGGTGAGGTATCCGGCGCAGGTTGGGTTGGGGCTGTCGGGGGCATTTGGGGGAAGGGCGACGGTTTTGGGGATGGCGGCGGTTAGTCCGGCGTTTGTGTCGTTCCTACTGTTGAAGGTTCGTTTTAGTCTCTTTTTACCTTTTGTATCCACTAGCTTTGTTGCACACATTGCTAACGTATACCAGGTTTCAGGAATCCCACTCAGCGAGAACAAGTACGATAAGCGATATGGTGATCGCAAGGACTACCAGCATTGGAAAGAGACTACACCAATGCTTTTTCCGAAGTTTTGGTAGATCGGATGTCTGGTATACATTCGGCCATCATCAGTAGCTAACAAGAATATACCCCGGCCCTATATCCATGGACGCAAGACATGTGCGGCTAATCTTTACTCGTCCATACGCTGAGGCCTCCGATGTTGAACATCATGTGGAAGGGGTGCCGACAGAGCTCGGCCGTGAACCCGTTGTTGAGCTGTCTGTTGACGAGGACGATTGGTACGGGTTAGTTCATGTAGTGTTGGAGCCGAAGTGGATGCCTATGCGGTGGTTTAGAGGGTCACGGGGGAAGCCGTTGTAGCAGATGGGAGGATACGGTGTATTAGTTTGTTGTACACGATGGCGCGGATCTCAGGGGAAAGATCGAGGAATTGGAAGGGCCTTTCCTTCGCCGAAAAAGGGTGAGAATGTTCTTTTCGGCGTTGGAACTGACTCCCTGTGGCGAATCGTTGGGCTTCCGGACGGAGACAACCTTCATGTGTCCAGCAAGAGGTGGCGTTGCGAGAACGGGCATATGCGTAGGGGTAAGACAAGTTCCTCTATTCACTACATTCATTTACCCTCCAAACGAACCGCTCTAATCTATCATGACAGCCGGACCTTGCTGGCAATTAAGTTGCAGCATTGAGGCACCTCCAATGGAGTCCTTGATTCGTTGACTGTTCACTATTCTCGACGCCTCATTCATGATGTGATGGCCTTGACATCCTTTCTGCTTTTTATGCAGCTGTAGGGCACCTTCGGCGGCGTCAACAAGGTGTAAGAAGCTCAGCGGTTGAAAATAGTCCTTCAAGGTCACAGAAGGTGGTCACATATTTAAGACGAGTTGTTACATTTGTATTTGGTGATATTGATGCTGATATGAATTGAAACCGATGACAAGTGGTTGACATCGCCTGAGGTGTCCCATGGATGGACGACGGCTCAAATTTCAGGATGAGATGTAAAGGTTCCGACGGTGTATATTACACCAATGAAAAGTCTGAACGCTTTGGAAAGTTGAAAGCGCCGTTGGGCGTGGCTCTAAGCTGCATAGAACTTCAGGATAGGATCGAAAAGTTAAGACCGTATAGATTAGATGGCGATGTATTAGGGCTTTTTTGGACGGCTAGTTCCGCCGTGGGGTGCTCCAACACGCATAAACCAATGGCACCAGCATGTCAAGGTCTTCACAGTGCATATTAGAAGAGGAGTCATCAAACGTATCGGGAAGGTTGATAGCACCGTTTGAAGGGCTTCAACGACTCTGAACTATTCCAGATAAGATGTAAAGATTTCGAGGGTTTAAATCTGAGGATGGAGGTGAAACAATGCATTGAACGAGGTAAGTGATGTATTGGATGAGCATCTATCTAGGCTACGTACGCCGTATATATACTCTGTGTGTGTGGAGGCTTACGTAGCCGTACCGTAGAACTGTGTGGGCTAAGTATAGGAACCGTGTTCTATATCAAGATAGCCGAGCTAACCGTACCATACTCCGTAGGCTAGCTGGCTAAGAATACGTACTCCGTCAAAATCGGACGTGAGACTCTCAGATTGAAATTTCATGCTTTAGAGGTGTAAGTAATCCTTGGCTTTTGGCACCTACCTGGCGCTATTGGGGGACCCGTGGAGTAGCAGGAGCGAGTCGGATAGGATGTAAAGGCTCTCGAGGTGTGAATTAGGCCGCGAATGCTAGGATTGTGACAACGTAGTCTGGCTGGGGGTGGTTTCCAAAGTCGTTGACACCTAGCTGCGGCCGTCGGAGGTGCCCTCGAGTAGCATGACATATTTCAAAAGAGTAACAAGATTCCGAGGGCGTAGATTGGACGTTGGAGCGTAGGATTTTGGCTTCGTAAACTGGAGTTGTGTCGCCAGGCTTTTGACACCCTGATGACGCCGCCAGGGGTACCCTCGAGCGGCATCGGAAGTTTGTATGTGATGGAGAAGTCCGCAGGACGTGAATCAGACGCTAAAAATCTAGAATCTAACCTCATGATTTAGAGCGGTGTTTTTAGGCTATTGGCATATTGTCGACGCCGCCGGAGGTGGCCCCAACATGCGTAAAAACTCTGGATGAGATGCCAAGGTGAACAGGGCAGGAATCAGACGCTGATCAAAATGATTTGTGCCTTTGTAAACCAGAGCTATAATCCTGACGGTCGTGAATAATGTACAAAGATACACCCCAATAGGGCCTCTAAACCCCGGAAATGCCACGAAAAGAGCCCAAAATTCCACCCAACAAGCTCCCAAAGCTTTTCCAATCAATAGCCTTTTTACCCCCATATACCGCCAAAAACGCACTTTTTACCTCCCAGTCTTCCCCTTAACGCCCCAGTAGCCCGCCCTATGTCGTCACTCTCACTACTCCCAGGCACACGAGCTGCAACACAACAAGCCCCATAAAGAACCACAAAAAGTTAACCCTGTCAATCAAAGGCTGGGCCACAGCAACCATCACGGCCGCCACGACCGTCCCGACAAGGTCGGATAGCGAACCCAACGCCCGCCCAAACGGCGCGAAACTGCCCAGATACTTCTTCGTTTGATAATTCGACCAGATGACGCCAAACGCCGCTACGAATCGTTAGCATTTGCCTCATTCACACCATATTGAACGATAAGATGGAGTGGGAATCGGAGCCCACTCACCAACAGCCACAAACACAACCACCCCCGCGACATGCCACCGCATCCACACAAACCCGGCATACCCCAGCGCGCCGAAGCAAAACACAACCGCGCCCAGCGCCTGCGTCCACAGCCGGTACTCCGGGGCCGGGGGCCGGCCCGGGTTCTGCCGCATTGCGCGCCCGCGGTCCCACGCCGCAGCGAGCGAGGAGCAGTACCAGCCAGCCAGCATGGCGACGCCCTTAGCGGTGTAGGCGGCGCCGATCTGGAAGCTGTTGAAGCGGTAGCGGGCTGTAAGTGTGCGGCACAGGGTGACGTTGATGGCGTAGTAGGTGGCGAAGAGGAGGGCGTTGGCGGCGATGGCGGCGAGCTTGCGGCGCGAGAGGCCGGCGCGGAGGTCGCGCAGGGGCTGGTGGGGGTCGTGTGGCGGGTAGAGGTGCGGGTCGGCGACGGTGTGGTGGAAAAGGGGCACGGGGAGGAGGAGTTTGGGGGCGTAGAGGGTGCCGTCGCCGACGATGGGGCGGAGGGTTTCGGGGACGCAGAGGAAGGCGGCTATGTAGAGGACGATGACAGTCGTGCCTGTCGGGAGGATGTTAGCGCGGTTCTGGGGCTGTGTAGGGGGTTATGGAGGGTAAGATGTACATGAAGTGACGAAGATGCCGCTCTCGCCTTGCCCGTATTTTGTCACGAAGCCGCCCAGAAGTGGTCCGACAATGGCCCTGATTACGACCGCGAGCGTGCCTAGAGTTAGCTCGTCTTGAGGGGAGATGTCTGCTATGATGCCCCCGCCGATTGTTTGGATGGCGGACGCTGAGAGCACTTGAACGACTCTTCCGACGAAAAAGGCGTGATAGGCGTAGGTCAGGTCCGGTAGGTTGGGTAGTATAGAGAGACTCGTACTCGTGCAGATGTGAAGGACCAGCCAGAACAAGTAGCGCCACTGACGGCCAAAGTAGTCCGAATCGTTCCGAATGAGCGGCTGTTTCGTGAGCGTCAGCGAAGGCTTTCATTAGGATAAACAGAAGATTAGGTTTCAATTACAGTAGCTACCGCAACGGCCAGTCCGGCGGCAACGATCCCGTTGATCCGTTCCCCAGATACGAAGAGACTTTGTTCAAGCACCGGTAGGATTGGAAGCAGCATGTCCGACGGAAGGGCGCTGGCTATGGTCGCAAAGACAACGATTGTGCATATCAATTGCCTACGGACAAGGCTGAGAGCGGTGTAAGATACAGCAACAACGGGTGGCGATGATACTGGAAGTACTGGAGCTGCTGCTGCAGTTGGTGTCGCCATAGGATTCGGGTCTGGTGCCACAGGAACAGTCGCTGATGCTGCGTTTGAGGCCGATGCATTGTTCACGGCTGGCAAGGCAGCCGGCCCAAATGGAACAGCCACGCCAGTGAATGGGCTTGTAGCTGGAGCGGGAGATGAGGCCATTGGATTCGGGGCTGGCGCAGGAGGGACAGCAGACGATGCTGCGTCCGAAGATGAAGCAGCGTTCGCGGCTGGCAGGGCAGGCCGAGGCACGGATGACGCCATAGCGGTAGATACGTTTCGCGGCCGGTGGTGGACGAGATGGAGCGGCACGCACGAGACGAGGTGAGAGAGAGGTGGAGGTGTAGGACGTAAAAAGAGGCGGTGACAAGATAGATGGACTCCCCGCGCCGTTTAGTGAGGCGACAGTCGACTCGCAGTATACCTAGGTAGACTAGAGCAGTTCTCGGCTCGAATTGAGGTGGTTGTCGGAATGTTCGTGTACCTCCGGAGGGTTTGTTGTCGAGGCAGTTCGTGATGACGCATCCTCGGACCGTATCCTCTTCCAGCGCCGTCTGAAGCGGCCCCGCGAGCTTACCTAGACTTTAAGGTCAAGCCTCCTCGAACGACCACGCCTCCGGCATCGGCAGTGTCTTCAGAGGCTCCAGCCACTTCAAAACCCACTCCTGCTCTACGACGAAGCTCATCACCATCTGGACCTCCAGCCCCTTCACTTCCTCCAGCAAACCCAGCTTGTGCCGCTCCGCCAACAGCTCCACCACCCTCAGCCAATCGTACTTCAGCAAGTGTCTGCTTCCATCATTCACGGGGCCTCGGAATATGGTCGCCGAAATCCGCAGCTGCGGCACGTATTTGAACCACAACGGATCGAACTCGACCATGCCGCTGCGCGAGTTCGAGCCTCGGATCTCCATCTTATTGAATGGGAAGTACGAGACACGGCTCTCTGATGTAACGCCGACGGGATTCCCGGCCCAAGCATCCTCAACGTCGAGCACGAAGCATGCTTTCGCCGTGGTACCACAAAGGCCGCAGGTACTCAACACCGACGAGGTATACGGTGACAAAGAGTGCGACTACGGACGCCGCAACGTTCCAGTGAGCGTTTTCGAGGGAGCTCATTGGCAGGAAGGGGCTGCCATGTTTGAAGAACTTTTCATCTTCGGCCATCTCCAACTGAGTGCAAGCGATGATGAGGTTGAGGGTAAGCATGAAATTTTGACGAAAGTGAGCCGGTCTTTGCGCCAAACAAGATAGAACCTGTAGCCAGTGGGTGGGAGAAATGGTGCCACTCGGGACAGTTTTGCGCATTCGCGGAGAATTTAGTGATAAAGAGTGGAGATTTTTACTACCAGATCTCAAATGGTTGTACTTAATAAGAAGAACCCGCAAGAGCGAGACATTCAGGAGCAGTGACAGTACCAGAATGATGACCATCGAGAAAACGATCTAAGCCTTGAATTTTGGCTTCTCCGCTGTTCTGCAGGCATTGATGAAGAACATGGCGTTACCGACAAGGCTGACCACTGACCACCTGAATACCACGCTGAGAACTACGCTGAGCGTGGTCCATGAGATGGGCGAGATCCAAGGTCTCCCGCTTCGGTTTACCTGGCCTATGTCTGCCTGTTCCAAGTATACCTGTATCATGCTGTCGGTTGATGGAGGAGGGGTGTCAGTTGATGGACGAAGAGCCTGTTCCATGGTGGCACCGTCGGTATTGGTTGATGGACGAAGGGTGTGTGTTGATGGACGAAGAGTGTAGGTTGATGGACGAAGAGTGTCCTTTGATGGTGCCGACGCCATCTTTCTAGAGATGAAAATTAGCTGGGTTGTGGCTATCAAGAGGATGTAGCTCAGGGATGGCGTACCGTTGATCGGGAATCTGGTTGCTGTACAATGTAGAGAGCACTCTGGGACTACAAGTAGTGAGTGGTAAATGCAAGCGACTTCTGTAAAGGAGGGTCAGTGCTGGGTTGGGTTATAACAAAGTCTGTTGGGAGAAAATATTGAGCGGTGTAAAAAAGCCTGCGCGGGGGAGAAGGGCAGGTGCCGGACATCGTGACCCCTCAGGCCACTTGACGACAGCTAGGTTCATTGATTCGAACAACTCCGCTGTGTTCTCAGGGAAGGGTGTCCAAGAATCAAATATAGAAGAGAGCGCACATGAACTCAGGTGAAGAATATCTAGTTTATCACTTACAGAAAAGAGCTTTCAGAGAAATGTCCATAAAACCAGCTCGCCTTGAGTGAGAAGGAACGATGGATGCTGGGCACAGTGGATCGAAGAAGAGATGCAGACGATGGAGACCTAGGCGTGAGCTTGTGCCAAGCCAACCTTCACTTGGGCAAAGAAAGCCAGTCTTCACTTGGATGAAGGAGTTCTAGGGAAAGTCGAAGAGTGCCACATAGTCGAAGAGTGCGAGCGGCACTCAAGTGTAGAAGAGGTGGGTAAGTCGGCGCCCGTGGCATCGATTTATGCTGGACCGGTTCTCAAGCTCAATACGGAGTGCCGAAAAGAGTTGAGCGTGGAAGAAGTGGAGGACATGTGGCCAGAGGCATCAATCTACACCATATCAGCGCCCACTTTGGACGAGGACTATCGAGCAAAGTTAAGACGTGCTGAAGGGGGTTAAAAGTACAAGAGATGAAGAGGGCGGACCTGGAGGTATCAATCTATGTCGGAATATTTGACACCTTGGATCTGGAAATTTGAAGAAGTGAAGTGTCTAGGCGATCGACCGAGGGAAATTCAAGCCGTGATTATAGCGTTCTAAGCCTCACTTTGATGAGAGGTGGAGGACATGGAGGAGGTGGAACTTGAGATCGTGAGTTACTGTGTTTCAAACCTCACATCATAACTCCCGCATAGAAAATGGTTTGCAGTCGCCTTACTTGTAACTCACCCCATGTTTGCTCGACCTCTATTGTAAACATGCATTTCGAAAATACAAATCGGTGTTCCCTACGCGACTTTACCTTTTTAAGGCTGCTCAAGTTGCATGATCGAAGTTACGCATCTCGAGAAATGGTCTCAGGGCACTTCTTCAATGCTCCGAGAAACAGTGTCTCGTTATTCACGAGCTTAACTAAAATCAGGCCTGTGGACTATCTTGGTTCATCAATTGAACGGTATAATACCCAGTTGTCTGAAGTAGATCTATTTCAATAGAGTCAAGGTGTTTTCCACTCCGAGATGGAGCATAACCTCAGCGGTGATTAATTTACCGTGAAGTGTAGTATATATACAACGAGCGTCGAACCGCAAACGCCTAATATATTTTAATATCACGAGCACGTAGACTCATACATCGGTAAGAGGTACTTACTTTGATTGGTATACAATTCAGTCTTCTGCATATGACCACCATGCCCGCTCCAAAATGCCCAGTACACCGCCATGTGTTGTACACAGTCACCGATCCATCACTTCTCCGTTTCGACATCATCAATTTTTCTCTTTGCCAAACTCCTGGGGCAAATCCATCCCCACCCTCCGTGCCGACAGCCGCACTCTCTCCTCCTCGTCCATGCCCATGCCGGGGTTGTACCGCTCGATCAATGTCGAGTACATCCGTTGTGCCTGCGCATATTGCACGAACTGCTCGACTTCCTGTATCCGGGCTGGCAACGCCGGTGGCTCTGCTGATGCGGCGAAGCGGGAACGTATGGTCTGCTGAAGAGTGGAGGGATTGGACAGCTTCTGCCGCCCAGCGTACTGAGAGGGCAGTTCGCGGAGGATGCGGCGGTATAGGGAGCGCAGCGCTGGCGATTGTGGGGATGCCATTGTCGTATTTGGATTCGAGGCAGCTAAGAAGTATATCGATGGATGAGAGGTGATGGATTGGGACCTCGGCGGTTGTCGTCGGAGGTTGCGGCGAAAATCTTCCAGACAAAAGGCTTAATTGGACTAAAATGTGCCAGACAAACCTCAACCATCGCCGATGTGAAGCCCGTTTTTCACTGCTTATGGCTTCATCATGTTTGTCCAGAGCGCCTTATGTGTGTACGCGATGCATGCGCTGTCTCTCTCGGGCATCTCCATCCAGGCCCTATAGCCCGAGGGCTTCTTTCAGAACTCCTCCGACGAAGCCCAACACGCAAGCTACAAACAAACAGTATAAAAGGAAAGGGCTTTTCATCCTCCCCCGAACAGGAAAAGTTACCGTGCCCGAATCACCTATTCGACCCGTATCAGAATTAACTATTCGACGCGTGGACGCGAGCCCCAATAAGAGCGCCGTCTTCAACCAGCATCTCAACTACTACCGCGACACGACTCCTCCAAACGCACAACAGCTCAATTATGCAAAGGACATATTCACAAGAGACGTCAAGCCAAGCTTTCTCCTTGCTACCCACAAATTCCGCGAACTTCCTGAATCAGATGTCCCCGAAGTCGCGTTCCTCGGGCGCAGCAATGTCGGGAAGAGCAGCTTGTTGAACGCTCTGTTCAACCGCCCAAATGCGCATCTGGCCAATACAAGCAGCAAGCCGGGGCGGACCAGATCGATGAATTTGTTTGGAATTGGGCAAACAAGTTCAGGGGGCGTAGTTGTAAAGCAGGGGAAAGGGAAGGAGCACGCAAAGATAATCGGAAAAGGAGGACTGGTAGTTGTTGATATGCCTGGCTATGGACAAGGCAGCAGGCAGGAATGGGGCGAGGAGATTATCAAGTATCTCTGCCAGCGTAAACAGTACGTTCTAATACTCTTTGGCAATCATGGCTAGGTCTTTGCGTACTACTTGCTTACCTCAGGCTAATCTCTCCACGCTCTATAGACTTCGCCGTGCTTTCCTCCTCGTCGATGCCGAACACGGGCTCAAACCAGCCGACTGGCAGATCCTCGATATCATGCGCCAGAACTCTGTCCCGCATCAAATAATACTCGCTAAAGCCGATAAAATTGTGAAGCCACCGATAACCCTAACTGCCAGTGTTCTCAAACAGGGAGAGAACGCCCCCTTGAAATATAAAGGAATTGCAGAGATCCGCCAGCTTAGTGAGAAAATACTGAAGGAGATCATACCTCAGGGAATACAAGGTGTGTCGGCGCTCGGAGAAGTACTCGCGTGTAGCTCTGAAAAAGTCATGTTTCGGAGGGAAAGAATGGGCATTGATGGAATCCGATGGGCCTGTCTTCAGGCCACGGGACGTGAAGCCGACAAGAGGGGGCTGCTGACGAATCTAGGCCTAACAGTGGCAGATGGTGAGAAGGATGCGCAATCTACACCACGAATTCGAAGAATCAATCTGGAGGATGTGCCAGAATCGACATCAACAAGAACAGTAGTCAGAATCACGAGAACTTAGGAGGATGGAGCTACTGGCAGAGTATTTAACTTTGCGCCAAAACCAGGCTAAAGCACCTCCTGATACGCCTAGACTCAGGTGCATAGTATCACTTCTTTCTTTGGAGGAAATCAGCCGTTTTCTCCGCAACAGCATAGACCAGGCTCTGTATGTTCCCCTGGACATGCATTGGAAAGATGCTAGCATCGCATACCCGCACATTCGTAGTCCCATACACCTTCAGATCCGAATCAACAACACCTCCACTCTCTTTTGGCAGCATTGAGCATGTGCCAATCGGGTGGTACTCTGTGAATGCGTGCTTGTGCACGTGCTGTTTGGCCTCCTCGAGATTTTTTGGTGCTGTCATTCCTGGTATCGGAATATTCGCACCATCGGCATCTTTCTTGAGAAACCCGCTCAGAGGGTCCGTTCTAGCCATCTCCTGGAAATGGAGGATTGCTTGAGCGAGAATATCTACGTCTAAGGGATGTGAGAGATATGCTGGGTCGATCTCTGGATGCTCTGTTGGATCTGCAGACATGATGTGGATGCTTCCACGAGAGAACGTCCGAGTTGTGGCAGCGAGGATTGTGCCATATGCTCCGGGGAAATTGTGGCCCCATCCAGTGCGTGGGGTATTCATTTTGGCGGTGTCTACTCCTTTTGATACGAAGAGGACTTGTACGGCTGCCTCGTTCTCGTCTATAAGCTGAAGCTTCGCAAGGTCATCTAGAGGGCTCATCGACGCGGGGCAAATCTCGTTGATGTGCTCCTCGATGTCGGTGGTCGACAACGTTGTTGCTAGGCTATGATATGGGAGGAAACCAGTTGTGGTCACAGTATTCGCCAATGGCCCTCCATTCGTCTTCTTATAGAGCTCCATTAGCTGCGCGAACACCTCTGGCTTTGCCGCTGCCTCGCTAGTGGGTACTCCGTCTTTGACTTCCTATTTACCACAGCGTGTCAGTAGTCGTCACAACCTCCAATTAAGCATACGAAGCATCCCGACTTACCCAACTAAAAGGCGCAACAACGTGATCCCTCAAATTCTCCCCCACACCCGATAATTCCACAACCAGCTCAATCCCATACTTCTCCAACATCTCCTTATTCCCAAGTCCTGACAGCTCCAGAATCTGCGGACTCTGCACAGCACCAGCAGACACAATCACCTCCCCTCCCTCCTCAACCTGGACCGTAATCCTCTCCCCATCACATACATATTGCACCCCCGTCGCTGTCACCGCCTCCCCATCCTTCCTCTTCCCAAACAAAATCTTCTCCACCAACGCCCCCGTCCTAACCTCCAAATTTCCCCTCTCCCGCACCGGCTCCCAATACCCCACCGCATAACTCCTCCTCCCATCCGCCCCCACCCCCAGCGGCTGATTAAACAACCCCAAACTCGTTCCCTCCCTACAATCCCTCGGACTCGGATACCCCATCGCCTCGCCCAGCACCGGCCACATCCCCTGCGCCCACGTACTCACGCTCTCACAAAAGCCCACCCGCACGGGGCCCTCGCCGCCCCGGAGCCCCGCATCCACCGGCACGTACCCCAGCTTCTGCGCCAAGCCCTCCGAGGGCGCGGTGTACGTCTCGGCGCGCTGGAAGTAGGGCAGCAGGTCGGCGTAGGCCCAGCCCGGGTTGCCGAGCGCGACCCAGTTGTCCAGGTCGCGCGCGGAGCACTGCGAGTGCATCATGAGGTTGATGCCGCTGCTGCCGCCGAGCATCTTGCCGCGCGGCCAGCGGTGCACGGTGTGGTGGAGGGCGCGTTGCGGCACGGTGGTGAAGCTCCAGTCATGCGTGGGCTGGCCGAAGCAGTGGCCGTAGAGGCCCGGGATGGCGACGAGGGGGGAGGTGGGGGTGGGGTGGTGGGCGCCGGCTTCGAGGACGAGGATGGAAAGGTGGGGGTTGGCGGAGAGGAGGGCGGAGAGGGGGAGGCCGGCTGTGCCGCCGCCGATTATGATGAAGGAGTATTTCTTGGGGGTGGGAGAGGGCATGGTGGGGATGGTAAGGTGTGGATTGGAGTGGCTTTTGACGGGGCGGTAACTTGCTGGCTGGGGTACTCCTGACGATAGTGTTGGGCAGGCAAGACTGGAGTCTGAGCAGTGGTATCTTTAATCCTTCTGCTTAAGCTTATGAATTTTACACCTCGACGGACGTAAAGGTTGATGCGGTTGGAATTGGACTGCCTCTTGACGGATGGGCAACTTGCTAGCTGAGCTCCTACTTACGGTGGTGTTGAATGGAGAAGGCTAGAACTTGAGCAGTGGTATATGCTATCCGTGTGCCTAAGCTTATGAATGTTACGTCCCTGAGGATGTGGAGGTGGAATTTGACTGCTTCTTGACCCACTGGCACGCTGCTAGCTGAGCCACTCCCAACAGTGGTATTGAGCGAGCGATTAAATCGCGGGGGATGATTATAGTCCCGAGCTGGGGGGTTGGAGAATTGGCGGTAAGCGTGTTGATATGAGGTGGACGGATGAGGGAGGACCTTCGACTTGGAAAAGCGACGGATATGAGAGTTTGACAGTTGAGAGAGAAAGAAGACAGTAGAGTTTTGACCGCTGACAGATATGAGCTTTAAGATTCTATTTTGCAGACCTCAGCCTTGTTCTTCTGGCGTCAGCAAAGCACGAGAAGCCGCAGTGGGGGCTGACGCGGGGTGTAGAACAAGTGCGCACCCTCACTCTCAAATAATTTATACCTGCATGTTACGAACCTCAAGCTCCCGGTAGAATACGATATGAATTTTGAGCTGCAGGTCTCATAAACGCGGCACACAGCGGCAATTCCCGCATGCCCGCCATTCCCTTTGGCGCCCGCTTTGGCGAAGCTATAGCCCGATTGTGCCGCTCTTCCAGTGCCACAAAGTTGCTTTTTCTGGCCAGATATGGAGGGCTGCATTGGCCTGAAGCAGGCGAGATCACAAAACACAGGGAGTGAGCTGTGTTGGGCCGCGTTGTGGTACCACCGTGACTTCTGAGGAGATTCAGTCACGTGATCAGATCTGACCAATCAAAAATGAAGCCCATTATCAGAATCTGGTCACGTGACTGAATCTCCTCAGAAATCGCAGTGGTACAAAGGTAGCATCCGAGCGCCAAGGCCATGCCACTCCTGCTGCCCACCTCAATTCTCCCCCCTCCACTTCCGTCAACATGGCTCGCGATCGCGAACGGCAACAGTCTATACAAAAGGATCAGGGTGCGTCTTACCCCACTACACCTAATGCGCGCCACTAATCTATCAGTAGGGAAACACTTCCAAGGTGTTACCAAGCAAAGACCGCTTCGCAGCAACACGCCTCTAAACTCCCGACATCAACAAGCAACCAAGGATCGAAAGCGATCGCGCTCCGCTAAAAACCTACATTGCGAAATCCCTACCGAAGCGCCCCAAAAAGGACCGTGGACGTGTCCTCCAGATATACCTGCACCGGTACGAGGACAGAAGCGATCGCTACCTGAAGATTCGGCGAATTACCCCCGAAAGCGACCACGAAAACCCCAGCCCACCTCTTACAAGAGAGCAGATCATTCGTCCAACTTTAGCAAATTGGATTTGGTTGAGGCGTGGCTGGAGCCGGGCTCTTCACCAGAGATATACACTGAGGGTACGGACGCGGTGTCGAACACTTCTTCGAGGGGAAAAAGAAAGCCGACACAGATTTACACTGAGGGTATGGACGCGGAGTCGAACACTTCTTCAAGAAGAAGAAGAAAGCCAACACAGACTTACACCGAGGGTATGGACGCAGGGTCGAGCGCTTCTTTAAGGGGAAGTAGAACGCCGACACAGACTTTTGGTAAGGCATCACGAAGTCAGTCGCAGCGTTCTTTGTCAAGTGACCAAGAGACGTCAACGCAGGCGTCTCAGAAGACAACCTGCACCGCTGCAAACTATCGCTTTACGGATCTTAAAGGGGCAGGGATATTCGTTGAGGGAGTGCCTCCAAGCGAAATTCAAAAACAAATTGACTCAGTGGTGGAAGGTGAAATTTCCCAAGACAGGGAGAAAACCATAGCCCATCTCGCCGGCCAACTCTGCCAGGACTTTTCAAATATTCTACCTGGAGCAGCCGGCGAAGATGACTGCTTGGAACTTCTCTATAAGACTCTTTCCGCTCTGTTTCCTCAAGATAAGATTATGCATACAAGGAAAGCAGGTATAGCATGATCCTCCTCTCATAACGTTGGTGGCAATTTGTCTAATTCTATAACCTGCTAATTCGTGACGTATAAAGATTGGCGACCAAGCCTCAAGCCTCGTACTCGCTCCACCTGGGACTTCAGTTTTCTGGATAAGTCTGAGGACGAGCCCGGGAACGAATCGGAGAACGAACCGGAGAACGAGCTCAACGACGCTCATAATACTTCTAATTCTTTCTCTCGAGGAGTTATTCCGAGAAAGCGAGCGCAAGCCGAGTACCTTTCCCCACAACATTTCAACGAATCAGACGAGGCATACGTGACGGGCGAGGTAGGTTTATCATTATATTTATATAAGACCGGTAGCTAAGTCCCGCCAGGTAAATAAAGCCATGCTGCCACCCCGACTCCCCCGTTCACAGCCGGAGGCAAATATAGATAACTCTCGTACAAGACACCTCGTCCAGATATTACTATTGGCATCTTCCACGACGCATTAGTGCAGGGATTACATCGTGACCATGGTCTTGACCCTAATCAGGCAAGCTATTTCCTTGAGGACCTCCAAGGAAAGATTATATGGCGAGAGGGACGGGAAGAACCAATACTCTGCAGCGAGCCAACTCAAAGAGCACTTCGGACTCGATTCCCATTTTTAATAGTAGAGGGCAAATCGTATGCTACCGGTAAACATATCTTCGACGCGGAGAACCAAGCCGCAACCGCAGGCGCCTGCGCCCTCAAAATTCAGCGCGATCTTGATGATCTTGCTAAACGGGCATCCAAAAGTACCCTTTCACAGAAGGCTCTTGTCTTTTCTATCTGCACGCAAGGACCTTACCATGAACTTTGGGGTCACTATACCGTCGTTGAAGGTACAATCTGCAAGTTTTATATGGTACCTATCAAGACGTGCCGTGCGCCCATAGTCAAGGAAGTCAAACAATGGCTACTCTCGGTTGACAACGTTATGAGATGGGGGGTTGGTGAGTTCTTTGAGACTGTGATAGAGCGACTAGGAAAGCTAGCTAGTCGGGCAAGCGGAGTGACTTAGCTGCGGCTGGTATTAGTCGACTGCTTAAGTTCATTGGCACTCGCTCACAACGGAGAGAAGGGAAAAATGTACGTGTCTCCGAGCTAGAGCTAGAGACAGCACTATCTCAAGCTTGATTATACTGTCATCTACATAGACTGATCTTTGGTGGACGCGCCTTGTCTTCCCAAATGAATATCACCATGCTCCAGTCTACTTCCTTGCAATTCTCCCCACGAGCGCAATACCAGGTTGCCGGTGTTGAGATGCCGGCAGTCAGGTACGGCCGCTATAGAAGCCCACTCCCCGTCCTGTAAACGCTAGCACAAGCTGTAGACTCCGAGAGTCCAAGGTTTTCAAAGTCTTTGGCACGGTGTTCCACAGTTGACGGCAAAGGTACGGCAAAAGCTCGCTTCTGCACAATAGAGACGTGTTTTCGAACATCCAGGTGGAAGCTAAGTGGGAGGGCCTGGACGTAGTACGCACATCTTCAAGAATCTTTAATGGTCTGCACCACTCCATAACACTGCGGCTTGCGCCATTCGCGACACTGTGTCATTGCTTACAACATGTACTGGTACGGACGATAAAGCGAGCACACTCCAATGGTTAAAGAGATGAGGCGAGCATGGGAGGATATTCTATACATGATTTTGGTGCTTAGGTCATTCCCTAGGCTACTCTATAGGTAAGGATATTCCTGCATGCGGCTGTTTTAAGCAAAGGGCATCGATATTAGAACAGGGGTATTGAATGTTGCGTCTTAAACGATCCGCCTGCGCTGATGCATGACAAATGAGAGTTTGGCGAAAAGGTGCTGCATGCGAAGGCTCGAAAACATAGCTCTTGCAGACATAGCCTGCCCGTCTGCACAACGGACAATCTCCTATAACTCCTCCTCTCATGCATATACAACCCGGATTAGCTGCTTATTACGCCTTACCTTTGTACTACTGCAGTGGCTTCTTGTATAGAGGGAAGATGCCGTTTGCGGTGCACCTATGTCAAGGCTACAGGGCTATACTCGGCAAAAATTGCAGCTGTACAGCGACGAATAAGGCAATACTGAATACACTATTTCATATGCACTACGCACCATCGCTTCTCCAATCTTGACCGGTGAACTTCAGGCTGATTGCTGCTTGCCCAGTCGAATAGTAGGCCCGAAGCGCGGCCAAGAGGTGACGTCTGCAATAAAGTGGAACGAAGCAAGGCCATTCGACTTCCTCCCCGCCCGCCACCACCCACGCTCGCAGGCTCCCAAACTTCGTCGATGGCCAGCGCAGGGCGTGATCTGCTCAAAGGTGCATACTTGACCGGTGGTAGAGCCGGGGCGTTCGTTGTGCAGCTTTGGGCTTGCTGAAAGAGCGCAGCCGCAGGAACCCAAGCGACGATGAGGAGCGGGTCGAGAATCTGCAGGAGTGCGATGAGCGGCTGGTGCAGCGCCGAGCGTCCAGGTCCTGCGTGGCGACGGCGGCCTTTGAGCAGAGAGGTACGCCGTTGGGGGTGAATAGGTACTTGTTTCTAGACATTGTACGCCGATGCTCGGGGAATCGTGCATCAAACGCCGGTGATTGTTCATCTACTTCGTCCCTATATTGAATTAAGGAATTGAACAAGCTGATACAAGGGTACCTCAATGCTTTACCCACATTCGCGCCGGTCATGCTGCAGCGAATGTGACGAGGCAGCGTACGGATACGCAAATTAGGATGCCGGTTTGTAGAGGCGTCTGCGGGAGGAAAGGCTGATGCAAGCAAAGCTCGGCCTTGCAGAAGGCAATATTTGAGTAGTCCGGCCGGGGCGGATACAGAAATCTGTGCGTGGCGGCCGTATATTGAAAGCGGTACAGTTTAAGACGTAGTTCCAACTCTAGTATTACACCCCTCCTCATCCTAGAGCGTGCTTCTTCGGGGCCTATGCGGTCCAACTACAGTCTCGACCAAGCCTGCTGCCACGTGACGGGAAGGCCAGACCAGAGCGCGGACACATCCACCGATTGGCAACAATGTTGAAGGGGCTACTGGGGAAGGACCGAGAGGGGTTGGTGGCATGTGATAGAGGGAGGGCGGTGTGCAGATTGGTAGGTAGGCTCTGAGTGGGATTGAAGACCACTTCAGAACGATTTGCAGATATTTCGACTTGCCAGAAGTCTGAGCACTCTCGCTCACCACCGTTTAAGATGCTTCAGCACATTATAGTAAAATTCCGATATAATTGAGAGGCTTTGAAAGCTTGAATTAGAAAGTCTCGTGTGCTTACGGTTGGGCTGTTTAGCCGCTTTTTGTAGTATCATCATACCTCAGGTGGAGATCAAAAGACGACGTGCTCAAACTTGTGTCTTAGTACTGTACTTTTGAAAGCAGCACAGCATCAACCCTCCGAACAGTAGTTTTAGCCATATCATTTCCTTTTAGAAAGTCACCTACTCACAATACCGAAACCCATCATTCCCCTCAGAACTCCAGCAATGCCAATGCATGTCAACATAATCACCTCCCACGCTCTGTCCTTTCAAACCTCCGAATCAAGTCTGTCCCCCACCCCCAAACTGCCCAGCAACCAGCCCCCCCAACGTCCTCCTCCTCCCCGTCCCCCTTCCCCTTCCCCCATCTGCCCCCCCCCCCACAACGCCCTCGCCCGCCAATATCCCACCCTCCCTCTCCCCCTCCAGTCTTCGCCTCAACCCCTCAAACCCCCCACTCCTCGCCTGCCCCTGCTTCTCCCCAACCACCCACGCCGGCACCCTCCACCCACTCGCCCCCGGCAGCAACTCCCGCCGATACGCCGTGCCCACGGCCCACCCCACCGCCGCCGCCAACGCAGAGCCAGGGAGGGCCGAGAGCGCGAGTTGGGCCGGTAGCACATAACTCAGCGTCTTTGACGTCAACGTGATGGATGTGTTCACTAGGCCTCTGGGACCAGACGCAGACGTAGCCCCGGGACCAGCCGTAGGGGCAGGAGTGGCGCTAGCAGCGAGTTTATACTTGTAGATAATCGGGATCGCGGCGTGGTACTGCACGAGCAGGGCGAAGAGGACGGTGGTCGGGCCGGCGGGGAGCGTGTTGATGCGGCCGAAGGTTAGAGGGCGCACGAATAGGGCGAGGAGGAGCGGGGGCAGGAGGGTTGTGTAGGGTGCTGTGGAGAGGAGGAAGGACTGTAGCACATCATTAGCATGAGCAGAGAGCTAGGGATGGAGTGGGTGGTTGTTGAAACGTACAGCGAACTTTCGACTCCCCCACAACCGCTCAATCACCCTTAAGTGGTAGAATGTCATTGCTGCGAAGAGGACTTCGGAGGAGTTCGTGTAGCATGCCTGGGACACGGTCAGACGCATTCATTGTGCCCCATTTATGGAGGATGGATAGCTTACCACCCAGCTCACCGCCCTCCACCACTGTCCGTACCCCCATAAGTGCGGCACCACCTCGATGTGCAGATAGTATCTCGTGTCCGTCAAGCTCGCGAGCAGCGCGCCGGTTACAACCCAGAAGACCAGGAAGCGCGACACAGGCGCGTTGGTGAAACCGGAGGTTAGCATTGTGATTGTAGCCAGCTGTGCATGGTTCGGGGGGAAAGGTTGGGTTTGTGTTTGGAAACGTGGGGTTGATCGTGGAGCTTGGCGATGATGGATGTTGCGGAGGTCCTGCGCGGAGGAGCGAGGTGGCTTGTAATCACGTGGTCATGGTCAGATTATCACGAAATCGAGACATGATAAATGGCAGTGTGCAAAAGCATCATGGATATATTAAGTCTCGAATCTCAGCTTGCGCCATGCTTGCCAGGTCAAGTCTAAAAAAGCCTCCCCCTTTCACCAGGAGACACCGCTCAAAGCTCGCATCATCGAACGGTAGAAAAGATCAGAAAGCTCACGAACGTAGTAATACACCGCATCCCTTCCATGGAAGAGCCCATGCAAATGCACCATACGCCATTTCTCGATCCCTTCCGAGATTTTGGCCAGATACGCCATGCCATAAAACTCCAAATCAAAATCAGATGCCCTCCCCAATACCTTACCTCCGCCTCCCACCAACCCCCTTCATCCTCTCCATAAACTCCTCCTCATCTTCTGCTGGATTGAATAAATTCGGCGCCGTGTTGGTCCGCGTCACCGCCGGTCTTGGTAACGCTGGATTCTGTTTCGCCGTAAAGCGCTGGTAGCCTTCCCACCAGTTCTGCTGGTTCGGCTGCGTGAACTCTGTCTCTGTGCTCTCCGGCGAAGACTGAACGGACGATTGTGGCAAATCAGGAGACTCTTCAGCCGGGTCTTGGTCGACAGAGCTGTTACGGCGGGCGAAGGCTTTGCTACTACCTCGCGGAGGGACCATGCCTTTGTAGGATTCTTGCTCTAGCACGGGGGTGGGGATACCGGAGTCGCGGTGGGTGGTTGATGGGGATTGGGGGATTCGTGACGCGGTTTGATCTTTGTGAAAGCGGTCGCGGAGAGCGAGAGAGTTGGGGTAGAGGGAGCTTTTTCGCGGTGAGCGCTCTTGTTGAATGGTTTCGGCAGATAGGGAGGTGTTGAGGTGGGGTTCGGCGCGGTTGACGGGGCGCCGAGGACCTGGTGGCTTGATGTTTGGGAGACTAGGGACGGTGGAAATAGCGGAGGGTGCATAGTCTGGGGCCGAGTGGACAGAGTCTTTGTCCGTGAGAGATACATGAGAGATTCGCTTGCGGAGTTCGGAGACCGAGCCGTGACCCTTCGAGTTATTGTAGATCATGTTTTGGATCCTCGAGGAAGCTGGCCTGGCTGGCTTCTTGGGGGACGGAGTCTTCGATGGCTTTACCTGGGGAGATCCTGGCTGGCTGTAGTAATCGGAGTGGTTCTCAGACGAGGACAATTTGGACTCTGCAATGCTGGCGAGAGATGTACGACCTGTAAGCATCTTTTCACCGTCCATACTGAAGTAGTCGCTGCTGTTAACAACAGTGACAGACCTAGAGCTCTCGAGTTGTTGGCGTAAAGCGGTATTCTCCTCCTCAAGGGAAAGGATCATATCAGCTGCTTCTTCAAGACCAGCATCCCGCTTCTCCATCTCTTTGATAGTCTCGTCGTTGATTGCAGTGAGTTCCGCGATATCGTCATCCTTTCCAGCGAGTAGAGTGTCCACATTCTGAAGTCTTAGCTCCATCATATCTCGCTCCTCGCGAAGCTCGCGGTTGTCTTCTTTGACGCCTTCGAGCTCCTCGAGGCGCTCGCGAGCCTCCTCCAACTCTTTTGCGTATTTGGCGTTTTGCTCCTCCAACAGGACGATGCGTAGGCCGATTGCAAAGCCGTTCTTCTCCATCTTGTCTTTATCTTGCGCCAGTTCCGCGCGAGTTTTCTGTCGGTGGGGTGTCTTGATATCAAGCGGGGCATCCATTGACAAACGGCGAAGATGACGGTTCAAAGTCTGGCGCTTCTCATCCTCATCACTCGGCGTCCAGTCATCATCCGAATCTGACGGCGACTCCGCTACCGTCGGCGGGGCAGGCGAAGGCGTCAGCGAACCCTTAGGGCGCCTCGACTCAAGCACCCCTCTCAGGTACTCAGATTTCGGCTCGGTAGAGACAGTGCGCTTAGGGACAAACTGCGGTGGGGTTCTGGGGTCTGCGTCGGGGCCTAGTGAGGCGCTGCGATGAGTAGACATGTTGTAGATTGCGCGGTTGTTGATTTTAGGTTTGATAGTGGGTATTTTGATGTATTGGAGGCGTGCGACAGAAATGCAGAGCAATGAGTATTATAAGAAACGCTGGTGGATATAAAGCAACAATGCCTTTGTACGCCAACCGCAGCCCCCACGTCAGAGCCAGACAAAGAAATATCAGCCCAGCGCCTCCAGTTGCCGTGTTGTAGAAGAACTTTTCTTAGCCCATGAGCAGCAGGCCGTGTGATGTTGATGGAGAGAGGAGAGGGGGAGAGCCCTGGGTCGCGATGTCGGGTGAAGTGTGTAGATATTGTCGTCGCGCGAGCATAAAGCCTAAAGGTGAAGCGGGATAGCGTGATGCGCGACGCAAGGAGGGCGCCAGCAGATATGCGACGATCTTGGGGTGAAAGATCGCCGGAGCTGGTGTTTCAGTCGCTCACATGCGAGCCCACGATCTCTAGTAGGAGACGCTGTCGGCGAACTCGCGAGCGAACATGGGAGGGAAGTCGCTGGGGAGAGGCTCCGGCTTGGGATCCATGACCTGTGAGGCCGTGGCAGCGGAGTGAGATGGTTCGAGGACGCGGTCTGAGCGAGAGGTGAATGGGCGGTCTGCGACGAAAACTAATCAGCGACGCCGGGCCAACGCGGGTAGACGGGACGCTACCTATAGGCAAGCTCGGAGCAGCACACAGAGCGAGGCCTTGGAGGGGAGAGTTGAGGATGCTGAGGTGGTTGGAAGTTGGAAGTTGGGCTGGTGGGAAGCTTTAGGGCGCGACGGGTTGAGCGGGCGACGACCTGGAATGTGTGAAAAGAACGGGCCGGGCTGCCGACTGCGCCGTGCTCGCAATCCCGGGGAGACGAGCCAACGCTGCTTATTGGACCGCTATTCACTGGATCGCCAGCCAGATCACAACCGTCGGGATCACTGCACTATCACACGGGGCCAGGTCTTCAACCTGCAGCAGCCCCTAGCCTGAGGTCAGTCGCTATCGTGATGCGGAAAACACCACCCCATCTATCGCATGAGAGAAAGAGAGGAAAAGACAGCGTGATGCCAGATGCGGCCATGCAAGCCGTCGTTCTATTCCAGCTTCCTTCTTCCCGCTGCGATGCGTCCAAGCGAACGAGCCTGGAGAGATGCGAAACTTGCTGCAAGGAGGGCCCTGCAACGCCTCCCTGTCATCACTCGTTCCCGCAGGCCCGCTGTTCCTTCGTAGCGCCTGAGGCTTCACCACACCATACCACACCATGGAAACTCACGATAAGCAGGTGGCGGCGTCACGTCTTGCTTGACGTGGCAATGCCGCGTCCCTACGACTCCCCCCGGTGCGCCATGCCGTGGCCAACGGAGTGCTTGCCGACGGATGTAAGAGGCACCGCACACACCAGTTCCAGATGCCTTAACGACGCTTAGAGAAACCACGTCGTCGGAACAAAGACCGTCTCGCCTGCATCAATGCAGCAAGCCGTATTACGTGACGATGACTGCGACACTGCAGCGCCTCCGAGCCAGCAATAGCCATCGACGGTAATCTCGCCCTTCTCGCGGTGTATCGTCGTATCTTGCGATCGCATTGCTGGGATCGCATCACGTGACACCTGTACAGCGGGTCAAAGTCCCGGTACTCGGTGACCTCTCGTTGTCTACGCGACGTGACCTTGATCCATGTACCATAACCGCGACTATGTACTCCCTCTATAATCCATCCCGTACAACAACTCTAGCGCCCAACCCAGAGTGCCACCAGATGTGTGACCAGATGCGTACTCCCATCCCTACTCCAACCCCTCCAACCCCTCCAACCTCCCTTCCCACCCCCCCCTCAACCTCTCCATCTCCGTCCACGCCAAGCGCCCCAACTCTTCAAACTCTGCCCTCCGTTCCGCCGTGAGATCCGTCGCATGCCGCCACCTCCCCTTCCTCTTGCTAAACTCGCCCACCTTTCCGCCCCACCCCCACCCCTCCACCTCCGTCCGCTCCACTCGCTCATTCCCCCACCTATCCGTCGCACTGCCCCATTTCCCCCGCCCCTCTCGCCGCTCCATCGCATCCAGCATCCCCTGCTCCGCCAGCGCCACCCACACCGGCGCCGTTGCCCCCTTGTACGCCGTAATAGGATGCCACGGGCTCCCTAACCAGCGCGCCAGCCAGAACGCGGCCGTCATGCCAAGGGCGAGGATCCAGGGGAGGGGGAAAATGCCCGTTGCGCAGATGCCCGGGTGGGTGATGTAGATTCGCGGTTTGCTACTCTTCTCATGCCCAGCCTCCGCGTGCTTTTCAGGTGTTGAGGTAGTCGAGAAATACGTACTCGTCCATGGCGCCGTCGATGGCATTTCAGCCGTCATACCCAACATGTCCGTGATCCGCTTCGAGCTCTCGTACGCGTTCGACGACTTCAGGCCCTGGAAGTCGTCGGCGTTGAAGTCGCACGCTGGCGCTTCGATGCTGGACATCCAGATTATGCGTCCGCTTCCTTCTGTAGCTGCCGCCGAGAGGAGTGGCATCAGCGCGTGGCCGAGAACGTAGTGCCCGAATAGATTCGCGCAGAAGACCTCGCCGAGTGGTGGTTCCGGGGGCTGATTGCCTTTCGAATCCTTTGGTAGTTGTGGTTTTGTGACCCATCCCACGCCTGATATCTTGAATTCGGGCCACGTAGTTGTGTGGACCGTGTCTGTTAGGACAGTCCAGATGGCGTGAGGCCAATTCACGCCTGTCCAGCCGCCGATGCCGGCATTACATATAAGAACGTCGAGATGGGGTAGCTCCCTCTTTAGTTTTGTCGCGAGACGTTGCACGGAAAGGAGGGAGGTCAGATCCAGTATCTCTTCGCGGAACTGCACGCGTCGTTGCAGCAGCATCGTGAAGCCCGGGATACTGCGCTCCGCTTTCCTACACGCATCTTTAAGATATTTGCGGAACGCAGCGGTCGTCGCGGCGCCTTTCCGGGTGTCGCGCGTTGTGCTGATGAGGACGAGGGTTTGGGATTGGGGCCGTGTGTGCAGGAATTCGTCGATAAGGCGGCAGCCAATTCCTAGGCCCAGGCCGCTGGGATCAATTAGCTAGATGTTGAATGCTTTGGGCATTGATAGGATGAGAGTTGGGATTACCTGTTTGCGCCTGTGACGAGGACGTAGAAGCCGTCGGCAGGGAAGTCAGCGTCATCCATAGTATCGTGTTGGTAGATTTTTGTGACGGGAAGCGGCGGGGAGATGTCGATCCAGGGGTTTGTGGAACCAGAACACGACTTCATGTGACGAACATACTCTGCCGTTCAACCTCTGAAAAGCTTTAGAAATATTGGACTCAGTTTTCTCATAAGTATGGGGTAGTTGATACGAAACAGTTTCTCCTTTCTATTTCATTTCACACGATCTGACTTCCTGGACGGGCCGCTCGCTCGAACCTGGGCAACATGCAAGGCAGAAAGCTTTCCACCAGCAACAAGCATTTACATGCGACTCTAAAACTTCAGCCGGGACCTTTCACCGTGCTGAGATATTCCGTACCGTTTTCTTCACTTTCGGTACTCCAGACTTCCTAGCTGGGAAACCTCATCACGTGACGAGCGACGCCACCGTGCAGAAGCACCCAGGCTTCTCGAGTTCCATTCCTCAGAGACTCTACCTATGTTCCCTTATCTTCTCTGTCCAGTTATCAGTCTCTGGTTGTACGCATGTTTCTACAATGCCAGGGCTGCAAGTTGTTGGTTTCTCACTAAAATTGTTAGCCTTGTTAAGTACCATTTATTCTACTCGTAGGTAACGAAGACATGTTGCTATTAGTGGACATAGAACCATCTACGCCTAAGCATGCCCTCTAGCTCCGTTGCCTATCCTGTTCCTGTCAGGACTTGTCCACATTAGAAGCGTGTCCTGATGAAGTATGATTGGTCCATGCCCGAGACTTAAGCTTTGCTAAGCAAATTGGGCGGGCTCGGCGCCCAGCTATGGATATCACCACCATTCCCTACACAGGTACCTGCCCATGACCAATAACATCTATTACAACCCTACACAGATGTGCGAACTCCACACGGGAAGAGAAAGGCGCGCGTGGTGATGACGCTAGGTCTGCATTAGAGAACCCAAGTGTGCAAGCACGGTGATGCCCGACCCGATAACGCGCCGCGACTTGATTCACTATCACCAGGCTTGACGCCTTTGAGCCTGGCTAGCCAGGCCGGGCTGCGCTTTCGTCATAGCTCGTTTCGTTTCTTGTTGGTGTCCCGCTAGCCGCGTTAGATAGAGGGGTTAGAGGGGTACATAAACACCTCCACGACCTGTCCACTTGAATTCTCCATATACACACTGATCACTTCTCTACTCTCCTGAGTCATTAGTTCTTCAGTCTACACATAACCAAGCCTTTCAACCCCTACCAACTAGAATCAACATGTCCGGATTCCTCCGCGAAGAGGAACAGAAGTTCGAAGGCGGCAACAACCAGGGCGGCAACGACAACCAGGGCGGAGGATATGGAGGCGGAAACGACAACCAGAGCGGAGGCTATGGCGGCGGAAACGATAACCAGGGTGGAAACGATAACCAGGGCGGAGGCTATGGCGGCGGCAATGACCAGCAACAACAGCAGAACTCTGGCGGCAACGACCAGCAGCAGCAGAACTCTGGTGGCGGCGGCTTCATGAGTGGGTTGAAGACAACGGGTGAGGACGGGGCTATCAACACTGGTGAGTTTGGTGTCTCATGATAGCATGCGGGATGAGACAAGATGCTAACGCTTGTGTAGAGATCAACAAATTCGCGAATTCAGAGGGCCTGCCTCAGGGCGCGGACGGTTTCGTGGATGCTGCTGTTGATCAGGAGGTTAACAAATTCCTTTGAGGGATACAATCAGCCCAACGGAGCCTCTGAAGATGATTGATTCGACGACCATGAGATTACTCTAGACTAGTCTACTCTCAATACAGTCCTATACTCTCAAAATCTGTCTTGCCTCCTTTAAGACTACCGTCTAATTACTTCTCAATATCACACCCCTTCGCCACCTCCCCAAACACCTCCAACGCATGCCCCAACTGCTCCCTCACTCCCTCCGTTCTCTTCATCATATCACTCCCCAATAGCAACAACTTCTCCGCTTCCCTTCCTTCCCCGATCCCCTCCCCAACGACAACCTCATACACAGCCTTCATCGCCTTCTCCTTATCCCCATTCGGCGGCCACGTGCCGCTCTTCATGATCTGCAAGAACTTCTCCGTCATAGTCCCCTCATAATCTCCTGGCAGCCCCCCCTCCCCAAAGACCGCCGCATTCCCCATATTCGTATTGAAGGTGCCCAGCACGACCGTCAAGATCCGGATATTGAACGGCGCCACCTCCTTCGCAAGGACCTTCGCCACACCTAAAACGCAGCCGTGTCAGCCCACCGCACCATGCCCACAAACAACAAGTAGAAAGGGACGAAAGGGAAATGCACACACCATCCAACCCCGCCTTCGCGCCCGCGTAGACCCCCATCGTCGGCTGCCCCTCCAACGCGGCGCCCGAGCTGAAATTCACCACCGTCCCGCGCTTGCGCGCCCGCATCCCCGGCAGCACCGCCTGCAGCAGCCGCAGCGGGCCGAAGAAGACCGTCTCCATCTGCGCGCGGATCTCGGCGTCGCGCACCGTCTCCATGGGCGCGAAGATGGAGTAGCCGGCGTTGTTGACGAGCACGTCGATGTGCACGCCCGCGGCTTCGAGGTTGTGGATGAAGGCGGGCGAGGCGGGGGATGTGACATCGAGGGTGAGCCATTTGTTCGAGGGGTTGGCGGCGGTGACGAGGCGCACGAGGTCGGGGGTTTTGGAGGGGTTGCGCGAGGTGGCGATGACGGTGTGGGGGGTGGAGAGCAGGAGGCGGGTGAGGGAGAGGCCGAAGCCGGAGCTGCAGCCGGTAATGAGCCAGGTGAGGGGCTTGGGGATGGGGGTGGACATGATTCGGGAAAGGTGGTGGTGTAGAGATTGAGGTTGGCTGTTTGAAGGGAGCTTGAAGATAAATGGTTCTCTGAGGTGAAGCAGGTACTGTATATATACCGCGAAGGTGGGAATGTTGCAGCGGAGATAGAGACGGAGGAAATGAGAACAGGAACGGTGTTAGGGGGGATAAAGCCGTGCATTTGAGGCTTTTAGATGATATACAGTCTAGTTCATAGGAAGATATCTCATGAAACCTTGAAGGCAATCTCACGCGCTAAACTGTGTAAGGCAGCCAGTTCGACTTTTAGCGCGATTTCAGATGCAGGACATTGGTTCGGACCTCGCGGTACATGACTGCTGGAACTGCTAAACTGTCTAGATGGGAGTGCTGAGGGATGGGTAAGCAAAATCCTTTTGGAGCATCAGAGGCTTTGTGTATAGATATAGGTGGGTTGAGTATCGCCAAATCCTGTCCACTCAGAACAGATTAGGTGGAGCGTTCAGGTCGAGGTCGCGTGAGTAGACTTTGCTTGAATAACGAATGTTTCCTATGAGACTCTATGGCCTTGCAAAAAACGAGATGAGAAGTGAACGCTAACTATCAAACTGAGTTGGCTATTAGGAGCTACCTCACTAAGACACTTTAGGAGGTCACGTTCTTACTTCTCCGGTGCCTGGCGTCTGCAAAAATTATCCATTGTTAAGAATTCCCCTCTTAATTGAATCTTGGCCTTCCTCTGTTGTTCCGAAGAGCTCCAATGAGGCCACGCCAGTCATCGGTCAACATTCACGTGATACCGAGATCCAGAGATCTGGATCTTGGAACGCCAAAAACCTAATGGTCCGCGGGGCCTGCCTCCAGTTATATAGTAGCAGGGGTGTCTTTCTTCATTTTCCAAGGATAAAGATCGTGAGATATGGTTTGAAGAACGGAGTTTCCATTGAAGTTGGGCAGCATCGCCAAAAAGAAAGTCCCTTCCGCTCACAAGTTCGCGTCAAACCCCGACTATTATCCCGTCGCCCGAAGCCTCATTACCATCTTGGACAAGCTCCCGGGATGTGATTGACGGGATTTCTTAACGCGAGACACCGGGCTTAGTGATTGGCTGCATGCACGGATGCGAATCCATCGACCATCCCCGCACTGAATGCTGAGGTGCACGGCCGTGATGTCAACCAAGTTCTTCACGTCGCGGGCGATCCCCGCCGCTCCCACCTTCCCCGACCATCCAACATGACCTCATTCAGGATAATGCCTTTTGTTTTTTGCGCCTCCCTCTGGCAGCCTTAAGAGTTTCTAGACCCGGCCTAACAACGGCACCTTAACTACAACTAGTAACCCGTGGACTACTGCAACGGCACCACGCCGCTCCCTCGGCACCTAGGCAAGGATCCACGCGCCCCGCGCCTCAGAGATTCACAGCAAACATCAGGACGGTCGCTTCGAAGCTGCAGCACATTTTTCTCCGTCAGAACATCTCACAGAAGACCAGACGCGTACAATGGCCCATGAGGAACAAATCAGCAGCGCCGCTGACCCACAGCCGGTGCCCAAAGCGGACGTTACGGGGTCTGATGGCGGCCATCTGGACGAGACGAAGCTCGAGAAGTTCTTCATCGGCTCCATAGACCAGGGCACGACCAGTACCAGGTTCATCATCTTCGATGGCGTCGGCCATCCTGTGGCTTCGCACCAGGTTGAGTTCACCCAGATGTACCCTGAATCGGGGTGAGTACCCCCGAGACGCACCTTGGCTGGTACAGCAGGCATTAAACGCTGTTTACAGATGGCATGAGCACAATCCACGGGACATCATTGAGTCTGTTCACGACTGCATAGAGAATGCAACCAAGTCGTTCATCCAACAAGGCCACGAGATTTCCGATATCAAAGCCATCGGGATCACCAACCAACGCGAGACTACCGTGGTTTGGGACACGAAGACTGGCGAGCCCCTCCATAATGCTATCGCCTGGCCTGATACCAGAACCAAGGGGATGGTGCGCGACCTCAAAGAGCGAGATGGCGCCGAAGATCTGCTGCAGATATGTGGCCTTCCTCTGTCAACATATCCCTCATCCGTGAAGTTACTATGGCTTCTCCGGAACGTAGAATCTGTCCAGAAGGCGTATGACGAGGGTCGATTGTCGTTTGGGACTATGGATACCTGGATACTCTGGAATCTGAACGGCGGATTGGAGAAGGACGTTTTCGTCACTGACTCAACGAATGCCTCTAGAACCATGTTCATGAATCTACATACTGTTCAATACGACGATACTCTTTTGGATTTTTTCGGTCTAGATACGACCAAGATACGGCTACCCAAGATTGTGCCCTCTTCTTGTCCAGATTCCTTTGGTTCTATGGCTTCTGGTGCTCTCAAAAATATCCGTATCACAGGCTGCTTGGGTGACCAGTCTGCTGCTCTCGTTGGCCAACAAGGTTTCAGTCCTGGCTGTGCGAAGAACACATACGGCACCGGTTGTTTCCTCTTGTACAACGTTGGGGACAAACCAGTGATATCGAAACACGGGCTGCTTGCTACTGTCGCGTACCAATTCGGACAGAAACCGATATACGCACTAGAAGGGAGTATTGCCGTCGCTGGAAGTGGGGTTAAATTCCTCATGAACAACATGGGCTTTATTACCCAATCAGACAAGATTAGTGACCTCGCAGCGTCCGTCGAGGATAATGGAGGTTGCGTGTTTGTCACTGCTTTCAGTGGCCTGTTCGCGCCCTATTGGATTGATGATGCGAAAGGGACGATCTTCGGCATAACGCAGCATACAGAACGCGGGCACATTGCCCGGGCCACCCTAGAGGCCACATGCTTCCAGACGAAAGCCATCTTGGATGCCATGGAGCGGGACAGCGGTCATAAACTTGCCGAGCTCGCCGTGGACGGGGGTATGAGTAACTCGAATCTATGCATGCAAGTAAGTACCGGGTCAGATATTCCACCTTGCAGCTTCATTAGGGAATTAAACGAGATTAGACGCAAGCAGACATCATCGGCATTCCAGTTGACCGACCAGCCATGCGCGAGACGACTTCTCTGGGCGCAGCGATCGCGGCCGGCTTCGCGGTCGACATCTGGAAAGAATTCGACGAACTCAAGGAGATCAATCAGAAAGACCGCATGATTTTCCAGTCAAATATGTCCAAGGAAGAGAGTGCTAAGATGTTCAAAAAGTGGGGACGCGCTGTGGAGATGTGTCGTGGTTGGCTTGATTCTGACGAGTCGAACGGGGACTTTTGATACTTGCGCATGTTATACCTCGATGTCGACGCTTGCCTTATCTCGGATTGTGTCCTAGTTGCCGATATCTTCACCTGAGTTAAGGGCGTTTCAGTGCCGATGACCGAGTTCGGTTGCGTCATTCTCCTTTCTTACGCTACGCACCAAAATTTCAAACTCACATGCTTTCGCATATTTCGCATTTGTCCAGCCTCGATCATGTGGCTTTTGTGCGGAGTTACGTCCTCGATAAGGAGGTGACCGAATGTTCAGAGTCCCTATTCCGACACTGACATCAAGACTAAGGTAGGCAATCTTAAAGGGTTGTCTGGGGTGGCACCTACAATACACCTTCAGGCTGAATTCGTCGACGGAGCAGTTGGACGAATGCGGAAAAACTTGCATCAAATTCAAGGAGGTGGTAAAATCAGGACGGCTTGGAAAACAAAGGGCATTCTGCCTAATATACGAGCCAGACAGTCGGGAGGTCGTATGGGTTTGGTAAGTCCTTCGCAGCACCTAACGGTCGGCTGACGCCTATTGCTACGGCTGACGTTCGATCATGCCCTCGCTCCAAGCGCCCTGGCTAACCCAGAGCACACAGGCGGGAGACCTTCAGCATCGTCGATCCTGCACAGCGACCAACCCGGCAGGCTGGAGGCCTAGGAAGCGGGCTCTTGATGCATAGGGCATTCTGATGCAATGTGCCCATCCTCGACACGGACAGACTCCTTACTTCTTCCGCTGCTAGCCCAAATGCGATGGCGTGCCCCGCAACGGGGTTCCCGTCAGTGCAAAACACACCGAGAGGCCCGCAAATTGGAAGAGCTGGCGGTGTACCGGCCGACCTGTCAGTGTTCTGTCGACCCACCTTCCGCTAGGTGAGCAGTGAGATGGACGGGGAAACATGAGCAGCCCTGCGAGCGGGTTGCCCGGCCACGAGCTTATCTGGCCGCGTCTTGTCATTTCCCTCCGCATTTTGCCGTACGCTGCGGGTACACGCGATTCATGCTTCCAGTACCCGGAGGGATGGTGGTGGGAGAGCGATGAGGTCTTGGGCGCATGCTCGCGGGACGGGTCGCAGAAGAGGTCTCCAGCATGCCCAGTCTCGCACCGCACACCTCAGGCACCGCTGGGATTTTTGGGGTCGGTCCCGGGCAGTGGGCTCGCACGGCCGTCGACCACGAGGCAGGAATTCGACGGGCGATAGTGCGTGCTGCCGGAATGACGGGGCCCCAGAGGCGAGGCTAAACGTGTCCCGGAACTGATCCCATCGACCCCATTCGCTAGGCGGGCCCTAGACCCGGGCACTGGGACAGCGCCAACCTCATCGACATCAGCACCCGCAGACGTAGCAGCCACCCCGATGGCCCTCGTCGAAACAAGGCGTCCTCGCAGGTACTGGCTAGCTGTAGAGCACTACTAGGCAACTTCGGCGCGCCGTTGAGGTACCACGAGGCAGTTGGACGACGAAGTTGCGGCATGGATGCCTCCAGCGGACCACACAGCATCCGCCTGCACCGAGAGCATCGCAGGGAGCATCTCGTAACGTCACCAGCCTTCGCGGGGCCTCCTCAGCGCATTCCAGGGCCTTCAGCAGGGCGTTGCAACCACGACACTCTCGCAGAGCGCGACACACCAATGACGCGGCGCCGCTGCCAGGCCCGCCGTCTGGCAGAAACACTGACTTTGCAGGGAGCACAGCTGCAGGCGTAGCGGCAGGCATCTGGAGCAGCGGACAGGCATGGCCGGGCCGGGGAGGGGGAACACATCCCACCGCGCTCCGCCCTGGACACGCATCGAGCCAAGCGCTCCGCCAGCATCCCACGCGCCTCAGCGCAAGCCAACGTGGAACCCTCCAGGATCTGCGGCGCAGATCCGCTCGCCATGTGTGAGAACAGACGCCGCCCTGTCACCCCCCGGTCCTGGTGTCGTGCTAGTCCCAGCACACCTTTCGTCTGCCGCCTCCCAAAACGGTGCACATCAAACCGCGCACCCTCCCTCTTGCAAGCACCGCGCAGTTGGACGGCCGGCCCTAGTTCTTGTGCCCGTCCTCCCCGTCCTGGCTCAGCGCACCTGCGTCGTTACAGCCTTTGGAGCGCCAAGGCTCGGACCATTCCATGGGCTGCACCTGGACAGTATGCACACCGTTCCCAAACGAGCCAGCACTCAGGACCTCTGCGGCTGCGAGAGGCGTACTACTTATGGGCCGGCCCGCCACCGCTGCTTGTATCCTGCTATCAAAAAAGCAACTCCAGCCCGCCCGTCTTTCCACCTTCCGCTACCATCACTAGTTCCTCTTTCTCTACCATCTCCTCCAAGGTTCTGCCCGTTCTCTGACATCACTGGCCACCAGCGGGATGTGCGATTACACTCAAGTACACTACAAATGCACCCATCTCCGCTACACTGTCCGGGCATGGTGTACCAAGTATCAGGAGACGCATAAACGATGTCCCGCCAATGTTGTTGCAATGTAAGAGCCCCCGAGGCAGCCAGCTCGATTCCCGCGGAAAGCCAGCACACATCTGACGCACACGCAGAGAATACCGGCTCGACGAGAACTGTGGTGCGTGAGGACTGTTTTATCTACTTGAGGGACGACGTCATGGACTGACCGCAGATCTGCAGGAGACTGTAAAGACACGTCGTCGAAATCCGGCAGGACCGGGTCTGCTTCTGGGTCAAAGTGAATTGCTGGTCGTGTCATTTCCTTTGCAAGGCGCACACGGATGAGCTAAAGGGTATACCCAGGGAAAAGTCCTGCAATCTGTTGCTAGAAACTGTACTACATTGTTACCCGTCTTCGTCCTCACCTTTTGCCTCCTCTCGATGCCGTCGGCCAGTGTTCGTTCGTCGTTGTCGCTTGAATGCAGGTGATGTTCTGGGATTGTTCTGGGCCGCCACTAGCGGCGCTCTGCCTGCTTTCGCTGGTGCATGATGCATGGCATGGGTCCCTTCCTCTATCTGCTGCAGGCCTCCTTCTCCCGGCCATGGGCGCGCCATCAGGATCAAACGGCCGCGAGTGCGTCACCGGGGATAAGCTCGACGGGACGCTGGTTACACCCGCAGCCGTGCTTAGCGGTACCGTCTCGAAAATCTATTTGCTAGACCAACAGAGGGTAATTCCGCCCGCGTGCCCAGACCTAATGGTGGAAAGACGTCGCGCACAGTATTTGTATGACTTGTGCAACTGCAACCGCTAGCTGCAGACCTCACAACCTCACGTCTTACCACGACGTAAGCCGCAGAGGCACCCAAGACCCAGCATTGCCTTGCCTCGTTTTCTCTCCCAAGCTTTCTTCTCTCATTGACCCCGCGCACAATCTCCGCGGGCAGCCGGACCATGGCCCAGTGCTATAGTATCAGGCGTATCTTTTGTGTGTGGAGACTGAGGCACGTCAGCAACAGGGGATCAAAACACAGACCAATACAAGGCTTCTCACCAATCAATTCTTCAGCATCTGTTTTACCGGGTAACGGTATGCGTTCCGAAATGAAAGCGCCACAGTCTCCACACACAAAGTATACGCCTGATACCATAGTACATAAAGGCGTTGCCTCTGAGCTCAGGGTGGTAAAGTGGCGGTCAAGAAGTGCTCAGGATACACACGAGTCAAATCTTGCTCTGCAAGTGGACAAGCTTCCTCAGGCCGACTCAGGCCGACGTCCTCTTGTAGCTCTCTGCCTTCGATGCTCGATGCTGGCTTTCTAGGCCTTGCCTCATGCGGATTCCCCGTCCAATTACGAGCCATCCACAACCAGCCACTTCTAACGTCGTTGACCCAAACGAGACGCCTAATACGCGGAACCGGACATATCTAACCATCATGGTCGCCCGCTCCGCTGCCACCCTCACGATACATGACGACAACGACTCATGGCACTGCTCGGCCACCACGCGCCCGCTATAACTTGCCGGTCTCGCGCACACAACCAGCGCCCACGTCACCCCACGTCGCCGCAACTCACCGCATATCCTCTGCGAGCAGGTAGGCAGCTCTGTACCCACGATCAGATCAGAAGATGTTGCGCGCCTTCCCGCAGCCGGCGATCTTCATTTTGAGCAGCGTGCAGCCAGGATCGGTACTACTTCGACGGGGATAACATGCCGAGAGGCGGCCATGTCGTGTGCCATTTTTATGGGCCTGGGTGCGTATAGGCGTGAGGATACTGAGGGTGGTGTTCACGACGACAGCCCCACTTGTGAGTGGTGAGAGAATAAAAAATCAAAGGCGGAGGGCAGCACGCGCGGAGCTACATCCGTATGCGTCGTGCAACTTGTGGACCGCCCACGTGGTACCATGGAGATCGTTTGTGTCGCAGCAAGCTGTTCGGGCCTTCGGTAATCTGGGAACATGATCTTGCCCTACGAGCACGACACCAACGTCCAACGGCCTGCAATACGGCCAGCCCGCCTCGGCGAAACCCGGCAGCGCTGGCAATATGCCGTGCATTGGAGGGAGATCTTCCGCTGCTGGAGCTGATTCGACTGCGGCCATGTCCTCTCTCCTGAGTATGGCGACGGCATGGTGTGACTGGCTCGAATCCTGAAATTGCTGTCCGTTGAGGGAAAAGGGTGAATGGGTAGCACGAGCGTTCGCCTCGCCGACTTCGGATATCAGCCCATGGGCCGACGGAGCAGACGTTGCGAGCGCACCCCTGTCCGGCGATGATATCAGGCTCGATGCTCGTCCTCATGAGGAGCCCTACATAAGGCTAATGCACACTGCGCCTCCAAGGCCCACTCCGGTCTTCAGCTAGTACTCGTCCCCTCGATTAGATGATCAGACAACCCGAATTTCCACGATCACAGTCGGGGCGAGTGGGGCTCTTCACGTGGAAAACCCGCCGCTGACGCTGCTCGAAAGCACCCCCCACCTCACCGCCTGCGCAGCCACCGAGAGGAGTATTGAATCGCGACATCGCCGTGTCTAGGAACGGATGGAGCGCTCACCTTGGCAGCCTTGCAATACTCCACGGACCGCAATCGCAGATATCAACGCTCCTCCCTGACTTGCCTGCCGCACAGGCTGCGCTCTACATCCCCTTCCCACAGATCCCAGCATACGAGGCAGGGGAATAAAAAGCATATGCATCCAAACCCACATCGTCACAGGCATACCACTTCCATTCTCTCAGAGTCGATGTTTCAAGGACGTCACCGGCACGCCGGCACTACTTCAGCCCGTGCCGTTCGCCATGACGCCTTACCCGAACCCTTCAAGAGACGAGCGGTTCCGCGCCCCCCGGCTTGCGCCAGCTTCGAGCTATTGTAAGGTATCTACTCACGTCTACTGGCCAGAGGTTATATTAGAGTCAGCTTTACTCTCTTGAAGATTCGCTGGACACGAGCCGGTCGCTGGGTGCATCCTTGCGCCGGATGCTGCAGGCCAGGAGCCGCGACGCTGAGGACGGGTTTGTTTCAGGCTTGTCACAGCCATCCTCAGCACGCGGTGCTGGCTTGGCTGTGGCATGCATGATGGTGTGCGTGGGTTGGCGCCCCCCCCCCCAGGATTGCAAAGCATGTTTGTGCTCCCTTCCACCTCTAACGCATGCACAATCCGAAACGGCACCCAGGGCCCGTCTCCCGTGGCCGGATGAAGGATGAAGCTTCAAATCCTGGAGGAAGCAGGAAGCACTCGCCGACTCCCTCGCGACACTTGCTGCTTACGGCACCGCCTTTTCGTATCAACTTTCCCCGTACGCGACGGACTTCCCGCAGACCGGCCGAGGGACTTTTAAATGGCGGTAATGCGACCCGTCCATGAGCGAGTTCGAGTGCGTTTCACGTTTCGAGCCAAGTCTAGCCCGGGAAGAGGGCGGGATGGCGGGGGGGACCGGCAAGTTGGCATTTCCATACGTAGCAAGTCAAGTCGTCGCTTTTCGGGAAACAGCTTTCATAACTTCGGCCTATTTTAACGGCCCGCTCTCGCTCTCTCACCGGAAGGCCGAACATGTCTCCAGGTTTTCCGGCAGCAAAGCCCGGCCGGGCCGGCGGTCAGGGCGGGGACATTGTACAGTATGTGGCGTAGGTAGGGGCGCTGAAAGCTGACTCGTAAGGCGTGGGAAAATGGGGGCTTGGGCGAACGGGTCGGCCCGCTGTCGTGTTTGCAGATGGGCGGGTGTGGTTGGCTGGGCTGGAAAATTTGATGTTTGCCGATCTGGTGTCGACCAGGCAGTTTGTCGGACCGATAGAACACAAAGGTACATTACAGCCTCTCTTTATGTCCGGTGGTCACTTTTCAATATCAAGCCACAGACCTACCGTATAAGGGAGCAACTCCGAGCGCATTTAGGGGGGAATAGCAACCTCCTAGCCAATCAATCCTCAAGCCGGCTAAGTACTAGCCCAGAAAAAAGATATACTGGGATTGACTCAGTTTAGCGCTAGACCACCGGACGTGACGGGAGGCTGTATACGTGGAAAGGGGGTTCATTTGTCTATGTGCTCACCCCTACAAGGATGCGAGAGTGGGTCGGATGGGGGCTTTCCATGTGCTGATATCGACGCTTAACACGAGAAGTTTGCGCAATCTTTCGGGTGGAGCAGACCGCCAGACCCGTTCTCTTTCTACTCCGAATAGTGGGCTACGGACTAGCCGGCCGCGAAAACGGTCGAAGGGATCGTTTCCCTGGGTACTGTAAAAGCTTAGATGAGAGATTTCCCAGGTTAGAACCGCAAACCACCATACGCCGTTCCCTTAATATCCTTTCTTGCTTTTTTTGATATTGGAAAAAATAGACATGCATCTACATCTCCTGCATAAACTACTTTATTTAGCTCCGCGGAACGCCGATCCTCGCAGCGCCGGCCAGTCAGCTGAATCGTCGTGGGCTGCGTTTTCGGGGCCCTGCTGGGTTCGGCGTAACTCGAGAAAACTCTCTTCAGATTTCAACCTCGATTGAAATTTTTCTAAAGGGAGGTGGTTTTGGGCAAACGGGGGTTATCCCCGGCAGTTATTTTCAGTTTCACTTTCTAGCGAGAACAGGCTATCCCAGCCCCTATTCAAGGAACCCCCCGCACCGTTATCGCATCAATGGGGGGTGGGCTGGCTCCTTCCCCCCCCCCTGAATTGCCCGAGTCGTGTTCATGGCGAGATGGCGTAACACGACATGACTGTGGACCCGTCAGCGTGGTGCCTGGGAATTTGGGGGCCCGTGGGTGCGGAGATCTCTCCAGGGCGGGCGAGCGGGGGGAGGGAGTCATGATGGTCCGGTTGTGATTCAGTGGACATCAGGAGGGCCCCTGCCGGCCCTTCGAAAGATGAGGTAAGGATTAAGATGAGGTAAGGATTTGGTTGTAGGCAAGTCATAGCCGTTGCTTTACCGGCATAAGCATTGCCTAGAGCTGCATACAAGACGAGGATCCACAGCTTAAGTCATGAATCATCGAGATGGTTGGACCCTGCTTGCGTTCGCGGTGAGGTGACTCGTGAGGCGAGTTGTGAGTCGAGACAGGTGGTAAGCGAGGCATTTTATGTATGTTCATTCTAATGAGGCGATAGGAATACTCCGGCATTGGTCCGAAGATTTGGAAGCGAGACATAGGATCAAACCTCGAACGGCTATGCATACACAGATGGAAGATGGAGGCTTTGGGCGATGATGGATGTCACAATGCCTGGACCCTGTTGGCGTTCGAGGTGAGGCGAGCGACCGTTGACAAGCGAGCTATAGTGAGGCGATACTCCGGCTATTGGCCCGACATCCGGGAAAACAGGATAGTGTCAGATTCGAGTCTGGGAACAGACGGGACGATGTCTCGTCGGTGGAATTACTTGTCTTTGATCCTTGATGCTTCGTCTTTCATGCTTCACTTCACTACCGTATTCGCCTCGAGGGGTGAGAGGTACCTTTGATATGAGAGCCATCCGGGGCCCTAATTTCTTCATGCGGCTCTCAATAAAGCATGTATCTCTTTGAGACAGATCCCAGCTGTTTGCTAAACTGATTTTTCTCGTAGCGTCTAGGCTATACGCGACGGAAGATAAAGGTAGATGCAACAAACGACGTTCGGGCTCTACGGGCTCCCCGACTCCCCGACTCCGGTAGATGCCTGTGCGTGAGGTCTATTCTTTCTTACCTTTCCAGCCTCACTTCCCACTTCCCCCGATTCCTAGTACCTGTCTAGCTCTTCGTCAGCCGCCTCAAGAGATGCGCCACGAGGCCGCTAGTTTTACCGCTATGCAAGTTATCTCCATGCATCATGCTGTCGAGTATGTACGCACGCCATCGCTGGACACGGAACCTTGCGGGCACTTAAAAATGGTGTGTGCTAGCATAGCCCCTACGGACATTAGCGTTTCCCAATATTGTACTTCCCCCTTCCTTACTCCACTAAGGCCGGGACTCGTACCGCGGATGACCTTGAAGATTCGAGACGGAGCCTACCAGGTTTGGCCTGGCAATGTTGTCAAGGAATACGAAAGCTCTACCGCTCAGGGAACTTCCCAAGCGTGCTGGGATCGGCTTCTAGTCTCGACAACCCGCGACCCCCGTGACCCTGGAGCTTGTCGTGAGGGTGTTCTTCGGCGTGGTTGACGAACGACGCGCGCGCGAGGGGTATGGTGTGGGACGAGGACGAGACGGCCTGTCCATGCAAGACAGCTGTCTGCTCATCGCGGAAGCTTGCGGGAGCTTATGCGAGGAATCTGGTGCCACTGTTCCGTGTGCGTGGCTTGATTGGTGTGGGATGTGAGGTGAGGTGGATGGGTTTGATACGACGTAGCACTGAGGCTGATTGGATGTCGCTGCTTTAGTAGCGGGAGTTTGCGTGGCATGTGAAAATGGATCACGAGATCTGGAGGAGCATGTGAACGTGGTGGAGGGATGGGAGGGCGAGATATGGAGAACGGGATGGACTAATGCGGGCTATTGAAGGGGGTTGATGTCTAATATGTGTCTCGGAACGCACGATACCTGGTAGTGTGGTGCCCGAGTCAACTCAGCCTTGATCGCCACAAACGTGAGGAGGCTAAGTACCATCGCTGCGACTATCAGACGGACCACCAAGCTCAGCATCAATACTAGAATCGAATCGCCAAACTCAGTCCAACTGGGTAAGCATATCGCAACTCTCAAAGCAGCCAGACGAGGTAATTCTAGGCGACTCTCCCATGCTTTGGTGAAGATATCCACGCTTTCTTCTTCGTCGTGATCGTCCTCCAGTAAATCCCGTGCAAGCAAGCCAGGCTTGGAGGATCCCCTTTCCGTTTCCTCTAGTATCCTGGCGTCAGCGGCTTATTCTTCAGGTCCGGTTTTTAGGACCAGCACTAAGACCGGGGCCGAGGTTTTTCGAGTATTTCCCTGGTTTCCTTCATGCAGTTCGGACCTTTTTGAGCCCAGCGCTAAAAGTCGGGACATGCAGCAGACAGAAGCTTACAGGATCTTCCCCATGCAGATCGAAGCTCCGCGCTCCTATGTACAGTAGCTTCAAGGCCCGGCCTTAGCTGCCGGTGATACCACACTACCGCTTGGCACCCAGTACGCTGACTGGTGAACCCATAGGTGGGAAAGCTAGGGTGTGCTGCACTCAGCCGTACATATCAACAATAGAAGCAGGAGGTTGACGACGTACATAGAGGCGCGGCATGCAAGGTAGTGTTCTTTCGGACTGATTAAGGAGTTTGTTTTGCCTCGGCCCAAAATAGAGTTTGAATAGTACGGAGATAGAGTTTGGAGATTCCTCGGAGGGTCGGGGGGTCGGATGGTCGTTGTGGATGAGGAAGTTTAAAGTTGACGAGGTGGCGTATGTTGGTTGCAAGTAGTTAGATGTACAAGCGCGACAGATGTATGGAGATCAGGTCGCAGGAACCGGTAGAGGGTGATGAGTGCCGAGAAATACGTGCGGTGGAGGGTCCCAGAAGTGGACTGGGGGCCTTGACAAGCTCGTGACAAGTCGAAGAGCGTATGGAGTACTGGTATATCTACAAACAAGGTAACTTTCTGCTTGTAGCCTTCAATCCGGATCTTCCCCTACTTCATTTGAGACCGGCATAAACCGCTATCCATATTGTTAACGATCAGGTGGAGCACGGTATGTAACATAGTAACTCCAACTTGGACCATTTACAGAGACGGACGCCGAGCATCAAAAAGGCAATATTCACCATATTCACTTGCATCATACCTCATAGAATTTGAGAAGTGCCTTTAGATCGCTAATGGTCTGAACAACTTTCGGAAAAGAAGCGGTAATGCTGAAAAGACGTGAAGAAAACTAGATGGGATATATCTATCCAATGCTCTAAAGTAGGAGAAAAGCACAAGATGTTCGTCCACCTGAAATCTTACGAAGAAGTATTTATTGTTGTGGTCGGTCCTGTCACGGAACAAGGTGCTGTAGGCCGTGTACGTGATGTATTGGATGATGATGATGGAGAAGAGAGAGAGGTCTGGAGGAAGGTGAGGCTATATACAAGAGGTGACACATGCCTGCTGTAGCCCTCACCGCTACTCCCTGACAGCTCATTCGTCCAGTCAGCACGATATTCGTCCGATCAGCACATTATGCGGCTCATTTAAACAACAGATACGCGGATTAGTGACTTGACGTAGAAATACGGGTCACTGTGGAGGCGTGTTGTGCGAGAGGTTGACGAGGTGGAGAGTATAAAAGGCGAGCTGCGAAGGTGTAAAAAGTAGGAAAACGCAGAATCGACAGACATTCTACTTTTAATTGACGGATAGAGCATTTTCATGTTGAAAGGAAAGCATTGCTAGGGAATACTGCAAGATGTCTACCATTGTCGCAGTCGCAGGCGGATCGAGCGGTCTGGGACGCACAATCGTGGACGCCTTGAAGGCAGATGCTCGATATGAAGTGCTGATTCTCGGGCGCAAGGTATGTACCACCTGCCTTCTCTAAATCCCCTCCCTCACCTCTCCTATGCATAGAAAAATTTCAGCTAACACCACCTCTAAACCAACTCTAAGCTCGAGGAAGAATCCGGCACACGCGTCCTCGCCATCGACTACACGAGCGTAGACGCCCTTGTAGCACTCCTAGAGGCGAATAAAGTAGCGGTCGTAATCTCGACTGTGAACTCGCTCGTGGATACCACGCCCGAGTTCAATCTTATCAAAGCCGCTGCACAGTCACACGTGACGAAGCGATTCATCCCGAATGTGTGGAGTGCGTTAGAGTTCAAGCCTGAGTGAGTGGATGTATTTCCCTGTCTTACATAGTGTTCATGCTTTTCTGACGCGGAGATGAAGGCCTAGATTTACGAGCTTGCCCATCGCAGTGGCAAGGCTCCAAGCCATAGATGAACTGAAGAAGACGAATCTCGAGTGGACGGCAATCTACCCTAGAATCTTCATGGAGTCCTTTGTGCAAGGCATGCCATGGTATCTGACCGTCTACCCGCTCAAAGTCGACATCGAGAATAGCACGGCGGGGCTTCCTGTCAAGGGCGAAGGACTCATTTCTCTGACGTACTCGCGCGACATCGCAAAGTATGTCGCTTCACTCCTGGGATTGGAGAAGTGGGAGCAATCGTACTTCATCACTGCGGACGTGAAGACGTGGAATGAAATCGTAGCGGCCGCGGAAGCGGGTAAAGGTGTCAAGTTTAACGTGTCGTACGACTCGATCGAGAAGCTCCAGAAGGGCGAGGCCACCGAATTGCCAAGCTATACAAAGATATATGAAGCATTTGGCGGGAGGGAAATCGCGAAACCAATTGTGCAAGCGATATTTGCGCAGTATGGGCTATGGATGGACGAGGGGTTGTTCAACTACAAGGGTGGAACGTTCTTGAATGATTTGTTTCCAGAAATCAAGCCATTGAAGCTGGATGAGGCGTGGGAGAAAGCTGGTGGGAAAGCTTGACTAGTTACAGGATTAGCCTGTTGGTCTCGGAGCTGAAGGCAGTTTTGCGGATACAGCTTGTTCCGCTCCGCCCACTTCACTCTCCCGTAAACAAGAGCCAGTGCTCCAGGGATCCCCAGACCAGGCCAGGTTCAACTCCGCGGGGCTAGAAATGGTTTGCTAATGCGACTCAATCTCGACTTATCTAGGTAGGGTCCGCACAACCAAGTTTAGCCACAGCTGCCTCGAGTGGGGACCCCGTGAAGGGAGAGTGCTATGAGCATACAAAGGTATTGAGATTTCCTTAAGATGCATCAAGACGTCCCTAGATGCGTTTTAACGGTTCTGATTCTAGGCTGGCTATAGAGAAGAATCCAATTCTGACCTGAAATCAGCACTGGACCGTTCATCCTATGTGCCTAGGTAGGCCGACAGTCAAGCTTGGTGTGGCTTTCGATTTTCGCCGACGATCTCCAAATCGAGTTGCATGCATACACAGACTGTTTATCTGCACTTTTTATGCACTTCTATACTACTATTTTCTTTCCGTGTAGATTCCTCTAGACTTGTAGACAAGCCGAGCCCGTAATAAAGGGTGGGGAAAGACTTATGGACTCCCCCACTCTTGATAGTATCGTAAAATCAATGGCGCCGATATTGGAAAACTAAACCATCGCGCCTAACTCGGACCACGTTATATCGAAACTGAACAACATCTTTGGCGCTGAGACTTGAGCCCATTCGCCTTATTCTTAGCCGACATGTGGCGTCTCTTCAGCACATCTTCCTCGTCGCCTGAAAGCACAGCTAAGCCTCCGCCCGTAAGGAGCATTCCAGCATCATGGCATCGCTCTGAGCCAATGTATCAACTCGAGCGTCGGGCAATCTTCTCCAAAAAAAAAAAGGATTCTGGTCACTCATTCGTTAAGATTCACTGCTACCGGTGACTACATTACATTCATCCACGCGACCTTCTCCTTCTTTCTGGTCCGGGACCGCGACGGGAAGATCAACGGTTTCCATAACGTGTGCCGTCACCGAGCATTCCCGGTGGTGCAGACTCGCTCAGGGCCGGCCAAAATCCTGAGCTGCAAGTACCACGGATGGTCATACGGGTTAACGGGAAACCTGACGAAGGCTCCAAGATTCGACACCGTCGAGAAGTTCGACAAAAGCCAGTATAACCTGCTATCTATCCACGTCTTTGTGGATAAAGCAGGATTCGTGTGGGTGAACCTGCAGGCAGGCGAGCCAGAATCGAAGTGGGAAGACGAGTTCAAAGGGGTCGATGAGCAGCCAGCGTTGCAAGAGTTCGACTTCGCCAAGGAGTTCACCTTTGGTCACTACTGGGAGATGGACGTGGATGCTAACTGGAAGAGCTTAATTGACAATTACAATGAATGCTACCACTGCCTCACATCTCATCCACTCATTGCAGGCGTTTCTGACCTGAACGGGTATCGGGTTGAGCCGATCGCAGGACATATGCAGCACCACATTGTCAACAAGAATAAAGACAACAAGCAATTCCGGCGGAGTATCACATTCTTCTATCCGGACATTTCAGTAACGGTGACGTAAGTTCCGGACAGATATTGCACTGCATATTTGATAGCTGACTTTGGCAGTGAGCACTTTTTCTATATCCAACGAATGATACCTGTCACAGCAACAAAAAGCAAGATCGAATGCGAAGTTTATCGGCATAAGAACGCGACCGATGAAGAGTTCGGCAACATATGTGCGTTTTATAAGCAAGTCCTCGACGAAGACAAACAGCTTTGCAATGCAGCCAAGGAGAATTTGAACTCGGGCGTATTCATCAACGGCGAACTCCATCCCGACAAAGAAAAGGTAAGACTTCGTCGGCTGGCCGACTTTTGAATAATACTAAATGACGGCTTCACAGGGTCCGATACATTTTCAAAGTACGGCTAGAAATGATCTCATGAGCCACCGAAAGACAGAGGAGAAAGATGGGTTGAAGGAGATATGGCCGGCGATGCCACGCTTAGTAGGAGAAATGAAGACGGACAAGTTGGAGGAGGAGGAGATGTTCTGCTCTCAGTTAGAAGCATCAAGCTGTGCATCGAAGTCAGAATTAGCCTGGTAGTTCCTTGCAGAACCCGCAGCTCAAAGACCAATGATATATAAGGGCTCGCAGCAAGGTGTGTGCTGCTGTAAATGCCCCTATTCTAGACCGGAGCCACAAACATGATCATAGTATAGCATTATACAGACCAGTCGTGCAAGTATCCGGTCGATGCTCCTAATACAGGGACTGAGTACGCAAAATTGACAACGTGCTTGAAGTGATTCATACTTTTGTTCTCAGTCTCAGTGAGCCCCAATCAGGCTCATCCGTCATTTACTCCGGCATCTACGACTTCAATACTGATTACTTCCACGTATTTATAAACACCTGATTTTGCCTCATTACTTGCTTCTTAGGTATGTACTATTTCATACTACATACATCGTAGCTGCATATATCATTCCGTAATGATTGATATAACCTTATGTGCCAGTCAATCTACTTCATACAAGGCTAGCTTCGAGCCAGCTAACACTGACGATATTTGAAGGCAGCTCCTCTCAACCCGCTGCCGTCAAACACTTCACGCCACCGACCAACTCTATATAGCCGCAATCCCATGCGTCTCAAACGGCAGCAAGAACGAAATCAACCCAACCGCAATCCACATAGCTCCGCTCACATAGATCGGCACCACCGAGAAGTTCGTATAAGTGCCAATAAGACTCGCGCAGAGCCCTCCAAGCCGCAAAAGCGTAGCCGCCAACCCCGTCCCAAGACCGCGCGTTGGTGCGGCGAATGACTCCGGGGTGAAGGCGTACATGATGGCGTATTCTGGTAAAGATCTCTGTTAGCAGACGTTCGTCAAGGGAGGGAATAGCAGGTTGTTGAGAGGAAAGGAGAGGGGGCTTACCAAAGTTTCCCCAGAGGCCAATGACGCATGAGAAGGCCAGATTGGCCGTTGGGGTTCTTGCGGCCGTGTATGCGAAGAGGAATATGCCGGTGATGATGGCCGAGAGCCCCATCATGTGACGGCGGCCGAGTCTCGTCTGCACTAGTACTGCGGCAGAAAGCGGGCCAAGAACACCAACGGCAGACTCAATGCAGTAGTTCGATAGGTGATGGACAGTGAGTCGTTCTCGGTGAACTTCTGAGCGAGGTAGGTGGGGAGGAAGTTGAAGTAGAGCGGGTAGGCTATGCCAATGGTCAACCAGATGAGCCAGATGAGAGAAGTGTGCTGAGATAGCCTCTTGGTCGCGAAGAGGGTTTTGAAGTTTGTGGATTTGAAGTCCGCCAGGTTCTCCTTGAGGATTTGCATGTGCGAGAGGCCCTGTCGGCCAGTCTCCTCGGGGTTGACTGCGGCTCCGATTTCGAAGTCGATTTGCTGGAGCATGGCTAGACTCAAGGGCTCTGGCTTGCCGTTCCGTCGTGCGACGTAGTTGACGGCTTCTACAGCTTCTGCATCGCGGCTCTTGCTGAGGAGGTAGCGAGGAGATTCTGGCATCTTGAATATGAACATTCGGATGAATGCAAATGAAAGCGAGAGTGCGCCGAGAGTGAACATCACATATCGCCTGTGTGAGAGAGATCTCAAGTCAGCAAAACGTCGTTGACTTGAGCAAGGAGAGGTCTCACTATCCCATGTTGTCCTTCTTTTGGCACGTACCGGGCTCAGCGTCCGCAGAGCACGAAAAGTGTGCGATGAACACCCAGCCAACCAGAGACACAATGACTTGTCCGAAATTCCACCAGGCAGATAGCGCAGTCAACAAGTACTGGTGTGAGCCTGGAACAAACTCAAGGAAGATCATTGAATCAACAGGAACATTTCCTCCTGCTGCTGTGCCGATAATGGCCCAAACGACGCAGAAGCCAACGAAGTGATCCAAGGCGCCAATGACAAGGCCGAAGATGCCGCCGATCAAGAGAGTCATGTTGAATGCGGGCTTTCTGCCAATGAAATCTGCGGAGATGCCCCAGAACGACGCGCCGCAGATGAGGCCGGCATAGTACGCGATTGAGCTGAAGCTTACCCGGGTGACATCTGTAAATTCGACCTTGACGGCAGGTTGAATGGTGCCGATGCCTTGGGACCAGCTGGGTTCTTCAAGTCAGTACATTCTTCTTCAAGTCGCTCAGAGTTACTTACAAGTTGTCCGTGATCCAGCCAAAGCCAGTGACAACGAAAAGTTCCCATTGGTATGGTCCCATGCCAATCTTTTCCATGCACTTGCCGACAAGCTCTGACTTGAGGCGGTAGGATTCAGTGATTGAATCTCCATAGAACTCTCGGTTACGCGCATCGTCAAGCTTCTCTGTGGTTCCGATGTATTGAGAATCTTCTCTGGATGGTGGTCGAGCAATCTCTTCGTCGAGTTTCTTTTTGGTAGACATCCTGGAAAGATACCAATGAATCTAGTCACTGTGCTTTATGGTATGAAGGAAATGGGTGGAGTCCGCTGGCAGAGAGTCTGAACTCCTCGACCTGATGAATTGAGTATATAGCAAGGGGGAACATTAAAGCTTGTTTAAGAAGCTGGTACACGAATTCTAGAAACACATTTCTCACCCACTCATGAGCGCTACCAATCCGAACGCCGGATTAACATCGTTAACGAGATGGTATGATACCAGGCAAAGAAACCTTACATATCGCTATATCTTCAATTGGCCCCCTCTCGACTGATAAGATAGCCGCCGGAAGTCTAGACATCGACCTTTTCTAGAAAATGGGGGACTCAATGACAGGCTCAACAGATGTAAGCATGAACCCACCTGCAGATGCACTAATTTTCCGAGGCCTTCAAAGGTGGGATGGCTCAGCCAAGGCTCAGCCAATCTCTACACAGGGGTTGGAAAGACCCGAGTATATAGACAATATATAGATGGAGCCGCACCATGCGGAACTACCGCTGGGTTTTGTAGCTGAACTTGGTAAAGCGCTAACTGTGGCCACAGGTAAATTCCACGGCAACGTGATGTAGCCTATGGGATTCCATGCCTGCCATCAGGAACTCCCGAGGCAAAGCCGAGATCAATCGATCCATCTTATCTCAAAGATCCCCGTAGAAAGCATACCAATCTAGCCAGACTGATAACGATCAGTATAGGTTATATATACGATGAATTTAAAGAGCTGGCCGATTTTGAAGTCACACAAGAAAACCACGGGTTGTAGACTTTATCAAACGCTCACCTTCGACTGCGCCTTGCAGATAAAATACATGTTCATAAAACTGTGAATATCCCTCCGTATTCACCAACTCGCTCAAATCCTCCAAACTGAGAAAAGCTTCGCTGGCAAGCCGAAGTGTCTTGAGTGCATTGGAGCATAGAAAAGTGTGAATTGAATTGAAGGCCTAAGGGAAATCAAAGTGCCGCCAAAGCCAATGTGAATCCGTACTCCATTTACGAAAAAGGTGGATCAGTTCTCATGAATCCTTCTTCTCTTCATTTGCGTCATCTTTCTGGTCATCCTTTTCTTCTCCTTCCTCGTTCTTCTCTTCACCACCCTCCTGGCCATCCTTCTTATCCTCATCCTTACCGCTTTCATCATCTGACTCTCTTTCAGCAGCTTCGTCTTCCTCTACTTTCTTGCTCTGGATGAGCTTCTCCTCCTCTTGTTCTTCGTCAAAGGTCAACTTCCTAAGCGTCGCAATCTTGTCCGTTCCACCGTGCTGTCTTTGTACTCGATCGGCAACCTCTCCTCGCCCAATCAGGCTGACGACAATACTGGCACCCACAATGAATGTGAGCACAAAGCGGTAAGTGTTGTACCATGGTGGAGTCCAGCCACGGTATGCGGCACGAGTGTCTACATAGTATAGACTGGTAAAGGCTAGGAACTGCGTAATGAGGGCGTATTCGACGGGCATGAGAATAGTAGGCCAGGCGACTGCAGGTGCTACCACGCCAATGGCATATCGCCGGTATCCTTGGTAACCACCATAGCCTGCGAATTCGAGGCCCCAATGGATGGCGCCTAGGAAAGAAATGATCTGGGCCAACCTCAGTATTTCTACGTATGTACTGAATTTTGATTCAAAGTTGTTCTTACCACTGCGCCGTAGCCAACCTGTAGTGGTTCCAGGACGTGAATCAAAGCCTCAGCAGTCTCATGCGATAATAGAAGTCCCGTTCCATGTTCCGTTGCGTTGGTGATTTCCCACGCGCAGAAAACGGTTGAAAGAGATGTTGCTAGGTACGGCAGTACACCGGCCAGACCAATATAGAAGGCTTGTGGCGGGACGTCGGAGAGAGAAAACGTGTCTTTTACAGTTTTCTAAGGTCGTTGTTTAGCTGGGCTCTCAAGGGTCACAACAAGCATCGTCGCTCACTAGGTCGCCCTTGATACCAGCCATCATGTCCACATCGCGCTCAGGATCGGGAGTCGCAATTTCATGCAAGATTGGATGTGTGCTGGACGTTGCTGATACAGTCTCTGGAGTTGGCTTGATTTCTTGATGAGCAAGCTTCTCCTCGTGTTTCTTGTCAATCTTGTCCCAAGGAGTATTGGTGACGGAACGCTGAAAGATGGCAGCTTGTAAAGGCTTCAATTGTGCAAGGGCCAGGGATTGGGGCCGTTTGGAGCTTATTGTGCACATTCGCGAGGTCCATTGTGCTGGAGAGGCTGTGAATTGAGGTTTTCGTATAGAGAAAGATGCTGGAGATTTGAGCGATCGCAGCAGGGTCCGCGAAGCTCCGTTGCGAAGCATTATTGCAACGGTGAAATTGAGCCTGTGATAGAAGAGGAGAGTCAATTGCGGCCAGCAATGGCATGCAAGACGGAGATGGGAGTCGCGAATGGCATATGAAGACGCGGCGAGCTCGGGGGCACAGGGGAGCTTGCTTCACAGCTGCGGTTGCCAGGAACGACATCATGACGTAGTGATGTCCCGAGCGCAGTGGCTGCTGCCAAGATACTGTCACGTGATGAGCACCGACCTCTCGGAGAAATGAGAGGGAACTCGCAGGAGGAGACAAGTGACAGATGCAGTTCCCGCCAATTAGATTTTGGAATCTATGGAAAGAGTGAAGAAAGACGGAGACTGATGAACTTCGACCTGCTCAGCGACGACGTGCCACGGGAATAGTTCCACCTCTCGCCGTGGAGTGAAGCCTGGTGAAGTCTGGCGAGACTTGCTGTTACCTGACAGCCTCACAGCCTGACATATCGAGTGAGGTTACAAGCTGCGACGTCAGAAGTGTGAGCCGAGCCTACCACGTCGCAACCTGGCGATGAGTTTTTTGGTGGGGTTGCCGCGCCCCGCCACGGCCGGGAAGGCTGGAGGGCACGATGAAAGTGGCACATTCGTGAAACACTCTGTTTTGTGCAGCCTTGTGACAGTTGCCTACTACTGCCTGAAGTGCTTCAATGGGTTTCCACAGAGTCCAAGTGAACAGCTGCTCTCTCTTTCAGAATCCGGAAAATGTATTGGAGCAACCCAAGCAGCGGCGGACAGGTGTACACACGAGACAGCTCCAGCGCCTTCTAGAATTAGAGTGCCACATTTTCCATGCCCGCGTCGGCTGGAGGGGCAACGGTGACGAAAGGGCCGCCCAGCACAGCATTCAGGCACCGTCTGTGCCGTGGAAGGGCTGTTTGTGCCCGAGTTGAGGGCGGCCTGGCCAAGCTATCGCAGGCCAGCAAAGCCCTTTGGCTGCGTTTGTGTCAACTGTGTGCTTGGTACTGTGGAGGCTGCAGCCGCCAGTCCCGTCGTGCCCGTCGCTGCGAGAAAGCGCTGGATGGTGGTGGAAGCTGGTGGTTGGCACTCGGACCACGTCGAAGCTTCTAGCAACAGTGATCGAAAAACCCACAAAGACTTCAAAAGGCCACCACGGCCCAGCTCTCCATCTTCTTTCACGCACTTCTCTCACCTGCACTCTACACGAAGCTCGACTTTTGCAGAGCACGCACAGCACTCACCACTACTTTGATACCCCAAGCCCTACTGTTACCCTCGAGTCCACCCTACACAACCGCAGCTATGGCCCCAGCTATCGGCATCGATTTGGGCACCACCTACTCGTGTGTGGGCATTTTCCGTGATGACCGCATCGAAATCATTGCAAAGTAGGATTCTCCAGCCTCTTTATTCTTTTGGCTATGTACTGACTCTCTACAGTGACCAGGGAAACCGCACCACCCCGTCGTTCGTCGCCTTCACTGACACGGAGCGTCTGATTGGTGACTCGGCGAAGAACCAAGTCGCCATGAACCCCTCCAACACCGTTTTCGACGCAAAGCGCCTGATCGGCCGCAAGTTCGCCGATCAGGAAGTGCAGGCCGACATGAAGCACTTCCCCTTCAAGATCATCGACAAGGGCGGCAAGCCTGTCGTCGAGGTTGAGTTCAAGGGCGAGAACAAGACTTTCACACCCGAGGAAATCTCGTCCATGATCCTCACCAAGATGAGGGAAACCGCCGAGTCGTACCTCGGAGGTACCGTCAACAACGCCGTCGTCACAGTCCCCGCCTACTTCAACGACTCGCAGCGACAAGCCACCAAGGATGCCGGTCTCATCGCTGGCCTCAACGTCCTCCGAATCATCAACGAGCCCACTGCCGCAGCCATTGCCTACGGCCTGGACAAGAAGACCGTCGGCGAGAGGAACGTTCTCATCTTCGACTTGGGAGGAGGAACCTTCGATGTCTCTCTCCTTACCATCGAGGAGGGTATCTTCGAGGTCAAGTCCACCGCTGGTGACACTCACTTGGGCGGCGAGGACTTCGACAACCGCCTCGTCAACCACTTCGTAACGGAGTTCAAGAGGAAACATAAGCGAGACTTAACCTCCAACGCCCGCGCCCTCCGTCGTCTCCGCACTGCCTGCGAGCGGGCTAAGCGCACCCTGTCCTCGTCTGCTCAGACCTCCATCGAGATCGACTCCCTGTTCGAGGGTATCGACTTCTACACCTCCATCACGCGTGCTCGCTTCGAGGAGCTGTGCCAGGACCTTTTCCGCTCCACCATGGAGCCTGTGGAGCGTGTTCTCCGCGACGCCAAGATCGACAAGAGCTCCGTCCACGAGATCGTTCTCGTCGGTGGCTCCACCCGTATCCCCAAGATCCAGAAGATGGTCTCCGACTTCTTCAACGGCAAGGAGCCGAACAAATCCATCAACCCCGACGAGGCTGTTGCCTACGGTGCTGCCGTCCAGGCCGCTATTCTTTCCGGTGACACCAGCTCCAAGTCGACGAGTGAGATCCTCTTGCTCGACGTCGCGCCGCTGTCCATTGGTATCGAGACCGCTGGTGGTGTCATGACTCCTCTCATTAAGCGCAACACCACTATCCCCACCAAGAAGTCGGAAGTCTTCTCCACCTTCTCCGACAACCAGCCCGGTGTGCTCATCCAGGTTTACGAGGGAGAGCGTGCCCGGACGAAGGACAACAACTTGCTCGGCAAGTTCGAGTTGACCGGCATCCCACCAGCGCCCCGTGGTGTTCCCCAGATCGAGGTTACCTTCGATGTTGACGCCAACGGCATCATCAACGTCTCAGCCCTCGAGAAGGGCACCGGCAAGACCAACAAGATTGTCATCACCAACGACAAGGGCCGTCTCAGCAAGGAGGAGATCGAGAGGATGTTGGCGGAAGCCGAGAAGTACAAGGCTGAGGATGAGGCTGAGGCCGGTCGCATCGCTGCCAAGAACGCCCTCGAGAGCTACGCCTACTCGCTGCGGAACACCATGTCCGACAGCAAGGTCGACGAGAAGCTCGACGCCAGCGACAAGGAGAAGCTCAAGTCTGCCATCGACGGCACCGTTACATGGCTAGACGACAACCAGACCGCCACCAAGGAGGAGTACGAGAGCCAGCAGAAGGAGTTGGAGTCTGTCGCCAACCCCATCATGATGAAATTCTACGGCCAAGGTGGAGAGGGCGGTGTTCCCGGCGGACCCGGTGGCTTCCCAGGAGCAGGCGGCTTCCCAGGAGCCGGCGGTGCCCCAGGAGGTGCCGGTCACGATGACGGCCCTACCGTGGAGGAGGTTGACTAAATTGTCGGCTTTTATTGCTGAATATCTCTTTAGTTCGATTCTTCTTCTGCATAGGTGGATTTTCATGGGTGGGTCTCCGGAGTTTGGAAGAGCTTTCCCATACCTTTTCCCTTTTGCATTTCCTCTGTTCTATCATGACGATTATCATGAGGGTGGAAAAAGTCTGCAAGGATGTACTCTACAGTAATGAGCAGAGATGCATTCAATGAATAACTTATACAATCTTTTGATTCCCAATGATCTTGCAAGTGAAGTGCAATGCCTTGTCATAGAAATCCGTGCACTGGTTTACAGCTGTATGAGGAGCTTCATAGTATTTTCAGCATCTCGAATAGGAGCGAAGTTCGCCATTTTGGACAACTGGTCAACTCACAAGGCTACCCCAGACGGCGTCAACAGGGTGTACGCAGATTGCCCATAGACGGTGGCAGGAAAGTGTAAGGATATCTATGGTAAGGCACTGTGTGTATGATCATGATTTTATACCTTGCCGCTCAGATCGATGATACGGGTTTTGGAGAGATGTGGGATCGCCACATCATGAGAGGCGTGTACAGTGACCTCGTCACAGATCCGTGTACACTTGTCTGCTGCTGCCTGAGGCTCCTCGATGCATTATCACAATTTCGAACGGTGTTGTTTGGAGCAATCGGTGAGCTTGCCAGGCCACATCAGGCAGTAGCTGATGGGAGTACGCACTTAGCTGTGCCGTTCGTCGCTCTAGGTTTCTATGAACATGTTGGAGCACCGCAAGCAGTGGCGGAACAGTGTGCGTGGAGTAATGACGAGATACTGTCTCTCGACTATAGTACAGTATACAACAACCCAACATCGCTTCAAATAGTGTGATAGTACACCGCTCCATCTACCCACCTCTACGCACCTACACCGTTGTCTCTTCTAAACAGCGCTCCTTAACCCTGTTCCCCTTCCCAAAATAACCCTGCTCAGCTTCTATCCCACTCCCGCATCCCTACGCCGCATCAATCGCCTCACTAAACGCCCCCACCACCGGCGCCCTCCTCACCTCCCACACATCCTCGCTGCTCTTCCCCGCCTTGACCCGCGCCGCCTTCTGGCGGTAATGCGCCTGAACGGCCCGCCGTCGCTCCGCCTCGCCGAGCGACTTGCTGCGCATGCAGAACCAGAACTGCGCCCAGTGCTCGCTGCACGAGCGCAGCTCGCCGTAACGGTAGATGTCGTTGAACTTGCCGCCGAGCGACTGGCAGTAGAAGGCGGAGTCGAAGGCGGCGCTGCAGGACATGGAGGAGGGGTAGAGGGATTCGTCGTGGGCCGGATCGAGGGGGGCGGAGCCGTCGGAGGGGGAGGGGTGGAATTTGAGTTTTGAGAGGGCGCCGGGGGTTTGGGAGGGGTTGGGGGAGGTGGTGGTGGTTGGGTTTGAGGGGGAGGTTTCGGCGGAGAGTTCGGCGAGGAAGGCGCGGAGCTCGGCGTCGGCTTGTTCGTCGCGGGTTAGGGCGCGTGGTTTTGGGGAGGCGGGCGCTGGAGGAGGAGGAGAGGTTGATGGGAGTTGTGCAGGCAGTGGTGGTTGTGAGGGTGTGGAGCTCCATAGCCAGCCCATTGTGAGGTTTGATTGATGATCTTGAGGGTGCGGTTTGAAATGTGAGGAGAAGATGTTGGATCGAAGTGGGGGTTGGGCGGTTTCGGGGTGGCTCAATTGCGGAGATGGGTTTAGAAATAAATGTTTTAGATGCGATCTGAGAGGTCACGATGGCGAGAAAGGCGGATGCCAAGAGATTTTCTGCCGACATCAAAACAGTACCTCTGGCTATGATTTCAGAGGGCTGGATAAGCTATAGAGATCTCCTAGGATGGATCTAGGAAGCTGAAGTTTCACTGCTTGCGCTTGTAACCACGTTAGAATAAGTCTTCCACGAAAGGGCCACTTAAGTTACCACAGAAGTACACGCCGCAAAGTTGAACATACCTAGCTGAAAGTATTCGTAACGCCCTTGTACATAGTCTATCCATAAATCAACCCATCGAAGCTTATCCGCCAGCAGTAAGGTGAGAGAGTTGAGAGTTGCAAGAAGATGGTTGATTCCACGTGACAGGCGCGGGACGGAGAAAACACCGACGTCACTCACTTCCCCATTTCAAGATATGGAGAAGGCTGCGTCGAGAAGCCTTTAACCACCAAGGGCGTCCGTGACGCGTACTCCTCTTGCCACTTCTATTTCTGCCTCTTTTCTTCATTCTCTTCTGGACGTGACCTTATTCTATTGACTCGTTCAGAACGATTTGTGGCACAGGGAGGCGTGGGAGAAGCAAGCACGGCGCCCCGCAACGTGTTTACTCCTCATCCACACACCACACGACGCTTCTACGACGCCCTCTCGAACGTCCCTTATGAAGTCACCAAGTCTAACGACGTGACCGCCCTTCGAACCCTTTTCTCCCTCTCGCCCCGGCCCGGGTAACGGCTACCCCTCTGCACGATGCTTGAGGGACTCGTCGCTAACCTGCTCAATCGCTTTCTGGGCATGTATGTTCAGAACTTCGACCCTAAACAATTGAATGTTGGGATATGGTCTGGAGATGTCAAACTACGAAATTTGGAACTCCGCCGCGAGGCTCTGGACCAGCTCCATCTCCCGCTCAACGTCGTCGAAGGACACCTCGGTTCACTCACACTATCGATTCCTTGGTCGAACCTAAGAGGGAAACCACTCAAGGTCAACATCGAGGATGTCTTCCTTTTGGCGGCACCGAAAGAAGACGCGGAATATGACGCGGAGGAAGAGGAGCGGCGAGCACATGCAGTGAAGATGGAGAAGCTCGATAGTGCGGAGCTGTTGAAGGAGAGGAATACCGAGGGCATGAGCCAGGAAGAACTGCAGAAGAACCAAAGCTTCACAGCCAGTATGGTTACTGCTATAGTTGACAATGTCCAAGTCAGCATCAAGAACATCCACATTCGATACGAGGATTCCATCTCGGACCCTGGTCACCCTTTCGCTCTCGGTATTACTCTCGAAGAGTTCAGCGCCGTTAGTACCGACGAGAACTGGACCCCGACATTCATACAAGGCTCGTCGAGCTCGACACACAAGCTTGCAACTTTAGGGTCGCTGGCGGTATACTGGGATACAGATACGGAACTCTTAGGCACTGGAAAAGGAACCCAAGACAAGGATGAGCAAGGTGTTGATCATAGTGATTTCATCGAGAAATTCCGGGATATGATTGTTAGGAGCGACAACCCCAAGGTCGGAGACCATCAATTTATCTTGAAGCCTGTTAGTGGTCGTGCAGGGCTGGAGATGGATAAGACTGGCAAATCAGATAGGCCAAAGATGAAGGCTCGCCTGTTATTCGACGAGCTCGGTTTCATCATTGATGAAGACCAGTATCGAGATGCCCTAATGCTTGTGGATCTTTTCCATTATTTCATCAGACACCAAGAATACAAAAAGTTTCAACCCAAATCGTCCCCCAAAGAAGACCCCGAAGGCTGGCTACGGTTCGCTGGAAAGGCTGTTCTTGACAAAATCCATGACAAGAACCGGAAGTGGAGCTGGGACTACTTCAAGGAGCGCCGAGATGATCGAGTACGCTACATCCAGCTCTTCAAGAAGAAGAAAAAGGAAGAGAAGTTGACGCCTGCGGAGATCGAAGAGCAGGACAAACTAGAGAGGAAGCTTACCTACGAAGACCTTCGTTTCTGGCGCTCTCTGGCTCGAAATGAACTCCGTAAAGAGAATATCGGCGTCAAGAAACCGCCACCCAAGCAAACGTGGACCCAGTGGGCGTGGGGATCCAAACCTCAAGAACAAGCCGACGATGATACTCAAATGTCCGAGCAACAGCGAAAGGAGCTATACGATGCAATTGACTGGGACGAAAAGAAGAACATCACTGAAGCGGTAGATATGCCGAAAGAGTATGTTCGGATAGAAGTCAATTTGAGTCTGAGGACTGGCAGCTTCACCCTCAAGAGGGATCCACATGGCAAGAAAACTGAGATTCTACGGCTTCTATTCGATTCCTTTACGACTACCGTCTTGAAGAGGACAGACTCTATGTTCGCCAAAGTCAGCCTTGAGGGGATGAGGCTCTACGACGGGACAACCGAGGGCAGCCTTTTTCCGCAGATCATCACCATCAAAGACGCTCCTCCAGTTCCAGATGAGAAGCGTTTCGAAGAACTCAATGACGACGAAACATCGAAAGAGGATGGGGAAGACGAGGAAGAAGCTGAAGATCCATTCTTCCAGCTATCTTTCGAGCAGAACCCTCTCGATGGTAGTGCGGACACTGCTCTTACCATGAAGCTCGAGGGCATGGAAATCGTCTACAACCCAATCTTCGTTGTCGAAGTAGCCAAGTTCTTCAAGCCTCCAGAACGACATATGGAGTCCATTGGTGCCCTTATGGAGACTGCTGGTGCGACTGTAGAGGGCCTCCGGCAGCAGACTCGCGCCGGTCTGGAATTCGCACTGTCTGAGCACAAAACTATCAACGCTCAGTTGGACCTTCAAGCACCTCTGATCATCGTCCCTGATTCCGTCACCGAGGCTTCAAGCATTTGTCTCATATTGGATGCGGGTCACGCCAGTGTAACCAGCGAGCTCGTCGACAAAGACACCATTCGAGATATCCAGTCAAAACAGAAACAGCAATACACCGAAGAGGACTTCAAACGACTAGAAGGATTGATGTATGACAAGTTCTTATTGAAGCTGGAGTCTACTCAAGTCCTGATAGGCACTTCCATCGAGGAGACTCGTGCCCAACTAGACGACAATTCAGCTTCCAAAGATCTTCACATCATTGACCGTATCAATATGGACTTCAAGATCGAGATCTGTATCGTTCCCAAAGCGTCAGACCTGACTAAATTCCGCATATCCGGAAATCTCCCAGTGCTTCATGCCTCGGTATCTGATGCAAAATACAAAAATCTCATGAAGCTCATAGACGTAGCCATCCCCAAGTTCGACGACGATGAGCCAACTAAAGAGGTTATCGATGGCGCGAAAGGGCCTTCGAACCCCAAACCTACAAGCACAGGGCGAGATGAAGGACCATTGGGCCGTCAAAGGTCAAAGTCCTTCCAATTCGCGGCTCAAGAGCATGCGCTTGTCATGGACGAAGAGGGCGATAATTCGGGCGACGAACACTTCGAGAAAGCAACCGAGAGCAAATCGCCGGCCGAAGCTGCTTCCCACCAACGGAACTTCGAATTCAATTTCACTGTCGACAAGCTCCAAGGCTCCTTGTACAGATCCGATCCTGAAGGCAAAAAGCCAGATCAACTTCTAGTCGAACTCGTTGCGGAACACTTCTTCCTGGAGTTCTACCAAGCGCCCTTCGAAATGGCGGCGGAGGTTCGTCTCAAAACCCTTGCTGTAGAAGATCATGTTGAGGAGAATCCTCTCCCTGAATTTCGCAACATAATTTCTTCCGAGGATTCGGACTCATCTACACAAAAGGACCTGTTCCAAGTCAAATTCTTCAAGGTCAACAAAGATTCTCCCGAATTCATGTCAAAGTACGAGGGCATCGCAACAAACCTGGACGTATCAGTTTCAACCATCAATCTGATCGTTACCCGCAAGACTTTGCTGACTTTGCTTGATTTCGTGTTGATAACTTTCACAAACCCGGGAGCAGAGTCAGATCAGAAGCAAGCGGCCATAAAGGAAGCGGAACGACTGCAAGCGACAGAAGCCTCGCCTGGAGATCCTGACAAGATTCGCATCAAAGCTGATTTGAAGCGGATTGCTGTCATTCTCAACAACGACGGAATCCGGCTCGCAACTTTGAGCTTGAACTCCGGCAATGTTGGAATCTTCCTTTCAGGAAAGTCGATGCGCATTGGTGGCCGGCTTGGAAACCTAAATCTTGTGGACGATATTAACCAAGGGGTATCCGCAGAATCATCCCTCCGCCAGCTTGTAACGATCGAAGGGAAAGACCTCGCTGACTTCAGCTATGAGACATTCGATGAGGAGTCTGAGGCGTACCCTGGCTATGACTCTTCCATAATACTGAAAGCTGGGTCTATCAAGATCAACTTCCTTACCGAGCCATTCCGGAAGATCATGGAGTTCGCCGTCAAGTTTGGCAAGATGCAGGCCATCTTCAACGCTGCGCGTCAAGCAGCTGCGAACCAAGCGAGCCAGATTCAGGAGAGAGCCAACAAGATGCATTTCGACATCGTCATCAGCACGCCCATTGTGGTATTCCCCAGAATGGTCATCAGTGACAAGGCGGACCGGGACACTTTGACCGCAAATCTTGGAGAGATCTATGCGAAGAACAAATTTGTTCCTGTGGACGACTCTAAGTCTTCTGATGTCGCAAACAAGCTATCAGCCGGTATCAGGCACATAAAGCTGACCTCCAATTTGCATTACGGAGATGACCAGTCCGAAGAGCTCCAACTGATCGACAAAGTTGATCTGGACTTCAACCTTACCATGATTGATCACAAGCCCGGATTAGAAAGACCGGATCTTGAGATTGAGGGCTCAATGTCGGATCTAAATCTCAAGCTTACACAAGAGCAGATGAGGCTTATGTTGGAGCTTGCTAGGTCTGTCCCAGCAGCCTTCGCTACCGAATCGGACGCCGTCATAGAGGATGATCTGCAGCACGAGCTACCAGATTTCACAACGGAAACTGCTAAAGAGTTCACCGACGATGGGCCAGACTCTGAAGAAGACACTGGGAAGGTCGTTTCAAGCCAAGGCCCTGAGTTGCACACTGGTGATGACAAATGGACCAAACTCGACTTTATCTTCAAGGTCGGCACAATTGGACTGGAGCTCATCAAGGCCAAAGAAGACGAGCCTGTTGGAGACCTCGAAGCAGCAAGCCTTTCCAAGTTCTCGCTAAATGAAACGAACGTCAAGCTACGAATGATAAGCGATGGTGCTCTGGAGGCCGAGCTCCTCGTGCAGTCCTTTACTATCAGAGATAGCCGCACCCAGGAAACCAACAAATTCCGCAAAATCATGTCTCTCATCAACAACGATGTCAAGCAGCAGTTCATGGCCAGCGTGTCGATTTCTGGGGGCACCGAGAACAACTTGATTGCAATTCTTACTATCGACAGCCCTCGAGTGATCCTGGCTCTCGATTATCTATTCGCTCTCCAATCTTTCATCACCTCCGGTCTCGAAACCGAGGAGCCCTTGGCGATTGAAGAAGAATCGGAAGATGATGGTCACGATGCTGACAGTACTTTGAGTGCGCATTCAGGGGACCTTGCTAGGCCCACTCGTGATGTCAAAGCTGAGTCTACAGGAGAAGAAGATTCTGGGATGAATATCTCTTTCCGAGTCAATCTCGTAGATGCGCAAGTTGTGCTTATTGCTAACCCTGCTATCATCAGCTCCGAAGCCATTGTTCTGGGCACGAAGCAAGTCCTCGTATCAAAACAACAAGCTATGACGCTGCAGGTGGACAAAGTCGGAATGTTCCTTTGTCGCATGGACAGATTCGACGATAGCAGACTGAGGATCCTTGACGACTTCAGCATCCAGACGTCTCTGGACATGCGGTCTCAAGGCACAAAATCATCTCTCACTAGCATTAGCGTCGACATTGAGCCTCTTATACTCCGGCTGTCGCTTCGAGATATCTTGCTTGCCATGCAAATCGTCAGCCGTGCTTCGGAGATGTCAGCCAACGATGGAGAGAAGCCAGGTAGCCAAGAGCCACAGAAAATCAAAGAAATCGCTAGTTCCGGTGCAAAGTCTGCGAAGGGAACAACTGTAAAGAAATCAGCGAAGGCGATTTCTACTACGAAGACCGCAAAGCGATCTAGCCGGCAAGGTCTACCAGAACCACCGCCACGACCGACCGGCTCAGCTGTCATCAAGCGCGAGGAAATGAAAGTCAATATCGAAGGAATCCGCGTTGTTCTTATCGGTGACCTCCATGAGCTTCCTATGCTGGACTGGAGAGTGAAGAGATTTGGCGTCGAGGTCAGAGACTGGTCCGGAGCGATGACAGCCGACACCAGTCTGGAGACTTTATTCAACATCTACAACTTCTCCAAATCCGCCTGGGAGCCTCTTGTTGAGCCCTGGCAATTAGGGTTCCACATGTCGAAAGAACAAAATCCCGACAAGCTCTCTGTGGAGCTCTACTCAAGAAAGTCCCTGGAGCTGACAGTAACATCTGCCACCATTGCACTAGCTTCAAAATCTGCAGATTTCCTCTCGTCTGAAGAAGACATCTTGTCTAAGCCCAGAGGTACCGATGCGCCATACAGAATTCGCAACTACACAGGCTTTGATATCAATGTCTGGTCTGAGGCTCGAGATGATCAAGAAGGTTATGCTGCCAAACTTGCCGACGGAGAAGAACAACCTTGGCGCTTCGAAGATCCTTCTGCTACGAGAGAGAGCTTGTCCGCAGAGGGAGCTACTGGTGTCGTAGGCATCAAGCTAGAAGGCAGCGGCTTTGACAGCATTGCTCGCGTTCCGGTACATCGCGAAGGCGAACAGCTTTACAATCTCAAGCCCAAGAAGGACCGCGTACAGCATCGCCTTCTTGCGGAAGTTACCCTCGGAGCGGACAACGTGAAGTACATTACTTTCCGGTCTCCTCTTCTTGTGGAGAACAACACGCAGATCCCTATAGAGCTGGGCGTCTTCAGCTCAGAAGAGGGCCATCTGCTAAAAATCGAGAAGATTGCACCAGGTGATGCTAGGCCTGCTCCAGTGGGCTCAGCATACATGCACTCCTTGGTGATCCGCCCGGATCAAGGTTTTGGGTATACATGGTCGAATGAGCGCCTCTTTTGGAAAGACCTTCTCCAGAGACCGACGCGCACCATCACCTGCCGTGGCGAGCAAGACGATACATCGCCGCCCTTCTACTTCCAGATGCACGCCGCTTTTGATAAAAATGATCCATTGACTGAGTAAGTGACCCAAAGATCTTTAGGAGTATCATTCCAAATGCTCACCTATGAAGTGTTTATCCCTATATGCGAATCCGACTTGCCGCTCCCATTGAGGTCCAGAACTTGCTCCCTTATGACTTCAAGTACCGCATCTACGACGGTAATACCAAGAAGGATTGGACAAACTTCCTTCGTAAAGGCGGTGTTAGCCCGGTTCATGTGGTTGAACTGTCACATCTGCTCTTGCTAAGCGTAGACATGCAAGACACGCCTTTCAGACCTAGCAAGTTTGGTATCATTAACTCCACTGATCGGGAAAACTTCCGGCGTGAAAAGACGCTGGAGGTCAAAGATAACGACGACTTGACCCTCCATCTCAAAATGCATTTCTAGTAAGACTATCCTTTTTTCCAATCCGTCCTCGACTGACCACTTTCAGCAACATCCCTGACGGAGGTGGATCCTTCAAGGTCACCATCTACAGTCCTTATGTCATCCTGAATCGTACCGGTCTGGAGCTTGACGTGCGCGGCAAACAATTCCTCGGACAAGCGAAAGCTGCTGCCGGTCAGAGTGTCTTTGCAAACAGTGAGAATGATGCACAAAAACCTATGCCTTTCATGTTCTCGTTCTCAACCGATGACAAGAAAAACCGAGCGCTTATCAAAGTTGGGAAGGCGAATTGGAGCAAACCTCAGAGTTTCGACGCTATCGGCAGTACGTACGCCGTCACGCTGCCAGCTTCCACTGCGAGATCTGAAATGCATATTGGCATTACGGTAGATGAGGGCGAGGGCAAGGTAAGTTCACATTACTCCACTGTTGGCAAAGAAATGTTATTAACTCCGTTGCAGTACAATCTAAGCAAAGTCGTCACTATTGCACCGCGTTTCATTCTCAAGAACAAGACGACAGAAGATCTCAACATCCGCGAACCTGGATCGTCGGAATGGCTACCTCTGAAACATGGCGAACTTCTCCCTCTTCGATTCCTGAAGCAAGGTTCCAATCCACAGTTGTGCCTCTGCTACCCCGGGGTCAACAACCAGTGGTCATCGCCATTCAACATCTCCAACGTTGGCAACGTCCACGTGAAGCTGTCTAAGGCAGGCCAGCGGCAAAAACTCATTAGAATCGATGTTCTCATGGAAAATGCCACCATATTCCTCCACGTTAGCGTCGAGACCAAGCACTGGCCGTTTTCCATGCGCAATGAGAGTGATCAGGAATTCCTCTACTGGCAAACTAATCCAAACGTTGACGAAGATGAGGACGACCGAGGTTCTGGATTCCGACCTATCCGGTACCGCCTCCCTCCGCGAAGTATCATGTCATATGCATGGGACTTCCCGGCTGCTAAGAACAAGGAGATCGTCCTAAGCGCTAATGGACGTGAACGACATGTTAAACTAGCAGAAATTGGCAACCTCATTCCATTCAAGGTTCCTCCGGCGCAAGGGTCTACGCGCCAAAAGGTCATTGATCTCAATGTCGTCGCGAAGGGCCCAACACAGACGCTTGTGCTGTCCAACTTCAAGCAATCCAAGAGTTTGTACAAGCAGAAGTCTGGATCTGCTTCCCAGTCAACTACTGGCGGCTTCGAGATCAAAGAGATGGATACCGACGTAACCTTCAAAGCGCAGATACGTTTCGCTGGTATCGGCATCTCGCTGATCAACCGACAATTGCGTGAGCTCATCTATCTCACTCTCCGAGACATCGAGGTCAAATACTCCGACTCTCCTCTATACCAGACCCTGAATACCACTGTCAAATGGATCCAGATCGACAACCAATTATATGGAGGAATCTTCCCTATCATTTTCTACCCCAGTGTTGTTCCCAAGACAGGCAAGGAGATGGAAGCGCATCCTATCTTCCAGACGAACATCACACGGGTTAAAGACGACTCATATGGGGTGCTGTACATCAAGTATTTCACTTTCTTGCTTCAGCAGATGACGCTAGAAATTGACGAAGACTTCATATTCGCCATGCTGGACTTCACGAAAATACCAGGAGCCTCTTGGTCTGAGGAGAAAGAGGGCAAACTGTGCGACGACACTCTCGAAATTCCGGAGCCAGCACAAGAGCAAACGGGCCAAGACGTTTACTTCGAGCTTCTCCATCTCCAACCGATGCAAATAGATCTGTCCTTTGTTCGTACGGAGCGTATCAACGCTGAGGATACAATGACATCGAACAACCCCTTCATGTTTGCCGTTAACGTTCTCACAATGTCCATCGGAAACGTCAACGATGCACCCGTAAGATACAACGCGCTCATGCTTGAGAACGCTCGAGTCTCATCAGAAGCTCTGATCGCCAACATTAAGAACCACTACGTCCAAGAGAGTCTCCGACAGGTCCATGTCGTGCTCGGTTCTGCCGATTTCCTCGGAAACCCTGTTGGCTTATTCACGAACATCAGCTCTGGAGTGGCAGATATCTTCTATGAGCCGTACCAGGGTCTTGTCGCTTCTGATAGGCCTCAAGATCTCGGCATTGGCATCGCCAAAGGCGCATCCAGCTTTGTCAAGAAGTCTGTGTTTGGGTTCTCGGACAGTATGGCCAAGTTCACCGGAAGCATGTCGAAGGGCCTTGCTGCAGCCACCATGGACAAGGAGTTCCAAGACCAGAGAAGAATGTCTCGAAACAGGAATCGACCGAAGCATGCCTTGTACGGCATCACCTCCGGTGGCAACGCGTTCGCCAGCAGTCTAGCCAGCGGCATTGGAGGTCTCGCACGCCATCCCATCCAAGGCGCCGAGAAAGAAGGCGTCGCCGGCTTTGTCAAAGGCGTTGGCAAAGGCCTCTTTGGTCTCCCCACTAAAGCTGCCATCGGTGCCTTCGATCTCGCTTCCAACATGGCCGAAGGCGTGCGCAACACCACCACCGTCTTCGACCAAGAAGGCCTCGACCGCGTCCGCCTCACCCGTTTCATCGGCCAGGACGGCGTCGTGCGGCCTTATAGCCAACGCGAAGCGCTCGGTCAGTTCTGGCTCAAGACCCTCGACAACGGGAAATACTTCCACGAGGACTACCTAGCCCATCTCGAGATCTCGGGCAAGGATATGTTGGTTATGCTCACGTATAACGGCATCATGCTTGTGCGAACGAAGAAGCTGCAGACGGAGTGGGATGTTCCGCTTAAGGATATCCAGACTATCTCAAAGGAGCGGACGGGGATGAGTATTACGCTCAAGGGCGGCACGAATGGGCCATTCATCCCGGTGGGCGATGAGAGTTCGAGGAATTGGTTCTATAAGCAGGTTGCCGTGGCTGTCAATGCTTATAATGATAAGTATAATGCTAAAGGGTAAAGGGAAAAGGGTAATGGAAAATTGGGTTGGCCTCCGGGCAGGTTATGAGTGGCTTGAGACTGTACGACGAGTTCTTGTGTATTCTTTAGGCGTGTCTTTTCTACTTTTTTTCACTTCTTTTTCTTTTTCTTTTTGACATTGCTTTGGAAGGGCATCTGAGCGTTTTGATGAGCAATATAAAACGTGTCTCTTTCCTCTACCGGCCTTCCGGTATGCGACTTTACGGCCAGGATTAATAGAGTCACGTGACATCACACTCGGCATATACATCTTTCATCAGTACTCAACAGGACTTCATAGGACAAACAAGATGGAGTCATATGGGAGATTTATAAAGGTATGATATGAGTGTATAACAGCATGACTCATCACTGATTATGGGTATAGAAGATTGTAACAAGCTCTTACAGAACGTTGCTCGCCCCAGCAGGATGGTGTATCCGGAGGTATTTTCTCATCACACCCAGGCTTACCAACTTCGAACAACTTTCTTCATGTACATATGCGCGTGCTGACATTCTTGTCTTCCGGAAAAGCCATCTTGATCCACCTCGGACATCCAAACACCAAATCATACCTCGAGGACCATGTCGATGACAATCCTCCGCGACCTCGCTTCCTCCCACCTGCCCCTAAAGCCCGGTTTTCAATACCGACGACCTCGATACTTGGCGTTGAAGTTTCGTTCCTAGGAATCATTGCTCCTTGTTGCCAATTGTTCGAAGATGTAGCTGAGAATAGCCATCATCACCACGACGCGCACTGCGCAAGGAATGTTATCTGTCCAGCTTTGAATCGATGCGCTAAGGCTCTGCTGCACGCTGGGCACCAGTTGTTGTACTGGCATAGGAGGTATTGGAGCCGGCTGGAGTTTTGCTTGACCGGGTCGTACTGGCACAGCAGCCGAATCTTCCTCATCACCGGTCTGCGACTCGTCTTCTGACGGCGGAGGAGTACCTTGAGGGAGCGGTCTTTGTAATTTTTGTCCTAACGCTGCACATACCCGTTGTCGCAGCGATACTCGGGCCGGATCTTCCTGGACAGTCCCATCTGGTTGTGGCTGCGCCGGATCCCGAAAGAGTTCTCCCTCCTCCTTGTACCTGGTCCAGTCGTGGATCCAGTGGCGGGAATGTGGTCTCCGTCCCGCCAAAGGAAGCCGGGTCTTCTCGTTGACGGTCTCGTTTTTTTGCGCCTCTTCGTCCACGTCGTCGGACGAGTCCGAATTGGCAGGTGTTCCCAGAGAGGCACAAGTCCGCTCCCCGGGTGCGGCGTCGAGGATGGGACGCCACTCGATATCACCAAATGATACTCTTCGCTGTGGTTGCGGCGTGGTGGCAGCGGCGGCGCCTCGAAGAATGCCAACGGCTGGGCTAGCGCCGGTGTCGGGACGCTTTGGGATCTGGACGCGATCCAGGACAAGAGCTCCGGGCCCAGGAACGCGGTCGCGGGGGACTTCGACTCCCCATGGCTCGACCTCTTCATCGTCGCCGGGAGGAGGGCTCTTGCGCGGTCGTCCTGGTCCGCACTTCTGCGATGGTTGGGATCCGGATGCTTGGACGACTGCTGGATTCTGCTGCGAGGTCCCTGCTGGAGTGGCAGGGCTTTGAGACTGGACAGGTGTCGGAGGTGGCAGTCCTCTGCGCTCTTCGATGACAGCGCTCGTCTGTCGCATCTGTGCCAGTTGGTCTGATCTTGCCTGACGCCTCCGCGCCTCCTCAGCGGCCTTCGCCGCCTTTTCCTGCGCTCGGGTTGGAAGAGCCATGTCGTCTGTATGAAGAGGCAGGGATGTCTGTCAGAAGGGATGACACTGTCTGGTGTGGAAAGATGGCAAGCTTGTTGATGTCAAGTCTGGGTTGAGACGGTTGGTGGATGGTCAAGAGGTGGTGTGTTGATGGTGTATGTCGGACACGCAGCACGGATGGTGGTGGAACGTATAAAAAGGACTCAAGCACCACGGGCGCAACGCTTGATAACTAGTCAGTTTCACTGGCACGTGAGTGCATAGTATCCTTGTTAACACGCGGGCGCGGGAGCATTCACAGGCACCAGAAAACCCCCTCAGTGCGCGCGGATACCTCCACGCAGAGCTTATATTGGCGGTGAACGCCTCAGAAAAAAAGAAGGGGCCTATAGTATCTCCAAGAAGAAATGGGAACAAGGGGGGAGGTCGGGAGAGAGTGTATCGTTGATGTATTGGAAGCCTCTTGCTCCAGGCAGGCTCTGGATGGGAGATCTGATGTCCGGGAGCCACTACCACCGCGAGCTGCCGTCAATCTTCTTGCCCACTGCATTTCTGCCTCTAGCACCGTCGATCCTCTCCTTCTCCTTGGTCTCTTCTTTCTCTTCGACCCCCTCCCCGCTGTCGCCCTCGTCTTTCCAAGGCTCGAGATCGTACTCCTTGCGCTTAGGTTTGAAACCTTTACTCGGACCTTCCTCTTTAGCGGGTTTGGGAAAGATGTGCACTTTGATGCGATAAGCTGCGCAGCAGAAGGGTATGCACATCACTGCTCCTTACGGATCTGTTACTTCAGAGTGTCGGCCCACTTTTTAGCGTTTGGTCAACCTGCGGCTTTTAAGGTTGTCAGAGCACCTCTGGAGGCCGGAAGAGAGTCTAGGAGCTCCGCGAAAGCGGCATGTAGCGGTGTTACTTGCCACCTCTGTCCGCTTATGGCATTAGTCTCATAGAGCCAGAAAAGGGATGATTTCATGGTCCCCGTTGGATGTAGTCGTGGCCCTCATAAGAGACTTCTTCAAATATCTCCATCGTTCATATGTGGAGGCACAGGGTAATGCCAGGGAGTTCCTCTTAGACCTCGAGCTCTACATCCTCTCAACCTCTTGCGAGAGCGGCAGCTCTGATCCCTTGAGCATCTATATGAGCAAATCCTATCCCCATTTTCGTCGAGTATGCGTTCGCGTTATCTGTTTATGAGTGCTGACGCGTTGGGAGAGTATAGACCGAAATCAGAAGTGTATTTGCAGGATGACTATAAAGTGTATCGGAACTGATTTTAGAGAGAATGGGGAAGCGAGGGTTTTATGATGCTCACTACAAGGGCAAGTTGTAAGGCGCAACGCTAGCAATCAGTTTCAAGGAAGTTGGCAAGCAGTTTAACAATCTCAGATACTATTGGTACGATTTTCCAGTTTGGCTCGGAGGCAATGCCCCTCCTTGAGTTTGACCCCATCGCAAAGAACGGCAAGCAAGGTTTATTGTAGAATATGAAAGCGGTGTAAGTGGAGTAGCTTTGAAAAGATTTAGGGGATCGGGAACTATTTGCTCTCACTCTTGGAACTATCGTTGCGACAATTTATTTCAATTACATCCGCTTCCTCACCGTCTACGCTATAATCAAACACCCCTTCCTAACTATCTCTTTACACGATTACATAAGTCCCCCCCACCTTCCCCCCTCGGCTCTCAACACCAAAACGGCGCAAACTCCCCCATCTCCTTCCAGAACCCCTCGTCAATTCCCGAAAACTCCTCCGGCCATGTCTCCAACCTGTCACCCCTTCATTAGCACTTTCCCTGCCACCAGATATATCGAAAGTAGACTCACTCACTTCACCTCAGTCAACTGTCCGGTCAAGATATCCAGGTTAAACCCCACAATCGTCACGGTTTTAGAGATGAGCGGCGAGGCGCGCAGGAGGGCGATGTCTTGGCGGATGGACTCGTCGACACTGAACAAATCGCGCTACGTTAGCGAGCCGTTCATTGGTGTAGCGAATTCGCAGCTTGGTCGCCGGGGGGGGGGGGGGGGGAGGGGAAGGGGGAGGGCAATTAAGGAGAAAGCTGGAGGGAGGGGAGGAAGACAAGCGCCTACTCCGTGATTTCGCCAAACTTCATACGGTCGATTTCCTTGCTGAGTTGGGGCGCGCGCTCTTTAAGCATTTTGCGGACGCCGGCGTCGGGCATGTGCGTCATGCCGCAGTCTGTCGCCGTCAGCAGAGATTCGGGCGCGGTAGAGGTGGCGGTGGAGGGAAAGGTGAGGGGAGTCGAAAGAGGGGTTAGGGGGGAACAAACCAGTATGATGCACGATAATCACCGTATCGGTATTCCCCAGCGCGTCGAGAGCAGCGAGGGAGCGGAGAGCGTCGGAGGTGCGGCCGCCTGCGTTGCGGATTACGGCTGCGACTGTGGGAATGCTGTTAGATGAGTGTCGGGGATGGGGAGAAGGGAGAAATATACCTCCTCGTCCGAAGTCAAAGTATTGCTCTGGGATGACGCGGGGGTCGGAGCAGGAGACTGGGATGGTGAGTTGAGGTTCTTTGTGTTGAAAAAGAGTGGTATCGGAAGTACTTATAACAGTGCCGCCTGGTCCTCCAGGTGTGTGGAGGCGTTTTGAGATGTCTGCAACGAAGGGGGGTGCAAGGGCGACGTTGAAGCCCCTAAGAAGCATCCGTTAGTGCTCTGAATGAATTCGTGGAGGTAAGTTGGAACATACTTATTTCGCTCGAGCAAACTGGCAATTTTCTCGGAGGCCATCGTATCCCAATCTCTACGCCGCAGAAATTGGTGTGGTTTGACTTCAAAAGTTGATATATGACAATAGTCCCGAAAATCGAAGCTGATTGGTCGGCTCTTCAAACCACTCGAATTGAATATCCAAAGAACTGCTGGAAGTCTGCCGCTGATACCTCAAAACCACGATGTCCTCATTCTTATATATTCCTCCTTCCTACCATTCCAAATGCTCCCATCCGCTATATCCTAACTCCCAAAATAAAACTTGGATAGCGCCCAGTTGCGGGTTTTCTAAACAAGCCTTTCGCTTCGCAAAAAAGCGCGAGGTTGCAGCGGCCATTACCCGCGCCAAGGCCCGACTCTCCATCCGTTTAGTGATCACACACTCCTCTGCCTTAGGCCGCCTTCTTGGGACGCCTTTATACGCTTAGCTAAACGAGCCAGGTACTAGTTAAGCTTTGCGTGCATGCACAGGCGTAGTCATCGAGATTAGATAGTCCTGTGCAGCCGTCTCAGGGTGCAAGTGGCTTGCATAGATCGGGATGATTTGAGTGACTTTGCAGCTGCCGCTCGGATCGGCAGCCGAGCGACGCGGGGGCAGCAACTTGTGCCGATTATGTGATCGCTAGCGAGGGTGTGGCGACGCTGCGTGCCTGGCCGTCTTGTCGAATGGGAAGATGGTTGACGGGCACACAGGCGTGCATTAGTTAGCAGATGCCGTGTGCGTGTAGTGCGATCTAACCCTAGCCCTGATCGATAGCCTACCTCGGCTTGGCAAGGGCGTATAGAAATCACGTCGGGTGGTTGCTTGCTTTATCAGCGGGTGTAGTGCCGATATACTATAGCAGTGCGAGTAATCATAAAATGTTGTCTCGCAAGCTATAGGCGTTGGGGATTGGAGATGGTGGGTATAAAGAAGAGCGGGTCCGTCGTGAGTCGGCGCTGTATCAAAAGCAAGAAAGCGCCTCATTCCAAATCTCGATATCTACACTCAGTTGCCTCAGAAGAACATTCCAAATTCCACGCCCAAAGCTTAATCGTCCATTCTCGCAACCATGGCGCCTTCTCAAAAAACAGTCTTGGTTATTGGTGGTACGGGTGCTCAAGGCCAGGCAGTTGTCAAAGGTAGTTCCCACTCCAACTCTCAACGCAAAATCTACCACTAACAACCCCAAGCCCTCACCGCCGATGCTAAATACGCCGTCCACGTCCTGACCCGCACCGCGACATCCGACGCAGCTAAAGAGCTCGCCTCAATCCCCGGCGTCACCATTGTCCAAGGTGACGCTTTCGATGAAGCCACTTTGTTCAAAGCCTTCTCCGCTGTCGACTTCGCCTACGTCAACACTAACGGCTTCTCCATCGGCCAATCCAAAGAGACCTACTGGGGCATCCGCATGTACGAGATCGCCGCCGGCACCGGCCTCAAGCACTACCTCTGGTCCGGGCTCGCCTACGCCAGCAAACTCGGAGCATATGACCCGAAGTACAAGTGCGGGCATCTGGATGCGAAGGGGCGAGTAAGCGAATTCCTTTCCAACCAGCCGACGAGCCCGATGAAGTGGTCTGTGCTGTCGAGTTGTTTGTATCTGGATATGTTTTCGTCTCTGCTTTTGCCGAAGCCGGACCCGGCGGATCCTGAGGTGAATGTTTTCTCGCTGCCGTTGGGAGCGGGACATCCGCCGCTGATCCATTTGCCGGATTTGGGGAGGTATGCGAGATGGATGTTTGATACACCAGAGCGGAGCAGTGGCTTGAATCTCCAGATTGGGACGGAGAATATCAGCTGGGAGCATGTTGCGAAAACGTTCACCGAGGTGACGGGGAAGAAGGCGGTGTACAAAGATGTCACGCTGGACGAGTACTTCGCCTCGGGTGTTTTCCCGGCTCCGGATGCGAAGTTGGGATATTCGGCGGACCAAAACGATTCGACGCTGATGACGTACCGCGAGAACTTCAGTGGGTTCTGGAATACGTGGAAGGATAACCTGGTGAAGACAGATTATGCACTTTTGGATGGTATTCTGCCGGACAGGGTCAAGTCGTTGGGAGAGTGGATGAGGTTGACTGGATACAATGGCGGCCACAAGGCGATTTTGAAGGATACAACTGATAATGCTGGCTCTAGTCATTGATCAGAGGTATTTTTGGTGGCCGTAATAACGTCGCACATGAGAACAAGTAGAGAACAGTCTCAGTAGCAGTAATTACAACCGTTGTTTACGCAATCGCACAGAGTTCAGCCCCAAACGCGGGCTCCATGTCCAGATTCCAAGCGGACAGAATTAACAGAAATATGTGAGAAATGAACTAAAAGGTCATATGAAAATAGAAAAGCTACGCTGCCGAGTCCGAAGGTGTATCCGGATGCAAAAGCTCCCGGGTAGAAGTGCCAGGGCGAGTCTCGGTTGTGTTTGGTCGAGTGCTCTCATTCACGCTTACGGGGTGAATGGTTTCTTGATAGTCGGGCGGTTTGAGAGTCGAACGCCCGCCTCTCGACAACGTTCTCAAAGGGATTGCTAGCCCTGTGACAGTATCGCGGCTTTCATCTGACGACAACGTCACAGGTGCTACATCAGCTCCAGCAGCATCGGCTGTGGCGTCACCATGAGGCTTATATGGCGGTGGCGCTTCTCCAGCCTCATTCAGCCCTTCCTCCTGTCTTGCAGGACCTCCTCCTGCCCCTCCTCTCCAACTGCCATGCACCCACCGCCTTGTATTGACCCACCCATCGAGGTCCCGCGCAAGTGCATTTTGTCCGCTACTCCGGAGCTGAGCTTTCCTCCTTCGCCTTCGTTTGTGGAGTACGTAGATTGCCAGCAATGCAAATACTCCTATCAAAGCTAGGAAGACGAAGTAATAGTTGATAAGGTGTGAATCTCTATCTATGTCGTGGTCATCGGATGTTGCGGAGGTAGATGCGGGATACAATGGGGGAGCGTTGTCCGCAGTAACCCTGGATGCGACTGAGGTAGTTCGTATCGATTGCGAGAGCGATTTCGAAGCGGTATTTGTGGGAGGTGATCCGGCTGAGGTTGAGAATGTGGTAGGCAGGAGCGGGGAAGTGAGAACGGTTGAAGCTGCAGAAGCCGGAGCTCCCGGAGTAGTCGGAGAGGCAATGTCGGAGGTGATTTGAGCAAAAGAGGGCGCCGGGAGGATTAGAAAAAGGAAGAGAAGGGGACTAGAGAGTAGATGGAGCCGTGCGTTGCATCTACATAGCCGCCGGCGGTTGTCGGCTTTCATCTTTGGTAGGTAATCGAGAAAAACTAGCTTGAAAAAATGGGGTGTCGCGGGAGGAGCGGCAGTGAATTAAATCAACGGGCTCTTTCAAACGAAGACGAAGACTGCACTGTGACTCGAGAAGACGGTAGCAATAGCATTGTAGGAAGCAAGAACATGGCAGGTGGTGGTCCACAAGAAGGGAGAGACCCGGAGCATTGATTACTGTACAGATGCAGAGTAAAGTGCAGGGATTCACACGTGAGAGCGGCGCTTGCGCCGGGCAGTGGGTCAGGTGCAAGCTCGCCATTTCTCAGCCGTGGGCGCCCCTCAACCTACTTCCAACCTCACTTCACTCGTCAAACTGCTATACACCCGGTACGCAGTATGGTGAGAGCACAGAAAGGCCAGTTCTCCTTCTCGTTAGTACCAATCATGATCAATGAAAGACTCGGACTTTCAGCCATTGCCAATAGCTTCACTTCGCGTTACTAACAGCGACCTCAGGCGTCCTCATCAAATGCGATGCATCTATCAAGGCCATCATTGTGCGGATCGACGCCGATCAGAACGACATCATCGTTGATGATCTTGACGACGAGCATCTCTTGATCAAGGAAGCAAAGCTTGCCGAGCTGAAGCAGCGGCTGAGCGAGGTAAGTTACAACCTACCTACCTCACGTCTAGTCCCTACGCTAACGATACGCGCAGACTCTAAAAGCCACATTGCGAGAGCCTGAGAGTTCGAATTCCGAGTAATACACATGTTCAACCAACAGAAGTTACACGTATTCGACTTGGTTTGATTATGCGACACTACAGACATGCATTTCACCTCGCCAAATCCTTGACACCGCCCCGGCCCTACACCAATAAATACACTACACAGACTCACTTAGGCCATGGTCTTGTTCTGGCCTGCGCCAGGAACCGCGTTGACCCAGTCAACACGCTCTGGGGCGAAAAACTCCACCACCGGCTTTGCCTCATTCAAAGCGTCGAAATCGTCCAAAGTGCCGACCTTGATAATGACCTGGTTGGGGAAGCTGCCGCCAGTCCTGGTCAAAGTCGAGCCACAGCCTCCGCAGAAATGGCTGGTGATCTCCTTGCCGGAATCGGCGGTCTTCGAGATGGTTTTGGGAGTTCCGGACAACCACTTGAAGCTTTCTTCTTTGACCACAAGGTTGGTGCTGTAGGTGCTACCTAGGGGAAATGAGGACGCTATACTTATCAATATTGACGATTGCACATACCTGTAATCTTGCGACAATCGGTGCAATGGCAAAGGGCCTGGGGACAAAGTCAGCCACGACTCCTGGATATACGAAGAAACAACCTACTGTGGCAAGCCCCTCGCCATTCACGGAGTAACGGATATTACCGCAGAAGCATCCTCCTTCGCCTGAAACCATGATTGCAGAAGTTTGGTGAATTGGGGTTGATATGGGTTGGCCCTGTTGGTGGAAGAATGAAAGCGCTGGAGAGGATATGGAGTTCCAATTCTACTTGTATATCGGCGTCATCATGGCTGGCGCCTTTCCTTTTATACCCCGCTGTGTAGAGCTACGCATCAAAGGAACCTCGGAGATCTGCTCTGCTGCTAGGATACTACTCGTCGAGAGCCAGTCTCCGCAGGGCATACACAGTTTAGCGCTTCCAAATACTTACTTCGTGACCTAATCAATGCATCCAGACAGCAGCTGAGGTGTTCCCGCTCCAAGCTCCAAGGCTGCTTACTGCGGGCTTCTGCCTAATGCAGTCCTGATTCCAAAACATCGTTTCTAGAATAAGTCTAAAGCTCGGATCAGTGTAGCTTTTGGGGACTAGGCTGAGAATCTCATATTCCTAACTGCTATCTGTCCGGAAGGGCGCAATAAGGATGCAGACGATGGTGGAGACCAGCAATGACGGCGATCTGTTGCTGCGCTGTGGTTGGCTGGCCGAAATAAAAGTGGAATCGCAACAACGCTTTCGCAACACTGCACCACTTCAAACGAACACCGCGCATTCCCCGGAAACCTCCCTTCCACCACACCCCGATGGCCTAGGCCTCAGCGCAGTGAACCTGCAGCTGCAGGGCTCCTTGGCTGCTCGCAAGACTGACACACCACACTCGCAACAACCACCCCGCCGCTTTGTACGGGCGGGCCTTCGTCGTTCGCCATGGCTCCAAACACCGAAACCAACATCTGGGCGCAGATGAGCTATGCCCCCCCGCGTGGACAGTGCAACTACAAGCCCTCGCTCATGTCAGCAAAGTGCCCTTGCTTACGGTTCATGTTGCATCCCCTCAAGGTATGTGTGCCTCCGACTCAGCAACAATTCGACTAGCCCGCAATTATTACTCCGTAACCGCGTTGCGGACGCGTCTCATAGATCTAAACTCTAACAATTCTACAGAGCTCTTCAACCTTTGAGTGTGATGGCTGCTCTCACCACGCGTCCTTCCACAACCTGGAGAACAAAGCCGAGGACGAGGTCCGCAAGCGATGGGAGGTAGAACAGAAAGCGAAAGAGGCGGAGGCTCAACTTCACAATGCGTCGAAGTCTCGGAAGCGACCCCGACTGATTGAAGGAGCGGCGACTACGAGTAATGGCCGGCTGCTGATTGAGGAGCACGCATTCGAAGAGATGGACAATGACCAGGAAGGAAGCCATGCCGCCATCATGATCTCTACCCGATCGAAAGCACCAGCAAAGTCCCAACGCGGGAAGGAGAAAAGGGTACCTCTGTCACGACCCCAGATCTCTTCCAAACAACCTGGATTCCCTTCAGGGTTTGGCTTCTATCCTCTAGAAGATGACTGAATAAGCCCGGCTTGCGGCCGCGGATCGCATGATCCACCAGGGACCCCACCCGGCACTTTCCGAGGCACATCCTGCTACACACGAGACGACTGTCTTCTCCGCACTCTTACCGTCATCAAGCGGGACTAGGGCGGCTGCTTCGCTTCGGCCATAATCGCAACGGTATCCGCGGGCGCGGTTTCTCCACAGGACAATTCTTTAGCGTCCGCGTCCTCGGAAGAAGGACGTTATCCCACACGGCTGGAAGGACATGGCCAAGAACATCTACTACCTTGGAATTGGGCAGCTTACTTGTTCAATGGTTCTTATGGAGCTACCTTGAGGAATGCTGTCACGAAGTCAATGACTGGATCTGCAGTATTCTCTATCGAAAGCAATTAGTTTTCAGTGGTCATGCGAGCCCATCTAACTATCTAAATGCAGAAATGAAATACAAGTTCTGTCAAGACAACGCTTGACAAGCAACGATGATCACTTGCTTTTAATAAGCTCGACATGTCATGCATGCTAAGCGAATAAGCGACCCAACTCTCCTTACGTGCTACAGCTACTTTGTAACTGAGAAGGTATTATCCAGACATTGCAGCGTACAGGGGTTCCGTGAGCTGTCTCTCATTAGCAACGTAGGCCTAGTAGAGCAAAATAGGGACATACTCGCTGAGCAGCTCTGTCAAGCCTTTCGTCCAATATGGTGCTGGACGAAAGACGTGAAGGGCGGCACGAATTTGCCGTGAGGCCAGAGAGTGTTGCACGGACCATTCTGCTATCCAGCCCCGCAGCCTTTCACCAGACCCCAGAGCCAAAACAGTCTCAGCTATATCATCAATTCACGCCTCAAAATCCCGAGTTGCATTTTGAGCGTTATTAGTCATAGAATACAAGCCAAACCATAGTCGAGCAAGGGGATTAGAAGCATAACAATTCGTTTGATTTGTTCTGTATCATTCAACAATCTCATGAAGGGGAGCTCATGAAAGCTGAACTATATTGAAAAAGCGTCTCGATACAGATTCTTGATCAATTTCTCCTTCTCGTTATCCCTGACCCGGATATCACATTCAAAGGGCAAAGGCCCACCAATAACATCCGGCGTCCACCTATCTGGATCTGGCCACTGCGGCGCCCCTTTATCATTCATGGGTGGCTTTAAATCGAACAGCTTTATTAGGCTACCGCACATGACGAACAGTTCCGCCTCGACCAGGCCCTGTCCGGGACACATACGACGTCCTGATCCGAATATATGATGCCCTCTCAGTCGAAGATGTTGCGCCAAAGGTCCCTGGGACCAAGGAGACTCTTTGCCCAGCCATCGACTCGGGTTATAACTCTCGGCATTTTAATACCGGTTTGGTTCGCGGGAAAGGGCAGCGTCAAGGATGTGAACAACAGCGTGTTAGGGAAGTGGTAGCCATCGTATGAGTAGTCTTCCTCTAACAGCCGGGGTACACTTAGAACAGTATATCAGCATCATCCAAAACAATATACGAAGAATGAGAATCGAACCTAATGGTACCGTGGGCTTCCATCTCAGATACTCTTTTATCGCAACCCACAGCGTCGGCAGCCGCGGTGCATCACTCAACTCAACCAATCTATCGCCTGATTCTGCATCAATCTCGCGAACTTTGTCCTGCCATTCTGGATGGAGGATCATAGCCATTATGAAGAGCGTCAGTGCACCCGCAATCGTCACAATCGCTACCGTACCCACCATTCCGATGGTATAAATGGCCTCCATTTCATCGTCGAATAATTGGTTCTTGCCACCCTCCCTCTTGCTATCCAGGTACGCGCTCACGTACGTGAAAGGTGCTCCCCCTTCCTCATATGTCTGCTCCGCCTTCTTGTATAACCCGATCCACAGCTTCGCCTCCCTCCGTTGACGAACACGGACTTCTCGTTTCGATGGAACTAGCCATTCTGGAAGATACCCTAGTGCTGGAATCATGTTCGTTATCGGGCCTGAAGGACTGAGCTGGTGAATGAACTCTCTCGAATTCCTGAGATGGGCTTCGGCGGAACCCGGTGATCCGTAAGATAGCCTAGCCGTAACACGTGCACAGAAAAGATACGATTCATAATGAAAGTCGCTAGGCCTGGCTAATAGGTTGTAGAAATACCGCTTCGCCTCCAGAGTAATGTATCCCGAGAAGTTGCTTGTGACATTCCGGAGGATGACGGTATGCGTAAATTTGCGTTGCCGGACCAGATTTTCTAATAACATTTAGTTTCCAACCTCATCGTGTATTTTATAACGAGAAATAAGCTAACCATTATACCCAAGTAGAGGAAGGTACCTGAATCTTTGGTTACACCCGGATACGCGCCCAAATCCGCTCTTCCGGAGCATATAGCGGCATTCTTGCACAGCAGGTCGAATGCGATATCCGACCTACCAACCCAAATATGCGTTTCTCCACTAAGCGTCATCGAGAATAAACCACCGTATTGGTCACTTAACTTCTTCATGGATCGGCTGGGGTTGTTGCGATCCACGTCGTGAAACCGGCCGATGTATGGCAGAGTTGATCGTGGGCCTGGGATCGACATGAGACCTGATTTACAAGATCTGCTGCCCAATTCTGTTACGAATTGATGAATGAGGTATGCTAGGAGAATGATGAAAGCCGAAAATGCGAGATAGCGACTAAAGAGGTCGAATGGTGTCTTTTCTTCGATTGGGTTGCATATATCACTCCTAACATCGGAATAGTTAAACGTTACCCTCCCAATGGGACTCAAATGACCAATTGGGAATACCATACTTCCTTGGAAAGTTCAAACGGGAAAACGTTTCTCAAAAGCTTCAATCCAAGAAACACTCGAGCCATATATACTTCTCTATTAAAAGGCGGAGCTCTCATATACGGCCAAGCATTACTGAGTATGTGGAAGTGGCGTCAGCATTGTGGAAGGCGTCAGCATACTGGGGCAAAGCTGAAGGGATCAGCAATCACCGCAACCTTCATCCTTTCTAAAACTCACTTGAATTTGCTGACATAGCACGGTAGTGACTCTATACCCATACATTCTTGTCTTTTTAAGATTATTTGCCGAAATTGCATCTTATGCTTTTTGCTACAAAAAAACTCGTCCGGGGAAGATCGGCCTGTCATATAAGATTACTCCTGGATTTCCTCTTTCGGGTATGCACCTCCCAATATTGAATGCTGAGACATCCCCACATGATACCAAGAGCACGTATCAACTAAGCATTTCTATCTGCAAAAAGCTATGCTTCGAACCTTATTCATAAAATTCTCACCCCAGCGACTCATTGCAATACTAATACTGGCACTCCTCTCAATCAACGTCAAGTTATCGTCCTATCTCTTCAACGCAACTATCATATACACTCATACGACTATGCGATGATTCAAGGTTTCGAATCACCAGATCATCAACAAAACCCATTATCTAAGCCAAGCAGCAGCCACAAAACCTGTGTTTCAGTCAACTTATCTCACACTTCCAAACTATGGCGTCGCTAAACGTCGATTGTAAAGTAAATGAAACCACCACCGGAAACCGCACCGTACCGCTAAAGATAATAGGTCTGGGACTCTCTCGTACAGGAACATCATGTACGCTCCATCACCACCTGTCCGCTTCAAAACCGCGTCACACTAACCCCGAAAAGCTCTCCGCCAGGTCCTCCTCAACCTAGGCTACCACGACTGCTACCATTTCGAAACCCTCGTGCACGAATCCCGCCAGAACGCAAGCATGTGGATGCAAGCCCTGGAAGCAAAATTCGAGAACCGCGGCACCCCTTTCACCAAACACCACTGGGATCAAATTTTAGGGAATTGCATGGTAAATCCCCTCCATCCCATCTCTTCCCACCGCCGAAAACGCAATTTACCCAACACAAATTTTTTTTTTTTTGCAATGTTAATGGAATATTCAGGCACTCACAGACACTCCCTGCACAATCTTCTACCGCGAACTCCTCGAAGCGTACCCAGACGCCAAAGTCATCCTCACTATCCGCGACAAGCTCCAGCAATGGCATCGCTCAATCATGGACACCATCGTCCCCTCTATCCTCCACCACAACGGCGCTGAAAGCAGCCTTACAATACGCTTTCGCCGGTTCTTCCTCCCCCGGACGCCGTTTGATCGTGTGAAAGAATTAATGCTGAAGCATTACGGCATGTTACGTACCCTCGTCGATGATCATGTCAATGGTACGCACAATGGGGTAAAATGGTACGAGGACTATGTTGAAAAGGTTAAGAGCATTGTGCCCGAGGAGGATTTGCTTGTGTTTAATGTAACGCAGAGCTGGAGCCCTTTGTGTGCGTTTTTAGGGGAGAAGGTGCCGGAGGGCGGGTTTCCGAGGGTTAATAGTACGGACGAGTTTTGGAAGCATTAGAGGATGGTTGATTGGATTTTGTTGGGGGTTGCGGTGGTGCACTTTATAAAATATGTAGGCGTAGTGGTATTGGGATTGGGAGCAATGGGGTTGCTTTGGAAATACTACGTTCAGGTTTGATGGACATTGGGTTCAGGTTGGGATACAAGCAATCTGGAGTGTATGGTTGGTATTTCTTTGGTAAAATGGGGTTGCTTTCAATGACCAAGAAGGTTTCCTATATCACTCGCGAGTCCACTCTGCTTAGACGTCCTACACGCTTACACTCAGGTTGCCACTACTAGCGTGTCAGTGGCGTTATATCCTTCCATATCCGTAACAAGGGGGAACTGGGGAGTACCCCTTTCATAAGCTATATATACGGGCCTTATGCCTCTTCAAATCAACACAGAACTGCTTCTTCACAACCTGAGACTTACCCTCAAACCTCGTCAAAAATCAAACTCCGATTCATATAGAACGCGCTCGTCATCTTCTCCTTCGCATCTATTAAATTAATCCCCTCAGTCTTTTCCTGGATTTGATCCCTCGACCGCACCAACTCTCTCGCCACATCATTCCAATTGACTGTTTCCCTTCCCCCAACCACCTCGCCACCTCATCAACAGCCACATCCACCAAACTCCCGTCCCGTTTCCCAACAATCCCATCTACAATCACTAACTCCACATCCTGCGGACTTGAATGCATCACCGCTGCTGCCACCGGATCATGCTGACTCGCACACACCATGGCAGGACTAAGTGCATCAAACACAACCACATCCGCAAATTTCCCAACAGCTAGACTCTCAACCTCGCCTTCCTTCCACACGGCGCATGCGCGCCTGATAGTGCCTAGGTTGCACGCCCACTCGACGCGCATCGCCGGGTGCATCTCCTTTAACGTCACCCCCTTGACAATGAATTTTCCGTTCCAGGGCCCCCTCCCTGCTTGGAGACCTAAGCACATCTCGTCAACGATCCTCGCACTGTGGTTAGAGAGGCAATAGATTCCCGGGCTACACCGGTGGTCCGCATGCCGCCGATGTCAGGAGCTATTTAGTAATCTTATTCCCTGTAACCAATATATCTGTCTTCTCGCTCCGGACGTGGTCGTCTACGTCGTGGAGAAGGGCGGTACCGTTTTTCAGGAGGATAGACGTTGTGGATGGAAATGAGGTTGGATGTTGATGGAACGTCCAGGTACAAATGAATGCTGAGAATGTGAGAGGCGGATAGGGGGGGGGACTACCGTGAAACTGGTTTATACACTCCCAAACCCCAAAGGTTGGATTTGCAATCGTTCGATACTTTGGTTTCTAAATAAGGAGCTACCGCGCTTTCCCAGACCCTGAGATCGACGCTCTTGGGATTGTAGACACCGAGAAAATGCACACAGGGGCCCCTGTTGTGGCCAAGCTCTATTTTGGGACTCTTTTAGAATATACAGGCGTAGGGTGTGAGTAGCGATATGCGCTTAACGATATGGAATGCTGACATGGAGACGAGTAAATTGACAATGCAACATAAGGAGTATATTGCAATATTTAATGTTAGATGTTTCGGTCTCGTTTAATCTTTAGCCCGGCGAGCTTTTCTCGTGAATCATATTACACGACAGGGTTTTTTGGCACATTCCATGCTCAGCACGGGGATTACGTAGAGTAGACTAGAGTAGACTAGAGTAGAGTAAAGTAGAGTGGAGGGGTGGGGGTATCTTCTTAAGGTAGTTGTGAGGGATGAAGCTCTACTGTTCACTCTACAAAGGTACTGCTCCAGCACAAACCAAAAGGTAAGCGAGTGATTGGCGGAACGCCAAGCACGCCGTATAGAACCATACATATATTACTGTGGTATCAGATGTACAAAATACCCACCTAGGTATATTTTGCGTGGGGACTGTAACATTGAGCTTGCGTATGCTAATAACATCGCGAATCCCCCTGCAAGAAAATTGTTAAGACTCGGCTTCTTATTGGATCAGCTGCTCCACGCTACACGGATTAGCAGGGGTTTGGCTTGGCATACTTAGCTCATACGGTACCATCTCAGTATGCCCCAGGGAAGGCAGACTGTCGTTTGTCATCTTAGTAAGCGCACGGCTGCACAGTAAAGTAAATGCTGAAGAGCTGATTGGTGACCACCCTTGTTTTGGTTTGTGTTTTAATCCCCTGCTGCTGACGTGCATGCCTCACAAAATATACGTCGGATACCATAGTGGGTTAGTGCCGCTAATCACAAGAGCTTCTTCAGCCTAACGTTCGTGCGACTTTCTCGCAAAGAATGTCTGCAATCCCCTGGATATGCCGGCCATGTCTTCTCCGCTCCCTGAGGCCATTGAGAAGACGGCAAATCCGCTTCCAAACATCCCGTGCGCCCAATCCCAAGCTCTTTCATCCCATCCTAACACTAACCACAACCTCCAGTCGCCTCAAACGACGCCCTCTCCACCGCCCTCCTCTCCCGCGCCCGCACCGTCGCCGCCGAACATGACCAACTCACGCAAAAGCTCGCCGCGGGCTTCGACTCGAAAACCGCAAAGAAACTCGGCGAAATCGGCCCCGTGTCCACAGCTCTAGCGGACTGGGACAAAGCCACCGCCTCTCTCAGCGAGCTGCAATCCCTCATCCACGACCCGACCACCGACCCCGAACTCCGCGAGCTGGCCGCCGATGACATGATCTCGACGGCCGACGAGCTCGCCGCCGCGGCGCGCTCGCTGAAGACCAGCTTGGTGCCGAAACACCCCTTCGCGAATCTACCATGTCTGTTGGAGATACGTCCTGGCGCAGGCGGGTCTGAAGCCGCCATCTTCGCGGGCGACCTGCTGCGCATGTACCAAGCCTTCTGCTCGCGGTCGGGCTACCGCACCTCGGTGCTGAAGCTCGAGTCGGCGGACATCCTCGGCAGCGAATCCACGCTCGCGGAGGCGGTGCTCGAGATCGAGAGCGCGGGCGCGTACGGGCTGTTCCGGTGCGAGGCCGGGGTGCACCGCGTGCAGCGCGTGCCGGCGACAGAATCTAAAGGGCGGGTGCACACGAGCGCCGTGAGCGTGCTGGTGCTGCCATCGTTCCCGAGCTCGGGCGCGGCGGAGGAGATGGATCTGGAGAATCCGGAGAGCGATTATTATGTGGATCCGAAGGAGGTGAGGACGGAGATTATGAGGGCGAGGGGTGCCGGGGGGCAGCATGTTAATACGACGGATTCGGCGGTGCGGTTGACGCATTTGCCGACCATGACGAGTGTGAGTATGCAGGATTATAGGAGCCAGCCGAAGAATCGGGAGAAGGCGTGGCAGTTGCTGAGGAGTAGGTTGGCGCAGGCGAGGAGAGAGAAGAGGGAGGAGGAGATGGTGCAAATGCGGCGGAATGTGGTGGGGGTTGCGAAGATGGGGAGGGGGGATAAAGTGAGGACGTATAATTGGGGGCAGCAGAGAGTTACAGATCATAGGAGTGGCTTGACGGTGCATGGGTTGGATGATGTGATGGATGGGGGAATGACGCTGGAGAAGGTGATGGAGAGTGTGCGGACGTGGCTTATGGAGAGGGATGTGGAGGCGCTTGTTGCTGAAGAAGAAGAGAGTAAGAATGGGAAGTGAGGCATTCACATAAGTAGGTGTAAGAAAGGATCACCTGGGTAGGTAGGCTTCCTGGGTATGGTATGTAAAAAATGTATCAATACTTGTCTCAAAATCTATCACATCTACTGGTACGTTGACGTAAACCCAATGATACCAAATCCAGCTCGAACCTGATCCCGAAGAGACACTAGACGCTGATCGAGCCTAGATGTACAACAGAGAGATCAGAAAAAGACTAAAAGAGCAAAAGACCACCCTCCTCGGGGGAGGGTGTAGAAACCTTTGCAAGTTTACTCCGCGACGATGGACTTATGTTTCCGCGCGACTTTTCAGTCGAATCTATAGGAAACAGCCATAATGTCGATTGCTGACATGAGCTGGATTCGAACTCATGGCCCCTGGGGGGGGGGCTTTGAGTCGAGTTGTTGCGCCGACCGACTAACCTGCTGTTCGAGTTAATTGATGGTTGCCAAAATAAAGTGAAATATATGGCTCCATAGAGGACCCCCCTACTGACTACTAATTTGCCTCACAACTTGTCGTACTCATTCCACTGCTTTCTCATTTCACGTCTTCCTCGTCTCACGGCTTGCTCATATCACGTCTTTCTCATTTTACGCCTTTCACACTTCACACCTTTCTTATTTCACCTCTTTAGCATCGTTTAGAGAATCACGAGACAAGATTATAGTGCCTTAATGATAGAGCAGCGCTTTAACAGGGTTTTGCGTACCTAGAAAGGTTGAAACTTCCGCCGTTGAGCGCGAAACAACCACATGCTAAGCTATCAAAAAAAACAAAAACTGGAAGAGTCTCGGTCCCACCATTGCAACTACAAGTGGCCCAGTAGCACAAAACTTGCACTATTTATATCAACAATGACAAACGATATAGCAACTCCAAATTTTCCATCTCTCTAGAACAGCAATTTAGCTGCAGTCCTCCAAAGATCCGCGCTAACGCCACACCATCTCCATTAGCGTAACCCGCTTCCTCCTTCCATGACTAGCCTAGAATAACTCGTCTACGAACGTTCCACCTCACTTCACCTTACACCCACCTCCCCTCAATTCTTGCCGATCTACTTGGAAATATGTATCATGGGATCTAGGGCTACGGGCTCCCGAGAAACGGTAATCAGGTCTTTAGAATTTCCAAGTCTAAGAGTAAAGGCCCTCTGATCCGTGAAGTAGACTGACTCATACAGAACACTTGCGCGGCTTAGAAGACAAGTGCTAAGCTTTTACCGCAATAACCTAATTTAGCCTTAGCGAGACTATTCTAGAGCGCTTGAGCTTCCATGGTTCCACGCACCTACTCTTCCGGTACTTTTACTCGAGCCCACCAACCTCATTGACATTTTCTTAACCGTGTCTTCTTTCTTTCAAACGTTTGACCGCGAAGCACGGGAAGATAATGTGACTACTGCTCAAAATGCTACGAGTCCCAAACTCCCCGAAAGACGTACGTCTTGATCTATCTAAGTAGGCACATCCTCTTCAAGAATTGACTACTCTAGTACCGGCGCTAATTCTGATAGCTACCTTTCTAATGGAGCATACAGCGATCTTGAGATCCGCTGCCGCGATACCAGCTACGCTGTTCATCGAATTGTTCTCTGCAGCCAGGTGAAGTTCCTTGAAAATGCATGCAATGGGGCATTTAAGGTATGTTTAGAGCCCGTGCCAAATAGAGTTCGAAGCGAACATTCTGCTAATGCTCGATACGCAGGAGGCAAAGGACCGCATAGTCGACCTGAGTTACGACGACCCTACTGCTGTTCGATCTATGATCCAGTTCGCGTACACCAACGACTACTCACTCGACGACGACCAATCTGGCAAGCACGCGCTGCAACACGTGGACGTCTATGCCAGCGCTAAATACGATATCCCTAGTCTTGGGAATCTAGCCAAGATCAAATTCAAGCCCATCCTAGAGAAGCACTGGGACGCGGACTGGGTCCGGGATGCTGTTCACGGGGTTTATCATTCCACCTACTCCTCCGACCGTGGCCTTCGCGACATCTTAGTCCAAGCCCACCGACGAAGAGAAACCCTCCCACATCGAAGACACGGCTGAATTCCAAGAGAACAAAGAAAATGCTTTAAGAAAGGAGCTTACGCTGAGCGGCATCGATACCGAGAACGGCGGTGCGTATAAAGGGGATAGCTCGGATGGGAAGGTAACATGGAGTATCAAACGGCTGCTCGCGGGAGCGTTTCTCGCGGCTCTATACACAGGTACGTCGAGCCCTCGCTCACACTCGGAGGCAGGTTCCCAAGTAATCCTCTATTTCATCGGCGGCAGCGTGTCTTTCATCGCGCGCGATTTGGGCATCATACACGGAAGTGCCTGGCTCCCTACCGCGAATATCCTCGCCATCGGCGCCGCAGCGCCGTACGCCGGCTACCTGCAAGACCTATTTGGGAAGCGGTACATCGCGCTATTCGCTACAGCGTGTATCTGCATCGGGTGTTTGCTGATGGGGACGGTGCATATGTTTGGGCAGGGCCTGACGGCGATGGCAATGGCGGAGATGGGGGCGGCGATTGGGGAGTTGACTGGGTTAGCTGGGTGAGTTTGCTGTTTCTTCTGTTTCGCTAGGTTTGAGGTCGAGAGGAAACCTGAATTAGGAAGAGATACAAAACAAGTACCAGGATAGCACCTGCTCGAATACCAGCCTTTTAATTCAACACACCAAGGAGAATACCATTATGACATGCACCATGACCTGAAGTGACCACTCATCCCACGCATGCCTCCTACCAATTTACTATTCCTTCGGTCCTGTTTCATCATCGTCAATCCTTGTGTCTCTGGTATCAGGAACCTCATCGAGGAGCCCCAGACGGTGGTGCGTGTCCGCAGTGCCGAACTGAATGGGGCAAGAACTGAGCCTGAAAGGAGCTGTTTTCATGATGAAGCCTAGATTGTCCTCGGTTTTGAGGCGTTTGGCGACGAGATCGTGATGCTCGTCCTCCGTAGCGTTTCGCTTCAATGATGCTGGCGCCGTCAGGGGTGCCCCGAAGGTGTAAGGCAGAAGTCCACCACGCTTCGAATATGGGCTCGATTTGATCGCCGGAGAGCTCTCCGCCAACTCGCCCTCCTCAGACGGCTGCCTGAGGGCCTTCGACGTGGTGAGCGGTGGTGCAAAGGCATTGACTGTAGCTGTACGATCTGCGCGCGATCCCCAAGTGCCGTGTCCCAGAGGTTCCAGATTGGCATTCTTGGCCCCAGATCCTGGGGCCGTAAAAGCCATCTGTGGACCCCCCCGACCCCGCGGCCCAGTAGGAACTTTGAGCGAATCAAACAGCTTCTCGTACGAAGGAGACTCATCGCGTGCGCCTTGACCAATCCCCTGGAGGCGCCGGGGAGCACTGCCATAGCCGTCAAGGAACGACTGCGACAGGCCTGAATTTGGCGCCTCAGGAACGTGTCCGATGCCACCACCCGCATCCGCATCAGGCTCACGCTTGACGCGAACGTAGGGTTTGAATCGCGTCGTGTCTGCACCCGTTGTACCAGCGTCAGGAAGCGTCTTGGAGCGAGTCATCACCCTAAACACGTTAGCAAAACTCTCCTGCAATAGACCAGACTTCAGGTACCTACTCTCGCCGCTCCTCTCGCGGGCCCTGATACGAGAGCAGCGCAGGCTGATGCTGTCCCGCAGGCTGAGTCAAGGCATGCTGAGCCGCCACACGCTCAGCCTCAGCTAGATCGCGCTCCATCTTAGCTGTTTTGGCAAGGGTGGTGAAGATCTCAGTGCGCCGTTGAGTCAGTGACCTGAGCTGCCATTCGGTGCTTCCCAGCTCCTGGTGAAGCGACGGCAATTTTTGCTTGTGGATGTTGAGCTCGCGCCTGAGAGTATCGGCACGGGTTTTAGCGTTTGCGGCTTTCGCTGCCTTCGATTTTCCCATAGTTGTGGTGGAATTGATGAGGCATGGAAGGGAGAAGGAGGAGAGGTGTGTGGTAAACAAGAAAATGCGACATCGGAGGAAGGGTGACGCCGATCCGTGTCAGGCGCGTTTGTATACACCTTCCTGGCGCCGTCCGAGGTGGCCTCACGAGGTTTCACCTCGCTCGGATGTATCGAGACACCTCAGACGGTGCTAGGATGGTGTACACACATCCCGACTCCTGCTGTCATTACACATGAACAGAGCGAGGCAGGATTGGAAACAGTTTATGGGGAAATGTGACGCCGAGCTGACGGAGGAGTCGGTATGCGTGTACACCGTCCTAGCACCGTCTGAGCTGGCTTCACGAAGCTTCAGACATGTCAAAACGATTGACTTACACCTCCGGAAACAGTATCGAGGCACCTCAGATGGCGCTAGGACGGTGTACACACTCCAACCCCTGTTGTACATGAAGAGAGCGAGACAGGATTGGAAATTGACTTGGGAGGAATGATGACGCCGAGCCTATGAGCAGTTAGGCGAAGTTGTGTACACCATGCTGGCGCCGTCTGAGGTGGCCTCGCTAGGTATCAGGCCTGTCAAGACGACTTCGCTCAGATTCCGGAAACAGTACCGAGGCACCTCAGACGGCGTCAAGATGGTGTACACACATCTCCTGGAGCACACATGAAGAGAGCCATGTGCATTTGAAACTGTTTTGTTTTCTTTCCGAAATCCAAACAAGACTCAACGTCATTGCTTAGACGAGCCTGGTAGTACGTGAGGCTACCTCAAGCAGTGTCAACAAGGTGTACACAGACCCCATTGAGTACGATAAAATCAATACAGGAAATCTTGAAGATGGGAATCGATTTTCTCTTTCCGAAATACGAACGAGACTCAACAACATCGTTTTGAAAAGCCTGATAACGCATGAAGCCACCTCAGGCGGCGTCAAAAAGGTCTACACAGTCAGTTCACATCGAGCACGAGAAAACCCACACAGGAGGGTTTGAGATTGGAAATGCTTTTCTCTTTCCTAGTGATTCATACCACCCAGCAATATTTGATACAGACAAAAGAAACCGGCGACCATAGTCGGCCAGCCATCCTCACTAAGAGGCGGAGATAGAGGAGACGCTACCTACAACTAACTCCTATGATGCTCGACATAACCAGAAGTCACGTCTGCCCAACAAACTCTCAACCGCTCCCAGTGTACACGCCCGATCCCGGTGTCCCTGGCACACCTGCCCCGGGTTCATCATCCCCGTCGCCTCCGGGTGGTTTGAGACTTGGTAATGTGATCTCCGGAAGCTTGATGGGAGTGCCAGGCAAGGTTGTCAATCGAAGCGGGAGTTTCTCTCCTTTAACGACCTTCTGTATCTCGTCCTTGTCGAGCGTCTCGTACTCCACTAACGCCTTTGCTAGCAGATCCAGTTCGCCTCGTTTCGCGATGAGCAGATTCTTGGCCCTCACCTTCGCTTCCTCGATCAGCCGACGGACCTCGCTCTCGATGAGCCGTTTGGTTTCGCCCGAGAGCCGCGAAAAGTCAGAGTTGAAGTCGACGTTCCCTAGTTTGTCAGACATGCCCATCTGGGTGACCATGACATATGCAACATGTGTCGCATTTTGAATGTCCCCTGATGCTCCGCCTGAAACGTCGTCTTCGCCATAGATTAGCTCCTCGGCCGCTTTGCCGCCCATAGAGACATCGAGCGAGGCGAGGTACTGTCGCTTCGTTCTGCTGACTTCGTCCATCTCTGGCAGCATGAAGGTGATACCTAGTGCATGTCCTCGAGGCATGATAGTGGCCTTGTATAGCGGGTCTGCTCCTTTCGTGTAAAGAGCGACTAAGGTATGTCCACCCTCATGGTAAGCAGTTGATATCTTGTCTTTTTCTTGGATGACGGCGCTCTTCCTCTCGGCTCCCATCATGACCTTATCCTTGGCCCATTCGAGATCGATCATAGCAACTTTCTGCTTCTTCTCCTTTGAAGCGTGAACCGCGGCTTGGTTGACAATGTTTTCGAGCTCGGCCCCAGAAAATCCAGGTGTACCGCGGGCAAGCAACGCAGCGTCAACATCGGTGGCAAGCTGGACGTTTTTCATATGATGTTTGAGAATCGCGACACGGCCTCGCACATCGGGAAGCGGAACAATTACTTGGCGATCAAAACGGCCAGGTCGGGTCAAAGCTTTGTCAAGCATCTGAGGGAAGTTCGTCGCAGCAAGGAAGATAACCCCCGAGTTTTGGTCGAAGCCGTCAAGGTCGGTGAGAAGCTGATTGAGGGTCTGCTTGACGTATGCTGCATCGCGTTCGTTTCGCTTTCCACCTATCGCATCCAGTTCATCGATAAAGACAATAGCAGGGGCCTTAGCGCGGGCAGCAGTAAACAGCTCTCGGACGCGCTTAGCGCCAACACCGACGTAAACTTCGTCAAACTCGGAGCCGGACATGTAGAAGAACGGGACGCCAGCTTCACCGGCAACAGCTCGAGCAAGAAGGGTCTTTCCGGTACCAGGGGGGCCAACAAGCAAAACACCTTTCGGCAGTCTGCCACCAAGAGTGGAGAACTTCTCGGGGTTCTTCAAGAATTCGACAAGTTCCTGGAGTTCTTCCTTGGCCTCGTCACATCCCTGGACGTCGCTGAATCGTGTTGTCTGAAGTTCCGGCCTTGCTTCCGTGTTTTGCGTACCGCCAACCTTCTTTAGCATACCGCTTGCTTCGATCATGAGAGTGATGACGATGAGCGAGATGTAGGTGATGAGTCCAAAGTACAGCAAAAACTTGATCCACTTGAAAACGGTGCTGCCAGTAGACTCTTCGACCACAACGTACAAGGGGCTTGTCTTGTCGCCAGAGCCAGAGCGCGCGACGGAAACGTTACCACCTCGAACGCGGGAGCCGACTGCTTGACCAATGGCTTGCATTTGTTCTGCGCTGAGAGTGCTGCCGTGACCGTTGCTATCTTTTGCCGACTGCATGGCTTGTGCCTTCTCTGCTTGTCCAACGCGTTCCAGCGCCTTGATGTACACTGCTTCGCTGGCCGGGTTCGTCGCGAAACGCCCTGTTTGATATCGCTCTACCAAGATCTCCGGCATGTCGGCTCGGAGCAAGGCAGAGTATAGAGCATTCTGAGCGCTTGCGCTGGACGGGTTGTTGTTGGCCGTAGCCTCAAGATGAGCAAGGAGATTCCGAGACGAGGAAACACCGAAAGCTGTTCTCCGTTGAGCCAATGCTAAGCCGACGTTTCCGGGACGAGGTATCGGGCGGGGATTTACGAATGTGGCAAAACGGGGCATGGTGGAGTATTGTCTGGCCATCATCGTAGGAGCAAGGCAGCGAGCGAAAGGATTGCAGAAGCGCAAGGCATTTTGCGGGACTGGGGATGATTAATTTCTACATTATCACAAGTAGATTATTAGGATTGTTCATACCTGCTGCTAGCGTGCTTGAAACGGTAGGGTAGCTATTCAGGAGCTCTGTGGATGGGCTAAATCGCAACGCCGATATTGGAACTCCTTGGAGCGATTCGGGGAGTTCAAGGGTAGACTGAACCTAGTCAGATATCAGCTCGATTCCCCTGCATTATCATTAATACCTTCTTACATGTTGTTCAGGCTGCGCAGTGGTCTCCAGCGGCCTTTCGGTATGTATTTGTCGACTTGGCCTCGAGGCGACGGAGGAAGGAGCCTGGCGCGTTAGGGCTCTCCAAGGTGTCTGAATGATGGCAGACATCGAAGGCCAGAGTTGGCTGTTCGCAAACGCCATGCTCTGTGGAGTTTGGTCAGCGAAGAGGCTTCTTGTGGCATGTATAAACGCGAGTGGCGGGAATCCTCACCTGGAGACTGGCGGGTGCTTGGAAAGCCATGGTGATGTCGGGGATGGGTGGCGGACGGTGCGCCGCGCGAGCTACGTGTAGATCACCAGTAAGAAGGAAACGAGTTCGTAGGCGCAATAGAGCAGAGTAAAAGTGAGCGACGAGTATCCACCGCACAGCGGATGCCGAGATGGAGCAATGCTGAGGAAGAGTAGTGGTTCGCGCTGGCCTGACAGACAGAATGTCAACGAACGTCAAGCCATCGGCCCGGGGCGACCGATCATGGAGATTTCGGGACGTCACATGACCCTACTCGACCCTTCTACTTTTCCGCTTCTACTTGCTTCTTCCGTATTTTTGCAACAATCTAGACGAAACAATATCAACCATCTTGAACAAACAATGCACTCGTCCGGCCATGTCAGACAGCCTCATCTCCGCTTACAGGCTCAACATCCTACTCTCAACCTTCAACCCCACTAATTCACTTATGCATAAACCTCTAACCAGTAAAAGACAACGGCGCGAACTCTCTTTGAACCCCAGATACGAAGTACACGCGCATCATACATATCAAGACTCGCTTTTGTTTTCAGGAGTTGACTTTACTACTACAAGTGCATCGGAAACCTTGGTACTTGATGGAATGCCGCAAAGCATCTCTAGGTTTGAAAAAGCACAGCACCGATGTATTCTAGCTAATGCAAAAAAAATACACCAATGAACGAAACTGAACAGACTGCTTGCAGCACTAAAGCGCTCTATAAGAACACTCGCCCGCTTGTCAAGCAAGCCTAGAACAGCTCCCCACCGTGCTGACGTGAACTCTAGTTGGTAGCTACAAGGGGGTAACCTGAGCGGGCTGCTCGCCCTCCCTGTCAGTTTTGGGGGCATTATAGTCGTAACCGCAACTATTTTCCTAGGATATTACTATAATGCCCCTGAAACTGACAGGGAGGGCGAGCAGCCCGCTCAGGTTACTCCCTTGTAAGCCAATTCAATCCCTACAAGCAGATCGACTAGCCGTGATTCCTTCCTAACTCACATAGACCAAGCGCCCCCGCAGGTGTCAGATACAGGACCTCTTAGCGTCCGGTGACCTAGCGCGAGTACTGAGTCGACCCCGGTAAACCACCTTTTCTGGGCTAAATGTTGAACTAGCTTGAAGGTCGATTGGCTAGGAGGCTGCTAGAGGATTCTCCCCTAAAGGCGTCCGGAAATACTACCCTATACGGTAATTTTGTAGCTTGATTTCAGCGCTAAGTCGCCGGACGCAAAGACGTCCTGTATATAGCCATAAGCTACCCTCTCCTCCGACTTTCTAACCTCTAACCAGTTTGCATCCCAGTGCTGACGTGAGTTTGGACGGTGCGTTAACCATATCTATCTCCTAAACTGTGCATTGCCCAATAAGTACGATGGGTCACTTTTGTAGGATCGCTGCTGATGTAACGTACGATCTTTAGCTTCCCAATATTCCTATAAAGATACTAGGCCCTGTCGATGTCTTTTCAAGCTTCGCCTCTTCCGCTTGAATTTCTTTCCCCACACCCTATATCTTCTATCAATCATGAGTCTCGCCTCCGCCCTCACTTCCGCCCTTCCCCCCATCTGTACCGTCACCATCCCAAAAGGCGATGAAGACCTCCACAGCATCATATCGCGCTGGTCCGATCTCGGCGTCAAGCTCCCCTTTGCCGTCGTAGTCCCTTCCACCGAAGAGGACATCATCGCCGTCATCAACTTCGCCTCCCAAAACTCCCTCCACGTGGTTCCCGGCGGTGGCGGCCATGGCGTCTTCGTCCCCATCGGCGAAAAGACGATCTACCTCGACATGAAGAACTTCAACTCCGTGGCTGTCAACAAGGAGGAAAGCTCTGTTACGATAGGTGGTGGCGCTGTAACAGGCGAGATCATCAAGGCGTGCGTGGCTGAGGGGTGCTATACGCGTATGCCCCTCTTTCCCCCGTTCTCATATCCAAAACTATATATTTAAAGGCATACTGATCCTTCAACGCAGTTACGGGCAACTCGGACGCCCTTGGGGTCGCTGGCTACTTCCTCGGCGGCGGGAACAGCTTCATAACCGGCCTCCACGGTCTCGCCGTCGACCACGTCCTCTCCATCCGCGTCGCAAGCGCGTCCGGCTCAGTTATTACCCTTACGCCGTCTTCCACCGGCGCTGAAGCTTCTCTCTGTAAGTCCCTTGTCCTCCCCATCCCTGTTTCCATCCCCACTCCTAATCACCTTCCCCTATCCCCTCCCCTCCCCACCCCAACTAACACCCCCCAGTCTCCACCCTCCGGGGTGCCGGCCACGGCCTCACAGCCATCCTCTCCCTAACCCTCCGCACCTTCCCCATCGCCGCCCTCTCCCTCCCCGACTCCAAAATCTGGAACCGCAAACTCATCCTCCCCGGCACCGCCATCGCCCAAGCCGCCACCCTCTTCACCTCCCTCCTCCCACCCCCGGGCCCCCTCCTCCCAGTGCTGATCTTCGGCCGCGCACCCCCGGGCACCCCCGCCGCCGGCGCGCCCATGCTCATCATCTCCGCCAACTACTACGGCCCCTCTGCCTCCGCCGAAGCCGCCGCAGCTCCTCTCCTGACTCCAGAAGCCTCCGCCACCGCCATCCTCGCAACCACAACCCTCGTCGACTTCACCGCCATGAACGCGTCCTCGGCCGCCATGAGCGCCCACGGCGGCTTCAAAGAAACCTACAACGCCATGCTCGCCACCATCAGCCCTGCCTCCATCACATCCGCCTTCGCGCAATTCGTCGCCTTCGGCGCCGCGAACCCCTCCGCGGCCGCGCGCACCTACGCCGTCTTCGGCGCGTGGAGCACCGGCGCGCAGCTCGCGAACGCTGCGATTCCTAATAACAAAACGTACTTCGCGCACCGCGATCGCGGCGTGTTTTTCCAGTTTACGCCGTGGTATACGGATCCTGCGACGCGGGGCGCGGCGGATGCGGCGGCGCGGGGGGTGGTGCGGACGGTGCGGGAGAGCGATGATGCGAGCGGTTTGGAGAGGGTGATTTTTGCGAATAATATGATTTTTGGGCAGGAGATGGGGGAGGTGTATACGCGCGAGGGGCTGGAGGAGGTGACGGCGGTGAAGCGGGAGTGGGATCCTAAGGGGGTGTTCTGGAGCCCCGTGGGGGACGAGCGGTTTGGGGTGAGGGAGGGGTATTTGGGTTAGAAGGGGTTGGGAGGGAGGAGGTTTAGGAGTTGACGAGGGATGAACATTGGCTCTGACAGGGATGAATAAATGATAACGAATACAATGAAGAAATTCGGTTTTGAGAGTCATTGAGGATGGTTTGATTCAGTCTCCTACCTACCTACACACTACCTTTAAGACAGCGAAGGAACTACAGAAATGGGTGACAAACGTTCAAACCCTACTGCTACGCTCCAACACAGAAAAGCCCCGCTAACAAGAGCAATCATCCAGGACCAGGCTTATGCTTACTAAAAACGTGCATACCAGTTTGCTCGAGTGCCGGGTGGCGTTCACTAAATGAAAAGAAAAGTGAGCCAAAGAAAAGCAGAGATCAAATATCATATTTCATGTTTCTCGTGGTTTGAGAATTTACATTGCAGCCTGCTGAGCGTTGGCAGCGAGCCACATCGAAAAGGCTTGTGGGTTTCGGGTCTGCATGAAAACGGTGCCAGGGCCTGTTTGGGGTCATTTCGGTTCAAGTGCGGTAGATGTATGAGGAGGAAGTATACGCACCGGTAAATTTGCAGACTAAGCCTTCGCCGGAGGTTAGTCCGGAAACGATGCCACCGCTGGCCACACGCTCTAGGACGTATTTGCAGTTCCAGGCAACGAGGTGACCGTTATCGATGATGTATTTCTCGTTTTCTTGGAGCTAGGGATGGTCAGTACTCTTGATAACAACGAAGGAGGCGCTGGGATGACTTACATCTTTCCGGATAATGGCACCGAAACTCGTCACCCACATGATACCTTGCCCTGAAATCTTGTACACGAAGAGGCCCTCACCGGAGAACATGGCTTTCCCAAAACCTTGGCTCTTGTACTCCTTGACTACACCCTGAGTCGCAGCAAGGAACGCGTCTTTGCCGACAGACCACTGTTCTCGGCCTGAGAGTTGGATATTGGTGATATCACCGATGGCGCTTGGAGCAAGAAGCAGTTCGCCGGGCCCGGTGTAAGTGGAAGTGCTCATTTCGCCGCCAACGAGCAGCTTCTTCATGCTGAACTTGATTTGGCCCTTGAGGGTGATGGTGGGAGACATTGCGATCATGGCGCCTAGAAAACGATCTCATCAGCATACTCCCTAACTGATAGAGATTGGAGGCTATCTTGGAGAGGCGAACATACCTGGCTTTGCTACAAGTGGACATCCCATCGCCAACTGTACCGTCAAAATAGTGTTCGTATCACGGTGGCTAATCCTGTAGCTTCCGCCATTGAAAGTTCCCACATCATCTGCGGTCGCACTGGCCGCTCCCACGAAGTGTACTGCTGGTGGTGCGCCGCCTTGTAGCTGGCCTGGAGAGTTCATATTGACAGTCTGAGCAGGGGGCTGGGGAGAGGGAGTCGGCGCAGCAGCTCCGTAGCCGGACGTGGGTGGGGCGTTGCCGCCAGGAGGGGGCGCGTAGTGTTGTTGCTGTGGTGGCTGCTGGCCTGGTGGGGGGAATGAGGCGCGATTATCGTATGACTGCTGATGTTGCTGCTGAGGTGGAGGGGGGTAGTTTTGCGCCGGTGGACTCGAGGTCGGAGGAGGTGCGTATTGGTGCTGCGATTGTCCACCCGAAGGAGGAGGTGGATAGTTGAATTGCCCTTGTCCTTGCTGCGGAGGAGGCGCAAAGTGCTGTTGCTGTCCGTGGTCTAGGGAATATTAGCCGTGAAGTTGAGGGATGATGGTGCGGATGGATCGGATTACCTGCTGGAGGAGGATATGCGCCGCTCTTCTCTGGAGGAGCTGCATGTCTGTAAGCTCCATATCGTCCCTTCTCTACGCGTACTTGTACTCACGAGGATAGTAGTTGCCTTGTGGCGGAGGGCTTCCCTGTGGTGGGCCGCCGTAAGACATGATGGATGATGATGGCTAGTTGGTGGGGGCTATTGATGAAGATTGAGGCGTGCTAAAAGCGTCGAGAGCTAAGAGAAGGGAGAGGGACAGCAAACAATATGAACAAACGAACGGAAAGATAGTGATGGAGGGTCTCGTGCAGTGCTCAGCCTCAGTGGCCTGCGAAGGAGCTGAAGGTGGTGGGGTGGCAGAGGTAGGGATCTGTAAGCGCCGTGGAAACGACCCCGCAGACGAATGTCAGAATGGGGCCAAGGGCCCAAAGCAGAAGACAGCAGATTGGCAGTTCTTGGTTGTGGTAGAAAAGAAATCTGCACGGAAGATGTTACCGTCTTCTGCACCATCTCTCTCGAGCGCTACACTTTCCACGCCAGCGCAGGCCTATGCAGGTCCAATAGCGCCAATGATTCTTCCCGCACCGCTACCCCGGCAACGTCTAAATTTACCCAGAAAGAGTTTAACCGCCTGCTGTGGTGTTGCGAGCAGCCAATATAAACATCGGGCGGTGCTTATTGGGCGGCTAGGCGCCGACCGTAAAGCTGGGACTGGCTTCATTCGTGGAACCGTTGTTTTATTTTTGGGAAAGTGTAGATTAAGCAGCTTTTTTGGCAGTGTGTTGAGCTGCTTAACGCCCCTCTGGCATATTCCCATTTAGAACTTGAGATGCAAACTCCACAAGCTTGTGAACTAAACAATCTTCCATCTTCCACCCTACGGCAGGAATCAGAGCTGTATTAGCATGGTTTTAACAGCCCAGGTAGTTGTTTGAAGACACCCGTGGCTGTTTATCCCCAGAGTTCGAGCATGCCATTTCTAGACACATTAATCCGCCCAATTACGTATCTCACATGTTGCAATTAATTAAACACCAAATGTACTCAAATCTACCTTATAATATAGCAGAGCCGAAGTCCCTATACTACATCCCTCGATCGGAAATGCTTTTATCCCATTTCCCCAGCCAGACGGCTCAGACCCAGAGACTCGTTCTCTCCCCAGTGCGTTGACAAAGGAAAAGAACTAAAAACTCAAAACACCACCATATGACAAAGGAGAATGCATAGCATCGCATCGGCAGGGCAGTCCGTGCCCTATAGCTCTAGCCCCATGCGTAAAAGTACAGTCAGTCTCCGCTCGTAGATTCCGCTCGCTCAGTTCGCACCGCCAGCGCCTCCGCGCGCCCGTTTTCCCCCTTGATGCCCGCCATCTGTGCCGTCTCCGTCTTCACGTGGCCTCTTCATCCCACTCCCACCACTACTACCAGGATTGAATTGCCTAGCCGCCGGGTTCATCGACCCCTTTGGACTGTTCTGCGCCGCTGGCCCTTGCGGTAGGTTGCCGGTCTGAATATGCTGCTGCTGACTACCGCGTCCTCCTCCGCCTCGTCGTCCGCCGCGGGGGAGTTGGCTCTGGTTTTGATTACCGCCTTGGTTCTGGTTCTGTTGCTGTTGCTGTCCACGACCAACCGGTCTTGGCAGACCTCCCCCGCGTGGAATACCAGTCTGCATGCTCTGTCCGAGATGCTGTCGGAACTGGTTCGCTTGCTGGCCCGGGAACTGCTGCTGTTGCTGGTTCGCAGGCGAGTTGGATCGTAGGGGGTTTTGCTGCTGCATCATTGGATTTGGCATCAGGCCGCCAAAGGCAGGGCTAGCACGGCCCATGTTGGCTTGGTTGTTGTAGCCGGGCATCGTCGGTGCCATGTTTGGTTGCTGGCCAAAGAGGTTGGGTTGGACCTGAGATGGTAGTGGCTGGCCGAAGGAACCGGGGCGGTTTTGGCCCGGGATATTGGTTTGGCCAAAGGAACCCGGGCGGTTTGCAAAGGGGTTTTGTGGTTGGGCGGATGCATGATGGGCGAAGCTGCCCTGGGGAGCTTGACCGAACCCTGGTTGTCCAAATGCAGTGGGCGACGGTTGGCTAGGATCGTGTGGGCCGGTTGGAGGCTGTAGGTGCGACGCAGGCTGGTTGGCGATGGGCTGCTGAGGTGGAGTCGGCGGCACAGCCTGTGTCGATTGCGCAGACTGTGTTGATTCCGTAGGCTTAGTCAAAGACGCAGACGGAGCCAGAGGTGCTGGCTGGGCAGGGACCGCCATCTGCGTAGCCGACGCTGCCTGTGCGACTTGACCTGGCTTGGCCTGGGGTGGCTTCGCCTTCTCTGCGATGGCCCACACCTCACCAACAGGTCGTTCTGGGGTCTCCTTTGCCGCTTGCTGGACAACAGAGATTCGAGCCCTTATATTCTCAAGCATGCCACCCTTGAGATTGGCCTTCTTTAAATCCATCTCGTAGTTATTGATCTTCTTGGTGTAGGTGTCATTGAGTTCTTTTTCTTTGGCCTCAGCGACCTTCGTCTGTTCTTCAATCGCCTCGGCTATGGCGGCCTCCTTCTCCTGCGCAAGCTTCTTCTGGACGTTGCGGATGAGAATCTCCTTCACAACAGGGTGGTTAGACACGAAATGTTTGATGACTGATTCTGGAGCATCCCAGGCGATAGGCTCCTTCTCAGGACCATCCGCTGATTCCGCCGCAGCGCCATCTACACTTTTGTCTTGCTCCGTCTTTGCAGGCTGGTCTTCGGCACCCTTCTGTACTAGCAGTCGAGCTTCCTCATGGAGGGTGGCAATCTCGGCTTGGTGCTCCGTGTTCAATTGCTGGATCGCCGCTTCATGCTCTGATCGGAGTTGCTCCATAGCGTCCTCATGCTCCTGTTGCAGTTGTTGTTTGATAGTCTCCTTGCCATCTTTGAGCTTAGATTGAAGAGAATTCTTCATCTTCTCTGTCCGGCTCTGGTAAAGTGTTTCGGCCGCCTGGATCTTCTCGATTTGTGCAGCCTCCAGTTCCGTGCGAATGAGAGCCACCTGTTCGGCAACTTGATCGGTGATAGATTTAGTGCTATCAGAAGGAGCGCTGGTCGCCGCCGCGATTGCAGCATTGATTCGCAGATCATCTGCTTCTTTCCGAGTAATCGCGAGCTCTTCCTTGAGCTTCTCGATCTCTTCCGAAGAGTCTCCGTTAGTGTCCTGGTTGGCAGGTGGAGGTACTTGTGCCTGCAGCTGTTGAACCTGGACCTCCAGCTGAGCCTTCTGGGCCTTGGCTTCAGCTACTTCAGTATTGGCGGTAGCAACCCGTTGGTGGAGTTCAGCCTGGAGTTGAATTAGCAAAGTTGCCTTTCGAATTCTTCTACTTCACTTACGATCTGGTTTTCCAATTCCCGAACGCGCCCTTGGAGTGCATCGACTTGTATGTGAAGGTTGACAGCTCTGTTAGCCTCCTGGTTCACCCTGCCTTCGGCTTCATTGATACGAGCTTGGAGGGCCTCTTTCTCCTCCAGAGAGAAACCAGTCGCACTGCCTTCATCCACCTGACCCTCTTCCGAATTATCCATAGACGTGTCCGTGGGCTTCACATTTGCAAGTGCTTCCTCTAGCGCAGTTTTGGTTGTTTCGAGCTCTGTCTTGACCTCGGCAATCTGCTGCTGCAGTCCCTCACGCTCTTGTTTGAGACCATTGATAATAACGCGATTATCCTTGTCCCTACTCTTGGATTGGTCTACCAGTTTCTGCCTCCGCTCGTCGAACGTCGCCTTCTGTTCAGCCAGCGCGGCTTCGGTCGCGACACGGATCCGCTCCTCTACTCCGTTCAACTGCTCTTGCAGTGGTTGAAGCTCCGTCACAGCTTGATCGCGTTCTGTCTGAAGAGTTTTGAGTTGAGACTTGAGTTCCTCGAGTTCCGCGGGATCAACTCGATCGTACTTCTGCAGAATGTCTTGAGCTCGCTTCTGATACCTATCACGGTCCTGTTCCAGAAGCTCATATTCTCCGTTCTTGGTCTCGAGTGCGTTATCGAGTTCGCGCACACGGGTTTGAAGAGGTTGAATCTGGCTCACGAGGTCCTCGACCTCCTTCATCTTCTCAGCCAGTTGAGCCTGCGCCTGGCGCGCCTCGTTGCGAAGAGTAGCGCTGCTTTCCCTGAACAGATTGAGTTGCTCAAGAGTTTCCATAAGTTTGCTGTGACTGAGCGCGTTCTGCTCCTTGTCGGCCTGGGTCTGGCGTTCCGAATTCAACTTTTCGCGAGTCTGGTCAAGTTGATTCTGAGCATGGTCAAGTTGCTGTTTCAGTCGCTTAGCTTCTTGTATAGACAGTTCGTACTGAACATCAACAATCTCCTTCTCTTGTCTGAGGTATCGAATAACCTCTTGGAGGCTCTCAAGCCCCGAAGATGGAGAGCCAGCGATATCCTCCTCGCCACCAGCAATCGATACTCGGCTCTGCTTCAAGCTTGCAATTTGCGAGCTGACGTTCTCGAGCTGCTGGTGTAGAATTTTGTTTTGAGACTTCATGTCCTCGTTTCGGGTCCGTAGTTCACCAAGTTCTCGCTCGTACCGTTGTCGTGTTTCATTCCAGTGCTCTTCGCTTTGCGCCAAGGTAGTACGAGCAGCCTCGCCCTGGGCTTTAATGTCTGCAACCTCGGTCCGCAAGGTGTTGTATTCCTCCCGCACAGTCCTAAGAGTCTTCGTAGCTTCACCGTGTCGGACAAGCTCGTTCTCATAGCTTTGCTGAGCCTGCTTAGCAATCTCGGCTTGGGCCTTGAGGTCCTCTTGATGCATCTTGGCCGTTTCTTGATAGCGCTCGCAGTCGTCCTTGAGTCGGATAATTTCCGATTCCAGAACCTCCTTCTGTTGGTTGAATGTGGTGGCGCTTTCCTCTTGAGCACGTCGGACTTCAGAAAGTTCCTGGTTCGTAGTTGCTAGCTCGGATGAGATCTCATCCACCCGTTGCTCAAGATCCTTGATTCTTGCGTCCTTCTCGGCTATCGTGCTCTCCGTCTCTTCGTGATACTGCTCATAGGTGTCGTTGAGAGATGCAAGTTCTTCCTCCGAGGCTTGTGCAATCCCCTTGTAACTCTCAATGTGCACCTTTGTAGTCTCAACTTCGCCACGCGCAAGTTCAAGGTCACGCTTGAGGTCTGAAATCTCGAGCGCAAGCTCCTGCTCCCTGCTGAGACCATCCTCATTGATCGTGGGGCCGGCGGTTCCATTGGCGCCATTTGTGCGAGGTGTTGGGCGTGGCTGAAGAGTATGTGCTCGTTCTTCGGCAGTCCTAAGTTCAATCTTCATCTCGTCGACTCGAGTCTGAAGCTGATCACGTTCGGTTTTAGCAGCGACAAGCTCCTCGCGAATGTTCCCGAGGGTCTTCACAAGATCGTCGATTCTGGTCCTGCTCTGCTCTTGTTCATATTCTCGGCGCAATGCAAGCTTCTTCCCATCTTCAAGCTCGTCATCATGTTTTCGCTTCACTGATTGAAGTTCGGTCTCCAGAGATTCAATCTTGTTCTGTAATCGTCGTCGATTCTCTGAGTCCGAAAGTTCGCGCTCGTTTTGCAGATTCTGCAAGTCGCTGACCATCTTGTTGAGGCGAGCCCTCTCGTCGAGGAGTGACCGGTTGTCTTCGCTGATACGTTCCTCAATCTTTTTCCACAACTCACGTTCGGCTTTCAGATTCGCGTTTTCATTACGCATGCCATCGGCTAGTGCCTTTGCTTCGGTGTAATCCTCCGCGGTTTTCTGGGTTAGGAGGTCCTGTCTGGCCGCGACTTCCTGGAGAGACTGCGTGCGCTTCTGCAATTCTCCATTCTCAGACTTGAGCATGCCGAAGTTGGATTGAAGAAGTTCGTAACGCTCGTGCGCAATGGTAAGCTGACTGCTGTATCGTGAAACCTCAGTTTGCAATTCGCCCTTATCCTTCGCGAGCTTGTCGACTTGTTGCTTGAGTGAGGCGAGATCGGTTGCGGTCTCTTGTTTGTAGGCATCGAAATGGCTAGTCATGTCCTTGATCAGTTTTGCGTAGTCCGAAGCATTCTGCGCCTGTGGAGACTGCTCGATGCTCTCCATCATGTCGCCAGGGGGAGGTGTAGCGGTTGCGCGACCGTCAATAGACTGGCCGAACACGGAAGCAAGATCAGAGCCCTCTGGCAGTTGGCCACGATGTGCTAGCATTCGTCGAAACATGTCTCGTTCCTGGGCGAAACTCTGTGACCGGTGGTTCAGAGACTTTAACTCGTCTTCGTATCGCGCGCATTGTTCTCGTAACTTTGCCAGCTCTTCGCGGTCCTGCTCAATCCTTGCTGCTTGCGCCGCTGCTTCTGCGCCTTCAAATTTCTCGGTCATACCCCGGAGACCTAGAAGGAGTTCCTTGTTCTTTGCTTGCAGCTCATTCACATCTTTGTAGAGTACCAACCTCCGACTAATAAGTTTGCCAGTAGCTGACATCTCCTCAGGTACGGGGAGCTCGCCATTGACAACCTGGTCCAGGTATGTCTGTGTTGCAGAATCGAGAGACTCTAGGCCCATTTCGCGGGCCTGCCCTTCGACTAGGAGGCGTTGGATCTGGGCGCTGAGGTCTCGTGACTCTTGACGGAGCAGATTCCTGTCGGTGTTGAGGCCGTCCAAGTCACCTTGGAGCTTCCTGGCGTTCCTCCGGGCCAGCTCACGTTCCTTGTTGGCATCTTCAAGAAGCGATGAGAGCTCCCCGACGGTATTATTGAGCTCGTCGTTGTTTGAACGTAGCTCGTCTAGCTCGGGACCAAGATTTTCCATTTGAAGGAGCATCTCATTTACAGTCTTCGAAGCTTCTTCATATTTTGCGGTGACAGCCTCGACTCTGCCTTTGAGCTCATTGTTTTCGGTGTATAGCTGTGTGGTCGTGAAGGACTTCATCCGGGAAGCAGCAGGGGAACCGAATGGGGAAGCACTTCGGCCAGGTGTCCCAAGAGTTCCATTGATACCACGTCTTGGTGTAGCTGGTACCTGGATCGTATTGCGAGCCTCGGTGAGGTTGGCTTCTAGATTCTCCACCTGAAGCTCAAGCTCTGCGACTCTAGCTTCGAATGCCAGACGCTGCGATTGCTCCGTCACAACTTCAGCTTGCAAAGTGCCAATTTCCTCCGCCGCAGAGTCATTCTTGTCGTCCAGTTCGGATTGAACTTCTTGCAAGCGTGATTTGGCCATGTCTGCGCCTTGCTTCTGGAGATTGGCAAGACGGTGAGCACTATCCAACTCAGCACGGAAAGACTCCTGCATCTTGAGCCTATCCTCCTCGAGCTGCTGTATCTTGGTGAAGCCTTCCTCGGCCTTCTGATTGACCTCTTCCAGTCGGTTTCGCAGAGTGGTCTCGGTACGGCGGAGGGACTCGATAGTCTGGGTGGCGTCTTCGTTCAGTCGCTGTAGCTCAGATATCCTGGAAAGCTTCTCTTTGCGGAATTTGGCGTGGTCGGAATTGCGCGTCTGCAATTCGCCCTCGTACCAGTCATTGTTCTTCTTCAAAAGGTCGACCTCTTGCTGGAGAGCCTGCTCGCGGAACTTGGTGCTCATTGAGGCATTCTCAAGAGTTTGGTTCTTCTCTCCGAGCTCAGATACCTCTCGGCGAAGGGCTAGCGTCTTCTTGTGTTGTGCAGAGAGCTCATCTGCGAGTCTGTCGTGTGCCGTGGATTTCGATTCAACGAGGGAAAGCGCATCGCGGTTGGAGGCTTCCAGAAGAGCGATTCGGGACTGCAGCGCCTGGACTTCGGAGGTCGAGTTGGACGAAGAGGACTTGAGGGTCTGGAGCTCGGTCTCGAGTTGGGCGCGCGCATTCTCTGGATGACAGACGGTCATCAGCAAACGCGTGTTGAGTGCGAGGACGAGGGCACATACCTTCATCGTTGAGTTTCCGTCTGAGATGTTCAACCTCCTTGAGGCCTTTGTCCACGGAGGCCTTGAGTGCTTTGGCGCGGGAGTCTCCAGAGCGAACAGCATTTTCTAGCTCCACATCGATGCGGAGCTTCTCAGCCTTGACGTCGTCGTGTTCGCGAGCCTTGGACTCGATCTGGGAAAGGATGGACGCGACGAGTTCGGTGGTGGGGTCGTCGAGTAGCGATTGTATCTGCGACTGGGGCACCGCAAACGACACGGCCAAGTAGGCTACGTCCACGGCTGCGGCCGCCATGGTGAGAGGGAAGTGAGGGCCAGCTAGGTCATGCTCGAGGGCCGCGATCGAGGGGGGTGTGGTGGGGAGAGGCAATGAAAGGAGGGTGGTGGTGAGGCGACAATGGCGCTCTTGTTGGGGGGGGTTCGTGGATGTCAAAGACGTGAAAGAGCAGCTCGACTTCAGGCCGGCGCGAGCGAGGGCTGGCGCCAAGCCTTGTTGTGCAAGGCTGCACACCCGCTAGTGAATCCAGAAATAAGCCGCCGTCTTCTCGCCGCAACCGTCCAAGCGTCCCTCCACACAACCCACAACCTCCCTCAGTCACGCACCCACACCACAACCACCGTCTGCTAACCACCGGTGCGCCCTCGATACCTGACGCTGGCCCCGTTCTGGGACTGCTCTGACCTTGTCTCCGCCACGGTCCTGGCCATCGACAGCTGCGCGAGAGCTGCCTTCGCTCGCTGAAAGAGCTGCCGTCAAGCACCTCACCCAGGCCGACAGCATGTCCTCCCTCAAGACGTCCTCTGCCGTCCCGGCCAACCTCTCTGTGCCCTCTCCGACACCCTCGAATGCCTCCAGCAGCGGCACCAAGCGCAAGCGCCCGGCCGACGCCATAAAGCCCTCGGCCTCGACTGTCTACTCCCAGCCTAGCGAAACCGGCACCGGCCTCCACATTTTCACGCAGGTCGGCTATGCGACCAGCTTTCTCCGCGAATCGGGCCGTCCCTTGACCTTCAAGGAGATCACCGACTACTTGAATATTGCGTACGACGATACCGATGTTCGAAACCGCCTTATCAGCGTCTTGCAAAACCCGACTACGCAGAAAGTCCAGTACAACGCGAAGAGGGACACATACAGCTACAAGCCCAAGAGTAGTGTGAAGACGCCCGAGCAGCTCAAGGGCTTCCTGCAGAACCAGCAGTCGGCTTGTGGTATCACGGTCAAGGACCTGAAGGATGGTTGGGCAGACGCTCCCGAGGCTATCGCCGCCATGGAAGCAAAGAAGGAACTGCTGGTCACCCACAACAAGAAGGACGGCAGTGCCCGCACAGTCTGGATCAACGACCCCACGCTGATGCACTCCCTGGACGCAGACTTCCTGGGCGAGTGGCACAAGATTCAACTACCAGCAAACCCGGACGAGCTCCGCACGAAGCTACTCGCCGCAGGCCTAAAGCCGGCCAGTGAGGCGAGGGCAGCTGTGAAGGAGAAACCGAAGGAGAAGAAGAAAAAGGCTCCGAGGAAGGGCGGGAAGCAGACCAACATCCACATGGCTTCCATCTTGAAGGACTATTCCCACAAGAGGAAGTAAAGCCATTTCATTTACTGCATAGCGTCGGCGTTTGGATGAGACCCGGGAATTGATTTCGAGGGGTTAAAAGATACCCTACTAGGCCTACAAACGGGGTCCCAAATTGATGAATAGACAGAAGCTTGTGCTGCAACGAGAGGGGCTGCACCTTTTGCGGTTGATTTATAGAAGCTAGACATAGCTTGAAGGCACAATTTGACTGTAATCAGTATTCTCTTGTGACTGCATCTGCATCGTGAAGGATCCTCTGCTAATCTTTTTGGATATATGGGATCTGAATTAACTTGGCATCAGAAAGCTAAGTTACCCCTGCACCATGCTAGCGGTTTGGTCCATGCGCCAGCATCATGGACTCGAACAATTTGACAACGGCCAGGACGCAGCTCAGCTGACCTGGCCCACAACCTCGGCTGACCTGGCTCGGCACACAATCCAAGGCCTCAACACCTCACCCGACCTCCCTCCTCCAGTTTAATTCTAGGTTTAGGAAAGAAGGGCAAGGTTATATATGATATACCTTATCTGACCTGCAGGGCCACGTCAGCTGCGCTGTACGCTCGACAACGGCCACGACCATAACTCGTCTCAACACCCACGTTTCGAACAATGCTCCGGCCATGACCACAGAATCTCACACATAACATTCAAACCTCCCACCCTCAACAATGCCTTCTCCACGCTTACTCAACCCTCTCAGAGCTCTCTCAAAGCTACCCAGAACATCCACAACCTCCGCCCTCCGCACCCCCACACATCCCCGACCCTCCCAGCAACCCGTCCTACCGCCCCGATTCCGCCATGATTCCACCCGCTACTCCTCGACCTCCTCCGTCGACCCCACAGAAGTCTCGCACTTCAACGCCCTCGCCAGCAGCTGGTGGGACCCCCACGGCCCCTTCCGCCTCCTCCACCTCATGAACCCGCTCCGCCACACCTTCATAACCCGCTGCCTGGCCTCCGTCCCCTCGCCTACCTCAAACTCGCACCCAACAACCTACCGCTACCTCGACGTCGGCTGCGGCGGCGGCATCTTCGCCGAAAGCGCGGCCCGCCTGCCACACACAAGCTCTGTCACGGCCATCGACCCCTCGTCCGAGGTGCTCGCGATCGCGGAGGCGCACAAGAACCGCGACCCGATCCTCATGTCTACGGGGAAGTTGACATACCGGAACGAGGGGATCGAAGCTCTGCCTCTACCGAAAACGGAAGCGGAGCAGTTCGACATCGTAACGCTCTTTGAAGTCCTCGAGCACGTCAACTCCCCCTCCGAGTTCCTGGGGAAGCTAATGCCGCACGTGAAGCCGGGGGGCTGGCTGGTGCTGTCGACGATCGCGCGCACGTGGACGAGCTGGGCGGTGACGAATGTGATGGCGGAGGATGTGCTGGGGATCGTGCCGAAAGGGACGCATGACTGGCGGAAGTATGTGAATGAGGGGGAGGTGCGGGAGTGGTTTGAGAAGCGGGAGGGGTGGGGGGAGATGAGGACCATAGGGTGCGTGTATGTGCCGGGGTTGGGGTGGAGGGAGGTGCCTGGGGGGGAGGGGTGGGGGAATTACTTTTTTGGGGTGAGGAGGGAGGGGTAGGGGATGGCGTGGGGCTGGGAGTGTGTATGAGTAGGTTGTTCGTTATATAAGGTAAATCTATGAGATCGAAGGGTGTGTGACTTGTGAGGTTGTAGACGTGACATCCGTAGATAGATGGGTGGGTGGAGGGGGCGGGGGTGGTGTGGCAGAGGGGTGTGAAAAGATCGGTAGAGATAGAAATAAATGGCTGGTGGAGGTCGTGGAGGTTTAAAGGGTACGATGCATTCTGCAATGGGAGCTGGAGCTGGATCGAGATCAACAAGCGCAACCACATTTTTGCATGGACTGGTAGAATTGGTTGGTGTTTCGAAATCAACACACTCAGACAGAACAAGCAATGGTTTAGAGGGAATGGAGATTTGAAGTTAACACTCTCGAGCGACTCTGACCATGGGCTGGTGGAGGTGTGTGGAAGTTCAAACTCTTGCTTTCCTGATCCCTACGGGTGGAGTGTGTTGGATTATGACAATCACCTACAGCAATCAATGCTAGTAGCAAACAGGGCTCTCATGTACATAATGTCGCGTTCTGTCAATGTTCAGATGCTACGGCCTGCAAGTCAACAGAGTGGGAGCTTCGAAATAAAAAACACCCAATAATCTCAACTGATCGACTTGTGCAGTGGGTTCGGGTGCGGTGCGTTCATCAGCTCTCGATGATGAATAGCCTTACCACGCTTCCAAGATGCAGCGTTTCAAGAGATTGGTATGCTACAGACCCTCGTTGAAGAGTCATGCTGGACACCAACATCGTGCTAGATCTGATAGAGCACGGCGGTCCCAGCACTCTGCATGGAATGATGCTATGGAAGCGTTGATCCGACACTATCCATGTGACAGTGCCAAGATCTGTTTTTCATCAACGCTCTCTCCTCCATGTTGTGCAACTCCGCTGGGTTTTTGCTACCGTGCTCCTCCGTCGTGCATTGCGCAGTCGCAGAGGACAAAAACCCCTCTGCTGGAAAAGAGAAAGGGGAGGTGAGTGTTTTATACCCCATCTCACGCGCTTTCTACTCCAGCCCGTACGAGTCACCTGTTCCCTGTACTGGCCATGCACAGTGCTCATTCTGCAGCAAAACGTCTTTCTGGTCCAGCTTAGTCAACTTCATCACCTGACTGCCCCTAAAGCACGTGCCGGAGGGGCTATAAAACCTCCCACTTCGTCGCGGAAGGATGATTTTTTCTTAGGGAACGAGGAAGGGTGTGAAACCATCAAAATGCGCACACCTTGCAAAGTATGTGGTAGAGGGGGGGAGGTGCAATTTCATGAGAGCATCCCGTCGATAGACAGTTTAGGAGGAGGGCATCAACAGTACGGAAAAGACGAGTAGATGGATTGGCGGTGCTGGGGAGGTTCGAACAAAAGTGCGACAACTCCCGATGAACCTGAGAGCATTCAAAAACTGGTCCAGGAAGTACCCATGACCTGGGAGAGATGAATGGGGGATGGGTAACGAATCGCGCGAGAGAATCATGGATTAGTGTAACTAGGGCGGTTCGAAGCGTGGAGGGAGCTATCACCATGGGCTGGGGGAGATTCAAAAGCTGGTGGTCGGCTTCGCCATGTATCGGAGGAATTGGAGGGTGGGTCGCGTCGAATTTGGTGACAAGCAGTACCTGAGTTTGAAGATGCTATATTTCAGTAATGACGGCTGCAAGGAGGCATTTTCTAGAGAGTACGATGGAGAGCATCACCAATTGAAGTGCTGGAAGCGCGACGATCCCACACTCCCTCCATACAACGGATCCCTGCTCCATTTTAATCCCACCTTCTCTCTCCATTCGCGAGTTTCGCACTCGATTTCTGCCATTTCGCTCCCTTGCTCTTTTGTTTGCAATTGCTGAAGCAAGACCGATTGCCTTTGGAAAGGGGGAGAGGAGGTTTTGTACACTTTCTCACGTGCTTACTTTCCCAACACGTGGAAATCACCTACAGCTGCGCGCTATGTTTTGACATCGTCCCGTATTAGGTTTGCACCAGCGAATTGAGCTTCAAGTCGTCCGACGTCAGTTGACAGCACCTAAAGCATGTGATGCGCGTTCATGCGTATAAAAAGCTCTCGCACCTCGCTTCACCGGGTTCCTTCTCCAAGAAGCAAAGGGGACGCAAGGGTTTAGCCATTCAAAATAGCTACGAGAACATGTCATTGTTTCGTTGGAGCTTTGAAGCAAAGCAAAGACCACCGGCTCAGCGTGGTCTCAAAGGGAAAGGGGTATGAAAAAGAAATACAAGGTCTGACCATGAACTGGCAGAGTAGGGGATTCGAGTGTGATCAACTTCTGTTCCTCAGTCTTCGTATGTTTTTGGTGATTTAAAAATGACAACATGAGCGTCTTATGCGGTCGGAGGTTGCAAGATCGAAAGATTTGGATCACGATAATTGGCCGAAGGCGGTGTTCGAGGCAGCACTAGGTATGGCCCTTAGTGATGAAGAATGGTAGAGAGCCGTAAAGGCAACGCGCTGTAGCGAGGAGATATTCTGGGAAGCAGATGCGTAGAACTGTCATAATTGTAACTGTAAGTGTTCTTAGATCATGATTGGCATTTCGTCTCCGAAATGGTAATTATCAGTGAATGGAAGAGCGGAACAACAATCGCAATGGCCGTTTCATCGCGAAGCCCAGGGGCTACCCAGCCTATTTATCCACGCTCTTTTCGCGTTATGGTAGTAGCATTAGCAACAGCAGCAAAGGCGGGTTCACGATCCTGCTACTTTCTCCATTGCTCGTCTCGGACGGCTTGTTGCTGTTCCACTTCTCACAATGACTACATCGCAATTGTGGAAGAGTGGTCAGATCTCGTGTCTCTTGCAAAAAATACCTCTGCGCCTCCACTCTGGAGAATATATTCTATTTCACGTGATTTTGGCTCTGGCAAGTGAAGGAGCTCTAGGTACGCTTCGTGAATCGACGGTTGTCCCGGCAATGATTGATAGGCGCGATTGATTGAAAGGATTATTTGAGGGAAGAAAAAGGAGTAAAACAAAGCTGTAGACAAACCCATGATGCCTTGAATTTGGGGGCAACAGCCTTTGATATGTCTCCGCATCTTTAGAGGCTGTTAGAGCTATCCTAGCTGACGTACGGAGCATCAATTGAGACACGCTGACTAGTCGCAGAATAGTGACCCCATTTCTAGTGTCTCGCATTGATGAGATTCCACTTTCCTGGTGATACGAATAGTGTTTGCTTAGATGACGAAGTGAGAAGACCAGAAGAAAAGAGGAGGAGCCGCACGGTCTCAAACGTGAGGCGACGTGACCTCAACTCACCACCTCCAACTTTCCTCCGCCGGCGTCACAATGGATATTCCAGCGGCATGGCTGTCAATCACTGGAGAGCCCCTTGATCTGAATACTCAGGAATCTTTTCTAGGTATGCCCCTTTGATATGATCTCATACAATTGCTAATGCCTAAAAGGAAACTGCCCCTCCATTTCCACGTACAAGACTCTCAATAGCTTGGGAGAAGGCGGCACGGTCTCCCTTCTACTTCAATACACTCAAGACTGACTTGGACATGTGACTTCCAGCTTATGGCGTCGTCACTCGCTCCCTCGATACTCGTACCTCCGCCGTCGTCGCCATAAAGCAACTACATATTTCCTCCTCCGAGCGCCACAATGGCATCCCTATCACAACCCTCCGCGAGATCTCAATCCTCCGCTCCCTACGCCACCGGAACATCGTCAATGTGCTGGACGTAGCCGTAGGCGAAGACAAGCTGGAGGATGTGTTCATGGTTATGGAGTACTGCGAGCAGGTTGGTAATCCCCACCCAAGCATCCAGCAAGCTGGGTGAAAGATGGAGTACGAAAACCTCAAGGAACTCTGGTATATTCTCGCTGGCTTATGCTTGCCTCTGCCCTCGAGGTGGAGGTGGTTAGGGCCGGCGTTATGCAGGACATGGCCAGTTTGATGGATGAGCTGAAAGTCAAGTTCACGTTGAGCCAAGGTATGTCTAGGTGTGCTTCGAGGATAAGATTGATTATACTGACGATAATCTAGTCAAATGCCTTGCCCGCCAATTACTCGAAGGCTTGGAGTACATCCACCGCAACGACATCATACACCGGTATGTCTTCGTCTCCATTTCACAGCACTTACGCTATACATAACCCTAACAATCCCAGGGACGTCAAACTCCAAAACCTCCTCCTGACCGCAAAAGGCGTCCTCAAACTCGGTACCTTTCCACAACACCCCCGATCCTTTATCCCTACATCTAACACCACCCAGCGGACTTCGGCCTATCCCGCCGCTACTCTGCCCGTCCCCTCACCCCCGGCGTCGTCACCATCTGGTACCGCGCTCCCGAAATCCTACTCGGCACAGCCCACTACACCCCCTCCATTGACCTCTGGTCCGCTGGCCTCATAATCAGCGAGTTACTCCTCAATGAGCCTGTCCTCCCTGCCGAAACGCCAATCGCGCAACTAGCGGCCATCGTGAAGCTCCTCGGCACACCCACCAAAGAAGACGTCGAGGCACTGCGGGAACTAGGCTGTCCAGGCCTGGTTCGGTGGCAGAGGGATGGCATGCCCAGCGGACGGGCGGATAACCTCGCACGCCGCTTCGAAGGCGTAGCTACTGAAGGGACGTTGAAATTCCTAAAGGGGTTGCTAAGGTGGGATATGCGAGAAAGATGGACGGCGACGGAGGCATTGGGAAGGAGTAGACGACCGCCCAGGAATGCGGAGCACTGGTGGACGGAGAGTCCGAGGGCGGTGGAGAAGGAGATGCTGCCGACATTTCTGGAGGTGCGGAATGCGGCCGGTGGAAGTAGTGGGAAGAGAAAGTTGGAGGTGCCGGAGAGGGTGAAGGAGGGAAAGAAGCATGGGGTTGATGAGGGGGCTGGGAAAGAGTTTGGCGGGTATGCTTTTGATTTTGGGGGCGGGGATGGGGATGGGGATGGCGCAGGGGTAGTAAAGGGGGTGAAGAGGGTGATGCGATGAGTATTTCAGAGGGTATGCCATTTCAATTCTATGACTGACAGACCTAGTAGAATCCATCATTTTGCCCTCCCAGTGAGTTCTTTGGGTTCTGGATCGCCCTTGTAAAAGCGAACCACGACATGTCTCCCCCGCTTGTTCCCCACATGGCCTCCACGTCTATCCAAAATCGTTTCAAGCGGTTAAATTGGTAAGAATTTGCAATGAAACTACCGGAAGCCTCTACTAATCTACCTCACCCACACCTACTAGGTTTGTACTAACTCCGCGATTCAATAGTTTGATTTCCGTTACTTTCGTCGGAAAAAGCAACACAACACGTCCCCTCCACGTATCCTCCGCGTACCCCTCCGAGTCTATCAAACCTAGCATTACACCGTTAAGTCCGTAAGATCTTGTAACATCAATAATTAAAACCTCTCTCGAAACACCCCCACGTAATCTCTTCACCATCTATCGTTGGTCTAGTCTGAAGGCTCTAGATCTGGTTAGTTTAGGAGTAAGAAGTGACCTGGGCATATGCACGCGGCGTGCCCCCCTGGTCCACCAAATCAACTTTATGCGGTTAAATCCGTAAGAACTTCTCACATAAATAGCCAATTCCTCTCGCGAAGCACTTCCGCTATTTTCCTAAATCCTAATATTATCGAGCTGATTTAGACACTCCAGATCTGGTTACTTTTGTAGTAAAAACCCAGTGGACGATGTGCCCTCCGCGTGGCCTATGCGTCTACCAAATCAATTTCACGCGGTTCGATTCGTAAGAACTTGTAACAATATTAGCCAATTCCTGTAGCAAAGCACCTGTGCTGTTTTTCACTATCTTAATGTCGCAGACCTAATTTAGACGCTCTGTATCTAGTTACTTTTATAACAAGGAGTAACTACACCTGGTGCACGCGGTGTGCCCTCCGCGTCTATCAAGTTCAAGCTTACACGGTTCGATATGTCGATCTTGGTAACAAAAGTAGCCAGTTCCTCTAGCAAGGTACCCCGACTACTTTTTGCAGTCCTAAAATTATAGGCCTGATTTAGACGCTCTAATTTAGTTACTTCTGTGACAAGACGTAACTACGTCATGTCAACGCTGTGAGGCCTCCACGTCTATTAAGTTCAAGTTCGCACGGTTAGATCGGTGAGTATTTGTAACCGAGTGGCAGAATTGATAAGCCGAGGAGCTTCAAGTATAGTTCACAGTCCTAATACCGTGGAGCTGATATAGGACGGTCATTTACAGGTTGGAAAGTGACTGTAACAGGTGCACGCGGCGTACGCTCCACGTCTGTTAAAATTAGCTCTACACGGCTCAATATGTAGAAACTTGTAACAAAACCGACTAGTCCTTTAACGGAGGTGCTCCAGCTATCTATCGAAAGGTTAAATCCCTCGAGCTGATTTGGGACGGTGCGTAATGGAGTGAAAAAGAACCACAAAGCGTCCACGAAGCGTGGCCTCCGTGTGCACGTGGCGACTATGAAATTTGGTTCTACACGGTTAGATGCGTGAGTATTTATAACGAAAGTAGGCAATCTCTAATACGAAGCACCTCGGCTTTCCGGCCTTATCCTCTTGCCATCGACCTAATTCTGGGTCCTTAGTTACAGAGTGTGAAATGACTACATCGGGTGCGCATGGCGTACCACCCCGCGTCTGCTAAAATTGGGTTCACACGGTTAGATATGTGAAACTTTGAAACTAAAAGGACGGGTTTCCCGACGGGGGTACTTTAGTGGTGTACCAAAAGCCTACCTCTGTGGAGCTTATTCGGAGTCTGGTTATGGAGTGGAAAGGGACTACGATAAGGGGATGCAGTGGGGGCCTCTGCGTCTTACAAATCATGTTCTACGCGGTTACATTCGAGAGATTTTATAACTAGGGCAGGGCAATTGAGGGATGGAGGTGTTTCAGCAATTTTTCATGACCATGTTTCCGTGAAGCTAATTTGAAGGTCGTTTTTGGACGTGATAACCACGAGGTCTCAACTCGGAGCGAAAATGGGTATTTCCGGAGGCAAGATGATAACGGCTAGGGAGCCTCAAGGAAGCCAAACTCACGTATGATATCTGCTGAGCCCTAGCCCAATCTCTAGCAGCTATCCAGAAACCCCCAACCTCTACTGCGGCACCGCCGCCCCATCCCCCCTGGGATCACTCCCCGCACTCCACACTCTGACCCCATCCTCCACATGCAGCCTGATAATCTGCCCCCTCCCAAACAACCCCCGCTGGTACCCCTTGACTACCTTAACATCATGCCCCAGCCCCTTCAACTCCTCCACTACGCTCTCTTTAATCCCTTCCTCAAGATACACACTCCGATCCGTCATCCGCCCATCCCTATCCGGCATCCCCGCCCCAATACACACGCGTGGCGCATCGAGCGCTGCCTGCGGATGCAACTTAAACACGAGCTGATTCAGCAGCACCTGCACGTGGCCCTGAGGCTGCATGAAGCCGCCCATGACGCCGTATACAGAATGCAAGCTCTGATCCTTGGCGTTGGTAATGAGGGCTGGGATGATGGTGTGGTACGGTCGCTTCCGTGGCTCTAGGACATTGGGATGACCAGCAGTTAGAGAAAACCCGGCGCCTCGGTTCTGCAGCGTAAAGCCGCAGCCTTTGGGCACGATAGCAGTGCCGAAGCCGCCGAAGTTGCTGTTTATGAAGGAGATGGCGTTGCCGTAAGCGTCGGAGACGCAGAAGTAGACGGTGTCGGAGTGAGAGTGGGCGGGAGAGCCGTGAGAGGGGATAGGAGAAGCCTTGGAGGGATCGAAGAGCTTGGCGCGTTCGGCGAGGTAGGGTTGGGAAATGAGCTCGGCGGAGGGCACTTTGGAGACGTTGGGGTCGGCGACCCACCAATTTGCGTCGGCGAAGGCGATCCGGAGGGTTTCAATTACGGCGTGGAGGTGTCTGGAGACTGTATTAGTTGTGGTGCTGATGGTAAGGGGGATGTGGGACGAACGCTGCGGAGTTGTGCTCTTTCTCGCTCCACTTGCTTATCTTGCCGGTTTTCTCGAGGTTTTGAAGTATACCGAGTGCCATGAGGGCGACGATGCCTTGGCCGTTGGGTGGGTGTTCCCAAACTTCTATGCCTTCTCCTTCGTGGTCGTCACCGACACCTTGACCGGAGAATTTAAGGGATATGGCATCGACTTCTTCGGTACCGAAATCCGCATGGTGCTTTAGATCTTCCAACTTGAGGTGACCGCCTAGATCTGAGACGACCTTGATCAGTGCTTCGGCTACGTCGCCCTCGTAGAAGCCTTTCTTCCCATGTTTGGCGAGTAGGCGGTATGTGTTCGCTAGGGTTGGATTCTTCATTATCTCTCCTGGACCCGGTGCTCTGCATCCTCCTGGAGCTTTTGGATCCTTCTTCAGCAATTCGCTTCCATTGGGAGATGCCGTCCGAATAGGTTCTTCGTAAGCAACCCACTGCATTCCTGTAATTAGTCTTGGGCCATTCGGCATAGATTGAAAGTTAAGGTACTCACGAAGGTCGAAGAAAGCTCCGACACGGGAAACCCCTTTTCACCAAGCTCGATGGCTGGAGCCAATATCTCTTCTAAGGTGACCTTCCCACTGCCGAACTTCTCCACGCAGTCAACCCAACCTGCAGCAGCGCCTGGGACTGTTGCTGCGTGAACGCTATCCATCGGAATCCGGCCAGACTCCCCTTCAGCTATTCCCAGATCTTTCCTGATGGTCTCTAGCGTGACTTGCGAGCCAGACCTACCAGAGCCGTTTAAAGCGTGGACTTTCTTCGTTTTCGCGTCGTAGAAGAGACAGAACATATCGCCACCTATGCCAGTTGAGCCAGGCTCGGTCATGTTGAGCCCGGCTGCAACGGCTACTGCCGCATCCTGATTGGGATGTCAGTTGACTTTAGCGCCACAATCTGAGCTATCAAACGTGGGAGTTCCGTGGCTGATGCCAAAGGGTATTCGTACTGCAGCATTTCCTCCCTTTCTCAGGATTTCGAGTCCAGCTTGAGTAGCGAGTGGCTGCGTAGACGAGACAATGCCTTTCGTGCTGTGGACAACGCTTCTTCGGCTGGGGAAGGTCACGAATTGGGGATCCGAGGATGGGTAGATGTAGGCGGAGTTCGGACCCATCTTGACTGAAGATGGAAGGTATCAGAGAGATCTGAAAGATTCAAGAAAGAGGACCAAATGACTTGATGTAGTTATGGCGTTGAAGATGGCAGAAAACACAGAAGCTTAGGACAAAAGCGAGAAGATACCAATGACAAGTGACAATGCTGCGCAACCCACAAACAACACAGCGCTCTACACGTGTCAGTGGCGTTTGTTTGAAGAGAGATGACCGGAAATCATGGGTTCTCCCCGTGAGTTTCCATTATCAATGGTGGGGTATGCGAGTATCGGAGCGCAGCAACGAATGACGACTGAGACTCTTTCGGCACGAAATCCGAGGAGAGATGCCGTGCCATGCCGTGGCGTGGCAGGCTATCCTCAACCCAGAGTGTTCCTGCCGGTCAGTTTAGTCACATAGATTGTTTTCCTGGATGGGTGGTCGTTGGGCGTTGAAGATGAGGTTGAAGCAATCACAACACGGGTGTGGCTGGGGGAATGCCAGCCACAATACCTAGGTACACTCAGCAATTCAAACGCCGTCATGCTTGGCCCCTCATCTCGCTCCTCCCTCTGCTATTCCTAGATGCAACGCGCAACCCTATACGCACCCCTTCCTCGTATCTTCCTACCTACCTACACCACACATAGTCCATCACTTTGGTCACGATCGCTTTCGTCCCTACAGCCTGCGATTCACTGCATCCTCGCTACCCAGTGGCCCCGTTGTTTGTTCACCACCATGGCGTCGGTATCCTCCCTAGATCAGGATATGCGCAGGCTGCGCATGTCGCGTTACACTCCCCAAGCTGCCAACGAAGTCCGGACATGGATCGAGGACATACTCGGAGAAAGACTGCCTGCCGGAGACCTGCTGGAGGCTCTCAAAGATGGCACAGCATTATGCAAGTACGTACATACGGAAAGCCCTCCTTGCTATGGACTCCCCTAACCGAATTATCCAGACTTGTCAATCTCGCCGTTCCATCCCCCGGCATCAGGTTCAAGAAGTCGCCCATGCCATTCATACAGATGGAGAATATATCCCACTTCCTCCGCGCCTGCGAACTCCCCCCGCTCAACATGCCCTCCCACGACCGCTTTCTCACCGTCGATTTATTTGAGTCCAAAGATCCGGCGCAGGTGCTGCAATGCTTGGGCGCCTTCAGCCGAGTGGCCAACTCCATAAACCCCTCGAGATTCCCTTCTGCAATAGGTCCCAAGCGCGCAAATCAGATGAGCCCGACTACCACGGGGGCCACCACCACCGGCGGTTTCAACACGAGCACTTATGGAAGAGGCAGAGGGGCTAGCAATACAAGCACAACCAGCGGCTCGACCACCTTCAATCCTATTTCCCGCCAAGCTCCGCCGCCATCAGCGGATCGAGCACTCAGTCCTGTACTTACAGGTGGCTCTGCGTCGTCAAGAGCGACGGATGGCGCGACAAAATCTCCTCAGGGACCGATGAGCAGCTGGAGTAAAAAGACAGATGAGGGCGTCACTGCACCGGCGTGGAATATTCATCAATATGGCTACATGGGAGGCGCAAGTCAAGGCAACCAAGGGATCTCATTTGGTGGGCGGAGGCAAATAACTACTGCTGGACCACACGTTCCCAGTCTGGCAGAGAAAGAGCGAAAGAGGCGGGAACAGGCCGCCGAAGACGAGCGATTGCGACAACTGGCCGAGGAGGCGGAAAGCAAACGCCGTATCGAACGTGAAGCTGAGGAAGAGCGTGCCCGGAGGGACGAGGAGCAACGATGGGAAGAAGAATCGCGGAGGCAGCGAGAAGACGAAAAACGCCGCGTCGAAGCCCAGAAGCGGGAATGGGAAGAGCAAGAGCGGCAGTGGAAGCAAGACGAAGAACAAAGAGTCCGGGAAGAAAAGGAAGCCCAAGACCGCGTAGCCAAAGAGACCCAACGCAAACGCGCCCTCAGCGACGCAAGACTGAAAGGCACGTTCGCAGACCAACCCGGTAAACCCAGGAGTCGACGCAACAGCCACGCCGACCGCGAACGCGACCGAATCCAAGACCTCGAGCGCCAGCTCGAGGAAGCCAAAGAACGTGAGCGTCAGTACCAGCTCGAACGCGAAGAACGGCACCGCGACGAGGCTCCCAGTAAAACCAGCGCACGATCACGTAGCAAGAGCAAGTCTCGCCAGCCATCTGCACCAACCCCACAACCACCAGGTGCCTTCGGCGACGGCGCGAGCGAAGTCTCCTGGGCCGGCGACGAACGCGAGTACCTCCGCCAGCAATGGAGCGAGCACAAAACCCCGCGTCCTCTACCCGATCCTGTTTCTGCAGCTGCCCCTTCTCTCCCGACTCGTCCCCTGCCAGAACCTTCCTCCCGCCCTCTCCCCGACCCGTCCAATTATGCATTACCGAAACCAGCACCGGCTTCTCGAACCGACCGCTTCCTCGCTTCCAACCCTCCTCCCCTAGCCGCAAAACCCGCATCCCACTTCCCCTCCGAAATGGGCCTCACATCCACCTCGGAGCGCGCTGCCGAAGACGCTCGTCGCGCGGCTGCCCAAACCAAGACCAAAGCCGGCGGTTGGGCGTCCAAATCACTCCTCGAACGTGAAATGGAGCGGGAGCGCGAGCGGCAGAAAGAGTGGGAAGAGCAGCAACGGGCAGCAGCAGCTGCGCCGCGGGATACGACTCAGGGCACGGGAGAGGGCCAGAGTTGGGACGTCAATCAGTATGGGTATTTGGGCGGAGACTCGCAGAATAGGGGCGGCGAGGGGATTAGATTTGGGGGACGGCGGCAGATTATTGGGCCCAGGCCGTTGGGGGGGAAGCATTGATGAGGGTTTGAGATACTTTGGAAAGGACCGGGGGGGGTTGAAGTTGGGTCGCGCAGAGCTGTTTAGATACCTGTGGTGCGTGGCTCCGTACCCTTTTTTGATTCATCAATGGAATGAGGTTGTGTTATTTGATTAGCAACATTATCTCCTCTTGAATGTCGTCATGCGATATTGATACTAACTACCGAACACTCGAAATGAAAAAGAAAGTGGAATCCTGCTGTTACGAGACCCTCACCGCGTGGTTTCTTTTGTGCCATTTATGCCAAGCATCGTCGTTCGCTTTCGGTATCGTCTCATCCCATCGAACGGCCGCGAAAAGTGTGGAGTTGAGCCGTTGGAATAAGGTTGGTGACGCAGGCTATTTGAGAGCTAAAAGGTCGCTTCATTTCTTGATCTTGGTTGGGCATGAAGAGGTTTGATATCACGTGGGCACACTTCACTTGCTTGAAGAAGTGACGAAAGGAACGGGGTGGATGGAATGGGACATCGAAACTTGAAGATACTGCAGAGCAGAGGCGTTATACAATTATAGATCAATGGTTTTGATTGGAAAAGTAGGAGTATACTATCTTAGGGGGAAAGGGAGGAGGGGTTAGAAAAAGGAGTTGATGTATGAGAGGAACTGGAAGTTTGGAACCTTGAAAAAGTGGAGACATTCACTATGTTGGCTCTGTGCTCGACACTCTTCCCTCCTGGAATTAGAACCTTTTTGAGGAAGGTCATGTGGGAACCTGGAGGTATGGGTGGGGAAGGAGGGTACCGTGGGAGGGTCCGTAAGGTATAGGTGTCCTGTGCACCCTGTGCTCTACACTTGTTGACGCCAAGGTATTCTAAGGGGCATCTGAGAATGGTAATAGAGGAGCCAGGGTGAGAGAGTGCTAAGAGCAGAAGTATTGTGGAGTGGAGACGGGAAGTGAATCACGACATCGTCATCTTCGAAGCCTCTAAGACTTCATATCACCAAGAATTTCAAGGCTCTTTTTTTCTCTGTGTTCAACACTTTGCATTTCTAGAGATCAAGACCTACCTTAAGAGGTAATGTGGGGATTTGAAATGCTGGCCGGGGAGGGAGGGAGAGAGAGGGGCCAGGGAACCACGGCTCGAAGTTCAGATACACGTGGCCTCGACTCTCTGCCCCCTACACTCCACAATTTTTCTTCCCAGAGGTTGAATCTACTGCGAGAAGAATGCAGAACTAAAGGTGGCGGTGTGGATAACGCGAACTACAGTTCGGAGTTCAGGTATAGGTGCCCTTCGTACTCTATGCTCGACACTCTATGATGCCATGGTAGAGGGTTACAAAAAGGGTAGAGTGGAAGTATGGGTGGGTGGGTAGTATCGTGAAGCACACCCTTAGCATCTTCATCCTCGACAACCTCAACTTGCCGAGACTTTGCCTCTCTGCGCTCAACACTTTTCTCTTCCAGGTTTGATACCTACTTAAACAAGTAATGTGGAGGCGTGGGCGTGGCCGGAACGTGGAGAACCATGAATCGAGAATGTCGTGAATCACGGATAGGCGTCAAAGCATAGGTGTCCTGTGCGCTCTGTGCTCGACGATATACGATGCCAAGGTAAGAGTAATGGTCGAATTGGGAAGAAGGACACAATTGACATACACATTTCTGCTGCAGACAGACTCAGAAGAGTCGAATAGCGGTCAGCAGCGTGGACGCACAGAATCTGAAAACGATAGGAAACGCAATAGAGAGCGATGACAAACTATCCATGGATACTTTACATACCGTCGCATACATACTCTGATTATTTTCACAAAATCCTACATATTAATCCGTTTGAATGTGTCCATAAGCTGAACGTAAAACTGACCTGCAAAGACTTGTTGCTGTCCTACACGTTTAAAAGGGCTGGTATCAGACACTTAACATCTTCACCTAGTATTCCGCACCGGTATGAAGAATCAGATGCCAGAGTTTGTTTGTTGTTGCAATACATATACAGCAAAGTAGCCCCAACTCGCTGTCCTATCCTGGGGAGCGCAAGATATATAAACCACAGTGACAGTACCGCCCACCGGATATCAATACCAACATCCAAATATCGTACTACCACCTTACGCCTGGAAAACATCCGTAACATCAGTGAACTCCCTACGCGCTCTCTCTTCCCAATACCCCTCTTTCCCGCTCTTAAGCCGCCACACCTCTTCCCCGACTTCCGCTCCCTCAATGGGCGCGAACCACCGCGGCGTCCATACTTCTCCGTGCTCTTCCATGACCCTCCTACGCGCGCGCTGTCGCTCCTCCAACCGTGCTTTCAAAGCTTCGGCACGGTCGAGATCCCCCTCTTCGGCCGCTCGTTGGTCAGGCCTCAGCCGGCTGTCAGTAACAGGTAGCTTGCCCTTCTCGATCTCAGTGACCTGATTGAGCGAGGCCGCGAAGGTGGTGAAGCCGTAGTGCTGGGTTGGATTCTCGACCAGCGATCCGACGCTCCAGAGGGTACGGCCAATACCCTGCCCATTGTTGGTAAGATTGAGCTCGGTAGTCCACTTGCCAGTGAGACCAAGTGGGAGGAGCTCGCCCGACGCGTCGAAGACCTGCACCGTGACTTCTTCACTGCGGCCAGCAAACATACCACCAGCTTTGAACGTGCAGACAGCCTTGGCGCCCGAGTTTTCGTTCTCGATTGTCATGGTACCCACGGGTTCTACGTATTTCTCGCCAGCGATGACGTTGCGGAGGAAGCTAGTTGCCTGACTCCAGCTGTAGTGCTCGTTTGAGTTGTGGAAGAAGACACGCGCACAGCCCTCTGTGTTCAGCTCGGCGGATTTGCCCCAGAACTTTTGCACGGGCATTGGGGACTGGAGGAACGTCCAGTTGGCGGACTCGGCTTGGCATGCCATGCGAACGGGCCGGTGGGAGACCTTCTCGGCAATGAATCGGTAGCCTTTGTCTTCGCGGACGAGCTCAAATGTCTCGCCAAGCATGGGATTGAAGGGTTTGCGGATGGCACGGTCTTTTACGCGAGCGTTGGAGAAGGTGGATATGGCGAATGCGGCAACGTGAGCGAGGCGTTCGCCTGTCTCAGAGGGAGCAGCAGATGCCGCGTCGAGAAGCTCCGTGTATTCCATTTGTTCTGCAATGCGTTGTAGAAGGGAGGTTGGCTCGTTGGCCGAAACTGGCATGGCAATTGTGGAAAGGTCTTTGCCAACATTCTTTCGCAAGAAGCTGATCAAGCTTGGAGGATTGGTCTTTGGTGGTGGGACGGTATTTCGGCGACGGACAGGATCAATCGGAAGAGGAGTAAGAGATTTTGGCTTCCCAGGGAAGATAGAGGGTTGCCCTTCGCGGAAAGTTGCTCTTCGTTCGAATGAGCCCGGACCTTCTTCTTCACTGCTGGACTCAGATCCGCCGTCAGAAGCATCCTCGCGTTCTGATTTCTCGCCGCTATCTCGCCGGATTGTGAGAAGCCCTGAACGGACTGTCTCTCCATCGTGTGCATCAAAAAACTCCTCGGAAGATTGGGAGTCGATGCTGTTGCGCGCTGGAGTAGATAGAGGAGCAGGAGTCCGTCTGGCCCGACTCTCGTTCAGCAATGTAGAGAACTCCTGGATCACGCTGTCAAGGTCGCGTAACAAAGACATGCAATTGTCGTGCACGCCTTCCTCAGGCGGGGGGTGACTCGTCGCGCGGCTCTGCCTCTTCGGTACTGCCAAACTCCCGTTTGGTATTGGCGATCCAGGAGGTAGAGTCGAGGGAGATGCAACAGCAAGCTGGGCTGAGACACTTCTCCGGAAGACACCTGAAGGGCTGGTGCTAGCTCCGGAACTACTAGCTTTCCGTTTCCAAAATGGCATCTTCTCACCACTGGACGTGCTGGGAAAGTAGTCTGTTGGCTCACCATCAGTCGGGCTGGGAGAGAGGCTTTCGGACGCTTTCGCAATACCAAGTCCAGCTAGCGTCGACGAGTACTTTGGATCTGTGTCCTGTGCTAACCGTCTGACGGCATCTCTTGTTCCTGCAACCCGTCCTACCAGTGATTCTACTCTCGCCCATTCCCGTTCTTCCGCTTGATTGACCATTTGAGGACCGTTTGGCCACGTGGGATTTTGAATAGCGATGGTAGGAGACGAGATGCCCCCGGCGGTCGCGGCGGCTCGTTCTAGAGCATTTCTCCACGCTTCGAAATCTTTCTTATTGTTAGCACGCAAGTGCCAAACTTCAGCCCCCGAGTCTACGGAGATTTCCCTCGTTTTCTCGTTGGCCCCAATTGCTGCCAGAGACAAGGGAATGGCGCCACGCAGCGCAGAGGAGTGGTTGTTTCGATAGTAAGATAGGGTGGACGAGGTAAAATCCAAGGAGAAAAACCTCCGGGCGTAGCCTTGATTCTTCTTTCTCCTCTTTTTCTGAAGAATTCCCGTGTAGAAGGTGCCGTCATTGAAACTATTCGAGTCTCCTGTATGGGATGATTTCGGTCTGAATTCAACGTTGATTTTGTTTCCCACAGAAGGATCTTGCGGCAACGAATCGGTGGAGTCGCTGACGGCAAGAAGTCTCGGACTCGACTTGGTCGGAAGACTTGAGCTACTGGCTCCGGCATTGTAATTCTGGGCGTAATGCATGTGATGGCCAGATTTCGGGGGCGCGTTTGTCGGGTGGGTAATGAGAACAAATGTCGCCGTTTTCGAGACCGTCTTGGAGAAGGTATTGTCGAAAACTAGGCCATACATGCCTCCTTCGCCTTCTGGTACGTCGAATTTACCCATGGACACCTTGTCCGCCTCGCACTTCCCCGCCCACGCTACCTTTTTGTAACCAAGGCCTTGCAGCTTTTCCACGACCCATGATTTGTCGTTTCGCGTCAGCGCATTGGAGTGGCCTCGAGGCCGCGTCTGGTGCGTTGGGACCTCAAGGGCGGGAGTGGCTGGGCCATCGAATACGGCGGAGGAGGGGAGGCCCGTGGTGCTGTCGTTGTTGGTGCCTGGATGCTTGAAGATGCCGAAGTTGAGGGACTTCTTGTGCGGCTGTATGCTCCAGGAGATGGTATGGCCAGCTGACACGTTTACCCAGCGAACAAGATACGACTACGCGCAGGGTTAGCAACGCTGTGGTGTTGCGCGGAGGCTGTCTACCTTGCTGTGGACCTCGACCTGCTCCAATCCCGCCATGGTGTACTTGGGCGGATTATCTGGAGCGTAGTATTTGTGACGATGCGAAGGTTGGCCGACGGAACGGAGTATTTATTGATCCCTTCGCGCGGTGAATGGCCTGGGTTGGCGGGGGGTCCGGTCTCTTAGGGCTGCAGGTGGATCTCGGTGCAGCGTGAAAGAAATACACGGCCAGACTACAGCAAGAGAGGCGACATGTCGGGACTGCGGTGAATACGAAGCGGCTCGGACGGGCGCGGGATCAGAAATGGAGAAATGGAGGAATTGAGCGCCTTCTGTCAGGCTCGTTCCAAGAATCGCGTTCGGGGCCGACGAGCTCTTGGATGACGATGCCCAGGTAGGGACGAGGGGAGCGAGGGGAGCGAGGGGAGGCGGTCCGGCAGCTCCAGCCCAGGCGATGCTGTTGCGATGGTTGCAGCGGGATCCCACGGCGGCGGATGAAGTTGACAGTTGCCAGGTGCCAGTTCGACAGGTGGTGCCAGCAGACGGCGGCAACGCAGGCCGTTTCATCTCTTGGAGACAGGCCGGCATTGCGACGTGGCTGGGAATCAGCAAGCCCGCCGGCCATTTCTCTGACCTCAGCTTCAGCCTCAGCCCTACCTGGTGCCTGGGTATCGACGCCTCTCAGCGCCAGACACCCCCGATGACTGTACCAATCACGCTGGGGCGTATTCCGTAGTGTTGATACTTTGCATCTTGCCGCGGCACGAACGAACCAAGCTTGCCATGTTGACATATTCGATCGGCCGAGACGCTCTCCTCCGCCACTGCGAAGCCGTAAAGATCCGCGTAGCATAGTCAGCTGAAGAAAAGAATACCCTCTCGACAGGGAGAGGACTCGCATTGCTTTGGAGAGTATCAAAGGAGCAATGCACCCAGTCGGTGATGATGTCTTCCCCGCTGTCCTAGCCGCTCCGTGACGAAGGCTCTACTGGATTCTACGAGGTGCCTCCGTTGGTCTTCATGTGCCTCGCATCAAAGGACCCAAGGCCAGTACCGCATCACAGCCCCTCAAGAGTGCATCATCGCTGCCTTCATCAACTCGTGCTTCCTTGCGTGTTTCCCCTCCAGATAACTTTAATAGCTGCAATCTGTACAGCTACTACCAATGCCGTCTGATTACCCAAGATATTCATTGTTATGCACCCTACCAATCCTGCCTGTCTTTCTATCCTTTCCTTTCAGAGCGAATCACAAGTCCATCGAAAGACGAGAAAGAACTGTAGGCTGCGTCGTTCCTTTACTTCATCTCAGACAGGCACTACCCAACGCCAAACTTCTCTGCTTGTCAACTCCAGACTTCCCACACCGACACCCTGGATGAGGCGATGAGATAAGACCGATGTTGATGCGCCTGTTCGCCCCCAAAAAGGTACCACACAAAACATGTTCGCTGCGCATCGCAATAGTATGGCCATGCCCCTGCAGGACGCGTCGTGCCTGAATTCAGATTACGTGGGTGCGTGGGTAGTGCCTTTCCAACAAGCGACATCGCATCGCTTGAAGACCTACATCATTGGGTATATTTTCAATGTTAGTCGCGACTCGCCATCCACTACTGTCTTCAGTTCTAGTCTCATGTCAGTCAAGCACGTCACGTTTCATTAGCCGTGCAATAATCCCACAACGTCTTCGACGATCCGCTCGATCTGGACTAAGAAACCAAGATTGATAACCAAGCTTTGCTGTTTCGAGCGCGGAGTGGCATGGACACTAGGATATCGCAGATTCTCCGCATCATAGTGGCCATCACATTACGACAAAACTAAGTTCAGAGTTGATCATTCTCTGGGGTAGGGAGCTTTTAGTGGCCAAATTTGGCAAGGCCTCGTATAGCTTTGCTGTAATCTCATTGTGCTCAATCTATTTAATCTTAATTGATCCCGAGTCCCTGCAATGAGAAGTGCGAGCTTCATATGTTTGCTTGGAGTCTTAAAGCCGTTTGCCGTGCTTCCCGTGGCTGTTCGCTCTTGCCTTTCATACCTTTTGTTCCCGATCAAATATCCCCTTGAGCCTTTGCCATCCTTGTCAACTGTCAACATGAAAGTTTCAATCTTAGCTGCGGTCATCCTGGCACTTTCTGCATTCACAGAAGCGCTGCCAAAGCCAAAGAAAGTTTGGCCAGGATGGAAAGGGATCAAATACTTCTTTGTGTTGTAAGTAGGACGCTCGTTCCATCAAGGAGAGTATCTGACAAAGTTTAGCGGCGACTCTTATACAACAACAGGCTTTAATGTCAATCTAGCCCAGCCGAATCCATCCAATCCATTAGGCAATCCTGACTTCCTGTAAGTACATCCCACTCCAATTGAGTTACGATGCTAATTTGTCGTACAGAGGCTTCACATCTTCAAAGTAAAAGTCCTGCATCCTTTATGTCAAGCAACCTATCTTACGAGCATCTAGCGGTCCAAATTGGGTCGACTTCCTCACCCTCACATACAATTGCAGCTACATCCAGACCTACAACCTCGCCTTCGGTGGCGCAACCGTCGACTCCGCCCTCGTCATGCCCTGGAAACCAACTGTGCTCTCTCTCAAACAACAAGTCCGAGACGAGTACCTCCTGGCCTACGGATCCCACCCAAAGGGCGTCCCTTGGGCCTCATCCGACTCACTCTTCTCCATATTCATCGGCATCAACGACATAGGAAATTCGTACTCTGCAAAAAACGCATCGCTATATCCGATCATCTTTAAGGAATATGAAGGGCTCATTAAACAGGTATACTGGTCCCCAAATCGCCACCTGTAAAAATCCCTTGTAACCTGCGAATAGTTATACAACACCGGCGCGCGCAACTTTCTCTTCCTCACTGTGCCCCCCGTTCACCGCTCCCCCCTCACCCTCGCTACGGACTCTGCCTCCCAGGTTCTCGAAAAACACGCCATAGCCGATTTCAACGCGCGCATCGCGCACCTCGCCTCTTCCCTCCGGTCTACGCACTCCGACGCCACCGTCTTCGTCCACGATACCTATTCCCTCTTCAACAAAGTGCTGGATAACCCAAAGTCCCTGCCTCAGACTAAGGGATATAAGAATACGACAGCGTACTGTGACGAGTATGCAAACGGTACGCCGGAGTGGGACAGCTTCAATGCGACATGTGGGATTCCGGTGGACGAGTACTTCTGGTTGAATAGCTTGCATCCTACGTATCCGATGCACAATGCCACTGCGGCGACTATCGTAAAACTGATCGACCCGAAACCATGGTGGTGGGGCTGGGTCTGGGGGTGGTAGAAGTCGGTTGCCTCCATTCGCATGATGGTGAACGAGTTAGCTTTGGATAATTGGGAACGCATGGAGAAGAGGAGAGGCCATGAATACGCGCGTAATGTAGAGAAATTATTGAAAGTGCAGGAGATGTTGTGCAACCACTAGTATACAGTAGGAGTGCGTCACGTGCGTGAATATGAGTATGGCTAATCACAACATTGATGAATTTGCTTAGGTAACTGGCGTTTCTGACGTGCTTCTAGGTATTTTAACGCGACGCACAACGGCATCCGATTAACGTGGCGATGTTAATTCAAGAGGGGATCCTACCTACACCAAGTGGTACCTTCAGCAAAAGCAAGAGTCTGATTTAACTACGTGTTGCAGTATTCAAAATTACTACTCCATTTTCGTCAACACCTTGAAGGACTTCAGGCGGTGTCATGCACGCGGCAAAATGCTTGTTAGCAGGACTCGAAACCTATCTAACGCGCCTAGATGCGGGATATCCAGGGATGTGTTGTTTGAGTTACACGTCGCGCTTTACGACAGCTCTGCTAGTTTCTTACCGCCAGCTGGAAGGACTTCAGACAGCATCACCTGCATGTCAAAATGCACGCAAACGAGACTCATATTACAAGATACCTAGGCTCGGCGTCTTAAAGAGACATTGTCTGATTTACACGGCGCGGTCTATGTTATTGTCACTGAAGTCCTTCCGCTACATGAGCGACTTCAGACGCTGTCACTCACCTGCCAGATGCTCGCTTACAGGACTTTCATCAAAACACGCAAAGGTTTGTGTGTAGATACGTTGTTTGATTCACAGGCCACGCTCTATGACGTTATCGCTGGTCTTCCCCAAATGCATGGAGTACGTCAGACGGCGTCGCTCACCTGGCAACATGCTTCCCTATAGGACTCACATCATAACACGCATTAGCTTAAGAGTTGAAGAGTAACAACATTCAATTTCCACGTCACGGTCTACGACCTTGTTGCCTAGGCTTTCTCAACTCCGCGAGAGACTTCACACGGCGTGGTTATGAGGAGAAATCATTGCTATCTCGTAGCGTCTAGTTCACACTTCGGGATATTTGACATCCCTGGAAGAGAACTCCAAACCTGAGCCATCGATGTTTTCTCACACGACTCCCCACACGCCTCTAAGCTCCTGATATCTTTTCTAAGCCTCTGGAATCGCACCTCTTTCTCCTGCTGATCGCCAACTATTATCTAGCTCTCTTCTCCATTCGCTCGTGTCCCATACAACTCATTATAGGCCCCTATAAAGGACATATGACGTTCCCACGCCCGCGCAACCCTCATCTCCTCCCCATCTCCTCTAGCCCGCTTCTCTTTCTGCTCCTCAATCACTGCCTTCAGTCTATCGTCTTGCTGAGCCGTGGATTTACAACGCGAAGCCGTTAGCAACAAGCGCGCAACCTCGGGCTCGTGCAAACCTCGGAAGAACACACTCGCTAAGGTGCGTCTATAGGCGTAGTCGAGGTCCGGGTTCAAGGCGTAACTCTTAATCCAGCGATATAATTCGACGGGGCCGAACTGAGGGAAGAGATTCATGTAGATGGAGAGGCCAGGATGCCTGACGAGAAGGAAGATTACATGTTCGCCCACGTTCGCTGGCGGGGGGGCGCCCTTGGGGCACAGGAAGGCGAGAGCTGGGTTTGGCGCAGGTCTAGGGCACGGAAGAGGCGGGAGGGGGTATCCGAAGGCGGATTGTGGACGTCTGGGGTAATGTTCAGGAAACCAAGTGCCATCTGAGGCGAAGGAGTCCTCGTCTTTTTCTTCGCCGGGTTCTGGTTTCGGATCCAGGTCGGACTGATGGACAACAGGAGGTGTAGCTCCCATTCCGAAAACGAATTGAAGGCGATCGGAGCATTTCTCGGGAAACTGAGGGGGATCTGAGGCGAGCGAATCTTCGTTCGTTTCTCCGTTGGGCTCTAGCTTTGGGCCCAGGGGGAACTGACGGATGGTGGGTGTAGCTCCCATTTTGATCGAGGTCGAAGTTAAGGGTAGATAGATGGGACTTGAACTGCTGAAATATGTGTCGAAGAAGGTTTCTTTTGTGCGCTGTTTGTACAGGGTTCCAAACCTATAGGTATGGTTTTCCTGATTCGGATCCAGAATTTGGATTGTGCTCAACCACGGTACCACCCCCTTCGCGCACGAATTAAGGCTCCAAGCATCCACCCACGCACTTTCGTCGTCGCAGTTTCTCACAAAGTCCCACGACCGTCCTCTGTCGCAGCTCGGTTACATACTCAGCCCACGCAACCAGCCACTGAAGCCAACTTACTGCTTTTTAAGACACTCCAGCAACCTACATACCCATACTCAACGCACACACGATGACGTTCCCAAGCAGCTCCAAAAACGTGTCCTCTCATATCCCGCCGTCACTGGCCATGGTCCCGAACGACCTCCCCGACTTTGCGTCCAGGTTTCCGTGCGCAGACTACAAATCACACCCCAGAAACCTCCAACACAAAAATTGTTCAGGTAGACTTGACTCTTGGGACGTCTTAACGGATATGCCCTCTCCCAGCCAGAACAAACGGAAGAGCACCGCGAGCCCGCGGGAGTGCGCAACATTTCCCTCTCTCACATCCCCAAGAGCGAGAGCACCTACACCAGAACCCACCAAACGCCTCCGGTCTCCAAGCTACGAGTCATCTAACTCGCTGGAGGACGCACCAATTCCTTCTCTTATCCCCCGACGAGCAACACCATCGGTACCAGAACCCACTAAGCGCTTCCGAACTCGAAGCCCAGTGCGCTACGAGGAACGGGCATACTCGCGGGAGTACTCACCATCCTCTCTCGCGTGTTCATGTTTTCCCCTTACTTCTTCAAGAGTGGGAATAGATATACCAGTACCGACTCAACGTTCGCGTCCAGTGCGCTACGAGGAACGACCCTCTTCGCCGGAGTACCCACCATTTTCTCCCATTTCTCCAAGCCCAGCACCCCACGATGAACGAGCCTATTCGCTGGAGTACCCACCTTTTTCTCCCATGTCTTCCCCAAGCCCAGTACCCCGCGAAGAACTGGCCTATCCATGGGGCATTCCAGATATTGTTCCATCGATAGAGACATCGACGCTTCATTCGCAGAACTTTGAGCCACGCGGGGCGGGAGTGAGGACGTCGCCGATACAGGGTGGGAGTGCATGGTCGTCAATAGAGATTTCGGACACGGAGAGGTCGTCGCATACGCTTGAGGGAGACATCGTGCCGAGTCGGGAAGAAGCCAGCTACTCACCGTTCGACACTCGGGCTCCGCACGACGGGGCAGCGCACACTTTGGCTCCACGCGTACGTACTAGCACGGCCGAGAGGGTGGGTGGGGAAGAAGTAAGGGACTCGGAGGGGCTAGCTTATACTCCTGCAAAGCGCCAGGTGGAGGAAGATGATGCTGTTGAGGCCGGGGGAGTTGGCGACGCCGCGGCCTCCGAGCGCGGTGCTTTTCCCGCTTTCGTTGATGCAACATCGCGCGAGAAAGAGATGAGGAAGCCGATTGAAGAGAGCGACGGTCGGCTCGCTTTGTTACAGGCACTTATGGAGAATGAGAGGAAGGTTCGGGCGAAAGCGTGGGAGATGTATGAGGACGTGATGGGGGAGGGAGTACGTTAGAAGAGTATGAGAAATCTACAAGAATCAGGTTATTAGTTTGGACACATCTATATTTCACTGCTCAGGCTCTACTTTTGCCTGTATGATACCACTGTGGGGAGCGGCCTGACTAGCAGGTCATCGGTTAGTCAAAAGGTAACCTACTTTCCACGTCGTTGATCTTTACATCGTATTTGAAATCCTAAAACCTAGAAGTGGCACCCTAGGCCATGACAAGCATGGGTGCATATTCTTATGTCTTACTGCTGTACGGTGAGAGAGTTTTCGGACCACCTGAAACAGATAGTGGATGGTTGTGAGCAGGATCATGCTCTTTGGCCGATGATGGAAACTGTTACAAGGTATGCCCCAGGCACGGCTTTTTGAAGGAATAGTACTGTTAATAGTGGTTCGAATATAGAAGAGAAATTGAATAGTAGTGCAATGAATTGAGAGAAAGTTTGATGAGAATATAACGGATCGCAGGCGTAACTTAGAAGCTGTTCACTATCAAGCCTTTTGGAGCAATTTACTACGTCCAAACCTTCTTCAGTTGTGTCGTAATGCTTAGCAACGATGCAGCTGATCTATGAATATAGATCAAAAGATACGAAATATGTTCAGTTTTCTAGCGGACTACGACCGCTAGAGGTGCTTTAACTATGCCGAAGAGATGTAGAATGGAGATGAGTAGCCCCAAGGCGTGATTCGGAGACCTGAATGACTATCGCTTCGCCAATAAGGTAGCATATCTGAAGTCACTTCTACGCAGTTCGCGATTTGAATTAGGAGCTGCAAAGACTCGCCATTTTCTAGTCACTTAACATTGCCAGAAGTCCTTCAACTATGCAGAGGTACCTATTAAGGATGTTGAAGATCGCAGGGCGTAAAACGGGATCTGTTAATTACCACAGTTTTTCTAGTAGAGTAGCGCCATTAGAGGTTCTCCAAGGAGTTCAGAAAAGTCTAAAAGAGTATATTTCAAGCCGCAGCGTTGATTCAAGGCTTCTATACCTATACTACTTTCCTAGAAACCTAGCACGCCCAAGCACTTCTCAAATGGACAAGTCAAATCTACAGAAATCGTCTCTGAGAGCGTAGCTGGAATAAGAGGCTATGCCATATCATCGCTTTTCTGGTAACACGACACGTTCAAATATTCTTCAAGCATTTTCAAAAAGGTTAGGCCGGACGTCTCGAAGCGGAGGGTCCAAATTGATATCGCAGGGCTTACCATCTATTCGAGTACTACGACATTGCGAGTAGTGCCTGAAATGGCCAAGAAAGAACTAGGGAGCATGTCTTGAACATCAGCTCCGACATCAGAACCCCATTTATGCACGTCGCTTTCCCACCAACACGGCATTACGTAAGGGGGACCAGATTAGAAGCCAGATTCAGGTATGAAAGTATCAAAGGAGAGTACCTCACTAGATAATGAGTCCCTTCATGTGCCCGTGTCACGTGGTCACTTTACCGTGGTTGAATTCGACATCACTGTAAGCCAAACCACAAATTCAACTCATGATGTGCAACTTTGGTTCATTCCGGGCTCGCTCGTTCCTGATTCCTCCTTTTTTCATAGCTTTACCGTCATGAGATCCACAGACCAGGCTTAAAACATAGTAGTCGAGCCTTCGCGGCCTATGTCGTTACTGGCACTATCCAGTCTACCAAGTCTCATTCCACCCCTTCCTCTTTGCTACCACAAAAGTGTCATCACTGCTGCCATAAAAGTATTGTTTAAAGAGTATTTCGAGTGCGCCGAAGATCATGCCTGTAAAGAGGGGAATCGCGAGGACTTTTGCCCAAAAGATCATCTCGCGTTGTGCGCGTTCGCGGCGTTGAACTTGGTGTAGCTGTTCAGCTCGGCGTATGCGTTCTTCTTGATATAGGCGTCCGATATCGATTTGAGGCTCGCCGAAGTCTTCTGGGGCTGTTGGCATCTTGGGAGTTTTAGGGTGGTTCGTTTTGAGTGGTTGGCTGTGGACTGGCTCGGGCGTTGGATGTGGACGGCTAAGGTGTTGGAGATGGGTGTTGGAGATGAGAGAGACGGTGTGACGAGAGAAGCAGGCGGAACTTGCAGGGTATATATATTCTAACAACTCTAATGCATTTTGTGAAGTGTGACCGTATGACGACACTGTTTCCAGTGACCCAGGGCTACAGAGATGCAGTACCGGTAAGCAATGTAAGTACAATACCAATACTTTGAAACCTTTGAGGTACTCTGAACATGCATCTTCGTTACAATCATTCCAAATCGAACGAACAACTATGCGGTCGGAGGTATCCTAGCACATATGCTAGATCTAAGAAGTGTTGCGCTTCTCTCTCAATCAGATTATTGGAGTGGGCCGAAGTACTCTTGACAGTGGCAGGGAGTTCTAGATGGACTGATGTCCGGAAACCTTGAAAAAGACTTGAACAGATTTCTGTCTTTTCAGATGTGCGATAGACCGACAATGCTAAACTAAAAATCTGTTCACTTTCTGATAACATTGTCCGAGGCGGCTCAGAAATTTACAGACCGTTCAGAAATATGCCCTTACGTTTCTTCAAATCTTCAAAAACATGACGAGGAAGCTATGGCAGCCATAGGAAGATACCCGTCCAGGCCTTTTCGACCCGGTGTGCCATCTGGCTGGCATAACTCTGGCACGAGTTGGTGTACTCCCTTATCTGGTTCTTTGAGGCGGCTCAGCAAGCTTCCAACCATCCAGAAAGATGCACTCATATCCTTCTGGACGGTGCTGAGGTACCCATGGCAGTCCTAAGAGAGGGCACACCGCACTTTCCTAGCACTTGCCACTGTACCATGGTCAAGTGCGATTGCGTTACACGCATATCACTGGGCACGTGGCACCTTCATCACCTCTATTCGCCGCTAATTCATCTCTCTTTCTGGTCTAAACTTGTCTCTATCACCATCCATCTCACTCAGTCATCCGTTTTGTCCGGTTGAACATCGCTACCAAGCCGCCTTCCAGCCATACATACGTTTTGTCTAGTCGAGCACTACTATCTAGCCGCTCCCGAACCGTTTAGCCAAGCGAAATGGCCTCCGTCACTCTTACATACACGCTGCCCAACTTCATTCGACATTTCGTCCACTTTATCCGTTTCAACAGCCACTCCGAGCAAGCTACTACCGAAGCTGGAGTACCCCTGACAATATCGCTGTCCGCTACGCTGCCTCTTCCATTCGCAACATTCCGCGACGCAACTCTCAGCGCCTTTTCCTTCGATGGGATTACCTTTGATAGAGTCACATACCTCCTGTACACAGTTTTCGTTGCCACACCATGGTCCGCCACTCTCGGGTTCCATATCGGGACTATATTGGGCGAATATTTGGCCGAAAACCTCACCTACTTGCCGGCTTTGATACATGGAGCGCCTTCCTTTATCCTGTTCGCGGTCGGTGTAGATCTGCCGGGTGCGATTTGGTACTGGTATGCGAGGGTGATGTTGTGGTTCCTAGCGCCACATTTGCACGAGCCCATGCAATTGAATTTGTAGATGGATGAATGATGGAGGTACAGATAAAGACTTGAAGCCGCGCTGGAGGAGCAAGAGTGTTGGAAAAAGAGACAGCATCTTGAGCTGATTTGGAGTCTGGATCTAGTCAGCATGGGCACCTCTCCACAAATGAGCTGCATGACAAGAAGGAATTGAGGGAGAGTCGAAATTGTATTGAATGTGGTTGGATTTTGCCGTTTTCCTGGCACTGCTTGAGAAGCCTCAATGCGATCTGAAATGTGCAGCTCCGATGTAACGTTACGGACGGGTGTGAATCGGGTTCTGATGATTCGAAAGCCAATCACGGATCCACTTCCTTCACTGAGCCACCCCAGACAGTGGCATCCGGTATCATTAACGGTCGGTACCAATTTCATCAACCAGAGAGCATATGGGTCAGAGAATCATGCATTCTGTAACTTGTCCACGCTTCCCTTGTAACTTCCGAACATCCCTTCTTCCTCGACTCCATCACGTCCACTTACCTCAACGTTTTCGACTGCTTACCTCGACCAAACGAAGCTCAACACTTTCGACTACCAAACTCAGAACCTATCGCCACTTCCAGAACTCCAAAATGTCGCTCAGTCGCGCCACCAATGACCTCATCTCCGCCGGGCTCGCCTTCTCTTTCATCATCGGCGTTCCCGTCGCCATCCTCTTGTTCATCCTCATGGTCGTCATGATGGGCCGCATCCGTCGTCATGTTCGAAACAGACGATCACGGAACACCCAGGACGAATAGCGAGCACACGGGACAACGAAGAGACCCAGACATACGACAACGGAGCCAACACCATCGAGCTGCACAACGCCGGATTGGCAGCGCCGCCGCCTGTGGCATACATGCCATGATGCCATTGAATAAGAGTAAGTTCTCCAAGTAGGGGTGAAATGTGAACCAAACGCTGATTTTTGTAGCCGTCTTGCTGGGCAGTACCGCGAAGCTGCCACCTGCTGGATTATCGCTGAACGCATATATGTCGATATCTACGCTGAAACAAAGTGCTTGCTGGCTACGAGACGGAAAAGAGAAGATGTGTTGCTTGGATGTGATTGATGTGTGTACGCTAGCTCAGGTTAGCTTACTAGAATGTATGGTAACGAGAGAGATAGGGGGAATAGATTTTCGAATCGAAATGCGAATATCGCTAGGCTAATAACTTTACTGTTATAAAAATGACTTAAACTACTCACTGCTCCATTTTGATTGATTTACCCATTGCCATTGTGTGATGTGTGCTTCTTACACGAGAGCATGATTTTCAACCACGGTTCCGCCATACACAGTACCCAGAGGCTCAGAGCCGCCTGGAATCATGATCTTAATCACGATACTAATAGATCTCTGCGCTCTGATGCCACACAGGGCATATATACCTCGCATCTCTTCCCCCTCAAGACCTTTTCACACACACACTTTTCAACCTCTCGAGCAGCCAAAGCTAAACTACAGCCAAAGACTCAGCACTCTTGCAACACTCTTACAACACCTGCACAGCTCAAAGGCTTACCAGACCGAACCACCACTCACCCACACTAGCAACTAAAATGGCCATGGCGTCCTCCTACATCATGCCAGACTTCAACGACTCCGAACTTCCCCCGAACCACGAGGAAAGCCTCGCCGCCAACAAGTTCCTTTTCCTGTCTAATCCCTGGATGATCACCCTCTTTATCGGCATCCTCTTCGCCCTCATCGGCGCTATCGGCGCTGTTGCTCTCTGTATCCGCCGCCGCAGGATCCACAAACGTCTGAAGGATGAGGAGCGCTGGAGGGGTTATGAGCATGAGTCGGGATTCGTGACTATTCCGTTGAGGGGATTGGTGAAGCAGAAGAAGGAAAAGAAGGAGGAGAAGAGATGGTTGCCGACGTATCAGCTCTGAGGTCAGTGCTTTACATCCTTTAAGCATTAATATGGTGCTTAAATGGCTAGATACGATACAGGGCTCTGATGATCTGCTGTCTAAGCAAGATGCCGATACCAATGTGTTGGATAGCTGAGTGGGCAACGTCAATCTCTGGAAATTTGTGAGCAGTGGGTTTAGATATGTGGAAAAAGAAGTGGAAACGACAACTAGAACGAATGAATGAGGGGATGGAGAAAGGGAAGCAGAAATGTAGCAATAGAACTTAGTTTACTTGCCTTCGATTGGTTGCTTGCATCTTGGTTGCTCGAGACAGGCTCCTTGGTTCCTCAAAGGAGCGAAACGGGGTCCGCTCTCTTCCCACTGCGCTCTCGAAACTCACCGCCATTATCCCAACCAAGGCACCAACACCTCCCATACTGTCATCCCAGGCTTTTGAAATGCCTGCTTTGCCGCTCTCTTCCCCTCTCTGCTCCCCATGAATCATCTTCCTAAAGTTCAGCCATCTCTAAAAGCTAGCTGCTAGACTGCACTCCACTCGTCATGGCAAACGTCCCACTGCCATACTATTCTTCAGACATCATAGAGGACATCCATGTAACTTTCGATTGCCCTCCCGACTCCTCTCCAGAGTACTACCCCCAAAATACCTACTTCCCAGACACCACTAAGAACATCGACATTATTCTCGACTATCCTCCCGAATACGACAATTCAGAGTACTATCCTCCCCCACCAGACAGCTTACCAACACCCAGCCTTTCTTTCCCACCGCCAACGACATCTTTACCTCCACTTCCGCCTGCACCTTCACCCTCCATCCAGAACCCGTCGTGGGCAGCCACACATGGGGTATTACTTGCCGTCCTCGCGGCCGTCGGTGCGGTATTGCTTGCCATCGCTGTCGTGGGAATCATTTCTGGGGTTGTTGGAAGCGTACGATGCGTGAGGAGACGGAGGAGGGGCAGGGTACAGGGAGGACAGGCAGGGGAGACTGAAGAAGGAGATGGTGCTGCGCTCTCTATTGGGATGGAGGAACTGACTGCGGCACCGCAGTCTCTGCAGCGGCCGGAGGAGGCGCATGTGGGGGACGAGGATTCTGCGGAGGATGAGAGGGAGGAAGAGAGGGGCAGACAGCGAGAGCGTCCACCTCCGTATAGGGATTATAGAGAGCCCATTTTTAGGTATTGAGACTTGGCATTGGTGGAGAGGTGGAGTGGTAGTTGGTGGGAGAATATGATGTGCTGGGGATAGGGACGGGGTGCTGGGAGTGGTTATTCTTGGAGAAGTGTCGATGCGAGGCGAGGATTCAGCGATTTGAGGAAATAGAATGATAGCAAGGCATGGCTAGGTTCATCCTACGTTAGCTGTGTCCTCGAGACAACAGCTGCAGGTAAGGATGACAGGACTGATATACGAATGAGTGGAAATAGGAAAAATTTGAAGATGAGTCTTACCACCTGTCTGATTGGCTCTTGAAAATTTGAGGGGTGAGATATTATTCGTCGAGACTTTGTGCCCTCTAGAGAGGATCCATGATTCCTCATCCACAATCCATTACCCACTCTGACCCTCTCCCATGGATCGCAGCGATGGTTCTACCCCTCCCCCGCACCCACCACAGGCCCTATAAATTCATCCTATCTTCCTGCCTTCAATTTCACTTTCTTCCCAACCACGCCCACAACTCTCATCAACTCTCACATACTATCTCCAGCACAAACCTTTAAACCAACATACAAGGACATCAAAATGACTCCCGTATCCCACGTTCTCCCCGAAAACGTGGTCTCCCCTCCCTTGGCCTCAGTTAAGGCTCAGTTCTTGACTCTCACCGGCACCGTCGTCCCTTCCCCTTCCCCAACAGCTACTACCGCAGCAACGCAGAGCACTGCTTTCTCCGCTCCACCCCAATACCCACCCCCAACCGCAAACCAGTACGCCTGGCTTACCAACCCCGACGCCATCTGGGTCTATATCGTGGCCTTCTGCGTCCTCGCTTGCATTGCAAGCTGCATCATCGGCAGCATAGGCAGCCTTTGCCGCCGCAAAGCCAAGAAAAAACAGAATCAAAGAGGCAAGGATGAGGAGGAAGGATTTAGGAAGAAAGAGAGGGATGTGAAGAGGTCTCCAGATGATATACCGCTGGACGATGTGAAGACACCGGAGGAGGCGCATGTAAGGAGTGGGAATGCGGTGGAGAGGGTTAGATTGATGAGGGTCGCATTGGGGATAGAGAGGGAGAAACAGAAGGAAATACAGACAAGGAAAGAGGAGGGTGATTTGCGGGAGAGGGATGAGGACGAGAGGTTATATAATATGAGTAGGCTGCCGTTTTAGTCAACCTGAGAGGTATTAGGAGGTTGGGAGGAGTGCGGGCAGAGGGATTGGTGAGTGATGCCCATGTGTTATCTCGAGATGAGCGGAGAGGCTGGAAGGTTCTGGCAAGGCCATGGCGGTGAAACTTGATGTGAAGGTGTGTTGAAATTGCAGGAATTGGGTAGAAAATCGATTGTCCCTTGGGTAGATATAGTTGTCACTAAATTTGTCTATTAGTATTGTTTCAGAACCTATGGCTTGAATCCAGAATGGGAAGCCTACGCTACGCTAATTTGATCTCCTTCATGCCTGGCTTACACAGCTTCCAAGAGCGGAAGCTCATCTCTCCCACCGCCACGCGCTCGTAATGAGTCTCATGGTCCTCTACCCACATCACATGTGCCACCTTGTCCCAGTCCTGCGCTAGCCAGAGGTATTTGATTAGGCAAACATAGGCCAATTTCCAGATCAATAGAAGCAGGCAGACGCCGATGAGAAGAGCCGGTATAATCAATGCAGCTAGAACAGTAAACAATGCAAGCATGATTGCGTAGAGGAGAAATAGCACAAACGCGAGTCCTACGAATGGAGCGAGAAATATAACAGCAACTGGCGAAGAATACCGCTCCAAACGCGACCAAAGGGTCCGCGCCTCCGGCGACCCGGCGACCCATCTTGGTAAAAGCCGTCGGAAAAGGGTAGACGACCGCATTTCTGGCATAGCGAGGAAGTCTTGACGCGACGAAGACCGTTGCGCTAGGAAGGGGGTGAAGGTAGAGGAGAGTGTCTCTTTGTTCAGAATTGGACGACGAAAACTGGGAGGTGGAAACCCGGGATTGAGGAGGTGGAGGAAACGCCGACTTGTGCCAATGAGAATGCATTCGCAGACAAAAGTGTGAGAGGAGAGGGCCGCAGTGTGCCGCGTGCTGTGCATTACGCCGCAGGCCACTCCCTTTCTATTGATGATTGGAATCTGACCACGGGTTGTGATCTTTGCCAAGTCCAGATTCAGTGACGTTGATGCAGCCTTGAAAGTTAGCGTACAATCACGCGCTCCTGTAATACTAGCCGCATGAAAATCGGGTGGGTAATCTCGCCGCCATGCTTCCTCAGCCCGTCGCCATTGCTCGTCTTCGAAGGGCGCACCCAGATTCCGTCGCGCGAACTCGATTTCGAGACGAACCTCCCATGCCACCCGGGCGGAGAACGAGTCGCGAAGTCCCGGAGGTTGGAGGAAGCCCCAGTCATCGAAGTACAGTTTCAACGAGGCGTCCTGGTGCTCTATTATGACTGAACTGATGGTCGAACGATAACACTGGTATTTGGGGAAGATCATCTGATCAGTCCACCCAAACCACGACCAAGAGGGCCACTCTAGAATCCTGATTTCACTGACCTTGGCCATTCCGTGTTCGTAAGACCCATGGTGCCAGTTCAACGTGTTAGGCAAGTGCATGATCGATAGACCTGTAACACATGGAGTATTCCAGGTCTGTTCCTGCTGTTTCGCGATGCCCTGGAACGCAAGGCCACGATCGACTGGCATAGTACTTCGTCGAGTCGAAAAGTCTTCGATAAACATTTTCCAGCACGTGAGCCGGAATTGACGTTCTGGGGGGTTGTAAAAGTATCGTCCTGGGTGTATATCGAACGGATTGATCACTAATTCGCTGTTATATTCGCTGTCAATTCTGTCTTCACGGAACTCCGACTCTAGGCACTTGAAATAAATCTGTTTTTCGCTGAAATACAGTAACCGTCGAGAGAGCAGCTCTTCCTGAAAGGTCCAGGCACGGCGAGACCAGCGGAATGGGCCCTCGATATCCAGTTCCGCAACCCGTTGTTCAAGACGTGGTAGTATTGTGGTAAGACGTAGGCCTTGGATAGTTTCTACAGGGGCCTGTCGAGTGTCGTGGTACTGGCTAACCCCTGGAAGCTCACTGGAAGCAGATGTAGCTTCCAAGGCGACCAGAGTCAAAGTTGCGCATTTATAGATCTCGTTCATGATCCCGATCTGGAAGTCTCGAGACTCCACGTCGTCCTGACAGATACATAGCGCATCCACCCAGAGATACTTCTCGTCTAGATCGCGAGTGAAGTTGATTGCATCTTGTATGGTCCGAGGTATATGTTGCCAATATTGATCATAGAGGGAACTCTTCTGCGTCAACGACATGACGTTTTCTCTCAATAATCGCAGCTGCTGGGCATTGCCCCATACATAGCTAAGGGCAATATATCGAAGCGATTTCCCGTTCACTTGCTCAATGCACATGTCCTTTATGTTGATCACGTATTCGATCCCAGTATCGTAGCTCGGATCGTTCAATTCTCCGTCCAGACCTTTGCAGAGGGTATGATTTTGTGCACATCTCTTCAGCCAGGACTTGAGAAGTTGCCGGTCCGCACGTTCGGGTATGCACGGGCGTGGGAAGTTTTCTGCAGAAAAGCCTAATAAATCGGTGTCTTCCCCGAAAGGAAGAACTCGTAGGGCTTTGTTTACGTCTACTTGCAGACCGATGATCCGACGAGTTTGCCCTTTCATAGTCCGTGTCTGACCGCAGTCAACGACTCCAAGCCGCTGAATTGAAGAGGCCGAGTCCCCAGGTACACAGTACGCGAGTAGTCTGCACATAGCACAACTTGAACTGATAGCCGGGCCATTGGGCGGACGGAATCGAGCAACTTGCACTGAGTTTACGGAGTCCTGGCCATAGCTCTTATCCAAGGAAGGAGTCCAAAACCCGGTGACCCATCTACTGAGTGAAGCAACATCTTGGGACAGTAATTTCCAGATATCCAAGGTTGAGCAAACCGAGCAAAGAGGATGGTCGCTAGTGTCTCCGTTTGAGTCCCTTTCGGGTTTGGAGCTGACCGGATTCCCATTGATCTCCATACTATCGCATGTTTGGGTATGATTCTTGGCTGGATGGACACCTTGGGCTCGTGTGGGAACTACGAACAACTACGGCTCACGCCAGTGAGTTGCTTCCAAGGGGGAGACGCGCAAGGAGACACCGACGTACGCCCTTACGAGGAACGCGCCAAAGAGGCTCCAAAGACAATCAAGAAGTCTGATGGTGCTACATAGTAACGGTGCAACTTGCTGTCCTTGCGAGGTTGATATTGAATGCAGTATAGGTAGGAAGACGGCCGGAACTCTTAAGGATGACCGCGCTCAGCGGCAAAATAAGCGGGGCCAGCCACCACCCCAGCACCCCAGCACCCCCAGGCCCCCGTCCCTCAAAGGTATCTACCAATTATAGTCAAGTTTCATGGTCTTTCGTGCACCGAACACCTGTTCTTGACAACTCAAGTATGACAACTCAAATACGAAGACCAAAGCTCACGCACGGCACCCAACTGCATTGAAGTTCGAAGTGCCATTCAGGCATCTTTATTGAAGACCCGTTTTCGCGATTTTCACAATATCCAAAATGCAATTTCTCGATCTTTGTCACGCCGGAGCAAACTATGCCGGAATATTTGCGAACGACGAGGCTGTGAGGGTGTTGCCATACGTGAAGGACGGAGGAGTAGCTTGGGGCCAACTGGGCAGCGCTTTCTACACAATTCAACCTCTACTCTTCCTCTATCACAATCACCGTTCCTTGGGGCATCCCACATTTTATCGCACCACTGCCGCCAATGAAATCTGCTATCTTACAATGGAAGGAACGGGCAAAATTGAGTTATAACATTTGCATTTGGTGATGTGATTGTGAGTTGCAGTTATTGACGCCTGGCTAGATCGACGTTGTGGATCAGAACAGGCATTCTGGCATCAAGCAGTACCACGGTACCACTTCAAACTCATGCGCTGCCCACATATCCCTCTCTCGCTTTCTTCTTCTTCCTCACCAATCCACTTCCATTTCCCCCACGCCACTCACCTAACACCAAACACACCACCGCACTTACCCTCCCTCGAAGCCCACTATGCCAACCACCACAAGCCCCCTCCCCACCCCAACCTATCCCATCTACGGCACCAATGGGCCCCGAACAAGCTGGCATGACGGCCTCATCGCCATCATCGTCTTCTCCGCCTTGACCGGCGTTGTCCTATCCATAGCTTGTCTGAAATGCTACCTCCGGCGACGCCAAACAACCAAAACGAGACGAGAAGCTCAGGAGCGGCAGCAGGAGTTTGAGTATCTGCGTGGTGTCAGAAACGGGCTGCTAGTTGAGTTGGTCCAACCGCAAACACTTAGACGGCTGTTAGAGGTTGTCTTGAAAGAAGTCTTGGATGCAGGAACGAATAGGATCGAAAATCGTCTCGCTTGTTTCAGTGAGATTCCCGATCTGGTCGGTCGCGAGAAATCAGAATCGCTCGTCTGCTCCGCTAGATCGATATCAAATTAGCCTCATAGCAGTTAAATCCAGACGCGAGAATATAAGGTAATCGTGTCGAATTCGAGGACTTGCCTCTTAATTGGTTCCCGCTTCGCGGTTGGTTCGCTTTCGTAATCAGCCCAACATCCATGAATCTCCTCGAAGCCACAGCTACAAAATCATGGTTCCGCCCACCACTGACCACCTGAGATTTTTCCATTCTTCGCCCTTCCTCAATCTCCCTGTGTTCTCCAACCCTCGCACAACATACCCCCCATCTCCCACCGCTAGCTCAACATGACGCAAATAGCCCTGATCTACACCCAAGGCCCCGGCACCCTCCTCACCCGCCTCTTCTCTCCCCCATGGAGGAACCTACAACCATGAGGCATCAACAACGCCACCGGTGAATCAAGCAACACGGATAACGATGCTACACTACCCTCCAGGTCGCTCACCTACGACCCCGACACGACCCGCTTCAACTTCGAGAGCAACTTCGCCCTCCTCTGGTGGATAAGAGGCTTCGTCGTGATGCTGTTACTTCATTTTTGCGTTCTGAAGGCGCTATTGCTCTGCCCAAGCTACTGGAATGAAATCAAGATGCTCCCAGGACTGTTATTCCGAGGGTTGGTGGCCTTGTGGAAGAATGAGATAGGGCGGCGAGTACTGATAGTGTTGGGCGCGTTGGCGTACTATTACTCGTTACGTAGGAGAGTGAGGGCAGCAAGAGATCGACGGGAATGAGAGATGTACGCCATGGTCAAGTCTGTTAGATATCGAAGTGGGGATAGGAGAAGGGGGATATGCCAGATATAATCTAGGGCAATGGGGTCAAATATCGAATTTGGGGAGGGAGTCATCAAAGCAGCAGAATCAAAGAATAGAAATACGAATCCACGGGGTAATAGAGAGAGTTAGAGGAGAAATTGTTTTGTATAGCCTTAGCACAACCGAGTTGCCTTCTTACAGCATACCCATCCTTTTTGAGTTTGCAACGATGCAACCAATTTTTTTTATCGGTGGGAGGAACAAACAGGACGCGCTCGCGCTCAGGGGAACTGATAGACAGGATACCAACGCCGTAGCATGCCAGATACCTCCCATTGCTTTCCAAAGACACCGTGCCGTAGTGGCTGAGTTTGATTATGAGCTATGCGTACAATGCAAGAAATGAGGAGAGGAAAGACCAAGACCGGGATATAGAATAGAGACAGGCGGGGTGCGCGGGGCTATCGGTCGTCAGGCGGGTTGTTGAAGATGCCCATTCGTAGCCGGTGGGCCTGTAGAGAATCAGTATCAGTCTCTTGTGTAAATTAGATTATAGAGATCTGGGAAGCATACCGCCGGCAATTTCGGTAACACAACGGCAACAGTCGCCAAGAAATTAATCACAAAGTATGTCAAATTATAGTGGGTGAAGTGCGTGCTGATCAAGAACAGCAGTATGGGCACACTGAGCAGGAACTTCTTGGCTGGGGTGTACTGGTCGCCATTGTCCATCTGCTCCCACATATTGAGGTTGTCGTAGGCCCCGGCGTTGAAGTCAAAGGGCACGCCGCGCACGTAGTGGAACATGAGGTAGGAGCCGAACATGTACGAGATATTAGTCAGCGTCCACGACGTCTCCTGTGACATGCTGGGGACGATGTCGAAGAGGATCTTGGCGATAATGATGAGGACGACGTGGATGGCCCATGCTCCTAGATGTCATGGCATATCAGCATGTTTGCTTCACCGTAGCGGCGTAAATTCCGCCTTTGGGGGAAGTTGGGGGAATGTATGGATTTGTGATCTAGGGACTCGCTCGCACCTTTGGCATTGACCCAGTTGGCGTTGAGGTTAGGCAGGACGGACTGGTCGCTGATCTGCTCCTCCGACTCGGCGGGTTCGGTGTAGACCAGACTGCTGGACCGCCTCCTCCGCACATTCTTGGCGTCCAGGACCATCTTGCGCTCGGCGGTGTTTGCACTCAGCCTCTGGGGGCGCGGATCGCCTTCGAAGGTGAGGTGGGTGCGGTTGAGGATGAGGGGTGACGTGTTGGCGGTGGTGGCCGGAGAAGCCAGAGTGGCCTAGAGAAGGCGTTGGACGTTGTCGAGGGGTCGGCAAGAGCTGGATGCACTGATTTTCACGAGCCTGCTTAGATATCAGATGACGCTGGAAGGCCAGAGGCGCAGCATTGAATGGGGGGGCTAGCTGGCTACTAACTGTGTCAGGAACAGGAAGATTCCGGGCTGTCCGGCGTCGGGGGAGCTGGCTGACGGCGAGTGCGGTGGTTGGGGGGTGGGTAGCAAGAGTAAGATGTGGTAGAGTTCTAGTGAGGCTGTGGTCGGTATGCGGGCTGTGGTGTTGAGGCAGCAGGAGTCGTGGACGCGGGAGCGGTGGGAGCTTTGGAGCGACACTATTCGGAAGATCATCAACCACGCGTTCCCTGCACGGCCCAGGCGTGTGGGGCATGCAAAAGGTGCAAGGGTGGCACTCTACGAATACATGCGTAGCATGCCACTGCTTGGGGTGCTTGAATGCGTTTTCCGACATTTATACGGGCCGGGATAGAGGCTCTTCACTCTAGGCGATGTAGAAATCCGTTGCAGCGCTTCAAGCAGTGGTAGACAAATCGCCTATAGGACAGCGCGATTGATAATGTTAATAGGAAGTGGTAGTCCACGAATCCGTAAGGTATATACACAATAGTTCTGTGCTTTGTACGCTTGTTCAGCACCGCTTGAGGTCCTCCAGTATACTATTTTGATTCATGAATCTCCAGCTTTGTCAAGCCTGATAGCTCCGTGGGCCACCTCAGACAGCAGACAGTGTTGAACCTTGGAACTGCTTGAGTTTGAGTGTGCCACTTGTTTCCCGCCGAGCGTGCAGGCCACCACGTCTCGCGCAGCTCAGCAGAGCCGCATTTAGAACAGTCACCAACATCAACTCTGCCTCTACATCGACGCTCTCACCACGGCACCCTATCCTCCGCCTCCACCCCCCCCTCTCCGCTATCATGCCCGACATCAGGACTCAGCTCGAGGCGCAGGCCGGTGCTGCTCCGGGTCCTGCCTCTGAAGCTGCGCCAGCTGCAGAACCAAAGCCGCCCGTCAAGCGATCATACAGGTCCGCTGCTTCGCCGTCTTGTTGTATACCGCCAGACTGACCCAATGCAGGCGCAAATACCGCAAAATGCGCGTCGCTTTTGAAGAGAAGATGACGCTGAGCAACAACCTCATCAAAGACGAGTGCAAGGCCGTCGCCCTGGCGCGTCGCCTGCAAGAGCAGAATGAGTGCGCCTCCCTCCTTTCCGCAAGCTTCCATACCCAGGCAACTTACGAGACTTTACAGCCAAATGCTCGACCTCCTCCTCGACATCAATGACGCCGCGCGCATCCCCGGCCACCTCCGTTTCGACCTGCGCTCGCCCTCCCCCAGTGAATCCGTGGTGCCCTCCCTCGAAGCCGACACCGACCCGGACCCCATCGCTATCCAAACCGCCCTGCGCGAAGCCCGCGAGGAGCTCGTCACCGGCCAGCTTTCCCCCGAAGAGTTTGCGCGCATCGAATCAACCCTCAGTTCGCGCACCCTCGCCCTTGGCCCGCGCACCCTCTCCAAGCTCGCCGCCTCAACACCACACACCTCCCAGCCTCCTGCGCACCTCGACGACCTCCACCTCGGCGACAACGCACCGGGATACCTGTCGCCGAACCACGAGGAGGAATACTTACTAGCTGCGGATGCGGCGCTGATGGATCCCTCCGTCTACGATCCCCAGTCGCGCGACGGCCGCCCTCTCCGCCTCGCGACCCACGCCCAGCTTCCGACCGACAAAGAGCTGTCCCTGCGCAACCCGGACTCCGTCTACAACTGGCTGCGCAAGAACCAACCACAGGTCTTCCTGCAAGACAAGGACCCGCACCACGCCGAGAACGCGTCGGAGAAATCGAGCGCGAAACCTGGTGGTGGTGGGCATCGCGGTAAGCGGCCGAGTGCCGTGAGCACGAGTACCCCAGGCCCAAAGACAGAGCAGGATGCACTGGACGACGAGATCGGGTTCATCCCCGAGGCAGGGGCCGCAGGCGCGAAGAGAGGAAAGAATAAGGACGATGAACCCTATCGGCCAAAGGGAGGGAGTTCGAGGCCGCCAAAACGGAAGCGGGACGATGGGGAGGCGGTGGTGAAGGGGCCGCGGAAGAAGAGTAGGGCGAGTGGGGGCCAGGGGGGGAGTGGTGGTGGTAGTTGAGACCCTTCGGTGCCGAGAATTTGGTTTCAATATATGCTTACTGGATTTGCGTAGGTGAAACGACCGTGGTCGAGGGTGATGACCCGTGGCACAGCATATGTCTGTCTTCTTGAATCAAGCTGCGAGCAACTCGTAGCGAACGATTGTGGGAGATCGATGAACGATTACGCAGTAGGCTCCCGTAAAGCGGCTGCATTACGAGTGGCGAACGTTGCATATGATATATCTGCAGAGGGAGACATTGATGCATGAATTGGGGTCACGCAGAGGGCTAGGAGGATCCCACCAAAGGTCGTGCTGTAAGATAGGATAGCCGAGATAATCCTTCAATACCCCTTTTAAGCTTTCACGTCTATGCTATCGTTGTTTGTGTTCTCTTTTCTCACGCAATCTACGACAAGCTCTCCTCGGCAGATTCGAAGCACAATCATATGACCTCTCCAGTCACATGGCAATCCCGTGCTAAACTGACGTAACCCTCAATTTCCAACTTTTCAAGGCTATAGAAACGTCTCCGCTCCTAAACTTCCTTTCTTTTAGCAGCGGGGTTGGAAGTGGATCAAATACGATGTTCCGGAGAGCTCATGACTTGGTCGTGATCAACAAGATGCCATGAAGACTCATGGGAGGAGGAGGGTTGGGTGGATTGAAACACACTATAGATGGACCCCATGGTGGAGGTTGTGGTGGCGGTCTTGGATCAAAGCAGTCATGCGAGAGGTGGATGTGGTGGGAGGTGTTGTGGAAGTTCAAAAATTGGTATTGTAAGCTTTGATGGGCTGGAGGGGATCTGGAGGTTCAAAGTCGAGCATGAGAAGACACGTGTGGTGGAGGGCTAAGAGGCGAACATGGTTGTCATGTGGTTGAGCGCGCTTGGGCTTCCAAATCACGCAGCGCTCGCAGCAAGTGGTGGAGGAGTTACAAAAGAGAAGAAGAAACTAGCCAGGGAGCATGGGTCAACAAGAGATGAGAGGAGATATCATGTGGTGGGAGGTGCTGGTGCACCAAACCAGACATCGAAATGGATCTTTGCAGTGGTGGGCAGGGTGGGAGTGAAATGAGCAAACAGAGACAGGCATGGGTGGAGAGTAGAGAGGTGTGCGAAGGGAATCGAGGATGTGGTGATGAGTAGTAGTACTGGCGGGTAGAGATGCTCTACACTAGATGTAGGCTAGGATGATGTCTATATAGAGGGCGTAGAGATGTTCTGTATTAGGTATAGAGAAGGACGAGGGGCCTTTTATGGGATTGAGATGAGAAGTGGTGAGAACGATACCCACGATCATCTCAGCGCATTGATGCTTGTCCACGCTCTTACGCCGCCGAAATAGAGAGCAAACAGTCTTGGGCTCGGAGCACAGCTTCTGAAAGCGATCTGAATTGGAATTATATATACACCCAGATCTGAATCACGTAACCCATTCCTATCAGTCAGGACCATGTCCATAATATGGTAGATTTCTGCATGACCGGCTTGTGAAGAGAATTAAGTAAGCAGATGTGCATTTGAAGTGTGAATAGCGCTGGCCAATCAGACACAAGCTGCCCCTATCTCAAAACGCTAATTACATTCAACTCCGGTTAGCGCTGGGCGTGACGTCGTGTTCTCCCGCACTCCCGGACTGCACCACTTCAATCGCGTCTTCCGCGTGCGCGTCGCTCTTCACCGTTCCGCCTCGTCGATTTTACCGCCAGGAATCCACCGCCTGTGAAACCACTCCAGATGAAGCGCCAGTGGTCGCCGACATGCGATGATGGGATAGGGACTCCAGCGAAGAAAATCCAGACGTAGGTAAGTTCTCGCCACATGCCAATAAGTCCTTTTTAGACGATGTTCAGGCTGGAAACAAGTCAAAAATGGTCAAATGACAATGATATAAAGCTCCATCAAGGCTTGATACTTGAGCAAACGATCCAGATGTCAACTGAGAAAATTGAAGGGTACCTCTCCACCATTCCCTATCAAGCCGCCCCTCGACTGACAGAACCGAGACTCGAGAGAAGCCGAGAAGCTGTGCAGGATAGGTACATTCGAAATGGCGGCCAAAAAAACCATTTCTACAAGACTGCAATTCAACACTTTTCCAAGGGTCAAAAGCTTGCAATGCGATGCACGAGAGTGCCGTCGCAAGGCTGTTCAACTTCTAAAGGAAGCATATCTAATGGACGAGGACGCGATGATCGTCGCTTCCCATCAGAGGGGAATATCATGGTACGTAAACGGTACTAATAACTCTCGGGTACCGACTTGTTTACACTCTACAGGAGGCAAGTCAGAGAAGCCTACGACGTCTCCCGCGCTATTTCCCTTGATTTCGCATCCAAAATATATGCAACTCTTCCCCGCGAACTTCGAGACATGATCTACAAGCAATGTTTTCCCGAGCGCGTTAAAGTTGAACTTGTCTACTACCAGCACGAAGTTAGGGACATGATGGGTCGACCAAATTACCTATTTGCCAATTGGGTAGGAGAGAATGTCGCTAAAGAGGCCTTGGAGGCCTTCTACAAGAATGTCATGTTTGAATTTGACTCGCGTAGTGAACCCGAAATATCATTATGGGGATCTCTACATAGCGATGCCTTCGGCTTTGGAATTTTCCCGATACGATATTTACGGCATGTCTGCCTCTCGGTGAAGGATGATCAGGAGATGGCTAAGTTTCCGGACTACGCCATGGACAACGATGCTTATGAGGGTTCTTCATCAACACTGAAACGCCGGCTCTCTGGCGGCCGTCCCCTATCCTTTAATGATCGCATGCGCCTCTTTCCCGTAGAGTGTGATAACACAAGACGCCGCCTACATCTTCTCACCATGATGGATTTCAAGGCCACTCTCAGACTGGAAGTTGGACCGAGTTCAGAACCACCAGAGCTCCGACATCTTCTCCATATGTCTTCGAACTCCGTGAACGAGGTTGGAACGTTACTGTCATGAAATTCAACTTAAACAAGGACCCGCTCGATTGTGCCTGCGACAAACCTCGTTGCGCCCATAGTACCGTATCTCCTGGAGCTGACCTAACCTCCTGTTTCGACAGTCCTACAGATGAGGATCGGAAAGTTGTATCTAAGCTTAAATTCGAGGATATAAGAAAGGAAATTATCCCAGCCTGGTATCGCGTCCTCCTTCACAACCACTACGAAGTCTACAATAGGAGGCAAGTCAATCGAGAAGAGTTGATGAAGCACGCTCTCGTTACCGCGATTCTATGAAGGCAATTTCCGATAAACCACGCGTATTCGAGCGACTCGAGTTGTACATAAACCAGGATCCTCCAGAGGAGTGGCCCGAGGACTACTATCCGGCGTACGAAGAAGACTCCTTCTCTGACAATTCCGAAGACGAATCGCTCGATCTTGAGAACTCCAAAGACGCAACACTCGATCTTGACAGCTTAGAAGACGGACCACTGGATCTTAACGCTGTGGATGCATACGTTGAGCTTACCAACGCACGACAGGAGCAAGTTTAGCCCAATGTAAAGTTCTTCGGTCTCCTACATTGCTCTTTTCTGGAGTACTCTACATTTAACGCAAGGGACAAGAAGAGGCTCATGGTGTGGTGGGTGCATGGCGATGCTATCTGGCATTAGAACATGCAGATGTGTAATGGGTGTAAGGGAGTATGTTGTTTGGAGTTGTGGACGGATGGTAGTTTTAATGGTGGCGTGAAAATGTTCTGGAATGGGTACAGATACGGACGATGGACAGCATCTGGGTATTGAAAGGATGTAGAGTAGTAAAGAATAACAGAGGTCTCAATCCTGATACCTCAATAATCCCCCATAACGTCGTTTGTTGGTGGTCTTCTCTAAGAACAGAATCGCGATTTACGTCGAGACTGAAAGTTAGTAGCCCCATTTAGAATTAATCCAGCCAAAGTCCAGAATAGCCAGGAGCAAAATCTAGACAACAAGCTGTTTGATGTGTGAATAGAGCTAACGAATGGGAAGCGAGTTACCCCTTATTTTAACCTTGAATTGGTACTCATAGCGTGACGTTGCGTTCTCGAACAATCTAAATCGCGTCTCTCCGCGTCGGCGTCGCTCTTGGTCCTCGTACCTCTGCAACTTCACCACGAAGAAACCATCATAGCCCAGATGGAGCAGGATAAAGCGCCAATTCTCTCCAGCCCGCGAGGACGGGACAGGGGTTTCCATGAAGAGGCAGCAGGCCTCGACATTAGACGAGGAGAACACCATCGAGATAATGCACTAGCACTCTCCGACGCTCAAGCAGAGGATGGCGTCGTCAATGAAGAAGATTCAGAGGTATGGTCCCATCACTTTCTTACAAGAATAAAGTCTAACGACATCTAGACTCCAAAACGAGCATCTCATGGCGCAGAGCATGTAAGTTCTCGACCACCATCTGAATCACGACCAATACAAAGATTGGTATCTGACACTGTTGGAAGGGAGAACACGTGGGGAAATAAGGCACAGGAACTTGATGACCAAGCAATTGAGCTTCTGAAGGAAGCAGACCGACACGAAAACACTGCAAAGAGCGTAGCTTCTGAGCAGAAGGCCCCAATATCTTTGTATGTGGCCACCTTTCTGCATGCTAAGATGTAAACCCGCTTACATGAGACAGGAAGCTACTCAAGCAAGCTTACGCCTACTCTCGCGTCGCGTCCCTGGACCTTGCATCCAAAATGCATGCAGCTCTCCCCCGCGAGGTTCGAGACTTAGTATAAAGAAAACTTCTTCCCGACCGTGTTACGATCTCATTCAACGAACCTGAGACGCAGAATCTAAGGAAAATGATGGGCCGACCGCATTACCTATATGCCTCGTGGGGTGGGAGACAGGTCGCGAAAGAGGCCTTGGAATCATTCTACAACAACGTTGTATTCGAATTTACTTCGTATAAAACGCTGGGCGAATATCTGCACACAGACCCCTTCGAACTGCGTGTTTTTCCATCGAGTCACTTGCGACACTTCTGTATCTCAGTGGAAGATGATTAAACGATGTCCAATAAATACAAATATGCCATGGATAACAATGCCTACGAGGGCCCTTCGAAGGAAATAGGGCATGCTCGCGGCCCAGCATATAGAGCCAGTCTCGGGTCACTCTTCCTCCCTAAGCCGCTCGAGCGCGATGAACAAGACTCCGTTTAAGCCCTCTCTCCGAATTGGACTGCAAGGCTAATACCCTCACATTGAAAGTAGAATCAAGCTCGCGCACTCCAGAACTCCGACATCTCTCCCCTGTTGTTTTCCAGCTTCGGGAACAAGGTTGCAATGTCTTAGTCGTGAAAATGAAAGACAGGGAAGAGCCCCCTGGCGGATGGTCGTGCTGGGAATATGGAAAATTCCGCGAATTGGATTGTCGCTGTGTTACTACTAAAGAAGTTGACTCGGATCTTACCCCCTGTTTCGACAATCCAAGGGGCGAAGATCGAATATTAGCGGCTGGGGTCACTTTCGATGACATACGAAAGGAAGTCATTCCTGCTTGGTATCGAGTCCTTCTTCACGACCACTACGACGTCTACAAAGGAAGAAGCAAGAGGATTTAAATGCATCCAAGAATGATTCGACGCCTCAGCGAAATTTCCCGTATGAAGGATCTGACTGGATCTTAAACCCGCCGAACGAGGAAGACTCCGATGAATGTTCGGATGGAAGCGAATCCGACGAAATGCAGTCCGACGACTAGAGCATGGATTCCAACGAAGACAATTTTATCGATGGGGAGTCTGAAGAAAAACCGCTTGGCCCAGACGATTTTGACGAGGATGGAGTCTGTATCCGTTGAACTCACCGGCGCGCGATAAGATGAGTTCTGAGTTGAGGTGGTATGTTACGGTTGCTGATGCAATTGAGTTTTTATGTTCTATCATAACTTTGGGTTGCTTTTTGGAGTTTTGAGGGCTTTATGTTCACTCGAGTTGCGCTGCGGCGCCGCTTTTGAGGTCACTTTGATCTCATATTCTACACTTCAAGACTCAGCAATCTGAATTCCACTCGTACATCTCTTTTCACGTTCATACACCCGTATATTATATAACATGCCCAGAATACCCAACTCACTCACGTTCTTCACATCCTTCATTCCCAACCTCTCATCAACGCTCCATCCACTGCCCTCGGCCCATGCACTCAAACAAGTCCACAGCCTAAGACTTTACCCCCGCCCGCACACTCATCCCCACCCTTGTCCCATCACCCGATCCCGCACGTGAAATATCAGTCCCCGCTTACTAATCCTTCAATATATACTATAAGAAGCTCGCTACTCTGATAGCTATAAACCCATGATATCGAGGTTCGTGAGGCCATCAAAATGTCGAACGCCGTGTACGTATATACAATGGTTGGTTCGTGATCAACAACGGCCTGGAAAAGGTACCATGGGCGGTCGGAGTGGAAATGGGGCCGAATGAGGTATGGGTGGAGTGGTGGCGGGTGTGGATCAACACCAACTTACAACATCCACTATGGGCGCGTTGTGATCAAATCTGTCAGTCCAAAGTCTCGACGCGCGCCGTGGCAAATTTCGTTCCGGACCAATCAATGGGTGCGAGGCCGGTGTCGTTGTTGGGCCCTTCAAACCATCAGAATGCTCTTCATCACTCTGTTGAACAGCTATTTCTCAGTGTCTATACGAGAGGACCGGCTGCAATACCCTTCTGACTTGGACATCCTCAGCGCCTCGGGACTTCGAAGGCGAGCAGCGAATGAACCCCACCACGACCATCATCGCCACCTTTAAATTTACATCACACATGATGGGGCTTGCAACGGCGATTTCTAGCCGTACCATCGCGTTCGCCTTCTTCGTGTTTTAGTGCTCGGGGATTAGTAGTGAGTGTCATGGGATTTGACGGCCCCGACCAAACGTTCCTAACGTCTAGCAGCCAGTCTCAAAGGCAACGAGCTTTCATACCCCACCGCAGAGATGCCACATGAGAATCAGCTAATCCGCTCCCCCCGCCTTTACTCCCACAGCGGGGACTAGCGGTCGGTGACCCGTGGCCAAAGACTTCTCACGTGCCCCACTGACTGAGGCCGATTTTTGTTCTATTAAACCACGTCCCGACTCCGGCTAGACACTTCTCAGCAAGGAGATCATCCGTGGACGAAATTGGAACCTTAGAAGTTGGTGGTTGGTGGGTTGGTGCGCACATACGCCGAAAACAACTTCTTCGATGGGTGGATGGATAGATCAAATTTTGGCAGTGATCGACATGGGCGAGGTGGTGGGAGGGGTAGATCGAAAATGGATGACACGCGCTATCATGGGTGGGGTATTGGGCGGGGGGCGAAAGGTCCCGTTTGAAAGCTTCATGGAGTGCAAAATCGGACAGTGTTTGACGACATGTGGTTGCGGTGGAGAATTGCGAGTAGGGGATCCTGTAATTATACTGATGGCCATCAGAACTGTAAGATAACGAGTAGTGGAGCAGGAATAGGGCATAGTTCGCTTCATTACATTGGTATCCAACGCTGAGGGCGGGTGTAACGTGAAGATGAGCATCAGCGAAATCGATGGATTGGAACGGCGGGCCCCATACGCATCTGCTTCTGCCTAATGTCATACCGTGGTGGTAGTGACACGGTGATTTGAACACCAGACAGTTCTAGCAACTGCTCTATGGGTCTTACAGCATTTGGTAGAGGATGCGCTACTGGTGAAGATGCCGCAGTTCGGTGCCGTCTCCGACCTCCACAAGCAACCCCAAAGTTCCTCCCAGATGTGGAGGAAAGGGCCTAAAAGCCTGGCGAGATTTCATACCCGGCTATATGGGGAAGAACATCTGACTATCAGCTGATCTACGAGTAGCAATGGCGCTTGGACTTGCCGCAATTCTCTGCAATTGTGAGTGTGAAGACCAGATGAAGCGGGAGCCCTTGAATGGCTTTTTGGTGGTAGAAAGTGGGACAATTTTACTGGTGAAGACAGGAAGTTGTCGTTTTCTTAGGTTACCCGTTTACAGGCATTCAGCGATACTTCATCACTCAACTCACATTACTATAGGCCTGGAGTAGAGAAAGAGCAGACAATGAAGAAAGATGACCTCTGAAACCAAGGGATTGCCTTCTAATCATTATGATGTTTCAAAGTCGATAGTGATTCCAAGTTCCATATCGCCGTAGCCATTAACGTTTTACCTCATTCACACGAGATTGACAACGTAAATCTAAGGAGGGCACGTCATTGAGTGAATTGATGGCACAACAGGGCTGAAAATCTTGTTGAATGAACTGATGTTACCAAGAAAGACGAGATGTAGCTGAGTGAAGTGATGGTGCATCAAAAAAGAAGACCTGTCGTCAAATGAATGCTTCAGCGAGCTATACCCTACGTAGAATAGCGCAGGACGGCATACCAAGCGTGTGCTTCCGGTATCCCACTCCCGAATCGTCACTTTACCCAAAAGCAACGACTCATCAACAACAAATTCACATCCCCATGCTTCTGCGACACCCGGTCTTTCGCCTTACAGAAGGGATTTCATGTATAGCTTTTCGTCGAATCTCATACAAAAACCCTTCACATTTTTCTTCCCTAAATTCGAAGCGCCACTTCTCTGCCACCATGTCGAGGGAAGGCAGTCCAAGTCAGCCACGGCGATTTACACCCTTAAGCTTGAGTAAGAAAGCACAAGAGGAGGATACGCGATCCAAGCTAAGGGGGGTTGTTTTTGATGTTGATGGGACGCTGTGTAGGTGATATCGACGGCCGAGTCGTTTTCATCTTATCTTTCTCAAGCTTCCACAGTTCAGTTGCATCATTTATTGTTATTTCCTTATCTTCTACCTCTCTTCGGTCAGTTGTTGTAATTACTGCGGCCGCTAGGCTGTCTAGTTCCCTTCTCCTCAAATCGAAAAATCTTGAAAAGTCTCCTATCGTATCATGTTCTGCCCGTAGCTATTGACCACACTAACCATCAATACACAAAAGGCGAGCCTCAGAACTACATGTTTGGCCAGATGAGGTAAGATTCTTCGCCTGGACGCAATCTCCTTGCCTCCGAATATCGCGAGTCCTCACATCCCCTTTCCATCCTGCCATACGACTACAACGAAAGCATCCCCTAATCGTTGACAGAGCTACCCTCGGCATCGAGAAACCAACCGACATCCTCGACCACATCTATACGCTCCCCGAAGCCGAGCAGGAGACCGCCATGGAGAAAATCCGCCAAATCGAGCGCAACGCTATGAAAGTCCAGAAGCCGCAAGTCGGGCTCGTTGAACTAATGGACTATCTCGATTCCCGTGGGATTCGAAAGGGAATATGTACCAGGAACTTCGAGTATGTAGCTCTTCCTTCCATATCCTCCGTCGCTCTATTACAGTCTCCCTCTTCTTGGCCTTCCGGATGGCGAGGTATACGACTAATACAAACCCCCAGCACCCCCGTCTCCCATCTGCTGACAACATTTCTCCCTTCCCACACCTTCGAACCAATTATAACGCGCGACTTCCGCCCACCCAAGCCTTCGCCAGCAGGTATTCTGCACATCGCCAAGAAATGGAACCTAACCCTACCACCATCATCAGAATCCCCCAACGAGGTTCAAGGCGACGCGTCCCATCTCATCATGGTAGGGGACAGTATCGACGATATGACGGCAGGCCATCTCGCGGGTGCGGCGACGGTGCTGCTGGCTAATGAGGCGAATCGGGATCTTGCGGAACATCAGCACACAGATTTGGTGGTGCGGAGGTTAGATCAGCTAATTCAGGTGTTGGAGGAGGGGTTTGAGGGACAGATTCCGCGCGGGGATGAGAGTCCGGATACGAGGAGGCAGGTTGAGGGGGTGTTGAAGGGGGATATCAGGGATGGGACATAATTAGCCATGGTGCCTAGCTTGTGTTATATCATGTTAGGCCTTCATGGGGCTCAAGCCTTGTGTGTGCATATAAGGAACTTCGATCAAGAGATATTACAGACAACAGTTCCTATCATCTGTAGACTACAGTACCACCCAGGTATACTCTGCATCACCAATACTTCGACCTACCCGGCCACGTTCTCCGCGACCTTCTCTCCCTGTGCCCCCAGCACCCCCTCCGCCCTCTCGGCCTTCTTTTCATCAACTGCAAATAGTTTCCCAATCGCCTCCACCGTCGTATTCCCCCCACTAAATACAATCCCAATATCCCACCCCTTCTCACCGCCCTCCTTCTCCACAATCCGCCTAAACTCCTCATTATACAGCACAGTCGCCAGCCCCACTACGGCACTCGGCTCCACAACCACCTTCATACGCTCCAGAACCAGGCGCAGCGCCGCTTTAATCTGCTCCTCCGTCACCGCAAACAGCCCCTTCACTTTCTCTGGGTCGCTGATAACACCCCACGTCACATCCCCCAGCGGCGTCCTCAGCCCATCCGCAATCGTCAGCGTCTTCACGGTCTCCACCCGCTTCCCAGCTGCCACACCCCTCCTCGCGTCGTCCCCGCCCTCAAACGATGGTTCTGCCCCGTATACCTGCACGCCTGTTGGCGCCAGCGCTGTCGCGACGCCCGAGAGCATGCCGCCACCGCCACAGGGCGCAATCACGGCATCCAGAGTTTTAACCGCCCCGTTTGAGAGTTCGGCGACCTGGGACTCGAGTTCCAGAGCGAGGGTGCCCTGGCCTAGGATGATATTGGGGTGGTTGTAGGGCGGGACGAATGTAGCGCCCGTGTCAGCGATCACGGTAGCGACGACGGCCTCGCGCTCTTGGGAGGTGCTGCCGCTGAAGTGGATGTTGGCGCTGTAGGAGCGGGTGCCGGCGATTTTGGAGGGGGTGGAGATGGTGGGCATGACGATGTGGGCGGGGATGTTGTGGGTGCGAGCGGCCAGGGCGAGGGCTTGGGCGTGGTTGCCTGGGGAGAGATATCGTTAGTATCGTGTATAGGTATCATTGTAGTGACAAGTTCTTTGCGGCGTAGGATTGGCGTTTGGAGCATCGTGAAGGGTGAGTATTGGGCCCTGCACGCTTCAACCCGAGGAATCACACTAGCCACCTCCCAGACGTCTCTCAGCTCAATTCAGAACACGTAACCTCACCAGAACTATGCGTAACCACCCCCTTTGACTTTTCTTCCTCACTCAATCTCGCCAGCGCATGGAATGCACCCCGCGCCTTGAACGCGCCGACCCGCTGGAAGTTCTCGCATTTGAACCACAGCTTGACCTTTGGCTTCGCGGGTGTTTGCCCTTCATATGGGGTTCCCTTGAGTGCTTCGGGTGTTTGTGGCGTCGACGCGAGGGTGGAAAGGGTCGTGTTGGTCAACACCGGGGTAAAGTGGATGTGAGGTTTGATTAGGGCGTGGGCTTCGATTACGGAGGCGCGTGTGAGGGGTGGTGTGGTGGTAGAGGAGCCCATCTTGAGTGCGGTACTGAGGTTGGTGGGCGGTTCATGGTGTAGTGTTGAGGTTGCGAGCATGTTCCTCTTCTACGAGGTTCGCTATGTGGGGCGGCCGAAAGGGCGGTAGAATAGCTCCAGGGACGGCGGCATGCCGAAAGATTCTCCAGTGTGCTCCTATATCAATCATCCCGCCTGCTCTTTTAACAGCTGTATTTCTATGATGCTTGCATCAGTTGTATTAGTTTTCCATTATTCGCCCATCTCGTTCATCAATGCAGTCGATAGAATACTAGGGCCTCTGGAGTGACGATATCCTCCTGTAGTCCTTTTCTACAGAATATCCGCATTGCCTTACTCTCCTCTACCATCGTCAGCTTCAGTAGTAAAATGACTTGATTTCAATCTACTAAGCCTCCGTCTGTATTCATCGGCTGTACCGGCGACCTCGTCTCTTACATTTTGGCCAGGCCGTGTAGGCAATCGTCAGTCATGACTGTACAGAATAGGCATACATCAGTCCTGGAATAGCCGGGCATATTCTATTGAGATCCTCCTTAGATCGTTATTTGCACTCAAAACGAGGTGCAGATTTCCTTAGAATGAAGTGCTTTTATTTCTAGGCTTGAGCCCGCTCTTTATTGCTAGAGCTGAAGACAGCTGAGCTACGACTCGAGTCAAATCTCAAGTTGCGAAAGATATGTCCACCTCTGGGTTTTCTGATCCCGAGACCCCCCTTCCCCCCTCCTCTCTCGATCGTCACCTTTTTCAGTCCGGGATGAGGCTATGCTGTCCTCCCTATCCAGTAATTGTGGCTTTAATATGGCATCATTGGCGACGAAAATCTCGAAATCAGTGTTGAAGAGTATAATACCGTCGAGGCAAATCGGGCAGGTATTCTTTTTTTCTTCTTCTAGCCAGCGGTTCAGGCAATCCCAGCAAAAGACGTGATTGCAAGTCCTGATTTGCTTTGGATTGCTTGCCGTCTTGTGGCATCTCTCGCACCGCGCATTTATAGGCATAACGAGGTCTGGAAGTGGATTGTGAAGCAAGTCTAGGAACATTTGCTTTTCGAGAACACCACCCGGAAGCCCACCCGACTTAACTCGGAGGTTTGAGTCGAACCAAGCCATAAAAGTTGGTTCCATGATTTGGGGTAGTTGGCTGTGGTAGCCACTGCTCGAAAGAACAAGGCTTAAGATCCTTCTTGAGGTGGGTTGAAAGTTGATTTCATTGGGGAAGATGTGGTTTACTCGTGGAGTGTTTCGGTTTGCTGGTTTGAGGTCTCGAGAGTCTATTTGAAAATGTGCGAGATATAAAAGTTTTTATAGGGAAGGGAAATTTGATCGGCTTTGGGTACCAAGGTTCACATCAGGCGTCACCCAAGTTCTGCGCCATCTTGCAGGTATGGAGAGATAATTCCCCTCGCCCACAGCTTCGTTCAAAGTAGGATTTTGCTGATGCTGTCGACAGTATCAAAGATGTCCAAAGTCGAACGCATAGTCAGTATGGGAACCCGTCCTGTGTCGCTTTTGTTCTCGAGCTTACTGTTCGTGCAGCTATTCTCTTGAAGAGTGATAGTAACGTGACTAGGTGTCGTCCCATGGTACGGTTCCAAGCCATATTGTTCGTTCCTCGATTCATCCGACCCGAATCGGATCGCGCCTGGTGGAGTTTTCGTCGCTTCTCCAAACCGAGGACAACCCACATTCACCTCAACCACCCTCTGGCCCCAAGGTTTCCGCATCAAAAGCCCCTAACAACGCCCACACCAGCGCAGCACTGCCATGTCACCATACGAGACACCATACAACTCTCCTAATTATGTCAAGCTATGCTTGAACATATGGGAGCTCACCCCCTTGATGAAGCGGAACCGGCCTATCGGCCGTCGAACCCTCAGCGTGGATCCAGGTCTGGCAGAACTCCTACCAGACGTATATGGCAAAGATGTAGAGTGCAAAGGGGAGATGCGACGACGCACTTCAACCCTACGACCAGACGAATACAGCAACGACGAGTACGAGGGTCGCAAAGAAGAGAAACGACGACGCAAATCAGAACCCTCTCTTCCTGCAACGACGTGGGATAGACTCGACGGGAACAATATATTTAAGCCTACTAGACGACGCGACTCGGGGCTTTCTCCCCATAACCCGAATACATCATCTCCATACAAGGCCCTGGTCCCACCACTCGAAGCCTACTTACAAACCAACCTCCCTCTCCCAACCGCAACTCAAGACTCATCTGGCCCTTACACCGCTCTCCACCCCTTCATCCGCCGCGCCCTGCACTCCGACCGCTTCAACATCCGCACGCACAAGTACGAATTATCTTTCTACGAGCCGTACTATGGACCCCGCGAGCACGCTATCCGCGCTGACGATCCGGATATCCCAGCAGACAGGACCATCCCAAGCCCAGTGAAGCTGCCGCCACAGAGTTATAATAGAGGCTGGCGGCAAAGGGAGGAGTACAAAGAGGAGAGGAGGCGGCAGCGAGAAAAGCAGGAAGGGGAAAGGAAGGGGCAGTGGGAGAGGCGGCTTAAGAGAATTGCGAGGGTTAGGGCGAGGTGGGGGTCAGCATCGCAATGGCAGTTTAACCATGCAACGACGCTTGCATACATGGCGTCTGGGTAGTTTGGAGAGAATTATCTCTCTGAACAGGTTGGGTCTACGATAATGCTGGCAGGGACGCTTTCGGAGTAGTCTGGGGCGGGTGTTTTTACTTTCCATCTTGAGTCTACGAGCTCGCTACCCGAGATGCGGTCAGGCAAGTCTGGGGAGGGGAGTTCGAAAGGGAAATGAAGTGGTGGGAGGCCGAAGGAAGCAGTGAAAGGGCAGTGAATTCAGCTCTGTTACATTGATTAGCGTCATTGCGAAACAGGACTAGGGCATTGGATTGTTGGCACTCTCATGCCACCATCAAGAGTGCTTCAATGTATCATCAGGTATATAGTCGTGATGTAAATACGTCGCATTACGAATTGGACACGTGTCAAATTACTCTGGTACCGGATATTATCAACGACTCCGAGCGACACACCATCTTGGAATACGACACGATTCGTAAACGTGATATTTGCCAAAGACTGGAGTGTCTGGTAGACTCAATAGGCCCTCCGGGGGTAGCAAGAGGAAAAGGCCTACTACTAAACGAACGTCCGGTGACTGTGAAATCATATCATCCAGCTAACAATCCGACCGCCACCCTTCATAGCGTGTATGTGCTACCATAGGCCCACTCAAGCCGTCGTACACTTACTCACTGCACATCCGTTAAATTCGTACTCCCCTGCACAATGTATTGTTTGACCTTCGACAGCTTCGAAATAAAACCCTCCGGCACATTTAAGTGATCCTTTACAATCTGCCCGGACGTTAGCCCCAGCCATTGTCCCACACTTATATCGCTAAACGCGTCCGCCTGCAACACCTCTAAGAGCACGACATCATTTGACCCTGTGTTCTCAATGTAGTGCGCGTTCGGGAAAGGCACGTATCCCACATCCCCAGCGGAAAAGTCGAACGTACGGGACGATGCTGGCGCTTGATAGACCGTTAGTCGAGCGCTGCCGGCCAGGAAATACGACCACTCGTCGGAGGACGTGTGCCAGTGCATTTCGCGCATCGCGCCGGGCTTGATAGTGATGAGGGCGACGGAGAAACCCTTGGCGATGGGGAAGGTGGCCGGGTCGAGAATCTTGATGCTGCCGCCATCGACCTCATACGGTTGCTGCTCAGAGAAGTGGTAGCTGTACGAGCCGGCCTGGGATATAGCGCCCGCGGGGCCTGTCACGTTCTGCGCAGAGATGTTCTTTGGCGCGGGTGTGCCAGGGAAGATCCACAACTGGCCATCAGGTAGATTCTTGAAGTCCTGCACAGAGGTCTTGAAATTTTTCGCCACGACGCTTTGGGGGTTACGTTCGAAGAGCTCGGAGACGAGAAAGGTTTCGTCTTCGCTGAAGTCGCTTTGGTCGAACACCAGGAGGAACTCGCAGCCGTCGTCGAAGGCTTGGATCGAGTGCGGGATACCTGCCGGGAAGAACCAGACATCGCCTAGGGTCAGATCGTCGATGAAGGTCTCACCGTTCTCATTTACGGCTTGGATACGGACGCTGCCGTTCAGCATGAGCGACCACTCGCCTGCTTTGTGCCAATGCAGCTCGCGGTATGCGTTCGATGAGAGGCGCATGTTGACGCCGGCCATGGCGGTGGCGACTGGGAGCTGGTCAGTGTTTTGCTGGCGCGCCCATCCGGCTCCAGCAAGGCCATGTCTGTTGTGAGAGAGCGCGAAGGGCCATTTGGCGTTGGTGAAATCTCCGGCGTCGGTTCCCGGGGGAGCATACATGTCGCTATTCAAACGATCATACACATAAGTGCTTTGTAGAGAGGTCTGTCAGTCAAGCGCATTCGAAAGCTGCTATTGTCCAAACTCACCGAGGGCCCGGATCTGTTGGGCCTGTCTTGCCACCTCGAATTGGCTGAGGGTTCTTGACGTTCGTAAGGTCAATGGGAACACCCAGGTCGGCATCTTGTGATTGTCCCGGAGCTAATTCAAACTCATCTGATGGTATCACTGTCGGCGGCTGTGGCACCTTGTTGTTCGAATCATAGCCAAGCAGGTTTTCCGATCCGCGAAGACCTCCAGATGATGGGGCAGGAGCGGAGGCTGCTGGATTTAGAAGTGCGGCTACTAGACATAACACAGATACCTTATCGAGCCTCATTGTGGTACTGCTGAGCACTGAAAAAGGTAAAAATGATGAAAGAATGCAGAACTAACTGGGCGAACTCGGAATAAATATGCATGGATAGTTCTGATCGATAAATGCCCACCTCAATTCAACTCGAACTGCGGGATCCCGCGGCCGGGTTCTCCATGGCTCGAACGGCATGAAGACGACTCCACAACGGCAATTAGCTAGGGTGTTCTTTCTTTGATGACGAACATAACAACTAGGTATCTCAGTGGCACCCTCTGAAAGAATTTTTGGACAGATCTTCGAACCGCAATACGAGAGAGGCAAGATCTACTTCACGCACCGAACAAAAATGTAATAGTAAGTGAGAAGACCTGCATACAGCAAGCTTAGCAATTGGTATGACCCATACTTGCGCGTCGTCATTCCTCACTAATGACCTCGATGGTCATCTACTCGGGACCGACGAGCCCCGACTCCGAGAGACTCCGAGAAACGCCCTTGTGATGTCTTGAAAACTTCCAGACCTAATTGCCAGAAAGCCATGGGAGGTGGTCATTAGCGTTCTGATCGGGCTTCTAGCAGCATTAGGTGTGTGGCTCGTGAAACATAGTAACAGGGGAGACATGGTAGGGATTCCCCTCGTGTCCTGAATGCTGGTCATCGTCAGTAAGAGAAACTGAAGACATGCAAGACATCAGAGTGGACACCAGAGTAGACGAGAGTCTGAGAAGCACACGAATGCGACTGTCAGCTATCTATTCCGTAAGAACTGTCGAGATGCTGATGAAGCGTACTGAAGAGATATCACCAGATGCTGTCGGTGAGTTGAGCACCGCTTATGGCATGCCAAGCTAGGAAGACTGCACGATGTACTGTGAAAACGTGCATGCTGAATTGACCCCGCTTCAACCGCCGTGTTGCTCCTCCTCTAGCGAATGCTTCGCTAAAGTCACCGGCAACCTGGATTGAGTGCATCCCGATGATTTCCACGGAGGTGTATCCGAAAGAAGAAGTTGGAAAGTCGAGTGACATGCCCGAAATTAAACGGAGACCTAGCCACTGCAGGTACTGTCAACGCGTCAGCGGGCTTCGTGACGTGGATGGGTGACTAACCGGGGTGAGACGAGGTGGGGGTAGAACCCTGCGCGAGGGGACGGCCCGTGGTGGAGGCCCACGAAGTTAATATGTACAAGCTTCTCAAAAACATAGACAAGCCTCGAAGTACGGAGAGGGGGTGCATGCATCTCCTCAATCCCCGTTCTTGCAATATTCCCTCCATGGCGATCCGGGCCGGGTTTCTCCACCTATACGCGTGGAATACGCCGCTGAGATGCTGTTAATATGATGCTATTTTTGCCAGGATTCTTTAGCTTCTTTTCCAACCGCGGCATTCTTGGGGGGCAATGGAACCGTATATTTTTTTCTGGAACGAATGAGATGAACGCGGCTGTGGCGGGTCCTCTAAGTCTAGAAGCACTCGCAAACTCGAAGAGTTCATCCAAGACATTGAAGAATATGATAATCCAGGAGTGATACACCAATTGGGATAGTCTCGGTAAGTCCGGGTCGCGGCAGAGGTTCCGGTAGTCCTAGTCTAGAAACCCCATCTCTTCATCCATGACACCTGCAAGACCCCGCGCTTGACGATGTGCTCCACTATTTACGGGTGGCCAAGACTTGTGTCGAATGCGTAACTCCTCGGATTTGGCAATTGTTGCGGGTAGATCTCTGGAACATTTGGTTAGTGCTGACAGAAGGTGAATGGATCCTTCAGCGTACTCTAAACGCCCGTATATCACATATCCCTGCTCTTCCAATACCTTTGCGAGTTCCACTTGATGGTTGTCGAGCAAGTCTTCGTTTGGTACAACGACAAGAGGTACGTCTATCCTCAAAACGGCCAATATGGTGCCCGAGCCTGGATGAAGGGAAATATCACCCCGATCAGTCTTCCATAAGAATTGTAGAAGAGGAACAAATTGCATACCTGCATGACTGATGACAACGCCCTCGGAGTTCTCTGGTAGCCCCTTTGCAGCTTTTAATTCTTGATCTAGCCCATCGCGGTTGAAGTCAAATCCATCGATCGCAATGCCGTGTCCAGCTAAGCCATCAAGCTCTGAAGTCAGCTTGTCAAATACTGCTTTGCCGTCCTTGCCGTATTGCACAAGGAGGTTCGTATACCCTGCTTTCGATAATGCGTCGAGAAATTGGGGATGCAACGTAGCAGATATCAAAGAGTTGAAGGAAGCTGTTGCCCCGACAGTCACAAAACACAGCTTTTTGGACGCTTTCTTGCCTTGGAGTGACATTTCTGACAAGAAATGCCCAAACGAGTTTTTGGTGAAAGAAGGAGGCATCTGGCCCTTCGCACCGCCTGAATGTCAACGAGCCCAATGGCTTGGCGGTCGGCGAAAAGGGTCCGAAGCTGCCGACGGTCTCGCGTTTCTGAAAATGTTACAGTGCAAGACAACATCTATCAACCTACTCAATGGCAACAATAGCGAGGAGACTGGTGCTCTGCGCCCGAAGATGTCCTGTCCCCACCGCTCCCCGCTATACACCGCTGTCTGCGATTCCCTGGCAGCGGCGCCTTTCCACCACCGCTCCTCGCCGCGATGAAAATCCCAACGACGATGCGAGGGACAAGAGGCTCGAGGAGTTCACCAAGGGAATCGAGCTCGATGCAGACACTCAAGACGAATCAGATGACCAGGGCGTGCGGCGCTTTCTTGATGCGCTATCGACAGTGCACCCTGATGCCTTGATGAAGGAGCTGGACGCTATTCCCGAGGGGTTCGACGACGACGCTGGCGATGAAGTCGCTGGGGTGGACAGGGAAGCTTTGGGACGACTTTACGAGGAGTACGATCAGGAGGCGCTCAGTGATGAGGAAGAGTACAATATGCTCACCAAAGCGCCCGAACCGAGGGTTGGCAACGATTTCTGGGATTCTGGAGAGGATGAGCATTTGGGCGACGAAGACTACTTCGGCGACGATATATCTGCATTGGGCCATGGAGAGCTGGAACAGCACCGCGAGCTGAGGGAATACGCCAGACTCGCGGCGTGGGAGTTGCCCTTGTTAAGCAGTAAGAAATGCCTTTCACCCGCTTACACCACACCAAATGCTAACCGGATCCAAAGAGCTTGCCAGGCCATTCGAGGTCCCATCGACCTCGCAACCACTACGCTTCCGCTACACTACCTACCTCGGTGAAGAGCACCCAGCTGCGAAAAAGGTGGTCGTCGAATTCTGCACCTCCGACATGCCGGGACTTACCCAATTACAAAGGGACAAGCTCATCAAAATGGCGGGGTCTCGATATAATCCCTCGACCGACATCGTGAAGATGAGCTGCGAGATGTTTGGAACACAGGCGCAGAATAAGCGGTACCTACGGGACACCGTCAACAATCTCGTCAAAGAGGCGCGTGAGGGCAAAGACACTTTCGCAGATGTGCCCTTCGACTTCCGCCATCACAAACCGAAGGCGAGGTTCGAGTTCCCTAAGGAATGGATCTTGACTCCAGAGAGAAAGAAGTATTTGGAGTCCAAGAGGTTGCATCAATTGGAGCTAGATTCAGGGTTGAAGCAAAGCGGCAACCTCTTGGATGGCGCCAAGCTTGTGGAAAGAGTGCTATCGAGTCAGGTGCAGATCCCAGAACCAGAAATGGTGGAGGCTGCTAGGGGAAAGCAACGGCTGCGGTAGTAGTCGATTTGTGTAGATGCATGGATGTATTATAGGATTTTGGCGTCGCTTCATGTACAGCATGTTTGTAAAACACATACACTGTTGTATTATCCACTATCTCTCGAACTTCTAGTGATATCACATAGATCTTCCGAGTGCAGTCTTTTCTTAGCCGCCAACCCACTAATAGACATCGGTCAGCCAACTCCTACCATCACGTGGTTGTTCTGGTGATCATTTGCAACGACGCAGCGTGGCACTTCAAACCTGATATAACTATCAGCTACCACTAATCTGTTACAGGAAAGCCCTACTATATAGGAGCTATAGATAGGATACACTAGCGTACGCTAGAAACCTTATTTGAACGCCCTTATACCGTCTATGTTCGACATTTTTCAAACTGAGGAGGCAGGGCGATTACCGAAAGCGCACATGCGCGTAACATGAGCGGGACAGTTACTTCGTGTAGTATTTGTAACTACGCGGAGGATGGTGGTACTCGAGAACAAGGGACATAGAGATATGTATAGAATAAATAAGAGTTTGGGGTAAATCTGTCAACCACGTCCTATAAGCCACTTCTAGGGGCCAAAATATAGGGGCCATGGTAATGCCCTCTGAGGTAGGAGTTTGAAGTCACTGAAAGTGGTAATTCACCTAGCTTGCGATGATGCACGGGCCAAGTACTTATCCGATCCATTGACAACCTATCTCCTCCATGAACATCCATCGATCATCACTCAGTCCAACATGCCGCAACTCCTTGATCTGCCCAACGAGCTTGTCGACCAGGTTATATCCAACCTGAGCGGGCACAAGACTGACCTATGCAGTCTCTCGCTCGTATCTCGAAGGGTCAATAACATTACCAAGGCCACTCTCTATGGCCTCTACTCCTATGAGCTGTTTCAGCAAGCATATTCCTTCCGACCCTTCCTCCGCACAATTCTTCGAGACCCTAAACTCGCTTCCTATGCCCGGACTGCCAAGATCAGAGTATGGAGAACGGCTGCAGATGTCTACTCCTTCTTGAATGAATCAGATCCACCCCGCCGCGAGGACCTTCAGCTGTTTGTCGATGCGGGCCGATATGTCTCTCTCAACTCGGAGCCCGACTGGTATGAATCGATCATTCGAGGTGTCGAAGATGCGGAGGTGATGCTCCTAGTCTCCCAGCTTCCGAATTTGCAAGAGCTCCACCTTGCCATGCCACCATCCACTCGTCTCCGTTGGCATTTCGTGACCAATGAAGCCCAAAAGGCCAGACACGGTCTACCCTCGAAGTACCATTCCCTCAAAAGGCTTTGCGTTGAGAATGGAGCCGGGGACGGAGGATTTCAAATCAGAACGTTAGCCCCATTCCTCGGATTACCATCACTGCGCACATTCGAAGCATATCAATGCCAGAGCGGCCTCTGGACAGCCGCCAATTTCAATGTTTTCGCCGAGCAAAACCTGGCAGCGTTCGGAATCACCTCCATCAACCTGGAATGGAGTACGCTTAGCGTCGAAGCAATCACAGCTCTCATCACAAGCTGCAAGGCACTAAAGTCATTCAAGTTCAGCCACCATTACAAAGCTGCATCGAGATTGAGCACCGATCAATTTGACGCTCTTCAGTTGGTCGAAGCGCTCAGCAGACACTGTGAAACACTCGAACACTTGAAGTTGGAGCTTCAACTTGGATGGGCCCCTCGCAAAGTCGCATTGCAGCTTCGCCTCCTCACAGCGGGGAGATTTCGACTTGGAGACCTTCGACCGTTTCGCAAGCTGGCAACTCTGGACTGTGAACAAATGGCTTTAATGACGAGTTTCCCAGAGCTCCAAAACTCAAACCGTCCCTGGACTGAGCTTCTTCCAACTTCACTTGAGAAGTTGGTCATACGTTTATGTGGAGATATTATTGTCCCAGATCTGGTTAAGCTAGCGGCATCGTTTAAGGGCGATTTTCCATTGCTGAAAAAGGTTCGGGTCACAGCACTACAGGGTACAAACAGATTTGATGATGCCGAAAATTTACGGAACGAAGAGGAGCATCTGAAAGACGAATTTAGACCAGACGTCGACTTCGACATTGGAGAGTATTTCGAGAACGAAGCAGGTTTGAATGGTTTCATCCCGCCACCCCCGTCTTGGAGGTCTTGATGCTTGACCATCTTTACCAATCCTTGGTCTTCAAACAACTGTTATCAACTCTTCTTTCGAACACCTGCCGAGCAAATTCTTTGTTGACAGGATATGCTCTTGAGGAGATTGGGATAGGGCCATTTACCAACGTCCTTTGCATGACTTGTAACGACGTAATTTGGGACACATTCAGCGCCGTAAATATAGTCCTACGCCTTTTGGAGGAGGAAGAAGAAAAAGCTTTTGAGCGTATCTACCAGAAATCTAGGTCAAAGTTGTACATGGCTTTCACCTTTGGCTCTAGCCTTGTATACTAGTGTGCTTAGGACGGTCCGCCTCCACCCCACGTAACCGCGCTCCCTGCATGTACCTCACATCGTCCTTTATACTGATTTGGTATTTCATCGTCGCATTATTATATTATGGCTTGGAGCTAGCTCGAGCCTTCTGGCCCGCATTTGACTTATCTCACCGTCCCGATTTTCCTTCTTACAGACGCACTCTTCTCTCTCTTTATTAGAAACCGACTCCACCTCTCTGAACCACCTCTAGCTACTATTTCTGGTATTGTTTTCGGTCCAAAATGTGCGGGCGTCCTTCGCCCTGAGCAATGGGGATTCACCGATGACGTGATTCAAGAAATCACAAGACTCACCGTTGGCATCCAATGCTTCGCCGTTGGCCTGGAGCTGCCAAATGATTACTTTAGGAATACCTGGAGAAGTTTAACGATCCTGCTTGGACCAGTGATGGCATTTGGATGGGTCGTTTGCGCTGCCTTCGTCTATTGGATCTTCGAAACCGATATCCCCACGGCTTTGATAATATCAGCATGCCTAACACCTACGGACCCCGTGCTTGCAGCCAGCGTCTTATCCAACTCCCAGTTTTCCGAAAGGGTCCCTCTACGTCTACGCCTGATCCTTTCTGCTGAATCCGGTTGCAACGACGGCGTCTCTTTCCTATTGCTTTGCGTCGGGATTAGCATCCTCACCAGCGCCACCCTCGGGAGCATATTCAAGATATTCAAGAAATGGTTCCTAGTCCACATCCTCTATCAATGCGGCGTAGGCATCATCCTCGGCCTGTTCCTCGGCCACGCCGCCAACCGCCTCTTTCGCTTCTCCAACAATCGCAAAATAGTCTGCCGAGCATCCTACCTCGTCTTCTACCTCCTGCTCGCCATCTTCTCCATCGGCGCCGCCAGCACCCTCGGCGTCAACGACTTCCTCGTAGCCTTTGGCGCAGGCGTCGGTTTCGGCCACGCTGGCAACTCGCCTATCCGCGAAAAGAACTTACCTGTAGTCATCGATTTGCTCCTCAACAGCACCTTTTTGGTGTTCTTCGGTGCCCTTATCCCCTGGCACGCCTTCACCTCTGGTTCTGACTTCGTGGGAATTACTCCCGGCAGACTAATCGGCCTTATCGGGCTCGTCCTCGTCTTCCGCCGCCTTCCCATCGTCCTGGCGCTGTATCGCTGGATGCCAGCCATCAAGACCTTCAACGAGGCCCTCTTTACTGGCCACTTCGGGCCGATGGGCGTCGGTGCACTGTTCCTGGTCATGGAAGCGCGGGCGCAGCTGGAGACGGACGCGTCGATCCCGCTGCCGCACCCGCCGCATAATTTCCCCGAGACAAAGAAGAGGGCGGTGCTATTGGTGTGGCCGGTCGTGTGCGCGGTTGTACTAGCGAGTACGATGGTGCATGGGCTGAGTACGCTGGCGATTAGTATAGTGGGGCATCTGGCGAGGGATGAGGGGGAGAGAGCGCCGTTGATTGGGGCGGAGACAGATGGGTTAGGGGGAATGGTGCATGAAGATTCAGAGGAGGAGGTGGATGAGAGGTATGAGAATGGGTCGGTGTGAGAAGAGTCGCGGGAAGGGGCTGGAAAGCACGTGCGGACGTTAAAGTCAGGTGACCGTCACGTTTCGCGGCTTGAATTAGAGTACGAAACTTCGATGGGCGGTTGAAATCTATGCTAGACATGAGGGAGTACTTGGGGCTCTTTTTTTGAAAATGGTCTTCATCACCACCTATGGTGTGGGCATCGTCGAGGAGTTGCTAGACGTGTCTTGCGTTCAAAACTTTTCAAGTTTCACTACGTATGATGTCAAAACAGGCCAAGGATATACTTGATGTTGGACCTGCGCTCTCCTGTTCTCACTGATGTCTATCACCATTCCCTGTTTCTTTCCGTCATGATTCTAATAGACTAAACATCATTACTTCCTGCAAACCGCTACACAGTGTACTTATCTTGCAACGACTATCATCAGCATCGTGCTGAGGATGCTCCACCGCGCGACCCTCCACCCACCGCCACCACATCATCATCACTCGGGTACTTTTTTGAAGTTTCCCACCGCAACGCACCCATTGGGTTCTGCTTTGTGTTTGCGTATTCCTCGCCAACCACCAAGCCAGTCATAATGGCTTGGCTCGGCTATGTTTGATCCACACCCTCCACCACACCCATGGGGTGCTGTAATTCCAAGTTTGATCCAACCCCATGAGTACCGGAGAGCTCTTGTTTTGCTCACGAACCCACCATGGGATTCCAGTGAAGTCATTTTGACCCGATCCCCAATCCCGCTGCTGCAGAGTCAACAACTGAAGACCGGTCGTGATTTTATAGTAGAAATATCGAGGTTAGTAAGCAGAGCACGTGAGATGAGATTCTGTCACGGGCCCACGGGCTGATGATGGGCTAGGAGCTCGAAGCTTGATAAGCTCTTGAAACTGCCGTTTCGATGCCTTCAAGATGTATTCGATTGAAGCTCATCTAGGATTCGATATCGTTGTATTCATTGACTACTTCCCTACGCCATTCTCAAAAACACAGGAAAGGTCTACAAGCATTAGTACAATGACCCAGAAACCCAGCCCTCCTATCCCATCTACCCACTCATCCTATCCCGTTCCCCCTTCTACTGCTGCGGCGCCGACACATTCTGATACTTCTCAATCCTCTTAACCGCGCCAAACCTCTTGCCCCCCTGATCGAAGATGGCATAAATGCCCTTCAAGAACGTGTCCCCGAGGATATCAAAGTCCAAATCACCCCTCGACTGAATCCCCCCATACACCATCGTGCTGCTAACGCTCGCAAACGCCAGGTCCTCCTTCTGCACCGGGAACTGCTTCCCGCCGACGGCAAACGTCACGACGGGCAGCTTGGCCGCCGCCGTGCCCGTGGGGAACGTCCAGCCCTGGTTCGTGCTGTCGTACACGGCGCCGGGAATGGCGGCGTAGATGGCCTGGCACGTCGCGTCGTCGACGAGCGCGAGCGTGGTGCCCGTGTCCGCGATGGCGGTGTTGCCGGCACGCGCAATCTTCTTCCCATTGACGGTCGCGGAGGCCGAGGCGAACTTCCAGAAGCCGTCCGAGGAGTCGACGGGCGTGTAATAGGGCTTCTTGCCGCCGTTCTTCTTGATGATGTCCTGGTCAATGTATCCGAAGGTGTAGAAGCTCTCGCCCTTGTCGTCCTCGTTGGCGTCGCGCCAGCTGCCGAGGTAGACGGTGAAGAGCTCAGCCGCCTTGGGGATGTCCCGCTGCGTGATCATGTTTTCCACGGGGGTTTGGACGGGCCTGGGCTTGACGGTGTTGATGGTGCCAAAGGCGAGGCCGAGCAGGCCGTCGCCGGCGCCTTGCTGGAACTCGGTGGAGAGCTTGTTGGCGAGCTCGACGGCTTGGGCTTTGATGGTTAGGCCGCCGACGGTCACGAGGTCGGTGCCCACGATGCCGGAGGCTGAGGACCCGTCGCCATATGAGATTTTCCAGGTGGAAAACGAAGACTTCTTGTAGGTGGAGGATTTGGAGGCGTTGAAAATCTGGTGAGTCTCGGCGCCAGAGGCTTGGGTTTGTTTGTCGAGCTCGGTGGACCAGACCTAACCAAGGTTATCAGTATGGTGGTCTGGGATCAGTAGAGGATGTTGGCGGTACCCAAAGATCAGAGGAGCCAGTGTCGAAGTCCAAGTTCACGGTCTGGGCTGGAGTGCCGATTTGCACGGGGCAGAGATACCTGTATCCGCGTTAGAAGAAGTCTAGACTCTCAACTCTGGTTGAGGACTTACAAAGAGTCATTCTGCTGGTCCTGTGCACCAACAAGCCCAGGCTTCCCAGTGGTGGTATCCTTCTTCACCAGCTGGCGCGGCTTGGCCCTCGCCTTGCCGCTGATGAGCTTCTTGAAGGTGAGCTTGCTTGCGTCCTTGGCGAGCTGTTGAAGATCACGGACGAAGCTCTCCTGGTCCGCGGGGTCGACGCCGAATTGCTCGAGGATGTTGCTCTTCTGGAGGACGTCGTTGAGCATCTGGAAGGGGCCTTCGAGAGTGGGAGCGAACTGGTCTGGAGAGTGTCAGTGATACTGCGAGGCTGTCGAGAGACGCCCGGTGTACTCACATTTGTTCAGGAGATAGGCATACGACTTCAGGCCTGCCGGCTTGTAGTTCGGGTTCCTGATCACGGGGACACGCGTGAGGGAATCCATGTCGATTTCGACTACCGGTGATGGAGTAGATGGAGGAGACCAATTATCAAAGGGGTCAGGGCCACCTAAAAACACGGCCATACGGCTGTAGGGTCAACAGGAAAGGAATCGCTAGGTTCAAAGGGTGGAAGGTTGTGTTGAAGTTAATAGTTGGAGCTAAGAAGGTTGCGTTGAAGCTTGGAAGGTTGCGGTGGATTGTATGATTGTATACTGCTCGAAGTCGGAAACCCCAGCTGAGTTATACCCACGCCGAGCCTCGCTCTTGCCCATGCTGGCAGCGGCCATGACGCTGGGCGGGTGGGCAGGTGGGCAGGTGGGCAGGTGGCTACAGCTGCAGGGCCGCTGCCTCCCTAGGTGCCATGGCCGAATCGGCCATCTGCCGCAAGGGGGATGCTTAGGGAAGCGGCACATGATCTCCAGCGCAGGCGCCACGACCGCCCGCCCACGGATGCGTGGCTGCCATGGCCTCGTGGCGTGCTCTATCATGAAACTTGGTTAGGTGCTTGCCGCGTAGCCTTGTTGTTGCGAGCGCGGGGTGTCTTGTACTGCTCTGCGGGAAAGAAAGAGAGAGGCAGGAGAGGCAGGAGAGGCAGGAGAGGCAGGAGATGAAGCATATTCGGCACTGTGCTTTTGTATGACAGAGCACGTGAAATCTAAGGAAATCTAAGGAAATCTAAGGAAACCTCAAACCTCACGCTCGATGAGGAGTAACCCACCATTTACTCCCCACCTCGATGTGGCATGGCCGTCGTTCAACACAAGCTTCTGCCACGACCCGAACCGAGGCTGACCTTGCAGCACTACGGGGGTATGGAAAAGGTGGCACTGTAATTCCAGAGCAAGCCGCTGTGGGTGTATGCCACTGCTTAGGGTACTTCCATGCACTTCCACAAATCCGAACGGGATAGAAGCTGTTCTTCGCCATTGACTAGAATACGTGGAAACTCGCTGGAGCACTTCGAGCGTGAGCACCTATCACGACCCCAGCACGCACCACTATTCCCCGTCGCGATTCATTAAACGACGCGCGTTCTCGCTACCACAGAGCAGTCGCCTAACTCCCTTCATTCATATACGTAGACTAGCGAACCTGGGTATAGCAGCTATATTGCGTTTCTATTCACGGCCTCGGCAGCGTGCCCCGTTTCTAGCTTCAAACGGGTGCATGACCTCATGTCGATCGATATATCGCCTCCGCCTTGACATGCAAGATCGAGGTGACATGCATGACCGAGTTGATATGCAGCATCGAATCTGGGGACGAGCATGAGCATGAGCCGCTTCAAGTGCCGCATGATCTTCACTGCTCCACTTGTCCCTCCCTGCCTTGAGTTTAGGCTGTGCAACAGCCTCATCGTTCAAAGTAGGCCGTGCACTCTCTTAACGTTCACTGCCTGTGCACTGATCACGTATCCTCAAATCAATTTCAAAAGATTTCCCATTGCAACCACTACGAAAGAACTACTCGAGTGTCAATCAATAAATGAAATTAAAAACCAATTCGCATCTCCCCGACCGCTCCTCCCCCTCCCCACAATGAACGTGTCTGTATGTGTAGTGAGACGACCAAAGCGCCAGTAGCCTAGCACCAGGATCGCCGAGTAGAGTGGTGTCAAAAGAGTGTCTTATCCCAAACCCCATTCCCCAAAAGCTCCCCCAATCCCAAAAAGCAACTTAGGGAACAAAGCTAGACAACGGAGGACCGCAAACGCCAGAGATGTGATTGCCAGATAGCTTCCAGGCTTCGAGTGGTGGTAGAAAGGGGGCAGTAACAGAGATCACCTCTCGTTCCAGCACCAAGTTGATCCGCCTACCGCTGTCCCCCAGACCAGACTCCGAAATGTCTAGACCTGTTCCTCATCGCTCGCATCAAGGATATCATACTCCTCATCCGTCAAGAAGCCATCGTCGCTGCTACCCTCCAGCATCTCGACGCTCTCGGCATCCTCGAAGAAGTCCTCTTCCGAGCCCTCCTCGGCCTCCTTCTCCTCAGCTTCAGTCTCGTTATTGGCCTGAGCTTCGTGCGTGCTCGACTCCGGCGACTCTTTCGGGAGCTGGGGGAAGATCATGACGCTGCCCTTGGATCGCAATTCCTGAGTTGGCTCCTGTGGTGGGGACACGGTGTCCTGCTGCTGTTCTTGCTCTTGCTCTTGCTTTTTCGCCTTCGACTCATCCTTGAACCTAGCCATCTTCTCCCGGCTATCGGCGAGCGTAATAGTATGCGCTTCTAGCTCCCTACGAATAAAGAACAGCTTCCGCTCAAGCATCGTCTTCTCCGCAGATTCCTCAGTCGCAGACTCGAGACCCTGCTCGAGCTCATGGGACCTTTGCACCAACGCCCTAATCTTGTTCTCCCACTCCAGAATCATGAGTGACATGCCGTACTCCTGCTGCTGGTTCGTGCTCATCTTGGTGACCTCATTGAGATCAGCACTTGTGCGGAGAGTTTCCAAACGATTCCTAAGCAGTCGCCGTTCGGCGGCAATCGGGTCCATCGGGGCAGGCTTCACCGACGCCTCCTTTCGGGTAGCCTCGTAGCGCTTCTTGTTGTTCTGCTCGAGGAGGAACAGCTGCAACTCGTATTCTGACTTGGTGGTAGTGCTCATCGGAGGGGGGGTGGCAGGCGAGAAAGTTGGTGGGCTGGCAGGAGTAGTAGCGACCTCTGAAACATCAATGTGGCACCAGAGACGGTGGCCAAAAGGTGTTCCATCCGGAGCCTTGAGGCGCCAGTAAGAGATGTGGGTGCTCTCACGCTGAGGTGCCTTCATCAGAACGCGAAAAGAGATCTCCTCACCCTTCTCGACAGGACGTCCGATGACGTTGCTCTCGGTGGCCTCAGCGAGGTCAGAGTCGCTGGATGGGTGGCTGTTGTCAACGTTGAGCATGTTGTCGCCGCCGACGTAGCGGACACTGCAGCCAGCGGGCCAAGACCGAGGACCGGGGTTGCGAAGAGTCCAGACCTGAATGAAGCGAGACCCTGGAGCAACCTTGGTGCCGTCCTGCATAGTATCACGAACGAAGTAAGCAGCCAGTTCACTGACAGAGCTCTCAACCTTGGGTACCTGAGCCGGGGCCTCCTTCTCCTCGACAGACTTAGCGACCGGGGGAGGAGTGGAGAGAAGGTTTTGAACTCGGATCTTCTCCTGGATGGGCTTGGCGAGGAGATCCTTGATCTCGATCTTCGGCTTCGACTGGCGGGCCTCGACAGGCTTCATATCAACGATGGTTTGCACCTGGGTGGCAGCGTTAGCAGACGGGGCAACCGGGACTGTCTCCGTCGCGGTGGATCGCCTAGCGGGGAGGTCACCCATGGTGGTCATGGGGGAACCGTTCCTGTCTTCTCCCATGGTAGTCACGCTGACGTTGCGGACAGGAGTCTTGAACTTGATGAGGGGATGGGTGCGGTTGTGGCGGTTCGCAGGGATGGCCTCGCAGTTGGCACAGAAGTCGGTGTCGTGGCAAACTGCGCACTTGTACCTAACACCCTCAATGTGAGACTGGCTCTCCTTGTCCTTGCAGAGGGGTCCATCACAGTAGATGCCGTAGTGTCGGACGATAGAGGCGCGGGGCTCGGGCAGGGGTTCGTAGATTGGGACGAAGCGATGCTGGGGGTGGATGAACTTGGCACTCTCGATGCAAGTGGAGCAGTAGTCCCAGTCGGGGCAGTTGAGGCACTTGTGGCGGACGCCGTAGATGAACTGATGAGATTAGTAATGCACTTATCCAGAAGGGCCATGAGGACTTACCTTCTCGCAGCCATCGCAGACAGCTGCATGTCGAACATTGCGGCCCTCGGAGCAAAGGAAGTCAGCAAGAGCCGTGAGGCTGGTATCTGGAGTCGCAGCCTTGAAGGCATGGCCAGGGTGATGGCCATGCTTCGTGCTCACATGGCAGTCCATGCAGAGATCGAAATCTTCACAAGAGGTGCAAGTGACGAACTCATTCTCAGGGAATACTAGAGAGAGGATTAGGTTGGTTTGCATACAATGAGTCAGACTAATCTTACCCTTAACGCAACAGTTGCAAGTTCGGGTAGGCAGGTCCTGCTCCTCGATCTCGGGCTTCTTCTCCTCGGTAAACGCACCGGGCATGTCGTTCTCGGGCTCAACTTTGGCCTTGGGTCCAATACGCTCGGTGGTGCTGTTGACAACAGTGCCGTTCTTCACAAAGCGCTTCACCATCCAGTGGCCGGCCCCCGGGCAGTGGATGCCGGCATCGACGCAAGACGCGCAAAGATCGTAGTCTCCGCGATCGCAGATGCTGCAATGGAAATGCTCGTTCGCCATTGGGTTATCGCAGTTGTTGCAGTAGACAACCCAGGAGCAGGCGTTTGATGGCGGTGGCGGAGGGGTGGCGTCCTTCATGCGGAACGCAAGATCGGCGGCACGCGGCATGTCGTTGAGGTTGGTGAAGAAGTCTGGTAGCGGTTAGCAAACATGCACACATAGCAATGCATGAAGGGGAACTCACTCTCGCGAGCGGTAAATGCGCGGGGGACGGGAGCTTCGCCCTCTGCATCGACCTCATCGACAGCAGGCTGCTGTGGGGTCGCGAGCTGGTTCATCTCGCTCATGGCCTTGTTGAAAGCTGCCATACGGCTGTAGTTGTAGGCTCCGCCGGGACGCGGCGGGACACACGAGCGGGCGATGGTCGGCGGGCTCAGTGCAGGCACAACGGGCGGAGTGGTGAAGGAGGGGGCGTCGAGGCTGTAGCGGGAGGATGGGGCCTGGGCGGCAGGCACTGGAGCTGGGGCGGGTGCAGAGGCGGACGGCTCGGCGTCGTGGGAGACGATGATGGCCCTCAGACGCAGCTTGAGCTTCGCTTTGGCGGCGCGGAACAGCGTCTTGTAGACCTGGGCGTTGTCCGAGTCGAGGGTGATGTAGGCGCCGGCACTGTCGGAGTAGCGCTCGAAGACGACGTCTTGGCCAGCGGGGATGGCGAGGAGGGCGCGTAGCTAGGAGAGGCACAGCGATGTCAGTTGCGGTTGATGAGGAGGAGCTTGATGCACAGCTTCCTCGAGCGCTGGCCAGCAGCCTGGAGCTTGCGTAGGCTCGTGCAACAGGCGGCAGCGGCGAGGACAACGCACCTTGTCGGGCAGGACGTGGGCGCCCAGGTCGCGGAGGGGGATCTTGAACTTGCGGTTGCTGCCCTGGATGGCAATCTTGATGGTGATGAGCGTGTCGAGGGTAACGGGGACGTTGGTGGCCATGATGGCGTGTGGAGTCAGCCCGGCTGGCTGAGTGACGTCTCGAGTTGAGGGGCAAGCGGTCTGGTCGGGTCTACGCTCTCGTCGAGAGAGGCTATCAGCTCGGTCGCAGCAGGTGTTGTTGAAAAGAGTGCGTGGTGTTGAGTAGAGAGAGAGAGAGAGAGGTAGAGAGGTGGGTGAGGTTGGGGTGGAGAGGAGGGGACGGCGTCGGTGAGAGAGGCAGCTCTACAGGCAGCCGTTCGACCACGCAACGAGCACGGAGCGCCGCTGAGGTGGACCGCCCGCCGCTAAGCTGCCCGTGGTGGCGGCGCTTTACTGCGGCCGCGACCCTCTCCGCCGTATCCCCCGGCCCAGCACGGAAACATCATGACAGTGGTATGGATGTGCTCCTGGTTGATGAAGGATCTCAGAGTGTCTGTTGCAAGCAAATATGGCATGTTTGGCTACCAACTTCGATCAAGTAGAAGCAGCTACGAAGACACCACCGCAGCCCGTCTAAACCGTCCACCCGCTACGTCACCGCGCCCTGGCCACTTTACTCGCCCCCCGCCCGCGCCCGCCTCCGGTGAACGCTCGGCCTGCCACCCGCTCCGCGTCGCAGGCGTATCGGTATGCTGCGGCGAAGAAGGCCTTGGACGCTGCTCACTCGCATTTGCTGGCGCTTGATCCAAAGCCTTCCACGTGACGGCCCTCTCACCGGTGCGACATCATATCCATCCTACCGCCTGTCAGCTCGCCATGCTCTCACCGCCGAGGTCGGGCGTTTCATCTAGTCAAAGGGTAGGCATGGCATGGATGGAGACAGAGCCGCCCCGTTGGGGAGCGAGGTGTCACATATACGGATAAGGTCACGTTGAATACTCATCACGATTCGCAGTAATTTGAATGCTGACAATGGGTTGGTGTGAGTATGTAGAATCTTCTTTCATGCACTTTTCTCTACCCATGACACTCACGCCTCGCACAAAGCCCGTCTGCCCCCACCATCCGCAGGCACCAGCGTACAAGCACAAGTGATGCATTCCATTCCACCTGCTTAGCACCCGGCGCTAAAGCCATGCCGCGCCGTGTGGGCCCGAGTTGACGTGGAAGAACACACGAGGGGGCTGTGGCGCAGATGAGGTGGGACGGACCGAGGATGAGTGCTGGAAATGACATGAACCCACTGGTGACACCGTAAACAAGCTATTAGGGTTTTTGAGCCTGGAGTGGTATAAAAGATAAAAGGGCAAGGATGTGTAGGATAGTTGTGAAAGGTGGTGATCGTGAATTCCGAGGAGAATGGGCGTCGTTCGAATCCAACCATGTTCAGCAGTACCGGCAACGATTCAGCTACATGTTGGTTAGGTCGACTTTGTGGCCATCCTCTCGTTCCGCTTCTGGAGTAAGAAGGCTTCTCGACGTGGGGCCTGTGCTATTGCCTTTGCTATTTTGGCTTCCCTCTGCTCAGCTGCTAATGCTCTGTGTAGCTTTCATTCCGGCATTGTGCTTTCTCCGTTCCTCCAATGCAAAACTCTTTTTCTTCCGGCGAGGCTTCTCCATCCTCTCTTGAGCATTCAACTCCACGCTCATTGTAGCTGCATTGACTGGCGCGATATTTGAGGTCACACCTGTCCCATTTGCACCCACCTCGGTGCTGCCCCCATTCAGCTCTTGAGCATTTCGGTCGCCGAACCTGTTGGCGTTGCCAAGGGGTAAGAGGTTTGCATTCTTTGATGCTTTTCGTTTGCGCTTCTGAGCAATTTGAACATTTTGGACGTGTTGCTCCCTCGCATCATTTGGCGACATCATTGCGAGTCTAGCTGCACGCTGCGCTTCGAGAGAGTCGGCATTTGAGCGGTTGGAAAGCCCGGTGGGGATTGTGGCTGGACTATTCACGTGCTCGGTATTGGCGTTCCCATTTTGTTGTCGGATATTTAGCTGGAGGCCGTTGATCCCGTACGCGTCCTCTTCCTTGATGCTTCCATTCGCCGGTTGGAATATTAGGTCCTCAAGGCGGCCAAGACGAGGAATTCGAGGCTGTTCATTGTTGCTTGCTGCGGCAGCTCTTATGCACCGATCTTGATATGCTTGCTGGAAATATTCCAGGTCTGCACGGCTTGGGATATCCTCGTTCTCGTCTTTGATATTATCTCCGGCAGCGCCTGCTCTACCCTTGATAACTATGCCGTTACCTTCTGCTTCTTCTGGCCTGTAGAGGAAGTAGGCAGCCTCCCTGCTCGAAAAAGTGTTCGAAGCGGCACTCGAGAGATATGCCGACGATTGTTGCTTAAGTGGACAATCATCACCCCAGTGGCTTGACGCGCCACAATAGTAGCAGCTGATTATGAGGCGGCCGACCTTCTTCACGTCGCTCAGATTCTCAGGGAAGAATGTACGCCATAGGAGGGAGCATTGCTCTTCGGTGTGGCCTTGACGCTGGCAGAGATCGCATGGGAGAACTTTGGCGGAGATAGATGAGGTGGTGGAACACTCATCTTTGGCATGGCCCGCTTGGTGGCATTTCGCACATCTCCTCCGCGTTGGACACGCGCTTGAGAAGTGCTCGTTCGGCGCCCGGCAATGTCTGCACATTCTTGAAGGGCACTCCTCTTCGGAATGTCCTTTTCGTATGCACATTTGACAACGAGGCACACCATCTGCCGTGTCTTGGAACCAATAGACGGGCTCTGTCGATAGATCCACTGGCGCAGCATCCGTCGGACTAACTGAGTCGTATGCATTAGATAAATTGTCTGCCATAGGCTGGATCTCCTGATTGGCATCGACCGGTTCTTTGGTTTTGTGTCTGTTTTCGCCTTTGTCTTTTTTCGACTTTTTGGAGTCATCCAAAGATCTCAAGGGACCATAATGCTCCCGCCTCAAATCCCCTGTACGTAGGCGATCAATGATGGCATTGACCCTGGCGTTAATGAAGGTTTTGAAGATGTCGTTTGCAATTGCCCAATCCTCGGAGACGAAATCGAGCACGCTGACTGTGACGGGCTTTGTTTTGCCCCAAATGGCCAGAGGGTGGTCTTGGAGGCCCTCAATCGCCGCTGGCGAGGCTTTACAAGAGTAGCAAAGCAACGCCTGGAAACGCTCTTCCCCGGTATCATCTTGTTGGTGATCGCTAACTGGGTAGTATATTGCCTTGAGCCCCTTCAGTGCGTGTCGGGCGATGTGGTATTCGAGAGCCCATCTCAGAGCCTCTTGTTGCTTTCCCATATGGCGAATAGCCACATCTGGGAAATCGACGGAGACAGTGACCTTGACGCCATTCGCAAGCTTTTTCGAGCCCTTCCGATGAAGGGTTTCGCGTGTACGTTTCATTTCCCGGTTCACAATGGCCTTACGATCCGCATCCGTGACAAAAAATCCGGGCACTGTCCCAGTCTCTTGTCCAGGTTTCTGCTCGTATGCTCGAGAGTCGTTTATTCCACGGGTGGATGTTTCAGGTACAGTCGGCAGTACCGCTTCAGAGAATATGAGTTCCACATCGTCTCGCTCGTCTGTATTGTCCATTGTGACATGCACTGACTCACCCGGCAGAGCTTGGCTCTGATGAACATGCTTATATGTCTGTGTGCCATTCATGGGTATGCTTTGCTGTCCCAAATCCGTCAGTAGCATTTCCGATTCATGTGGAAGTCCAGCGTAGCCATCTTGGTCGAATACATCTTCAGGTACGGACAAAGGCTCCGCATAAGAGCCCATATCCATACGAGAGTTACCCGCTATCCGCTCGCCACCACTGCCGGTTCTAGCTCTTTCTGTGATATCATGCCTCGAGGCAGGGGCCTTAGAACCCAGACCTCTGCCCACAGTTCGTTCGTCGTCGGATGATTGGCGGCTCCGCTTGCGTCCAAGGGTAGCAGTTCGCGAATCCTCTGCGGACATGTCATCTCCTTCAGCGTCCATGGGTCAGGCCAGCGGGTTCGATAGTCGCGGAGACTAGGCGGGGAGGGCGCGGGGCCACGGGCATTGACGTGAGAGGAGACTGTAGCTCAGGCTGGAGGAGAAGTGTGCAGCTTGGGCAGAGGGCATATATTCAAGTGAAGAGGAAACAGATTGTGAGTACAGCAATAGAGTCGTTGCCGCAATGAATCGTGGTGGTGGAGTATTTTTTCGAGTGAGGTCGAAAATCTTGGCATTCAGGCTTCCCGTCACCGTCACTTTTATTTTTTTCACACTCTGCGAAAACACCACCAAACCTCCACAACATACAATGGCAGCGTCCGACACTGAACCACCTGTAAAGAGCAGGAAATTTGTAGAAAAGGATCATAAGAAGAAGAAGAGCTCGAAATCTTCCATAAAAATACCGAAGCCCACCAAAGACGTCGACGAAAACGCCGCCAGCCCCGAATCCCCAGACACTCGACCCCGGAAGCGCAAGAGAGATGTCCTCCCAGAAGGCGAAATCGAGATCGATGTCAACCTCCCCGAGCCCCCGTCGAAGAAGGCCTTGAGGAGAGCCAAGAAGGGCAAGCCAATGGTTGCAGCTCCTGCGGCTGCAGACACCGACAGCGAGGATGAAGATGGAGCACCGAAGGGCAATCCAAATTTTGAACGTTCCAAGTACGGGATATGGGTTGGAAACCTCCCCTGGACCGCTACGAAAGAAACACTCCGTGCCTTCATCATCGAGCGTTCCGACATCACCGACGACCAAATCACGCGAGTGAATATGCCCCCGCCTAACAAGGAGACTAGGCCCGGGCAAACCCTCAAGCCGCAGAACAAGGGCTTCGCATACGTTGATCTCTCGACATCGGAGGCACTGGAGGCTGCTATAGCATTGAGCGAGACATTGATGGGAGGGCGAAGGTTGCTCATCAAGAATGCGAAAAGCTTCGAGGGTCGCCCGAAGACGGACCCTCTGGATGCCTTGCTACCCAAGGATGGCAAGCCGCCGAACAATCGGATATTCGTTGGAAATCTTAGCTTCGACGTGACGAAGGAGGAACTCACGCAGCACTACGCGCAGTGTGGTGAGGTGACTGACGTATTCATGGCTACATTTGAGGACTCTGGGAAGTGCAAGGGGTTCGCATGGGTCACTTTCGAGGATCTAGATGCTGCAAAAGCGGCGGTTGTTGGTTGGACATACAAGTCGAAGAGTCACAGCGACGATGAAAGCGAGGAAAGTGGGGGCGACGACACAAAACTTACCGAGAATAAAAAAGCTAAACGACCCAAGAAAGAGAAGAAGATGAAGTGGTACGTCAACCAGATCCACGGTCGTGCCCTCCGCGTTGAGTTCGCCGAAGATGCCCAAACCAGATACAAGAAGCGGTATGGCGGGAAAGGGGGCGGGGATAAGGGTGAGAATGGGGCTGACGGAGGAGAGGATGGTGGAAACAGGCGTTTCGCCAACAACAAACCGCGTGGTGGCAAAAGCTCATGGGGCCCTCCTCGAGAGTATCACAAGGTTGATGCCAGGACTATTGCCCCTGGCGCCGCCCATGTCTATGCCCAGAGAGGCTCTGCGGCGATTGTCGAGTCGAAAGGTAAGAAGACGACATTTGATTGAGGGATTGAGGACCAGAGTTGCTCGGAACGCTCTACGAATCACTTGCGCATTTACGACTTGCGCACCAAACTGCCTGCTAATTGAGCATTATGATGCTTTCTCCTGCTGAACGACTCCTTCTGATGTTGCGATGCCCCAGCGTTTTTCATTGTACCTCTGCATGAAGCGCGAAACTCAACCTCATGCAGATGATCCAACTTAGCAGCCAATGACAATGATACCACCCTTTTCTGTTATATTCTTGCTTATTCCGGTGCACACGTGGAGGATTCTTCGAGCGGAGACTCGCAAGCTAACCACCAACTTTAATGACCGCTCTAGGAAACATCGCCACAGATGGCGAGAAGTCCAACTTAGTCCCAAAGAGGAGATTCCGCATTATCACCCGCAGCGTAACACCCAATAAGGAGACTGAGGTCTCACCGGTCGTTGGCGCATATGCGGAGTCGACTTTGGGACAATTACGCGAGGCTTGGTTTCAGCCTCGTTGCCTTAAACTTTGCGGAATCAAGGTCTGATCACCGCATTTTTGCCACCTAAGACTGTCCCTAATCCTAGGTCTTGCTCACTCTTATTGTTACAGTATCCCACAGCACTACCAGAGCCTGCTTCCTGGACCTTCTCACGCAACGCCACAAATCGGACATCGTTTCTCAGCAATTGGTCTCTCGATACCACTAGGCACCCTCCAGCGTTACTTTCTACCCCAAAACCTTGCGTTTTAATTCGCTTCTTACCATCGCTTGTAGAATATATCAAGATACCTTTGTATCTGCTGTTCTTTGTTTCGTTGATCGTCAATGCAAGCACCTGTCGAGCTTCTAGCCGCACACGCAGCACAACTACCAAAAGACAGCATGAAAACAGCACCAGGATATCGGATCTCTCGCGCTCCCAGGCCTTCGGCAGACGTGGATCGTCCATCTGCCAGCTTGATCTGGTATCCACCGCTAGGATCGGATGAACTTTATGAAGCTCTGAAAGAGGCATTTCCAGGTGTTGGAACGCACGCGGAGAGAAAGATGGAAGCTTCCATAGCCTTCTTCATGACTGAGAAAGGGGGCTCTGAAGCGCCCTTCAATGTAGCTGAAAAGAACGCCTTCCACACCTCTGATCACACCAGTTCTGACCAGGCCAACGATATCGGAACGGCCGGCACATTTCGCAGCCAGACTGCAGGACTAGGGATCTCTACCATCCCTAGTAGTTCTGGCTCAAACGCTGAGCTTAGGTCGTCATCGGCAGAACCCTTTTCCCGGGCAACTGGAACTTATATCTCGCCATACGCGGAAGATGGTACGAGCGAGGCGACATCGAAGCATCAGTCGAGCCCGCCGCCGCAACACGAGATGATGGGAGCGTGGAATCTCGCCACAGGCCGACTTTCAAAAGTTAGGCTCCGGCGGCGGATGAACACTCCGGAGAGAGAGAACTTCAAACGAAAGCGACAAACTCACGCATGTGACAAGTGCAAGAAACAACATCGAAGGGTGAGCTCCCTCTTCGAATCCGTCGATCTCAGGCTAACAGATGCATAGTGCTATCATGATCACGACAAAGGCTCATCGTCAAATAAAACGTCATCCGGTCGCAAAACTTCATCGTTAGCTACCAAAGATGGCATGCGTACACACTCTTCCAAGAAAAGCAAAGCTGATGTATCGACGTCGGGCATGGTGCCTCCTGCTCAAGTTGCCGCACAACCATCGATCCTGGAAAAACTACAACAACAGCTAAACAGGACCAGCTCTGGCCATACTCGAAACGACTTCCCGATGAGGAATGATAAGACTGGACACCATTCTGTTACTTCGACAGGGCCTTGGCCGTCGCCTAGTCCACCCATGAAGATTACCTGTATCGAAAACAATCTTCATTGGCCTCACCTCCGAGAAGAAAGTTGTCGTGACAACCCTATTTTCCCTTTGAATTCAGCTGCTTATTCAATCAACCAACCCGTGATTACCAATGAAGAAGCTGTCCAGAACGCGACTGCACAGGTTCATGCCCGCAAAGACTTCTACACCGGAGATCCGGATGCGGCTAAAGAGTTTGGGAATATTGGCCATGACTTTCTCTACTCAAACTCCGCCGAAGCGCTTCCTATACTTGCCATACCTAGCACGCTGGACTCTGTGTTAGATTCTTCAACGCCTTGGGCAGATTCGCAGAGCTTTGCTAGTCAAACTAACGACGATGCCAAATTATGGTATACCAATGACCTTGGCCTTTTCTCCTACAACCCCTTCAACCGCCGAGACCTCTTCATGCAGTATCTCCCAGAGACACACGCAAATGAGATCAGCATACGAGGCGAAAATAGCCAATCGTATGATTTGGATTTGTCCTACGGCAGATTCGATCTTGATACTGAGTTACGCCAAACCAGTCCATTCGGAAACGACAGAGTCCAGACCGCGAGTTATGTTCCTACGGCTAACTGGCGGCCGGACTTCGATGAATCTCGCTATCTTCCAGTTACGGAGAATCCAAGATATCGCTTGGTGCATGAGGATGTCTGTGTTAGCGACCGAGATTACTGTGATTCTGACCCCCACAGTGTTGACTCTGACGCTGCGAATAATCAAGTCTTTGGTTCGTGTGTTATTCAACGGCAACGGTCTCGTCGACCACGAACTACATGCAACGGCCTTGGCTTCTCTTGTCCAATGGGCCCGTGTTCTGCCATATTCACGAGCAAAAACGAGTGGAAGCGGCATGTCATGGCAAAGCACGTCAAAGCGGCCATGTGTGTTTCTTGCGAGTCTCTTTACGCATCCTCGTTCGCTTGCCATACACTGAAGCGTCATACTCAAGAGTGTCCGCATGAATGCCCCTACTGGCTGTGGGCAATGTGGGCGTTTTGGAGCCTCGTCATTTGGTCACGGACTCCAATACTCGTATCGGCCATGAAGAGAATGCGGTCACATTTGCTGGGGATAGGGTTGTTAGGAGCGTGTAGTTATGGAGACGATAATTCGGATCCGGCTCGTTAATCTTCTCAACAACGCAGTTTCTTTGGCGTTGGTGGTATGTTCTCACGATTTAGCGTAGTGGCATTTCATTGGCGTTTGATAAAGATATTTTTTTCGTGAAGCTTTTCATAGTCCACGAATCTCTTTATTCTTAGCTCATTCCTCTCAATGTAGTTCAAGTTAGTAGTCATAGACCGTATAATGAAATAAAGGGCGGTCTCTAATGGATGAAACTGCAATTCATGCGCTTTTCGAGACTTGACATGGTTCTAGCGACATAAAATATTCACATTGCAAATTGGAGGACCGAAAAAACGTTCTGGAAATCTTTTTCTTAATCATATGATGTTGGTTAGCTTACTGCATGCGCTGCATGGAGCGCACGTTAATGATTGATCAACCTTTCTAATCGTGTACGCGCTACAAGCGGAACATGTCTCTCTCTTTTATCTTTCAAGGCAACACGCCTCGGCGCTCAAGGTTGATGCTATACTAGAAGTAGCAGCTGCAGAGTTGGCATTATTGGTCTCCCTTGTTCTCGACGGGGGAACGGCCTAACGACCTTCGTGTTCAACGCGCCTCAAAAACGAACATGCGTGAATTTTAGATCTTCTTCGCAAGCATTCGACTACGAGAATATCCGTCCGCGATGAATACAACAAAAATTTAAGGAACTTCATCAAGGTTGGAATGACTAGGGAAGGTAGCATTACACATTAGAAGCTTCTCGTCCCCAGCATATCTATCCTCTCCCTCAAGAAGCCGACGGCGTCGCTCCAACAACGGGCGTAAGCTTCACATTATCAACCCACGTATCCTTCTGATACCCCGTCCCCTGCGCAAAGCCAATCGTAAACCGCACAATCCCCGCCGAATACTGCGCGCCCGCCGGCACCGCGAAATCGCTCCCCGTATACGTTACCATCGTATCCGACGTCCACCCACTCACTGGTATCGTCGCAACTACTACCGCTGCATCAGGCCCAGCACCCAGGAACGCTTGGAGACTAGATTGCCCGCTGTAGAGATTGCGCCGCGCCGTGAAGGTCAGCCGATATGTTGTCCCAGGGCACAGGATCAAAGACTGCACGAAGGTCTGGTTTAGGTTTGGGTTTGTCGCGTCGATGCGTCCTCGGATCACCCATGCCTGGTCGCTGCCTTTGTAGTTGGTCCCCGGCGATGCGCGTTCAACGTAGCCGTCGGTGCCGCCAGGGAGGGGCATCCACGGGGCCATGCCGCTTTCGAAGGAGCCATTGATGATGGGGTCGGTGGTTGTGGGGCAGGCGGTGGTGGTGGTAGTCAAGGCGGTGACGGTGAGCGTGGATGTGGCCGTGGTTGTGGAGGTTGAGGCTGATTCGGTGATGGTTGCGGTTGAGATCGCCGTGGTAGGGGAGCATGCGGGCAAATCAGTGCTGGAAGAGATTGGTTCGGGGATGAGGACAGCGTCGCAGGTCCCGTCTTCAGCGAAAGGCACGCCCAGGCCTTTCTTGAGGTAGCACACGCTGCCACCGGTGTAGGCCAGGTCGACGCAGTCTGGGTCTGCTGCGCATGCTGCGACACACTCCGTGAAGCTTAGGTCCCAGATGGGGCCACCGAGGTTGTTGGTGGATTTGACGACGTCGGTGGAGAGGAGGAACTTCTTCCCTCCAGTCGTGTAGGTAGATCCATCTGCATAGCCATGGCAGCTAGAGGAATCGCGCTTGGGGAGAGGGCCAAGTGCGAAGGCGTTGGAAAAAGAGAGGAAAGCCGCTGCAGCGAACGTGAATTTGGACAACATGATGTGAAATGAGTGAGAGACTGGAGTTGGATGGCGCGAAAATGACAGTGAGTGGAAGAGCTAGGGAACACAACAGCTCGAGGACGAGAGAGAAACCTTTATTGTATCGTTTTCAAAGCATGAATCCCCTCTTCTAGACGACCTCGAGCCTAGAAAGCGCCATGTTCAAGAACTACGGTGGATTTGACCTTTGTGGCCTCGACTATCATTATGATTCTATCCCTTCTGCAACGCATGGAACCACTTTTGGGACCGTGATGAGGAGGCGTTGTGCACAGGCATGATTTCAGCCAACCACAAGTTTTTCCAGAGCCAAGTTGAGCCAACAGGAGGAAAAGGCGCAAAACCGTTGACTCTCAAAGGGATCGAACACTCGGGTAAAAATTATTGCTGCTTCGTTCGTACTGCCAGCCAGCCTTGTCGACGCCGCCGTATTTCTGGCCGCAGCCACCCTCCATGCCAAGCCGAAGTGATGGAACGGAATAGTTCAAAGGTCTTCACCATCGGGCAAAGGCCATTCAAGACTGCCTAGGTATGATCACCTAGAAGCTTGCGGCCTCGCACACACAGCACTCTTTCGACGCTCGAGCTCATGACGAAGGGAATGGCCGTAAGGTGAACTGGCGGTGCAGTTGGTGGCGGGGAGAGGGAGTCGGAGTCTCCGAGCGCTAAGGCTGTGGCGCGCAGCTAGAAGAGCCTGAGACTAACGATGTGCGCTACAGTAAATGTGGCCGTGCACCAAAAGGAGCCTCGAATTCTCCAAGGAGAGAAAGCAATGTAGGTCTGGAGGAGGTCTGGGCTGCAGTGGCCTTTGACATGCGAGACTCTGGCGACGTCGAAGAGGCGCCTGCATGTGACTATTATGCCTAAGCAAACATGTCCGCATTCACTATAACCGCAGCTCCCCCGGCATCCTGTCGATCAACGACCATGCGTGCGGATTGGTTTCATCGGCCGCTTCAAACCGAATATCAGAGAAAGACAAGAGTGGGATCTTGACGATCGTTAGAGTCTTGTGCAAAATGCGCGCGCCCCCCCCCCTGTAGCCGAGATTTTTTTTTCCCCGCTCAACACACCCAAAATCACAGGGATCACCCCCCTCCCCCCCCATTTCTCCACGAAACGTCAATTTCTATTCACTATTTTGATGCCATGGGGCAGCGCATTAGCCCTCACGTAGCCAACGAGATCCGTATACGCCTAGAACAAGATGAGAGCGTTAGATACATTAGCAAATGCACCAAAGTGAGCCGGAAAACTATCGCGAGAATGCGCCTTAACCTCGAACTCTGGGGGGAACTCTATGCTCCGCCCTCTATAAAGCTCGGCCGGCCAAGGACCCTTACGCCTACGCAAGAGGCGTTTGTTCTCTCTTACCTACAAGACCAACCTACTGCGTATCTTGATGAAGTACGCCAGGTAGTATTCGATAAGTTTATCGTCGAGGCCTCTGAGTGGACGATTTATCGCGTTCTTAAGCGCAATCAGTGGTCTAGAAAGATCACTTAGCAGCGAGCTGCTCAGCAATTAGCTCTCCTCCGGGCTATATAGAGAGGACGCCAGTTGGAGTAGGCTATAGAGGACCTATACTTTGTCGACAAGAGCGCCAGCAATAAGAGAACGGGCGATTGGAAACGGGGCTGGGCACCCCTTGGCCTTTCACCTATTAATTTTGTACCTCTCCAGAGGTCTAAGAGGTGGAGTATACTGCCGGCCCTAATGCACAAGGGTTACCTAGATACACCCCTTATTTATCAGGGTGGAGTAAACGGTAATCTCTTTACAACTTGGCTAGAGTTCTCTGTTATTCTACAGCTAGATTTTGGGCCTAGACGCCAGCTACAGATTATTCTTAACAACGCATCTATCCACTATTTAAAGGAGGTAAAGGATCTATACAAATTACACGGCGTTAAGCTCTCCTACTTGCTGCCGTATTCGCCAGATATAAACCCAATTAAGAAGACCTTTAGCATGCTTAAGAGTTGGATAAAAAGGAACAATAAGCTGGCCACTGTCACGGTGACGATGTATCGGGCATTTGAACGCGAGATAGACAAGTATCAGATTCAAAGAAGGATAACTACGTGCTATTACCGTGGTTGGTTACAAG